TTAATCGAATACGGTTACAAAAAAGAGCTGTTTAGTATTAACTATTACAATGTACTTTCGCTTCCCACCCAGCTTCGTCTCCCCCGCGGATGATTTTTTCTCAGAGAATTTGTTTAGCGAAGCCCGCCTTTGCTCTTTTTAGGATACTTTCATTTTTGTATGATTTGTTGAGGTTAAATAAGACACTCTTGATGATCCCAGCAAAGTAACACAGCGAGAAGGAGGAGGAAGGTGAGGCGGACAAGGAAGAAGCAAGCAGATGCTAGAGTGAAAAGGAAATGGCGACTGCGTTTTGAGCTGAAGCACAAGAACAAGCAGAAAAGTAGCTTTTTAAATTGTTAGGCCGGCACTTATTGCCAACAGCAAAACACTCATCAGGCCGATTCACTACACTGCTAAGTCCCACAAGATTTTGCAAATTAGTTGAATAGAAGAATGCACCTTTTTAATTAACCTAATTAAGAAAACAAAACTTCAAGCGGTCGCAGCAACTGCTTTATTTAAGTGTTTACTGAAAGAAAAACTAGTTTTAAGGAGGCCTGTTCACGTGATCTATGCTGTAGATAGCCTTGTTATTTGTTTAATTTCCTGGTTCTTTAGGCTCTTCTCCAGTAAATCATTTTTCGATGGGCAGGCATGTCATACCCTTGCAGGTTGTTACACTTGCTCTCAGGGCCCTACATTGTTAGGTTGTGCCTTAGTTGTTCTACAGAGGCTATTGCAATATAGTTCCCTCCGATAGTCGTAGTTTTTGGCCGTTGTGATACGGTTTTCTGGCTCCCCCGGTATGTAAGTTTTGTAAATGGATTGTTTAAGTAGTTGAATGGGAGGCGGCATGTAGTCCTATGGAAAAAAAAAACGACGCAGATCTTGTGCGAGTAATGAATGAATGAATGAATGAATGAATGAATGAATAGAGATGCATGCCTAGCAAAAGTTTGGAGAGTTTACAAAAAGGTGTCGACTGCGTTCTGAACATGAGCCTCGCTGTCAAACCATCCAGGAAGCAAAGCACTTTTCTTGTGGCCCTCCCAGCACTCTTTCCTGCTAGTGCTACGTACGAACTTGATGATTCAGTTGATTCTATAACTCTTTCATTCATTTGCTTCTATAACTCTCATAGGGTAGAGGTTTAGGTCCAGCGACGCTTCAAGCACATAAAGAAAAGTAACCGGCTAGGTCTCCCGCGTAAGTCAAAGGGTTTAGTCCCTCCAATGAACAAACTATAGAGCACCTAGTAGATGTAGCTGATGGATTATTGACTCGTCAGCAGACGAGCAGAGGAGATACAACAAAGACTCACTCATCTCACGTGCATTGCAGTCATTCTCTTGCATTAGTGTACAACAGGGATTCACTCACGTGCGGTGCAATTACTATCTCCTTCTAATTTCACGCCAGCCACTCTTCACTGAGAATTCTAGAAATTGAAAGTCTTTTAGACCACTCAGTCTTATCTAGCGGAGACGAAGACAGAGTCCTTTCTAGCTTGACATGGGGTAGAGCTTAGGTAGGGTAGATTAGGGTAGGGCTTCGCGATGACGAGGAAAAAGGACGATGGGGGACTGTGAGGGCCTTCCTTGGTCGTGGCCGTCCTCAGCAACCCCAGAAGAGGTTGACACCAGTGGACACGGCGGAAAGAGATAGGCAATTGCGCGCGATGAGGCAAGCTCATAGGAATAGACAACTCGGACCTCATCTACCGCAGACGCCGCATAATATGCAGTATCCTCAGCAAGGGCCGATGGACCAGCTTCTGCAACGTCCCTCACCATTGCGATACCACAACCCGCTCGTTACGGACCCTCGGACAGACGCGCCCCGGCAAGCTGACGCGCTTGAGATCGCCGAAAAAGTCTTCGCTGGCCATAACACAAAGAGTCTGAACGAGTTGGACATCTCTCTGCGTAATCATGAAAGTTTTGGCCAGGACTTGATCGGGAAAAACAAGTTTCGAATTTCGGCCACGTGCGGAAGCAACGGGGACTTTCGAACAGCGTTGGAGCACTATGCGTCGCAACATATGAACCTGGCCAACGATGAAAGAGAAGCACGATTGCGCGGAGAGTTATGGTCAGCTTTTATCTATCTGTCTCGGAATTTTTATCTTGAGCTCACCCTTTTGCCCTGTTGTTTTCTCATCATATAATTCGTTTTGTCGAAATTTTGCGTCTATCACGATCGACCTTCAGCATGATGGAGTCGAAAACGTTTTTCGAAATCTTTCGTCTATCACGATCGATCTTCAGCATGAGGATCTGTGAAATTGTCCAGTGGTGAAATGAGTGTTCAGTTCTGACAGTTGGGTTTCCTGAGTAAAAGGCGTCCGCGATGTCACAACTCTCGATGTCACAAGTGACCTACTTTGTATGAGCATTTTTCATTGACATTGAGTCGCTGGAGTGGTCCTGATAATTTTTTGTTGAGTCGCTGGAGTGGTCCGGAGTTGGAGATCCACATCTATGGGAATGCAATGTTCTCGTGAAAACAGCCGCGTGTAAAACAGTGTTATTTATTTACAGGAGAGAAAGATAGATATATTCTTCGTTATAATTTTCTTTTTTTGAGAGCCCACTCCTATCCTATCGTAGAGGATGAAAATGAACGAACTGACGTGGGTGCTGTGGGAACTGAGCGTTGAGTCTGAGAGTCTTCTCTTGAATCAAAATTTTGAATATGCGACCTCTAACGCCTAACGTACTAGAATCCCCTATACTACGAATGTACTGTATTGGGTTGAACATTTTTTCATTTTTCCCAAAAATGTTTTGATTTCCCCTCTTGATGTTGTACTTACAGCTGAGTATTTGAAAGGTATGGAGTCCCACCTCGTGGCTATAATGTCGACTATTACAACCATTAGATGACGACGATAGAGGCTTCCTCTTTCTTCCACGAGCACAGTAAACTTTTCTAGCACAATCAAGGTGAACGACGACGATAAGAAAAAGATTCCTAGGTATTGCGGACTCATCAGTGGAGACTATGGCACAAGTTTTTTCCTATCGATTGGGAAGAAGATTGTTTGATATTTTGCAATACAGTTGTACCAACATTAATTTTTATTGCATTCAACTAGTCGTGACCCGAGTGTTTAGTTGCTAAGAGGAAAGGCATAGACGACAGAGAAAGGAGGGCAACACTGCTAGGGACTGGAAGAAGAGCAGAGAAGGGCGGGCGGCGGAGGATAATCCTCTAAACCCTAGGATAATCCCCTAAACCCTGAGGATAATCCTCTAAACCCTAGGATAATCCTCTAAACCCTGGAGGATAATCCTCTAAACCCTAGGATAATCCTCTAAGCCCTGATGATAATCCTTAAAGCCCTGACTTTAGACTTCGACTCTTGCCGATTGTTATTATATAAGAGGAATTAAGTAGAAAATGTCGTCTGCGTCGTCGTCCGAGCAGGACGCTTCTGAGCAGTCGGCGGGGACTAGACGGGTCGTCTCTCGGTCCGACTGGGACCGCATGGTAAAGGAGCTAACGCCATCTCCGATAATCGAAACTGTTAAACTTGTTTGTGTTATGGTAGAATAAGATAATTCATGACTTTCAAAAACATCTTGCTAAGCAGGTCTTCCTTCTAAACGCGAGGGGAAAGCCGACCAAGAAGTGAGGGACGCCATCCTTCCATGCCCTCTTCTGATTGATCTCTTCTTTTGTCACAAGCTCACTATCAAAGAAGATGTAGTTTTTTGTGTACGTTTTATGACCTGACGAGCCTTCCTCATAAACGCTCTCTTCTAATCCGAGCAGCCTCCTCCTTGTGAGTTTCGGATGGTACTCAGCGTTAAATATGGCTATCTGCGTCGGCTGGGAAGCACTCGACAAACGGACAGTAAAGATGGTTTTATGGCAAACGGAGGACAGTCTATAGTAGATTGTATATACCACGCCATTAATGGACCAGATGTACTAGAACTAAATGGGACGACACCATGATGATGATTGGGAGGCGTCCTTTGCATCATCCTCTGAGGCTATCCTATGCGACTTATGCTGTCGTATCCTAAAATCATGCTATCCTAGTACTGTCTACTGGGTGTCTCATGGTAATCATCATCCGCATCATTGCGCTTTTCAAGTATCTCTTTGGGATCGTAATCAGCTAGAACAAGTCGTGTCCGACCTAATGACTGAAACTCGCTTCATTATAAGTAGACCCAACCGCTCAGCAGGGAAGATCTTGCTATTGATGATTTGACTCATTGATTGAGGGACTGACTTGTTGAGCGCAGCCATACGTGTACCAGAACATAGGCTCTAATTTTTCCACTCTTGCAGATATGCTCTAATTTTTCCACTCTTGCAGAAACTCACGGTCCAAGTCGGCTTATGAATCTTAATGTAGAATGTGCTCGGAAGCATTGAACTTATTCGAAAACTCAAAATAAGCGAGCTACTGACTGAAATAAGAGAGGCTTGACTACATTCCTCTTCTTTCAGTATCTCGCTTATTTTAAGTAGTTACTCGCTTATTTCAGTTTATCGAATAGATTCATTGCCTCTAGTTCAGTCTCTCTCTCCAGCTACCTTGAAACAGTTCATCTGCGAATGAAATTCCCACTTACCCATTCCTGGATTTAGGGCAGGCCTATTTTTGACATAGAACTATGGTGTAGAAAAATCAAGTGTCGTCTAATCCTAGATATGACTTGGACGAAGGGGTTGGTGCGAAACGATGCGGATGGATTCGTTATACCGACATTTCTGTGGCTAGGCATCTTACTCCCGTCTTGGTTCTTCTACGAGCTGTGGCGTGCCTACGTTTACTTAAGGCTGGATCTGATCATCAGTACATCAATTATCAATCTAGGACAACATACAATGTTCTTGGGAAGTGAGAAGTACGACGTAGTTTTGGTCTTTTTTAGGCTGCAGTGCGCGACTACTTGAGGTCATTTATATGTGTCTTCCTGCTTCGACCGCTCCTGTGTGCGAGTTGTAATATGTACGTCTTGTTCGTCATCTTAAATAGTCATAGTGTAGGCTTCTAATTTGAGGCTTTTCTTTTCCGCGTGTAATTCTGTACAACGCAGTCCGGTTGGGGCCGATGTATTGCAATTTCATGTACGTCTACGTACTGGCGCACAAAGAGGGGCATCTGAATTTAAGGAGACATTTTCATTTCATCTATTCTTTTTCTTTACTCTCCTTTAGAAACACAAAATATGAAGGCTCTCCGTCTATTCTGTATTCTCCTTTGGAAAAACGAAAAGAAGTAGAATCAATGTTGCAGAGGAGTTTTAGCCAACTACTTCTATTTCTGTAGACATAGGAGCTTCAGTGAGGGTGTAGGAATTGGATACTGGAGGAAAGCTGTTAGCGGCCATAGCCCATATTAATAGATCACGGACAAGAACAGCGAACAACTTGTTCCAGATGAAGATATGCATAACGGAAACCGCTAATACACGGAAACTTGCTGCAGCTTTGGCCAGCCTCTCTTTTGAGAGGAACATTAAGGCATAGAAATTACACGGAAACGCATTCAACACTTATACACAGATAGTATAGTATTCAACACTTACACACATAGAATTCACACAGATAGTATAGGACTGTAATTAATTGATTGAAAGGGTGGCAGCATATAGTCCTAACGCAAAAAAAAAAAATGTAGCGGGTGCTAGGAACAGCATCATCAGGGATACACACGTGGCATGTAGCTACGAGTCAAGTTGCTTGCCCGATTCTAACCTCGTGACTGGGTTTACTACTACTACGATTACTTCTACTTCTACTATTACTATTAGGATACTTTAGGATACTCGTTGATAGTTGCCCTTTTCTCTTTTATATCTTCCTCTGTCTGGTCTGTCTTTTTTCTAGTTAGGTCGGCTCCACCACAACTATTGCTAGTGATGATTCACCTCTCACCTTGCCCTTTTCTAATGCGTAACGGAATCTCCAAGGGATTTGCTGCGGTGATCAAATACCCCTTCAACCACTGGGTCGGCCTTTTTCACGGTGTCGTGCCTGGCGCATTCACGTACTCACACGTCTACAATCATCACAAGTACAGCAATGGATACCATTATGGGACGATGAATATTACAGTTGTTACAGAGATCAATACCCTTACGAATGATTTTCTACCTCCTGTCCTGTCCTAGCGCAGATGTGGTAATGTGTTTCTCGCAATCTAGTTCTGCGTGATGTCTACTACCTGTGGTCGGCGATTTCTCTAAGCTGTGGATGTTTATTGTACGCTGTATCGACCGCGAGATAGCTTTGCGAATTTTGTGCGGTATTTGCCTTGTTGGCTGAGCTACTCGACGAACCTGAGCACTATTTTTATGGATCATGGATGCAAGTACTTAGTACTGTGGTTTTTAACATGATCGTTGCTGGTTCTTTGGTGATGAAGAGCGGCCACAGGGGTAGGACTATCTAGCCTTTTTCATGTGCTCAAGGATAGCCATGAAAGAGGCGCCATGACGTTACCGTAGGGTCGCGTGACACGCCGTGCACCGCATTCTTGTTAAAATCGAGTACGTCACCAGCAGCTAGTATTATTGCCTTTGCTCCTACCGGCAACCAATTGTGATTCTTCTTGATGATTTTAGCGCGCACTTCATCGTATCTCGACGTTCTAATGTCCATGCCTTTTGCCAGGAGGGCCGTTATCGATGGGCGACCCACGTGGCGCTCTACACCTCTGCCTATTGGGCCTTCGTTGCTGTCTGTGTCAAAATCGCTCCCCTCTTATGAAACGGAAAAGGTGTACTCATCCTCAAGCCAGAGGATCTGCTGAGGAACGGATATCGGATTTAGGCATTTGTTTCTAACTAGTAAACAGCCGTAGCCGTTTTGGCTCAAGGAAGCAATATCAACTTTTGTGACCTTGTTGCCCATCCAAAGAACCCTGCTACGAGAAAGTTCTTCCCCTAGCAGCAGCTATCGGAACATATCAAAGGAGTCTTCATTCAGCCTACTCATGGACGAATTCCTACACCAGGGGACTCCGCCTCTTTATTTCTTAGGTAGCATCCTCCATGAGACATCACGAGTACACTTTCTCCTGTCATACCTCTTTGCACTCTCCACTATTGTTTTTGCCTTCTTTGAAGCTAGTACACTGTTAGCCCTTGTGAATCTGGTGTGGCACGGCTTCGTGGATGAGCGCGACCCGTCAAACGAGTACGTGAATAGCACCACAATTGTTGTTAAGGCAATTACCACAAACAGAGGGCATCCTCTAGTCCAGCCGCATGATCCTCGGCGCTCTTTCTCAATGGGAGGAAATGATCTCTATCGGCCTCAGCATCAGGATCTCTATCGGCCATTTTCCTAACTTAGGTGGAACAAGACGCCCATGGTCATGCTGTAGGGGAGGCGAAGGATCATGAGTAGGTGTAGCTCTAATGTTAACGGCTTGAATTTCACTCTGAAGGAAGAGTATCACGTCGTGCATCACCAGTACCCAGGAGCTCACTGGACGAAGCACGAGGAGCTATACGAGAAACATCTGAACAGCTATACGCTGAAGGCGTTGTTAAGGGTTTCCACCAAATTACATTCCCCAGTGCTAAACCATCCTTGGCTTTTTGTTTCTAGAAGAGAATAAGACAAGCCAAGGAAGAAGTTCTGAGGAATGTAATTCTCTAACGTTGGAGAGGAACAGCAATGCCAGTCCAGGAGGGTCGCTGAAGAAAACAACGAGCACAGAAGTAGATATTGCGAGTACGAAAGCTTCAGAGTCAGACGCATCAGAAAACGCTCTAGAAGAAGAACTCTCTTCAGGAAGCACATCGCCTGATCGCTTTATGCTTATAAACTGTTGGCACTTTATTTTGTTCGCTATCGTAGTTTACAACCAGTTTATTAGCGTATCTTGATGTAAGCTCTAAGTCGCCTTGGCGTCAAAAGATACCCCCAGAACAGGTAAATGAATGAATGAATGAATGTAAGTATTGGCATTGAGATCACTCAACATTTTCACAGTCATTCATCTAAGAACATGCGGAGTCGGAAGGAGCCATCCCCCTCAAGTAAACAGGCGTCCGACAAGAAGGCGCCCTCAAGCAGTTAAGGATATCCATCTCCTAACTAATACCGTTACAGTCACAAATAAGTAGATGATGTCTGTAGTTGGATCCATTATTCAACTTCAACGCTTACGTGAGAAGTCCCTAACACACAGAGAGATATGTGAAACAATATCTTCTCTAGGATAAGTAGCTATAGGATCTCGCTATAGTATCTCGCTATAGGATCTCGCTATAGTATCTCGCTATAGGATCTCCCTATAGTATCTCCCTATAGTATCTCCCTATAGGATCTCCCTATAGTATCTCGCTATAGTATCTCCCTATAGTATCTCCCTACAGTATCTCCCTATAGTATCTCCCTATAGTATCTCCCTACAGTATCTCCCTATAGTATCTCCCTATAGTATCTCCCTATAGTATCTCCCTATAGTATCTCCTCTAGGATAAGTAGCTAAGTGGCACATCTCCTGTAGGCTCTAAGGAATTAGCTACTGTCGTTCGACGCGTCGTGGTGGACCGATAATTGCTACGGGCTTCGAAAAAGAGAACCTCTTCGAAATTTTCGGGATGATGTGCGCACAGGACTACATGAAACTGGCGTCGCTTTTCTATCAGCCGTTCAATTCCGAGACGAAGTTTTCGCAAGAAGAGCTGGCGGAATTGATAAAGTTAAGATGTGCTTGAGGTTTGACCCAAGAACAACATGTCGCCTCAACATCGGCTATTACCTATTGATGGACCCTTAGTACTTCCAGTGTACTTCTAATCAAAACCCGTTTACGAGCACACGGACCGGAGCTAGCGCTACGAACAGCGGGAATCGTGCCAGATGTTGCGTAGCTTGTGCCAGAAATATAATGTGGATGGAAGTGTAGTCACTTTTCCGAAGAAGGGCTAGGTTTCCTATTGAATATTTTACTCTGATTTTTTGACTCAGTTGTAACTTCGAAGATTGAAGATGTGGTGTCTATTTTCCATCTGGCGACATACTGTATAGCCTATCCCTTTTACTTTTGGCGCACCTTACAGCCTATCATTTCTACTTCTGAAGATCTGATCACAGCCTGTAGAATCTTGTGCCTCTAGAATCTTACTACTTTTTACCCTCCAGCTGTATGTAGCGTACACTTTTGTGGTCTTCTATTTTACATCTCTCTGATAAATAATTTCTCTGACTCTGATGATCATGCACCTTAGGTTATCCTTATCTCATTCACCATCCTATTCATTACACCATGTAGTGCAAGGGGAAATTTGTACTTATTGCCACTTCGTACTATCCCCCTTGCTGCGGGTGATTTTCCTACAACGAGGCCCTGCTAATCTAGTCCGTAAATTCAGATACGAGGCAAGAATATAGTAGATGCCCTGCTAACATACGCGTTAAGGTTCTTGCTGCGGGTGATTTTCCTACAACGCGGCCCTGCTAATCTAGTCCGTAAATTCAGATATGGGGCAAGAATATAGTAGATGCCCTGCTAACATACGCGTTAAGGTTATAAGATAACATGGAAATGAATAGTACACGCACCTGCTTAAACTTGTATTGTTAATACCAGGCTAAAAAGCGTACTAGATTCTGCTGCCTCGCTCTAATAGGTTCGGTAGATGAACGAGGTGGGCAGACTTTACAGTACAGGCATCTGTGAGCTAAAAAAATGCTTCGAGACTCATCTAGGAGGACAATACCTACAATTCCCCTCCCTGTCCCACTTACGACATTCTTTTTCATTTTCGTCACTATCTATTGACTAAAGATACGCCTATCCTTAACCTTACAGATACCATCTGTTTCATATTCTGTGCTAACTAAGGCTGATAGCATGACCTGAAGTTCTTCGTGTGCAGTTGATGACAAACCGATATGATGTGACGTGGGTGTTTCTTCGAGATGTTACAGAGCTGTTGCTCTAGATCGATGATAATGGCAACTTCACGAAGAAGTAGCGAAGTCAGTTTTGCTTCAGCGTTGCTGAAGCACGCTGCATGTGAAATTTTGAAATTTTGACACCATGATTTGCTTCCGCAAGAAGGCGCGTCATCAATCTTTCTGAGAATCCATCATGACTGACCTGCACAACCGCAACCGCGGGATAGCAGTGCTGCTTGAAACTAGGAAACTCCTGCATAAGCAGGATATCATCAAGGCGCAAGCAGAAATGAAGAAATCCAGTACTAGAAGATAGAATCGGTCTCATCGTCTGGCCCTTTGTGCTCATGATTTCGTCCTTGATAATTAACTCCCACATCCGTGATCAATCTGTCGGTGCGTGTAGTGTGCCCTATGAATGAATGAATAATGTTGCCTCTGTACAACTTGGTCTTGTCTCCGTAAAAAATCTTTGATTGGTGTTCAAGTGCATGGATCGTGCAGCAATTGAGAGAGAGATTTGTTGTCCCTGAGACCCTAACCAAGTAAATTGTAGTGATTGTCAGGAACGCGTGTACGAAACAAAGGAGAAGACACTGCTCAACAGATATATAGACCTCTTTCTGGATGTCCCTTCATGAAAGATTGAGAACACTTTCATGTTGCATAATTTTTAGGCCACTGGGCGAAAGAGAAGAGTCAGACGAAGGCAGAAGTGGCAACCTCGTGGGGAGAAACGACGGACGTTCTAAGAAAATCATTTCTTTGTAGATATAGACGTGATGTCATCACTCTAGTGATCATCGATCACTTCTTCCAACTACGTTGTTAGTGTCAAGATCTGATGTAGTTCTCAATGGAGTTTAAACTTTCCTATGAAATGAAGACTTTTTCGGATATCCTCCGGCTCTTTTTACCTTAGTTGGAAGGGTAGACTCATTTACCACGTTTTCTCTTTCCTGACAACAACTTTTTTTACTCTCTTGCGTTCGCATGTTTTGATTTCAAGTACCCGCATACTTTTCCGATCGCTAACTCTAATTTTAATTTCTCGTGATTGTTTGATCTATTTCTATCTATATGTTAAAGTTTGAATTTGACTCCTGCTTCCGCCTGTGTTGATCCATTGTATCGTTCTACTGGGTAAATACGAACCTTTTCCTCATCGATTTGATATCAGATTTCCACCATGCAAAGATGGGTTCACGAGGCTTCTTCAACTCCCCAAGCTTCTTTGGAAGCAGGGTTCCGCCAGGGACTAGCAGTAGCAATGGAGTGCGGACTTCGTCGTCTGGTGCTCCGACTTCACGTGCGGGGGACGACCCTGACGATGAGCTCGGAAAGGAAGAGCAGGAGCGCAGGGATCAGGCCTTAGCTGAGCGACTGCAACAGGAACAACAAGATGAGGAGCTAGCATTGAGAATGCAGCGAGAGCAACAAGAGGATACGCTTTTTCATTAAGGGTTAGTTTCCACATTACATGCTCCACTCACATCCTGGGCCTTTTACTTTGAAGAGGAAGATAGTCTATCTCGTGATGTGTTGAGGAATGTAATGCTAATGCTACAGCCTTTAACTCCAAGAAGCGCATGGAGTTCGAGATGGACCAGGGATATCCTCGTTCGGGCCGCATCAGACAGCCAGCTCAATGATGCGGCCCAATCAAGGGATGATGACACCTCAGTTAAGAACACCACAGTTAAGAACACCTCATTTAAGAACACCTCATTTAAGAACACCTCAGTTAAGGCTAGAAGTTTTTCATTAGAAATATCGTTACATGGGGTCCAGAGGCTTTTCATGGGTGTTAGAAGCGGTTAATCTCCCTCGTCTTTTTTGTCTCCACTGAGTAGGGATATCTTCGTAACTGAGGAGAAAGTGCTTGGTAGCCAATATTCTGCACACGAAGATGCCTTTTCTTGGGAGAGTTCTAGAACTAGAAACCGCACTGCCTCCAAATCTAATACTATCGGGACCAACATTGAACGCAGAGACGCCAAGTAGTGCGCACGGTGCCCGAACGCAGAACGTTTATAATCCCTACGGTGGGACGAGTATGGAGGAGGCTACTTCTTCTAGAGGAACAGCTGCGAGTCGAGGACCTAGTGCCATGACGACTGGTAATCAACACCAGCATACTTCACCATCTATTCAAGGGGGAGCTCGAGGAGGTACTTCTTCAAGTAGCGCGACAAGAAGAGCAGCTTCTGGGTCTAGCACGGCTAGAGGGACATCTTCAGACGACATGGTTTATGTGGCATGCGAATTCCATACTGCGAACATGACTGTAGAGATGATGGTCGATACCGGTGCGCAATCCAGCGTAATCTCCAGACCCCTGATGGAACAACTGAAATTGGAGGGTCTATTGAACAGGAGGAAACAGTTAAGGAAGACATGACTATACGGATGTTCACATACTTTTTTGGAATGGAAAACGCAAGAAGTTGTTGATCGTACTCGTATTTTGTATTTTGACAACTAATGGTTAGTAGATTTCGCTCTCTAAGTAACGGCGTAGCAGCTGGTGTGGGCACAGCGAAGATAATGGGTCACCTGGAGCGCGTGCCAGTCACATTGGGGCACGTGGAGTTCACCTTGGACTTCGCTGTTTTGGATGTGGCAGAGTCCTTGCTCATGCTAGGTATTGACCAGATGCGCCGGTTCAAATGCATCGTGGATTTAGAGCGCGACGTCTTGGTATTTGGCGGACGAGATGGGGTGGAGGTGCCGTTTCTCATGGGGCAACCAAAGCCAACTGCGCGACTGGTGTTTGCACGCGGGGCCAGTGGGTCGGAGAATCCTGGCGCATGTGAACAGATGTGAGCAGGGGTTGGCACTGTTGGCTATGCAGAGACCTTCCCCTTCTCTCTGGAACATACATATAACGCAACAGCCTTTGATTAGGTTGCATAGACACGCACGCACACTTGTCATACTATGGTTGTACGCTCAAGAAGACGAAACTCGTAAAGAATGTTCAAGACGAAGAGGAAGTATCAAGCTGTCTAAAGCCACCTAAGAAGTATCGGTCTTCACATATATGCGAAATCGGTACTAGAGTGACATCTACTAAACTGATTTGACGCGGCTTGGACATCTTCATCATCTTCAGCAGACGATATACATTGCAAGAGTGAGTTAGAGCGTGAAAACATCATAAGTAAAGGTATATGAAGATAGCTGCTGGTTACATTACAGTAATCCCCTTTGCCCCGAACTGATCCTATTCATTGCTCGATGTTTTGAGAGTCACTTTGTAGCCCCCACCTGTGTTGTTGTTCCCGACAGTTTTCACCTGATCTTGCCCACGCATTCTTTCTTCCATCTTCTCGTAGTTTGTCAATCTACCGCCGACACTCTCTTCACTATGGTCAACCACCAGGCTCTTCCTGTGGCTAAAGTGCTCTCTCTAGCAATAGACATTGCTGGCGAAATCGCCTATTCAACGCAGGGATTCGAAGACTCCACCTATGGACGTAATGCGTCTTTTTCGCATTCATATCATCAAGGGACCCAGCGGCAGCACCTGGTCGAAGAAAGTAGCAGCCACGATTTCTCTAATGATCATTCGGGGCACAGCTACAGTAAAGAAGAAGAATTAAGAGGACTTGAGAAAATCGATCTTCGTCAATCAATGCCTTGGTTCCTTTGTGTTTGATAAGGGGTAAACACAGAATCGGCACCAAGATGCCGACCGAGATGATTTTGGGCAAGGTCTAAGACTAAACGAGAGCCGTGGCTTACACCTATTGTCTAGAGAAAAAAGCACGAAAACAGTTGTAAGAAAGGAGAATTTATTTGATTGGACCAATAAAGAAGACAGTAAAACAAGTACACTTCGCATATCGCCGCCTGTTTCGCCGTACTGGGATCTATGGGCCAGTGAAACTAATTGGGGGTATATCGGAATATTTCTCTGCCTTTCCAGTCGGTGCGCGACAACCCTTGGCTTGATTCTATACCGGAAGGGGGATTACATTTACGACAGTAGTTTACTAGAAGGCTCCTGAGTGAACAAGACAAGTAGTAATAATGATGGGCGTCCTCTTACAAACTTACTCCATAGAAATACTGACTTTGAAAAGTCCTAGGTAAACGTCATTAATAATAGCGGGGACAAGACAAGTAGTGCACAGTCGTTCTTTCATAAGAAGCGTTCTTTCATAAAAAAAAAAGATATAGATGAAGTCGTAGTATTAACTACAAGAGCGAAAAATGATTGGCTCGGGTACTTAGTTCATTCTCCGATTTTTGGTTCACTTATATTCTCGGTTATACTTTCTCACGTTGCTTCTGTCGTCTTCTCTTCTGAGGGCAAAGCGCATCGCATAGTCTAGGGACTGGTACGCTAGCCAGTGGTAGACTCCTTGATGATGATTGGGGAGGAGCTTCAACTCTAATTTAGTTTCGGCGCGATACTCCGCTTTATTGGTCAATGCGTGCTAATGCCAGCGGCGTTGAGCTTGTGTCCCATGAGTCTTATTGCGTTGCTGCAACCCACCGCGTTAGTGTTTTCGTCTCTGTTGTCGCCACTTATACTTGGGGAGAAGCTGGAAGCGTACTGGCTATAACAGTAGGAGGAGACTGCGGTTATTACACGTTACAGTTACATCAAGTTACAGTTACATGATCAAATCAAAGACGCATAACTGCGTGAGAAGCTCCTGGCCTATGAAGATGAAGATATGATTTAATGATCACATCAATAATTACACTACAGGCACCACCAATGGAGTAGCCTCTGGATCGGTGTGGGATGCGTTGTAGCGGCAACGTGGGGCAGACGAGAGACAGTTGCCGATGGCATATTATCACCTGATACAATAGTCGGCAACTTCAAGAACCCGATTTTTCTTCTGGTGTCCGGTGTAACGCTGACGAGTATCTTGATTAAGGCTGTTGTGTTGGGTATCAAATTATTTGCTGACCAAGGTGGAGAACGCGAGTGAAAATTTAATGAATTGACAAGTAGAATTGTCAAGTTGTTTAACGACATATAGTACTTGAAGAATGTTACTTGTTGTTTAATACCTCTAATGTAAGCAACATCTACCTCTAATGTTCCTTCGATCGCGCTAAACGAAAACCTGCGTGTATTATTGAGGCAGACATGGAATCTTGAACGCAATGGGCATCTTCCGAAGCAAGATTCGGACGAGAAGCGACCTGTTGCAGAGCCAGAACCGGAGGATGCCGAGTCAACTCCGAGAGGTCGTGGTTCGCAAGTACATCAAGACGATACGTCAATAACTTCCACGCGTGTCGTTCCATGGGAGCAAGTTTTGCTGCAGGGCGTTTCCGCGATTTGCGGAACCCTTACCAGTATTTAAGGTTTCTTTTTCAGGTCAGTTAGGGATGGGAATATCCTTACTTGCAATATCTATCCTTACTCTCTAAATTGACTGTATTAAGTGCCTTGCGGGTGTGTGGGCATACCGGAAACTGCATGGATCTGACTCGCAAGAAATAGGCCTCTTCTTTGCTTGGTTGCTAGTGGGCATTGTGTGCTCCGGATGCTTGGGGTTTGTTATGGTACTACTTGTTTTAGGGTTCTTTGTTTGTACTGTTACTACAGTTCATGCAAATATCCACATCACTTTCTTTTAGAGGTGTGCTGCAAATCTTGATTGGCTTTCACCTTTTGGTGAAGGTTTAGGCCCAGCGGCGCTCAAAGCACTAAGTATTAAGACAACCGGTTAGTTTTCACCTCGACAATATTAGACTTATCCCGTGCAGCAACATCTTCCTCAACACAACTGCCACTTCCACTTCCACACCAGCTCTCCGTCGCAGCAGAACGGTTCCCCTCCTTAACCGTAGTCTGTGTGGATAACGCTCTCAGTGTAGTGGTGCAAGCGCTACTTGGCATAACTTTTTTCCAGGAACACTGGAGATTCACTTATGCATCAGCTATTGGGACTACGGCGGCTTAAGGTCAACAGTTAGTGTCCATCTCTCTCGGCATCTTTGTGCCCTTTTGTTCCCTTGTATTTATTCATGGGGAGCAAAGGGGTCGAGATGAGGGTTAGCGAGATGGGAGGTAAACGCTGACTCTAAACGGCTATGTGTCTCAACCTACTGGGAGTTTACATCCTCTTCACTGCTAGTAGTGGTAGTAGTATTGGAGGTAGTAACACCACGGAGGCGGATGCGGAGGGATTATGCTTGGGGGGCGATGTTGACATGAGTAAAATTAGTTGCAAGGAGGATAGCATTAGCAAGCTAGAAGAAGATGGATGATCCGGTTGTAGAAAGGTTGTAGAAGGGTCTGGTTGTCTAGAAATCACTTATATCCCCTCTTTCCTCCCCAAATCCATTTAGTACTAGTCGTCCTTGGGCGGTGATCGAAGATCTCCATGTCATTGCTTCATTCAGATTGAATATTCACGTACTGATACGGCGCGACATCGTTGTATAGTCATATTTCATATCCTGGAGTGGAAAACTTGCTTAAGAACACCGACACCAGAATCATCGCGCAAGGTTCCCTCATTGCGCCATAGTGACAGAGCTGTTCAACCCAGAGTCTGGAGCAATTCTTGAATAGATGCGGCTTTCATTAAATGAGTGCAAGAGAAGCAGCTTTTCCAAGAATATTTCGATTTTTGCAGCACTAAGATATCGGTTACTGACGATGCGCCGCGCGTTGCGTGCTTGCCAAAAGTGAAAAGGAAATACACTGCAGGAGGCAGAGTGATATTGGTTAGAAGTACTTTTTGCATTTTATGTCGTGAGTTTGTCTTTCTCCGTTTCCGCCGGAGATCCAACTGTCAAATTCTCATCCAGCACTCTTTCTGGGCGCTCGAAATTGCAAAATTGACCTGCTCAATATCAGGATGGGAGTGTGCCTAATTTGCTAAAATTCAACTGTCAAACTCTCATCCAGCACTCTCTTGCGGAGGTCGAAATTGCAAATTTGACCCGACCAATATGAGGGTAGGGGTATACCGAATTTGCGGAAATTTGATAGCCTATTCGTCTTGTAGTAATCTTTCTGGGCGCTCGAAGCAGCAAAATTCACAGACGACGAAGGAACAGCTAAGATAGTGAGACGAAATAATGACGCTAATTTTTGGTTGCATACTGCCCTTTGGCTTCGAGTGGTTGGCAGCTGGTGGAGGTTTATATAACACATCTAACCCACCTCCTCTTTCCCTAGTTTTTCATCATTTTACAGTCGGCGGGTTCGTAGGCAATTAGTGCATTCGTAATATAAGGAGGCTAATATACTCCACCTGCCGCCGGTTTGCGAACTGGATAAAACTGGGGTCACTCTTCCGACGGTCGTAGCCTACAAAAAAAAGATAAGGCCAGGGTGGAGCGCATGAAAGGACCTACCGTGAAGATTTCCGTAAGGAGGATAATAAGAGCATTGCTACGTATGATGTAAGTATCCTCGTCCATAAAAATGTCAACATCGTCGCCCTTTGAGATAGTCCCGTTGCCTGCGGGTGATTTCGCATAATTGAGGGATACTCGTTCTTTCACCATTATGGAGAAGGGCCAAGACATGACGGCAATGGAGGACACCCCTGAAGATGGCGGCGCACCTTCAGTAGGAGCAGTGCCACATGAGGATAGGGCACAAGGTAATGAGGGTCAAAGCAGCAGCAGTAGCAGTAAAGGTATGCTTGTTGAGCAACAAAGAGAGCATGATGAAAACGGAACAGCTCATCAAGATACAACACCCGCTCATCAAGATACAACGAGCACTAGTAGCAAATCTCCACTAAAAACGGAGAAAGAGCAGGAAAAAGAAGAGCCACAAGCTGCTGACGAGGATGCAATATCATCGGAGGATGAGGATGGGGAGGGAGACGATGCACCTATCAGACGGTTAGAACCTCAAGATCTGGAGGATAATATGGAGTTGGTGATGGGTGACACCTTTCACCACTACTACATATCGACGACATGGACGGCCGCGTGGTATTACAACTATGAAACATGGGTGAAGAAGTACCAAAAGGAAAAGGCATGAGAAGAAGAACTACTAATACCCGCAAGCTGAGTGTAAATTTCAATACTAATACCCGCAAGTAAATTCCAATACTAATACACGCAAGCTGCTTGTGAATGCCTTGAAGTAAATTTCAATACTAATGCCCGCAAGCCGCTTGTGAATGCCTTGAAGTAAATTTTGTTGAACTTACGGGTTTATGTATGTTCTAGAAGACGTTCGAACGTCGGGGAATCGAACTGTAACTACTTCTAACCTACGCTTGCCTATGAGGGTTTCATCTCTGTGCGGCATGGCAGCTATCTACTACCTGAGATCCAACGTGCTTACTGCGTCTTGCACTTCGAGAATATGCATATTGGCAGGAAAACACGAAGACTTAAGAAAAATGGTACTTATTTTCGAATAGGTAGGCAGATGAACAGGGTCGTTGAGGTTCTTGGCCCGCATTACCATTACTTAGTGGCTTTTCAAGTTCATCAACCATTGCTTACTGGTGTTTTTTTTTAATTTCAGCAATACAATATCCACAACAAAAGGTTACCGCCTCTACAACAATCGAAATTGGAAGTTGTGCGTTTCGAAAATCTGTGACTACTGGGGTTCCCAAAACTGGTTTAGCCAGCAGTATGCGAACCTTGTGCGGGTCGCGGGGCTAGAGAGCAGCCAATACACCAATACGTTGAAATTAGTTCCGCATTCGATCGAGCTATACGACGAACATGACACTTAGGAGGGGATTGGGCAAGTAGGAAACTCCTGTGTTGTCTAACTTAAAAAAATTTGTAGTTGATGTGGGCACGAGAAGAGTATTTATTCCCTGCATTTGATTGACGAGATTTCTATTTCACATTAGCTCGAGAAGATGCGAAGCGTGGGCGTACTAGGATGAGAATTTTCAAATGTTTCATGATCTTCACTTCTAACCAGAATTAATCGCAGGAGAATGCGGGTACAGCATAGGATCCGTGTACACCTCGCTCACCGGCTTCTGCGATAAAAGTATAGCGAATGGGGGTTTGTTCCAGATGTATTATCTAGGAAAATGGTTGGAGCGAAGTGGATACGCCTTCTGGAACCTAGGTCATCCTCCGAGACCGCCTAAAACGATGAAGTACAAAGCAGACCTAGGTGGAGTCGTGCTGAATCGAGGAGCGTTTTTGCCACTTTGGTTAAGGCTAAATACATACTGAGTAAGGGGATCTGCGTGAGGACTAGCAGAACTCGGCTATTGCTTGAATTATTGCTTGATGTAGTTGTAGTCTAACAAGTTTTCCAAAAATGCATCTCCAGTCGTCCTCGGGTTGATGTTTTCCTAAATTATATCTACTGAACTTACCCCCAGATTGGGTACACTACTACTACTCCTACTACTACTAATCCTATTCCTGCTGCCACTACTATCTAAGTTTGGGGTAATATCCTAAACTAATATATCCAGTCGTGGCTCTAATCTGACGCGCAGCGAGAAGTCAACCGCTTACAGGAGAGGGATTAGGACCAGAATTTGTGTGGTGGGATGGCTAGAGGAAGCGGGAACGCCAATGACGCGTCTGATATTGTCAGAGTCTAAAAGAAGAAGTTGCTATTGGTCGAATGCGGATGCGTTTGTGGACGAAACATGGTCTGACTTTTTCCACTCATTGATTCATTCGAAAGGACATGAGTTTACCTCTGTGTCTAAGTTTTGCTTCTAACTTGGCCAGGTAGGGCCAAACTTGAAGTACATGACCATGACCAAAACTGGCTGATGGTGTTGCTCATTTTGGTCGTGAGGCTGATGGTCGTGAGGCTGATGGTGTTGCTCAGCTTCCTTCGACTTCTTTTGTCCTCGTGTTGATCTCTGCGAACCGTCGATGAGCTCTAAAAAAGAAATCAGAGAAGGTGAAGGATTGCTTTCACGGAAAAAAGAAAGACTGTGTGCAAGAGTAGGATGCTCCTTAATTGCAATAATCTTCAGGGACTACGACTGACAACTTCTTTACACACAGTATAGACTGAGTAGAATTTAATTACACTAAATCGGAACAAGATCATAAACCAAAATGTCTTCCGGTGTATGGAGATTGTTCTCTGACGATGAAGCCTTCAGTGGAGGTGAGCTTCTCACGCAGAGGCGTCCACGTCCGAAGATATTAGAATTAAGGGTTTCCGAATTACATCCCTCACTACCAGTCTGGGCTCCTTTTCAAGGGGAAAATAGGTCAAGGATGTTCTGAAGAATGCAACTCGGCAACCTCTAATAGAAGGCAGTGACAACAAAGGCCCGCCTCGCGGACTGCTAACATTGCAGCTCTTACTGCTTTTCTCAGACTCCCTCCGATATATTTTCGTAATCGAAACCTTCGTTAGTTTACTTGCAAAATTTGCCATCTTCCCAGACTCGAGCAGCCTAAAAGAGACGCGGTTGGCGGAAGAACTCGTTTGTCTCATTGTATGAAGAAGGATGAAGACGTCAGTGTAGAAAATAGAACTAGTAGGCGAAAAAGTACATCATGTGCTAGTTGTGCCTGTTCTGTTGATACTGGAGGCAAAGGTAGATAAACTACTAGAAACTCCTCTTCATACGATTTCTTTGCATTGTATGGAGAAGGATGAAGACGTCAGTGTAGACGATGTTGAGACTAATTGAACAACTAGATGTCGTTCTAGTGGTACGACATCTAGTTGTTCACAATTATTTGAGGTAAAGGGTAGGCGTTGTAGAAACTACTTGTAGATGTAGTTATAAACTTCGACTGGGTTCTTCTATTTGTCTTATATATAAGAACAGATTCCTTCTCCTCTTCATATGATTTCTTTGCATTGCTAGAGGGATGGCGATTGGACTTCGGCTATGACGGCAACCAGACGGAGAGGACCAGCAGACTCGCGGTTTTTAACGCCTTTTCAGCAGTGCAGATTTTGATCGTCGGATTTTTCTTCACCAAGCAAGTGTATTTATGACATACTGTTGGAACTGTATCATCCCGCCGGTAGGCTTGAAGGACTACTTGGGATGCAAATGAATGAATAAGGGCATTCGTTGTGGGAGTTGACCTTGTGTCGGCTGCCATTTTGTCTCTACGTTCTTCCGTCTTCGTTATCCCAGTATGTAAATTGTTTGATTATGTAACAGACATGTTTAAGTGATTAAGAGGGCGGCGGCATATAGTCCTAACTCAAAAAAAATCTACGATAATCGCGAATAACCATAACAGGGACACACACGACATGACATGGACGACGCTAAAATACTTGAGAGTACTGAGTACGGGCGTAAGATTGACGAGAAGATACTTTTTAGCCATATTACAGGAAGACTCCGTGTTGTAATGACCCTCTACTACATGGTCGTTAAGGATGTATGTAGTAGAGGTCCATTACAACACGGAGTAAATTTCTTCGTGATCATGTAAATGTAATTTATTCCTCGTTGGCTTACAAGTTCTACTTGTTTCTGCAATTTATTGTCACATCGATTCATCCTGCCGGTAGGTGCAGCAAACCTATTTAGGATGCAAAAAAGACTCCGTGTTGCAATGAACCTCTACTACTAAATTTCTTCTGTATGTAAATGTAAATGTAAGTATAGTGATCGATTCTAAACCCCGTCCTCCGAATAGACGCATTTGTGTCTGGTTCTGTGCTTTGTGCGACGATCCTACAGGTTGTCATCACGATTCCAGCAGCCGCTAGGATGGGCATATTTGTCCCTTCGGAAGACAAAAAGGACTTATCATCTTATGCATGGAACATCTAGCCGTGTATCAGAGGACTGTCGTTTCATTCAAGAATGTTAGCTCTCTCATTTTTTTCAGCAGAACATGACTAGTCGTGTAGAAACATGACCGGTTTCACACAAGTTGTACGATACACCATAATAAATCTATCAATACCTCTAATTCCTTAGTCCTCAAGACTCCGGCAGTCCACCTGCGCATAGGCCTTACCAAGTCGGCGGAAATTTGGAGGTTTGGCTTTCTGCCGGTGCCTGCGTTTTTAGCACCTTCATCGTTTTTGTTGTGTATTGAATGTCTTGACGAGGTTTTGGGGGACGAGAACGAAGAGTATTGATTATCAGGGATAAAAACATGAAGAGAGGCGGTGCGTCTTGGCCGATCAACATTTCACGGTTATAATATTACTTTTGACTACTTTATCCATATGTCGAAGCAGGGCTCGCTGAAGAAAGACAAGGCTTCGTGGGCAGCGTTGAGCCTTTCCGCGAGTGATTCATGAAGCGGAACCGAAAGCATTGACCAAATTTCCAAGTGCATTGATATGGACAAAACCCATCCATGGGTGTGGAGTGCAGACTCTGGATTGCTGAGTGATACTAGAGTGGAGAGACTTCGCTTTAACCTACCTTCGTAGCTGATTGGAGCACGCTGTTCCTATGCTTTTCTTCTGGTAGCTCAGATCTGAACTTTTTCTCGGAAAAAAGAAAAAATGGCGTCCTCGAGCACGAATTCACTACACAGGCGACGCCGTAGCCTTATCATGACGGCATTTACCTCGCTGGGCTCTTTTCTTGCACCTGTCAACATATTGATCTCGTCGCTGCTACTTCTTCCAGCATCTGTTGTAGAAGCAACGAGTGGTTCAGGCTTAACAGCGGTTGCGCCAAGAGCCAGCTGTAGTGCAGCAGTACAGTGTAATGGGAACGGCGTCTGTGGACCTCTTGGTGGTGGGGATTTGTGCATATGTAATCCATTTTGTTATGACGAGTGGGACGTATTCATAGCCACTGCCATAGATGGTGATTGATACTCATAGTACCTACGCTCAAGGTCAAGATTTCTATTTAAGCATTGACTCTGCAGCACCGTCTGCTCTCGGTCTCCTTCTATGTGTGTTATGCATAAAGGTTCCTCAAGAAGGAAAAGCCTCTGAGGAGTCCACATTCATTATCCGGAAGGCATGTATTGTGAAACCAGAATTAGGGATATCAAAATCGAGTATGAAGGCGGAATCAGTGGTGGCGGGCTTGCGGGAATAGTGTTAAGGCTATCTTGATCTTTAAATATGGTAGCGCGAGAACGTATGATACGTGGATGGGGTAATATGATACGTATGATACGTATGATACTCCCTTCCAAGGTCAAGATGATACGGTATCATCTTGATCTTGGAAGAAGTATCGGCTAAGACTGCCTCGTCATATCTCTTACAGAATGAAATGAAAGCGGTCCTACAGGATGATCTAGAAGAAGTTCCAACTGGTTGATGTAGCTCCTCTTCAAAGAACTCTACAGAACTGCCTTTCACCTCCTTTTGTCAGAGTTCTTCTAATCCATGTCGGAAGCATCTTGATTATTCCCGCGACAACGGGAGTATTGCTCTTCATGATGGCGAGATCCGATTGTCTGGATGACTGATGAATTGATGTTGAAGCTCCTACTCCTAATGAGTTTGATGGAGTCCAAAAACAACCTTAGAGGACCTATTGAATTCCGTCTCCGTGTGGAGAACTACGACCGCTCCACTGTTACCGTGATGACATGATCGAGACAAAAATTCTAATCTGACCTTGGCTTAAGGTACGAATGAAATCACGTGTATGAACAACCTGCTCCAGTAGTCAATCATACTGATACATCAGGCACTGTGGAGGCTCAGTTACCCGCGACGGACTCGGGCTAGATCTGCTTGTTGCTCCATCAAAGCAAGCATGTTGACGAAGACCCGCAATCTTCTATCTTGAACAATGTAGTTCTCCGCTGGTTTGCTGGTCGATGGAAAGAATCTCGAGATGTAAATACGCAAGTACAAGAACCAGCTTTTCCACTGCTCCTTCAGACAAAAAGAGTAGAAATAACAGAACGAGTACAAGATTCTGCTTTGAAAAAACCAGTGAGCACTTCTGCACGTGAGAGATGGGTAGAACAAGCATATAGAAACCTAGGAAAAGTTCATGAAGCATTGTTTCCCCAAATCAGGACGACGAGAAGATGTGATTGACCAAAAGAGGAGAGTGATACTTGAAGTACTTGATTGGGTGTAAATGTATGAAATATGTAGTTCTTGAATGTAGTTCTTGTAGCAAGGAGAAAGCATAAAAAAGTTGTTCAATGTTTCAACTATGAGACGTAACTATGGCTCGGAACTAATACGATTTCCTGCTCAAAATTGATCTTATACCCCGCTCCCTAGGACTCCCAACTACTGCGAGTAACTGTAGTTTACTTGCGGACATTGAAGCGGCCAGCAATCGAAGCGAAAATACAGTGTAAGTACGCGAAAAGACACTACTGCGACGTGGCTGCTCTACTTCTGTGGCTTCTACTGCAGAAAGATGTCGGCTTTTAAGAAAACTACTGATGAAGTCCCAGACGAGGACTACGTCGATGATTTTCAACTTTTCGACATTTCTGAGGTCATTGACAGGCCTCCAGACAAAGTTGCCCCACCTGGAAGTCTGCATAAGAGGTACTTAGTGCTCAGTTTTATAAAGGTACTTAGTGCTTAGACTTGTATCTTTATACTGTAATTGCTGTTCTACAGAACCACAAAGATGATATTATTGCTCATCTTCCCTAAATACCACCAAAATAAGGTTGAACGTCGGTGATTTGTGGAGTGGCTGTGCGGAATATTTTGATCATATGCCGGCAGGCACAGAGGAGCATAGATATTTCCACCAGAATGAGCCAAATTTCGTCCAGTTCAACCGTCCTCTATCGAACTTGGAAGCGGCTGCGTACTATGCTATGAATTTTTGACTCTTCTACGCTTTGGAATTGGTCAATGGTTAGTTCTTCATCTTCCCTCTACTAGAAATAAGTACAGCTACTAGACTAAATGTGAATTTCACTTTTTTTCGTCTAACATCTACTGGTTCGTTCTCAGTGTCCATCTCCAACTCATCAAATTCTCTCCACAACTACAGTCGGCTGGAGAGTATCAAAAGCGGCAGAAAGCCCCACCAAATACCCCAAGAATTCGACACGAATATTGATTTTTGTCGCCTCACGAACTTTTTGAATTCCAGTATGAAGGGGAACCATACTAGTATGAAACATCTACCCACCACGCTGATGCAGCAATGGACGAAGCATCTTCAGTTGGCTGACGATGTTCCTAGTATTACTATTTTTAAACTAGATCTCTTACTTCTTTTTTGATTGGGATTGGAATTGGATTTAGTTTTTCATCGGCCAGCGCCAGGCTGCTTGCGTATCGGGTTGTCTTACCGAATTCGAGTGCAAAGCAACCTTCTTTGGGTCTTAGCTATAAGCCTAGCTACATTATTCAATTTGTAGTACTATATGGGACACGGTGAGGATGACATTATTCAATTTGAATTTTACATAAATCAATGTCATCAAATCTGCTCCACCCTCACTACCACAGTCGACCCCAACGACAACGACCCGGTGCAAGTTCCGCCACCTCTCTATCGCGACATGCCCCGTTCGGTTTTCCAAGACCGCAAGGGCTTTGACTCGGCCATGCCCAGTCTAGTGGAGGAAGACTACATTTAAGAATTCATCTTGGAAAGCATCTTTGGCCCGTTTTTTGACACGTAGGAATAGCAAGTAGAAAATCAATTATGAACAAACACACAAATATAATCAGGAAGAACTAACATTGAACAACTATCCTCTAACGCATGCTCCAAAGCCACTTGGATCGAAGTAAGCCGCAGAACCGAATTGAGTACCTGCGTCACAAACTCTACGCCTTAGAGGTGATCCAGCTGATCAACTTGGCGCCAGAGAGCGTTAGGGAGGCGCGGAACCTGATTCCATCTTTGAACAGGATCCCATATGAGACGTTGTGGTACTTCTTACGCTAGTGGTCTTATAATCGAAAACTCAAAATAAGCGAGTTACTGACTGAAATGAAACAAGAGGCGTGACTACATTCCTCTTCTTTCATTAGCTCCCTTATTTTGAGTAGTAGTTACTCGCTTAGTTCAGTTTTTCGAACGATCATATATTGTTTAGATTTTTTCCACGAATATAGGCAACTAGAACATAGCTACAAGGAAGGTGTACGACTTTGCTGACATCGTCATGATGAACTTCGTTTTCGCAATAAGCGATTCAGTGTAATCAAGAATCGAGCATCATCTACCTCTCAAAATCCAGGTTTTACATTACCCGTCTCCGAGACTTGACAATTCGTGCTCCGCAACTGGAGTCTGAACCTAGCAGCTTGCAGGAGCAGGCTCAGCTGATGAACCACAGCTTTGTCTCTCATCGGATTAAGCGAAAGCGCGCAGGTCGTGACGTCGACCTCACAGGTATGACCGAGAACGAGCGTATGATCGTGGGTCGCGAAGGTCGCATGCGTGCTGCACTTGGAGCTGACGTGCAGAAGGACAGAGCAGCGTTCAACAGGCTTCTGCACAATAGAAGAGATATGGGAGTAGCAGATGGCGACCTGCTCAATCCAGGAATCACACCAGGATTGGATGGCCGTAAGAAGAGGAGGAATGACGGAGGACTGACGCCAGGAGGCATGACGCCGGGAGGGGCGACGCCGGGAGGACTGACGCCAGGAGGCATGATCAGCGTGGGAGGAGGCCTGACGCCAGGAGGAGGAATTTTATGATGAAGAACATGATGATTTAATCTTCATTGTCTTTTGTCTTCGAAGGTGAGACCTCTGGGGCTGACAGGACCACGACAGCGCCGGCGCTTAATTAGTAGTAGACTAGTTCTTGCCTGACCTTTCTTTTTTCGGTTTTTGTTTTTTCTAGTTAGATATGCTCCACCAACATTCACTGGCTTTTGTCTGGAAATCTTGATTAGCTTTTGTCTTTGAAAAAAGGCGAAGGTTTAGGTCCAGCGACGCTTAAAGCACTGAACAAAACAACCGGTTCGCTTTTCCTCTTTCTCGAAGTTAGGTCTATCCCTTCATGCAAAGTCTTCAATAATTAAAAGTTACTTCGTTCCTCCACATCGTAGTCTTCCATTTCATGCTCACTTTATCTGATCTCTAATCCCTGCGGGCGCAACACCCGGCGTCGAGGACGGTGGAGCTACACCAGGAGGCGCGACGCCAGGTTTTGACGAGACACCTGGAGGCATGCTAATGGGTGGGGAGACTCCAGGTCAGATGGCAGGAGCCATGGGCAACAGGACACCGGGAGAGGGTATGACTCCAGCAGATGGAGCCTTATCCGCGGGTCATCTCACTCCATTCGGAAGAATCGCAGATGAGGAAGTTGAAAAGTACATACTTGAATAATTCTACTTCTTGTGATTACACTACTTTTTTAAGAAAGTACTTCTTCTTCTACTTGTGGTTAATACACGACTTTAAGTACTTGTTACAGGTTGCAATTATTTCAGGTCTAGATCATCCATTCTGATTCTGAAAGAAATCTATGAAACTTTCCACAGGTTCTCAAAACCGCCAGCTGGGGTCCATCTTGGCCCATCCAAGGAAAACTTATGGGAAGGTATCTCCGATAAGCAGTTGACGGAAAGAATGGTAGACGGCGTCATGATGCCTGAGGAGGAGGCTGAAGCAAGGATGTTAAGGCCACTTTTTAGACTGAAAATCTAATCTCTAGTACTATGTCGTCCGTATCGCATCCATCATTCTCACATGATCAACATGTTCTTGTTTGTTTGCTCTGTTTTTCCTATCGTTTTATGCTTGTTCCCCGTGTACGAACGAACCCGACCCACGTTTGAGCAATCAATCTCAACCTCGTATTAACCAGCAACTTCTACAAACGGCACTACCTCAGCTCACAAGAAACTTCTAATCTCCTACCAAAATCCAGCGTTATTGTCGAATTTGCATCATCCTGGCGACGCTATGGCGCAGCAGCGTGCGGACGTCGAGAAGCGAAAGCTGGAGAAGGAGAAGGCGGAGATGGAGAAAAACAAACAGGTGGATCGCGTTGCTATGCTTCGTAGAAAATGGGAAGATCCCAACAGTGAAATGCAGATTGAGGAAATGCGGGAACTCCAACGCAGTATCGACGACAAGTACAATTATGCCTCAAAAGAACTGTCCGTTGTTGTATCTAGGCTTCCTTCTCATCAGCTACTGCTCGCCTATTCTTATCAGTTACTTGCTTATTTCAGTTTTTTATCGAATATCTAGATTAGTTGTACTAAGGAACTACCTAACGTATCTAGCAACACCATCTCCACGTAGATCAGTTGTGTGAAGGAACTACCTAATCTATCTAGCAACACCATCGCCACACACACGGAGATGGTGTTGCTAGATAGATTAGGTACGAGTATTTTAGCGGGATTTATGCACGGGATGGGTTAAGGGTAGCGCTAATGCAAGGCACTGGCAGAGGGTCGTGGCATGGAGCTCTTCCGGTATTGGTTCCAGAAGGGGAAGTACATTGGATTTCGTGAGTGGTACGCAGATAAACAGAACCTGATTTGGGAACGCAATCGCGTGATCAAAGACGAACTTATAAAGATCAAGCTCGAACGACAAGATCTCGGACCGATTGATGTCTTTTTATGGATTGGATTTTGGACACACCTTGGATGAATTCAGTAGACCTCTGTATATGTAAGACAGCTCTTTGTGTTTGTGTCTGTTGGCCTCACGAGTAGACACTAATAGCTGTGTTTGACGACTGTTAGTGCATATATTTTGATGTTTCTCCATGCAAGGCAAAGGACAAGAAATTGCTCCTAGTAAATTGAGAAGTGGCATCAAGTTGATCTTCAGTTGTAAAAAATAATTATGTACATCTACATGATTTTCAATGATCAATAATTCGTCTCAACATCTTCTAATAGCACGTTTCCAAACCGATGCGGAAAAAGCGGCAAACAAGAGAACGTTGGATGCTGACGTGATCCAGAAGAAGATCGACGACATGAGTGACTGGGAACAGCAGTGGTATTGGCAGGAAGCGAAGCAAGTAAAGTTAAGGGTTGATGCAAGTTGACCGATTTCAGAGCATAGTATCTCTTCATCTGACCTTTCTAAAAAGAGGGAAATGATAAAGGCTAGAAGATGTGCGAGAGGCTAGATTATCGTCGCAGGAAATGTTTCGTCTTGACGTTGATTTAGTACAATCACCTGAGACGTAATGATGATGATGCTAGATCGGTCAATCATTGCAACCGCTAACAAAGAAAGGCGTCGGCAAAGACAAGACGAGTGCACCAGATGAAATCTCGAGGGATTATGCAGAGCGTCTCCGCGATTTGGGTATCCAGGAGGATCCTAGAGGCGAATACTTCCAGAAACACGAGGACCCTGCGGGCCTTGGCCCATTGATCCCGCATGACCTACCAGGAGCAATGGCAGTAAAACGTCTCGTGGAAGCGAATGCGAAGAGTTACGATTTATAGTCATACTAGCCAGTCAGTCAGTCAATCAGTCAATCATTCAGTCAGTCAGTCAGTCAGTCAATCAGTCAATCAGTCAATCAGTCAATCAGTCAATCAGTCAATCAGTCAATCAGTCAATCAGTCAGTCAGTCAATCAGTCAGTCAGTCAATCAGTCAGTCTGACAATCAGTCAGTCTGACAATCAGTCAGTCTGACAATCAGTCAGTCAGTCAATCAGTCAGTCAGTCAATCAGTCAATCAGTCAATCAGCCAATATAGAATGAAGTAGAGGACGTGGCCGTTTTGTTGATGTCAAAACTTGACTCGTTAGAATTTTAAGTAGAATATTACAAGGATTATCCTTCTAGGAGGCGGGTGGACCAGGTTCACGTTTTTGTCATCCACTCCTTTGAAATTTTACCCGATCTAGATCGATCTGGGTATAATATCATCATCAAGTATAGAAGCCGCAGAGGCTTGGTTGAAAAACTCTAACACCCAGTTCAAGCTGATCTTCTTGAAGGTGGCAAGGGAAAAGGTGCAGGAGAAGGAGCGAAAGCAAACTCTCCAGGAAAGAAGTCTCCAGGGAAGGGTCCGGCACAAGAGAGATTGCTACCACCTGAATAGAAAAGAAGAACACGATGCGGTGGATAAGACAGGTTGAGACCACGAAATCCACGTAGATTTTTTTTCAGCTGAATCAAGGACTTCTTGCGCATTTCTGTTTTTATATCAACAACAGGAGGACCTCTCACTGTGATGATCATGAAGAAGTCTGTTGAACAACATAGATGCCACTTGTGTAGTCCATTGTGATCTCCTCTTTGCTACTACGAGGACCTTCGCCAAAAATGCTCCCATCTTGAATCGCTTCACTCTACTTTCAAACGTTGTCAAAAGTGAGCTTCTTTTCGCAACGTATATCAATCTGTTTTCAAGACCCACGCATCAATCTCAATAATTCCGGCTCATCCGCTGTTGGACCACCATGAAATCAATTAAATGAAATGTACTAGCGGCGCTCGCTGCGTGGAAGGTGTGTTCAAACAAGCTGCGTGGACGTGCATTATTTGGAAGTGCAGAAGTAGAATACTTCTGCAACAAGGAAGCGAAAATCAGTGTCTTCGTGTCTTCAGTCACGACTCATCATGGCACACGCCTAGTCACACCGGACACCCTGAGGCATCATAAATGCTCACTACTGAGCTGCCAAGGTGCTATCGATTACGACTAGGTGCTTTTTCTGTGGTGGAAAACGGTGAAAGTACAAGTCGGTCGAATACTCTGACGGTCACCGTTATTAGTGAAACAAAAAAGGAATCCATGGCATCCAAGGTTGATACTCAAGAACGAAGGGTTTTGTGATTGACAAACTTTCTAGGAGATTTTGATTTAGTTGTAGATCCGCGTTTATGCGTTTTCTTCGGCACCGCTTTAGATGACAAGGACGCGCTTGTCTTTCGTCCCCTTCTGGGGCTTTCTTGGGCTGCTTCTGCAGAGCAGGAGCAGTGAAGCAGCCCTATCCATAAATGGCGGAGTAGAGGCGTTGGTTTCGCGTCTACGATCCGTGATATATCTCCCACGTAGCGAGCTCGAAGTCTTGCCGACGAAAAACGGAGGCAAATCAAGTAGAGGAAGGTTATGGCAGTAGATACAAAGTATTAGCATGGATTTTCAGCCTGAAGGACTCAGGACTTTTCCGATACGACGACAACGATATAAGCAGTTGTGAACATCACTGATGTGGATCACTCATAGTCTCTGTCGTATTTCTTTATGATACCGCCCATTTATCGTAGAAAAAGAAGTATAGCGTAAAGAGCTACCCATCTCTCTGTAGAGGGCTACCCATTTGTAGAAAAAGAAGCATAGCATTGCCCGAAAGTACTACCCAGCTCTCTGTCGCTAAGATTAGCCGATGCCGGTGCATGCTCTTCTGATAAGGGACCCCTCTGTGTCCCAGAGGAGCCGGACGATGCTGACCAGCCTCTACAGTGGTTGTTAAGGCTTGAATGTAATCCAGGAACATGTTCATTCAATCACTGAAGGACTATGTCCTAGAAGTCTTATCATGATGGGCTTGAATGATGAAACGTCAAGAAAAGTTCCCCATCTTGCTAGCAGTAACGGATAGATAACGGTTCTAATCTTCGTCGATGGCATACTAAGCGAAAAGGTTTTCCCAGAGAACGCATTGCAGTCCTTGCTACCGGATGCGTTGCCTTTGGCCAAAGGTGACCACGGCAAACTAAATCGCATGCTCTTCGGTGGTGCGTCAGTACACAATTTACGGAGGGTTGGAGGGTTGTTTCTTGTTCGCAAATAACTGGTTCTCATATAACTGAGAAAACCAGGCCGAGTGCCTTTTAACATAACAGCAGCAGCTTGTAGTAGGAACCAGGTCTAGTAAAACTAAGTAGGTGCAAGTGGTCTTCTTCTAGTAAATAAACTAGCTGCAAGTGGTCAAACTCAAACAAAAAGCTCTAAACAACGGCGCCACAGTAACAAAGCAAATGCTTGGTGGAGCAAGCGATGGAGAAGTGGCTGTGAGCCAGGGTTCGACTGCTGAAGGTGTGGAGGCTGGCGACGTCTCCTACAACCGCTTATCCGAGATTACCGGGGTACTTTCAAGTACTATGCTTGCCACAAGAACAACGTGTTGTCGAGAGGATTACGTGACTTTAATCGTCAAGTTACTAGTTCATCAAATTCTATCGTGTTCTTCTAGAAGAAGACTCCTAATTTTCTTCAATCTTTCACCCCAGGACGATTGGGATGACGACTTCGGAGATGGAGCCACAGACGAGGGAGTGTTTCCATTGAGCACATCAAACTCCTTAGTGACCTGCTCAGAACTCCTGATGGCGGATGCCTGCTTTAGAGGGATTCAAGCTGCCTGCGTCCTTTCACGGAAAAGTGCAACGACGCGAGCGATTACCAGACTCAAATTTGCAGGAAAAGAGTGGCTGATCACAGATATGAAGGTAGTAGAGCTAGTCGTTGTCATCTGTGGACCACCTGATGAATTCTAGAGACATGAAGATGAACTGAAGATGAAAATGAGAATGCAAATTCTTGAAGATACAAGTCACAGTTATCTTTCTAGCTTACCTATCGGCATTGTCGATTAGTATCAAGAGCTTCTTCGGCTATCAACATCTTCCCACGGACACCTTTGTTTAATATATTCATTTATCATTTTGAGGTTCGCGGATTAGGTCACGTAGTCGGCCGCTGGGAGACTGCGGATAAGGTGGTGAAAGTATGGGATGTCAATGTAGACACTTTACATCCCCAGTTAGAGCAGGATTTGCGAACGCTAGAACGCTTTTTGACGAGCGGCCCTACGTTGGAAGATGCAGGAAATGTAAGGAAAGTTATGACAGGGTGCTGTCGGGTTTTCGTAGAAGATATATTTATAGATCACTTGGAGATCATCACGGACGTCGAAGTTGCGAAGAATAAGACCTGAAACAAGGTTTAGCATTTCAAGCAATGTGTTGACCACTCCAAATATCGCGACGACAAACAGGCAGTAACCCAAGGTCTTACGCCAGGCGACCCGATGAAGCTTTGGAACCAGGTGCTATTCTCGGATCAAGGCGTGGCGAAGGATCAAGGAGTGGCGCTATCTGCGACAAAGTCCAGACTGTACTATAGAAAAACTACGACATGTCTGAGCCTTTCTCGTGCGTAGCGGTTTTGCCGCAAGCCGCTTCGAAGCCTTGCAACTGGTCGCATTCTCAGGCATGGGGCTAGCGCTGGGCGAAAGCTTCGTGGGCGTAGGCTTCTTACTGGGATCGCCGGCCGGGTTGTCTTCCGGGGGAGGGTTGAGGCGACCAAAGGCGTGTCACGCACTTGGAAGCACCCCGGTCAGAGTACTCGCCAAAACGCACCCCGGAGGCGGGGCGCTCCCGCTGTTTCGGCGACAGCTTTCGGAATTCAGAGGGCAGGCCCTGGGAGGGTCAGCAACTGAAGCGAAGGAATTCGCTCGCGGCAGCTGTCGCAGCTGCTCGCGGAGGTGGCGGCGGTGAAAGACAGTCGGCAGGCGGTTGCGGCTTTCGATGTCATCGCGCTGGGCAGCCGCTGGGATACTTCCTTGGCAAGGATTCGCGCGCGACTCGTGCTGCTTGGGAGGGTGGGGCACAATCCTGCCCAAGGGACAGCGGCGCACCTTGTTGGCAAGGGCTACACAACCAAGGCAAAGGCCCGCCAGTAATCAACTCGCGAGCGCGAAGGCCTCGGGCTGTAAATGACGCGCCTGAGCTGGCTCTTTACCTACTACGTGAGGAGGCTGCCAAGCTTTGCGACGGCGCGCGGATGTGTGTGCCAGATCGGTGCCGCCGATCTCTTCGCACCCCTTTGCCTTTCCTTCGTCTGTGTCTTTTTTCTAGCCGTCCGCGCGAGTGGGTGCCTGTGGGGGGGTGGTGGCGGGGTTACTTCGCTTAGTTAGTTCACATCAGCTAAGGGGGGACGGAAGCGGCCTCCACGCTTGTGGCCGTCTACACGCAGTGCTAGGAAGGGCGTCGCGCATTCTGGGGGTCATGTCTCGAGCATCTGGGACCTTCGTGGCGGCTGATAAGCTGGAGGCCATGGCTTTCGCCACACGAGACGGCTCTGCCCGGCTGTCTAGTGACGAGGCTGATCGCGTTCGATCTTGTGCCGCAGTGTTTGCCGGATGACGTGTCTCTGCGGAAGCTTGGCCAGTATGAATCCAAATGGATTAAATAAAAAGGGCCAGCACATGGTTGTTAGAATGCAGATAGCGTTTGAGGATGTTGCTGCACAAAGCAGCAACAGACTGGGGCGCAAGAAGAGCATAAGCGTCAGCAAGTGCACATATGGGCGGTGCCAAGGGATATAAATCCCGGGCGAATCTGCTTGCGGACGAAAGGCAAGCGTCGGGATCGATTTCTCTTGCCACGAGAGCAGCTCTCACCTGCTAGACCAGTAGCAGGTAAAGGATCAAATACAAAAGGGATTTTGCGCATCCCGACAGCAGTTTTGTCGCCTCCGAATTACTTGTGCCATATCTATGTAATCTGGTCTAGTTTCCCAAGTTTGGGCTTTCTTCCTCATGCGTTGGAGTTACCAACTCCAAGAGGGTCAGAAGTCCAACGCTTCAAGTGCTCCGAGTGGTTGCTCAGGCTCACTATGCTGCGCGTGAGGGAAAGGCGAAACGCACAAGAAGAAGCCGCGGCGGAAGCAGCTCCATCGTCGCAATTTCTGTAGCCAGTCCTTTGCCCAACGCAGGAGCAAGGAGGGCTGTTCTGTCGACGAAGAAGCCAGACCAGCAACATCTTCTAAAGAAAACGGTGGGCCTGGAAGTAGTTCTGACAGCGACTCTCAGGCAAGGGCAAGGACATCACAGACCGATGGCGCCGCGTATGTAACGTCGGAACTGGAGCAACACAAGCGAAGGCGCTCCCTCGGCCTGTGTTGGCGTTTGTAGCTTCATGATGGCCTCGCGGTCTAGCAGACAGCCAGGCCTGTGCTGGCTACTGGTCCACGTCGTTGATTATCTTAGGAGTGGTTATCTCCGGGGTCGGGGGTCTGGGCTTTCCCAATTACGAGGAGCTTCCGACTTTTGAGCTTTATTTCATAACATTGCCTATAGACACGCTTCAAGGATGTGGTCCTCGCTACATGTGGAGGGAGGCGCTCAGCCTCATCGAAAGCCATCTAGTTTTGCCAAGGCTTTGGGCGTCCAGATGGCGAGACTGTTGAAAGGAGCGGAATCCATCAGAAGAAGCGAGCGCGATGAAGAGACTGCGCCTCTTATTCTAGACAAGCGGCACTGCTACAATGCGTGAAAGGAGGGAGTCGCATCCAGGGTCGCGCATTCTCTGCAGTGAAAGCGCAAACTTGTAACGCTCGCCGTCGTCAGCGTGGGCATGTGCAGGCGGGTTTGGTCATGAGTGGAGGAAGCTGCTCACGCTGGTCAACTCACTAAGTGACAGCATCGACCGAGCCGGAACTCGTCCTACCTCAATGGAAGAATCCAGTTTGGGTTTCTTGCTCGCAGCATTTTTGGAGCGGTTACTCTTCGTCTAGCCATGAAGGCCAAGGCGTACAGCTTGGCGCGCTTACTCTCCCCGCTCAGTAAGGAGAACCCAGGGGGAGCGGGGTTCGGCTTCGGAGTGCTAGTTGCTCGATGGACTTCGACTAGCAAGATCATGCACTTGCTTCCCGCGGCGGCTTTCCAAATGGTTGCGCTCGACGGCAGGGCGGTGCAGCAGGGACCTGCGAAGGCCGTTCCTCTCGGTGTCGGCATTGATGGCGCTACTTTGAAGCGGGTCGAGAAGTTGGCGGGTCTGCTCCCCGGCGACACTCCTCAGCTATCTGAAAGCTCCCCAGCCGCTTAGGGCTTCCTTCGCTGCAATTCTTTTCATTCTTTTGACTTTCAAAATTCAAAAAATGGCGAGCGAGTTCAGCGACTGGACGTACTGCCTGGCCCAGTCTTCGGGTGGTCGGAGTTGTTTCCTACAGGTGGCTGAATACTCCGGCGCCAGGTTGTTAGATTCCTGGCTTCTACGAAGTCCACGCGTGAGCTGAAGCCGGTGCTTTGCCGTGCGCTTGCCTCAAACGGTGCCCATTTAATGGACGCGCAACAAGTCACGCCGTACAAGAACCGGGAAAAAATTGCTCAGGAGGTTGGCTTGTAAGTTAACCCTCGACGACGCCCCGGCCAGATATTTGCGTGACAGTTTTAGGATCGGGTGAGGCATGAGCGCGCGAAGACCATCACGAAAGTGCTGCCCTCTTCTGAGTTTTCGCGAATCTTGTGGCTCGAAAAGAGCACAGCTCCGGCGATTGGGGTGGAGCTAACTGATTGCGGTGGCTGGTCCATAGATAGCGGGCAAGTGCCAGGGAGTGGCCGCGGAGGCATCGGGGTGCGCATGTGTGGCCTGGTCCACAAGGACGAAGGGGCAGGCAGTGCGGCTGGTAAAGGGGTCCGGGGACAGGTAGCCATCGGGCAGGTAAGAGCTCGCACAAATTGGGGTTGTGTTCGTCAGTCCAGAGGTGGCGGAAGGGCTCAGCGAATTTCGAAGGATCGCGGCCGTAGCTCTCGCTACAAGTCAGACTCAGGGAGGCGGTGGCCAGAGCTATGACACCCGCCCAGCGGGTAGCAGCAGCCGTAGTCCACGCATTTCGAGGGGGCGCCCGCCATGTGTAACAAAGCGCAGGAAAACCGGCCCGGCAAAGTGCTACCGCCCATCGCTGAAGCCAGCAAGCGCCCCGGTGGTGAGTGTCGTCCAGTCTGAGGCCCCCAGACTGATGCTGGGCAACTCGCTGGGGCTGGCTCATAGTGTCAGCACTTCGAGGGCTGTAGAGTATAGACGGGCGTGGGCTTCAGGACACGCGGGGGCGATGGTAGAAGCCTGGCCGGCCTTAGTCGATGGGCTAGCGCTGGGCCCTTTTGCTCCTCTAATTTTTTCGCGGGTGGCGTCGTCACTTTCGTGCAGCGTGGAGAGGAGACTGAAGGCACTGCGCACACGGTCCACAGGTGTGGCTAGCTCCTCGGCGAGTGCGTCCAGACTAGCGCGGGCGTGAAGACCACAACCACGAAGCCAGCCCCATCCCCAAGAGTGTGCAGCCGTCTACTCCGGTGAGAACGAAGTCGGCCGACGATGCGGGGGGCCGGCACTCTGCCGCCCGCGGGAACGGGAAACACAGAGGAGGGCAAAGGCAGCCCCGTGGGTGCGTCTAATGGTGCTGGTGACTGAGGGAGGTAGAAGCGCTCTGGCTCTGCCTGCGGCTGCTGGCGCTGGGAGTGGAGAGGGGGCTGGAGGTGGAGGTGAAGACCGTGCGGGTGCGGGGCTTGTTGCTGGGGGAAACCTTCGGAGCCTATGACGCTTCTCAGCAGGATGCAACGGGCAGCGACCTCTCCAGCGAGGGGGCTCGGGTGGTCGGTGCTCTGTATACCTCCAGAGAGAAGCTGCGTTGGCCTCGTTGGCTTCTATTGTCTGAGGCCGACCCGCCGGGGGATTTATGCTACAAGCCAGTGGCGTAGGGGGTGCCATAGATATAGCGGGGGGCGGTCGTGAGTGTGGGGCAGATGGGTCTTCTTCGGTGATGTGTTGGGAGGGTGAGGGGGGTAGCTGCTTGGACGTGCAGGCGCGTGCGTTTGGTCTTTCTTTCTATCTCTTTCTTAGATTGATTGCTGTCCTGTCTTGTGTCACTATCAGGGCCATGGTTGAAGAGACTTACTTTATTCTTACATCAAGAAGGCCGAAGGCACAGACACGGAGAGCCCCTGTGTGGAATTAATAGCCTACAACTAATTCGCCAGGTTCCCACCACGCTCGCCGAATTCTCGCAACGAGCAAGGGCACAGGCCCAATGAAGTCTTGGTGGAGCGTGTCCTCGACTTTCTCTCTATGGTATCACCTCACTTTGCTGGCCGCGTTCGGTGTATGTACGCTTTTATCAACCGGAGTCAGAGCATGCAAAATTAAGGCTAGATCTAGAGCTAGAAGATTATATGAAGGTTTTTTCGTTTTGTAATCTTCCCAAAAAGTCATAGAGCAGGCTGTCATGGATGCTTCAATTACAATTTTCTTCTATGTACAGATGAGAGATGAATAGGCTTCACACTCCAGATGAAATACTTTTAGCCCGGTTGTAGTACAACTAATACAACTTCAACACCCAAATAAGATTATAAGAACCCCACTTCGCTTTCTTCTAAGAACAAACAACCTCCATGACCTGTTGCACTCCCTGTTTATCCAGCACTGACTTTGCGTTGTTTCTGGAGGTTGCACTCAAGTGGGCACAGAAGCACTTTAAAGCGGGATTGCTGTCTGATGATGTACCACTACCACTACTGGACCAAGAGGTACAGACACAGTTAAAGACCGTTGCACTGAAATTCGATGCGGCGCGTGCCAAGAAAGAGCCTCAACTAGCAGATGCGGCCACGAAACTGCTTGCAAAGGTCTTTCCGGAATCGGAGGTGGTGGACTGCGTGGTGTCCTTAAGGCTCTATTTGTGATACAGACTTTTTTTCTCGTGTCGGCTGTCATTCTGTCTCTACCTTAGGTTTTCTACAGGGGCCGAATGTACGGCCTCTTCGATAGATGTAGATTTGTGGCCGATTGTGCGGTCTTATGCGCACCCAGTATGTAATTTGGATGATCTTAAAAATATGGGGTAAATAATTGGTTGAAAGGGTGGCAGCGTATAGTCCTAACGCAAAAAAAAATAAAATCTACGGTGGCCAAGAAAGGTCATAACAGGGACATACACATGACATGAAGTAAAAAGATTCTAGCATGTTAATAGCACTAGTATAGTCATAGGAACAAGTAGAAAAATTGAAGTTGTATCGTGTGACCACTACTAGTATAGTTTGTTTCTCCCGCTTGTGTCTGCGTCGGGATCGGTATAACGTTCCTGAGTGATAGATTTATCTCACCTCCACGTCCACAATCCACCCTCTAATCTCCGTTTCCAGACGCGAGCAATTGTGGATAGAAGCTATGGGCTACGTGTTTTTGGATCAACTAGGAGCAGCGCGAGAGAAAAGCAGCACTACGCAGCGAGTGTTGTTACTGTTATTGGCGAGGAATAGCTACCGTGAACGATTTCGGTCTTTGCGTGGTCGAATGGACAGCGTGCATCCACTAACCGAGGTGCTGTTTTATTTAAGGCTCGTAATTGGAGCGCATACATTTTCGTGTTGACTTCGATTTCTCTGTACTGCTTTAAGAAAGTCTCAACGATATTCTAAGAAAACTCTTGTTGTGCCTCTAATCTACGGCGACGTGGAAGTGGAATCTCTGCAACTATGCAGCACTGAAGCACCGAGATTGATCCTAGAAGGGGCAACGTCTTCGTCCATCAGCACTGGGCGACTTTCAGCACCGCAATTGGAGCGCGCAGGACCATCTCACCGACTAGTAGCGAGTAAAGAAAGTGGACAGCTCACACTAAGCATGCGCGAGCTCTTCGCTGTCAGCGATGTGCTCAACTTGATACGGCCGCGTAGGTTTTTTGCTGATATTATAGCAAGAACTGATGCAGCTTTTCTGAGTAGTTGGATGGTCTAGACCCATTTGTTGTTGCTCAATATGAAGATGGTAGACTCTCCTTGCAGAACATCTACTTACTTTGATGCAAAATATAACAACAAGTGAAGGTCTTACCTAGTAAGTAACACAAATGTTGAAGAATGTCCCCTTTCTAATCTCCTCCGACGCTGTCAAGGATGCGGTCGCAAAATCTGTACCAACAGCAGAGGGCAAGCATAGGCCAATTCGACGACCACGATACGAGAATCTGCTTCACGGATTCTGTAAGATGGCAGGGATCTCATGCCATCTTTCGCCTGAAGGACACCAGGGTTACGTACGTGCTGGAGCATCGTCCGCCGAAGTAGTCAAAGTTAAAGCTTGAGCATCGTCGTCAAATTCATCAATATTTGACTGAAAGAAGGTGCATCCAAGAAGATTCTGGTGGATTTAAAGCTCTCTTTTTGTTCAGGATGAATTGGGCGAGGGAGAAAGCAATATCTTAGACTCTAAGAAAGGCGAAAGCAAGAATCGGTTTCAAGAATTGAAAACGTTTTCACGTCCGTTCGACCTGTATCGCTTTGTCATGAAGAATCTGGCTATCGTTCCGGCTCTACGCGAAATGGCACTAGTAGGTGTCGCCAGTCTCAACCTGCGGGAATACATTGCTCGCGAGGTGGTCGGCAATCCAAGACACGACGCGACTTTAGCCGAAATCATGCTGCGACGTGGGCATGCGCGATGGCATTTGACTAGGGAGTTTCAGGGAGTGCAGGCGCTGGCGAGTCAACATCTTCTTAAGAGACACATTACTACACTGCTGCATCTCAAAGTAGATGACACTAACTAAGTAAGTACACAGACAAAAGTATGATACATTTGCATTTCTTTTCTGTTCTTCTAATCTCTCTAGTTCCCAGAAGAACGGCACCACTAGTCAGGAGCTCGTCAAAGATGTATCAGCCGATGAAGAAGTCGATGAAACTCTACTTGCGCCTCTTGAGGCGAGCAGAGATCTCGGCGACGCCACTAGCTGGTTAAGGAACTCGCTAGGCCGTCTTCCGTATGCGCAAGTGAGCGACAAAGTGCTTGAGCAATGGGAGAGCATGTTGGACACCTTGGAGCAATCTGTGGAACAGACTGGAGAGAATATTTCTGGCCAGAGTCTAGCAAAAATGGCAGCGAGGAGAAGGAGACGAGGAAAGGGGTCTGCGAAGGGAGCTGGTGCGCAAGGTGGGAATGGAAATGCTTTTGTTATGGATTGAGTTGGTGGAGGTTGTGCAAGAGAATATGCTGTAATCTATATGTGAAGTACTATACTACTCGAAAACTGAAAATAACCGAGTTACTGACTGAAATAAGGGAGGTGCTAGCTCTGACAGGGCTACTCTTCCTTGTTCAGTATCTCGCTTATTTTCAGTCGTTACTCGCTTACTTCAGTTTATCGAACTAAACCGAAAATTTTGAGTTTCCCTTGTTCATCATCATGATTCCTTCGAGATCCAGACTACCTCTAACCCTCTGAAGACCCTGATGGACCGCACTCACGCCGGACCGTCGACGTGGAAAAAGTTCGAGAGTAGGGCTCCGCAGGTGGCATTGTCGAGAGATGATGCTAGACTGGACGTGCTGGAAACGGAGTTTTTCGATGTCTTACAGCGACACTTGGCACCACGACTCCCGCGATCGCTGCTCGCTGCCATGCTGGACAATCTGGTTTTATGGAGAAAGGGAGTTGTGGATATTGATGACAGACAGGATATTGATGACAGACAGATATGTTCTTGTATTACCGTTCATCTTCTTAAATGACACGGAAGTGTAGGCTCTTCGTGTATATGTTCTTGTGTTACCGTTCATCTTCTTAGATGACACGGAAGTGTAGGCTCTTACTTCGTGTTAAGCTTGCAATCCATCGTGTATGCTCTTCTAATATCCAAGCTTGAGAACGCAGTTTCAGCAAACCGCACTCATATTCAGACGGAATCACTGCTGACTGAAGGAAAGTCGCTTATCGAGCGCGTACTAGAAGAGGAGCAAAAACTGTTAGACGGCGAAGAGGACGTTCATGGAGCTACAACAAGCGGTGAAGCGGAGCTACAACAAGTGGATAGAGGTGGGTCACATGCAAAAAATGACGAAGGTGAAGATGTTCTTTCATCTATTAGTACGCAGGAAGCAGCAACTTCTGGAACAAGTGGAGGTGAAGAGGATGTCCCGGAAGGTGTTGACGTGAGCAAGAATGTCACGGCATCTGAGCAGGTGGACGCAGCTTCAACATCTGGCGTCGATACCTCTAGAAATAGAGCTGCAGTAGAAACCACAACAGCTTCGTCTTCCGAAGAAAGTCCTTCTACAACTAGTGAAAACCACGACACTCCTTCTACTAGTGAAAACCACGACACTCCTTCTACCAGTGAAAACAAGGCTCTTTCTTCTAGAGAAGCAGATGAAGCCTTCTTTGAAGATTCAGGGGAGGAGTTGCGAGATTACATTCCGAAACTGAGCAGAATCGTATCGCTGAAGGATCTAGTGCAGGACATCGTGGCAACAGCTAGAGAGGATCACTCATCCGATAGCACCTCGAAAAAAGCGTCGACAGAAGCAAGTGAGACATCTTCTAGCACTTCGGCATCACCTTCTCCTGAAGCAAGTGAGACACCTGGCAATCCACCTTCGACCTCCACGCAGACAACTGTAGAGGTAACAGCATCGCAAAACACTACTAAAGTTGTAGGCGAGGCAAAGACTACGACAACTGTAGAGGTAACAGCATCGCAGCAGACTGTAGTCAAGACCACATCTACGACGTCCTCCGCTGTAGAAGTGTCAGCACATGAAGTTGCGAAAGAGACCACCTCCTCTACTACTGTAAAAGAGAAACAGGAAAGCACCACTGAAAGTGAAGCTACAGAGACAGCCTCTGCCACGACTGAAACTACAAAGACAACGCGGACTGTAGTGCAACGACAGCAATCTTCAAGCACGACACGTAGCACAACTGACACGACAACCACTCGAAGTGCCACAACTTCTGAGGTGAAGCATGGCGCAGCACCTTCTGAAGAGAAGCATACTAGTTCTGCATCGCAAGAAACAGCATCATCGTCGTCGACCGGTGTGACTCAAGACGTCGATGAAAATGTGGTCGAAGAGGTAGCTGAACCGGTGCAAGTTGTCTCAGCCAAAGCTACAGTACTATGGGTGACGTTTTTTTCTCCCATTTAACAGACCATCGAGGCTGCCCTTTTTTTCTTAAAATTTAACTTTATATAGGTTCTTACTTAAGGGGTGCCTCGATGGGCTAGATGGTATCTATAGGTTACTTATGGAATAGGTTCTAAAATCACTGTATAGAAGGTTACTTATGGAATAGACACCATTCATATACAGCAGAACCAAAAGGCCAGCGGCTCTCTGTCTCTTCACCTGTAGCAGAAGCGGTTGGATCCTACGAGGACGACGCACCCTACGAGGAGGAGAAGAAAGTAGTGGACTCGACAGTGGATGAAAGTACTTCTTCAAGTACAACCCCTACTACGCCAAGCCCAAGTCGTCCAACTACAAGTTCATTAAGGCTCACCCCAGTTCATCCGGAGCAGAGGCATCTCGAGGCTGTCCACCATTATAGGGGGAAAAGAGGTCCGAGATGCACGTCCTTGCGATGGATTAGTGCGAGCTCTAAGTTCAAGGGCTAGGGCATCTTCCACTGTGGGGGGTCGATCAGTAGAGCAGGTATTGGGCGAATCTTTGTCGAGTCTCGAATCTAGTATTTTTGGATCAGGAGGTATCATGGCCGCCAAAAAGACAGCGACAGACGCGCTGAGCAATGCGATTTTCGGCAAGGCGGGACAGGAAAAGCTATCCTCCGATGAAACTAAGGACGACGCTCTGAGTGGAGGAAGAAGTGGGAAGGAAACAGGAGTTTTTATGGTTAACGGTTATAGAAATAAATAGAGGTGGATTCTAATGATAATGATAGATAATAATAATCTACCCATTCAGGTGGTAAGTTCTTCTGTTTCCGATTCTATAGTCTTTGCTTTTCTGCTGGTTCTTCTAAGTGTATTTCGCTGGATCTGATTGTTTCTCAACTACAGTAGATGTTAATAGTACTTCTACTAACTACATCATACTTACTCAGTTCTAATGATCTGTCGCGCTCGCGGGCAGACGACCTGAGCCGTCTCGACGCCTTACTAGAGGACAAACTTGCGGATAGCGAAATCTCACTCACAAAGTCCACCACCTCAGCTGATGGTGCAAAATCTGCCAGATCGCCAACTGCGGCAAGCGCATCGTCATCTTCTTCTAGTTATGTTGATGGAGTATTGGGTATTGTGTTGACGTTGCGCGAAGAAAAGGAGACGTGGAAAAAATTCAGATTGAGACGACTTGTACCTGTTTTTGAGGAAGGACACGAACGCTATTAATATTTTCACGAAAGAACAATCTGCTCTTTACACTGCGTTTTTCTTCCAAACGAAGGTGGAATCTTCTAACAACTCACTCCCAAAACCAAGAAACCGAAAATCAAGAAGACGAAAGCGAAGAAGTCCACAACGACCACAACACCGGCGCCAGCGTATCCGCCAGAAGAGATTGAAGACTTGGGACCAGAGGAAAATTTTCCGGAGATCATTCGAGTGATGAACACCATGTTGACTCCAGATGGAAGACTAAGGCTCGAAAGATATACCTCTTCCTTTTTTCTTCTTTCCTGTAAGCAGGTTGGCTCTACCACAAATATAAGTAGTAAGCTAGAACAAGGCTAGACACAAGTAACCTGACCTTGTCTTGTAGTGGATCCCGTTAGAGTACTCACTGTGCTGGTACTGCCTGGCCGACTCTGGGGCTGTAATGAGGTAAGTAGAGACTCGAGTGCTTTAACGGGATCTTCAGGCGACGGGACAGGTTAGGCGTGGCGCTAAGAAGAGTGAAGGATTGGCATCAATTCTTCCATGCCATCAAAGCGTACGCGGCTAATGCGATGCTGACTGGCGGTCATGACAAAATCAAAAGCCAAGTAGCGGAGGCGCTGGCGTTTTTGATTATGAAATCATGGGGAATTATAACATCTGACTCATCTGGTTGATTGTATAATAAATTGGAGCAATAAAGAATGAATCAATAGATGTGCTTCAGACTTGACCAGGGAGGTGGGTTAGACCTGAAGTACATGACCATGACCATGAGTTGGAATTTCTGCGTTTGCTTTCCGGGAGTTCCACGACCATGACCATGAGAATGATGCGATATTCATCTAACACCGAAAAAACCGGAAGCATCGGCGGCCAAGTTAGTGAGGCGTTGACGGCCATGCGAACTTCCATGAATGAAGACGACGAGGATGCTTCAGGTATTTTCATCCTCAGCAAAGCTAGTCCCTGTGCTTGTCTCCTCAATTTTCCATTATTAAAAATCTTCTCTGCAGCACCTCAGGATAAAGTTGCGGTATTGCTGTTGTTGCTTGGAGCTTGCTGATCTAAACCTGTAACACTACATTTACATTACTAACAAGAATTATAGGGCTATAAGATGCTCCTCTTAGCTATCTTCAATACCTCATTCAACCACTTTCACCACATCTAGAAGATGCAACAGAGATCCCTCGCCCTCATCACCTAAACACACAGATCCCGAGGTTGCGCGCAAAAGGAAGACCTATGAGACGATGCAAAAGGAGAACCTGCTTTTATGCTGGGCAACGTCGAGCTGTAACCCATGATCTCCAACACTGAATCCATGATCTTTCAGCTGTTTCGAGGCATCTAAAAACAACAACAAGTTCTTTTCAGATAAGTATCTAAAACTTTTAGAGAGCTTACGAACGATGTCCTTAACCTTTCTACTGGAGATACTAACGGTAATAGTCCTTGTCGGTACGACCTCTAACGCTTGCAGTAGAGCATTTGCAGAGCATCAAGGACCCAGAGGAGCAGAAACGGGCAGTGAGAAAGCTCAACCTCCACAACATCAACACCATGGATAAGATCAGCGGAAGGGAAACAACGGCGGAAACTTATGATCACGATGAGTGTTATTAATTTGATGATTAAATTGAATGCGGAGCGGCGGTGATAGATACCATGCATTTCATATAAATGCTTCGGTCCCTGATTGGTTGATGTATCCCCTGATCAGGCTGAACGCATGCTTTTCTTTCTACCTCAACTTGCCCGAGTACATGTGTTGGGACCACTAGGACAACTTAAACCAAACATTTATTAAATTGAATGCTCCAGCACTCTAATCACAACATCATACACACTGAGTTCATTGAGGTTGTACATTAGACGGTTATAATTCAAAGTACCTGCATCAGTACCTCAATTTTTCTAACTACCCAAGCGCCTCGAGGAGCAGAGTAAGATGAGAGACTTGCATGCGAAGAAAAAGAAGGAGGCTGAAGAGCAGCAAAAGAAGGAAGAGGCTAAAGGGCCAAAGCGTGCTATGTTTCGTCCAGCTGATGACGATGACGAGGACTCAGATTCGGATGAATCCTTGGCTGATGTAGAAATGAAATTGAGGTTATGATGGATGGCGATATTAGTAGTACCTACTTCTATACAACTTCTAGTTACATCAACTAACTTGAAAAAGGAACTTCTAATTATGAATAGGATTTGGAAGATATTCTGACTTATAATTTAGTTAGTAGATTCCCGACCTCTCAACTCAATCTACTCCTTCTCAAAAATTGAAATTTTTAGTGCAGTGGTTAGTCTACTAAACGACCTACAATCTAGTCGTTTCATCATCATTATTTAGGAGATTCCCACTAGAGGAAATCGAAAGAGTACTGTCTTATCTGAAAGCTATCGTTATACAATAGGATTGACATCATGATCATCATATGAAATGATCATACAACCTGTTGTTAGTGATGGGTTCTGAAAAAATGTTAGATCATACTCGCCATATCACACGAGATGATTCACATCACATAAACCTCTTCTAATCACAAAGCAGCTGCGAGACATATTTGGGATGAATCCGCCGGGTTCGAAGACTGCTAAGGAGATCAACAAGGATACCAAGGACTCGACGAAGACGAAGAAGTTATGGGAATAAGTGGGAGATGTAATTAATCAACTTTGGTAGAAACTACTTCTGAAATAATTTACTTACTACCCTTCATATCACTAATCAGTTGCGCTTTTATCAACTCTGTATGATATTCGATTGCTACGTCCTGGTCCTTCGAATATTGGAAGCCAGAATCACCCAATGTATGCATACCACCGAATGTAAGTAAAAGTATTATACCAAGTAGTAGTATTCGTGTTTTCTAACTCCAGACACCAAGACTACCAAGAAATCAACCAGCACCAAGACTACGACGAAGAAAACGGTGAAGACGAGTGCGAAGAGCACAGTGAGTAAGGATGGGAAGAGGAAGACAACTACAACGCGCAGCGTCACCAAGACCGTGCAGGAGGATGACTCCAACTCCGATCTATGAACAAGATGGGTGCTATTTTCGAAAGAACTGTTGTTGAGGTGGTGGTACCTAAAAGTGATTTTAGAAGGAAGAATTTTTTTTTAGGTGGTGGTACTTCTACTTAGAAAACTTAATTAACATCTGCTATAATCAGTCTCCTTGATGTTGATTGATAGAGAAGACATCGTGCTGTGGTGCAAGACGGGGAACAACTCTCTTATAAGTAGAGGGTCTTTGAACTACGAGTCACTTGAATAAATTGTAACTGCTTGAGCACCAAGATTATTGATGGTGAACGTGAAGATGATTATTCGAGAATTTTCCATTGTCGTGAATGGGTGTTTCGTTTCGGGTAGGTTCTATTCCACGGAGATCATTCAAACACGATTTATTATCAAATATATATCAGAGTACGGTCATCATGAACGATGATAGCAGGGACAATAGCATGCATACGTTTGCCTTGTCAAAAATCTACTGAAAAAACAAGAAGTGGAAGTGCTATGTAAAAGTTGTATTTATTCGCCTGAACGAGGATCTATCTCGATTATGATGGAACAAGAAGTTATGAGTTTCAATAGGAAGGCGGTACTGAGGGTCATTGTAAATATCAGTCGACTGTGACACTTACAGGAAATCGAATCTAAAAGTTTCAAACTAAATTGTCTGTAATATCGCATCAAAATGATGGTGCAGCGGCATCGATCTAAGTATCACATTTCCAAAGTAGTTGTAGAAGAATTTGAGATTCACCAATCAATATCAGCAGATATCTATCACTACGATTTTTTCTCAAAACGACAAAGTAACAGTCAAGGTCTGACTGACGGAGCTACCGCAGAATCGTGGCTGGTGGATGTACTCACTCCTAATGAGATGGATCATTACTTTCTGATGAAGTAAGTGTAATTTCTAGATGGGTGTATATGAAAGGATGGTTGATATGTTGATCTTCTATGAAGACTTCCAAGAAAAGTGTCCTCCTTATCATAGGTAGCACATCAGTGCGCCTGATCGATATTCAGAAGACGGAAGTTGGTGTCTATTCCCAATTATTTTATAGTGATTTGCGTCAAACAAGAACACGACAATTTTCAAGGTGAACAGGATCACGCCTTTTCACGAGCACTAGATCCATTAGGTGGTGGGCTCACGATGATAAATTTGAGATCCTCTTCATTCAGTGGATCTCTTAAGGTAAGGGAGATCAAAAAATCGAATACTATCTCCTTGTCGAAGATCCGTTGAAGATCATGCAAGGAAAATGGTTGCAGATCGACAAGTATTCACAGCAGAGCAGTCGAGGATGATTGGATCAGGTTAAAAGGTCATGTTAAAAGCAGAAATATCCACTTCTTGAACCGGTTCCTGTATCAGCTAGCTCTCCTCCGCTTCTTCGGTGTAGGAACCAGACTCGATGCAAGAATGGGTTCGAGTCGGTATGATCATCAACATTTATTAGAGATAAATCACAAGATCTTCTTCTTCTTCTACTAAGATCCGTTGAAGATCATGAGGATAGTTGTGACCACTGAGTCTGTGATAATCTTAGGACTGAAGAGGATACGAGTGAAGACCATAATTTGGCAGGTGGTTGTAAAACGACACTTCATTTGCTTTGCTTAAAAGGTTAGTATGCTGCTTGTTTGAGAAGAAAACAGGCGGAACGAAATAGTTTGTGTTCGTCTACAGACATTGACATACTTACTGCTGGTCTACTTTTCTTGACTAGACTACATAAGATGACGAGCGAAAAGATCGACGTGGCTCAACAGCCGAAAGAGAAGAAGAGCAAGAAGCGAAAAGCAGAAGAGGCGACTGCTACTGCCTCTGTACCTGCTGCCGATTCCGTCGCCGCTCCGGTCACTGACAAAAAGAAGAAGAAAAAGAAGGATAAGGAGGGAGCTACAAGTCCATGCTCCAGTGTCGAGACTGTTGCACCCGATGAAGCTGCAAAGGCAGAGAAAAAGAAGAAGAAAAAGAAGGACAAGTCATCGTCAGATGGTGCTGCAGATGAAAAAGTAGCTGCTGCAGATGAATCTCAAGCACCAGAAGCAGAAGATGCTGAAGCAGCATCTTCGACTAAGAAAAGGAAAAAGAGTAAGTCGACTTCTTCAGAGGAGGCTTTATCAAAGTCCGCTTCTTCCCAGCAAGATGATCGAGTTTCCCCGATCACTGGCCGTGCTCTATCTGCTGCAGCCCTCAAGATTCTGCAGAAAAGGAAGCAATTGCCTTGTTGGGCAGTGAAGCAGAAGTTTCTAGACCTAGTGCGCGACAATCAGGTCACGGTCTTAGTCGGTGAGACCGGTAGTGGAAAGACGACGCAGATGCCACAGTTTCTGGCTGAAGTTTATTCGAATGCCACTAGTAGTTCGCTCAATGAAAAGAAGATGGTAGCAGTCACGCAGCCCCGTCGTGTGGCGGCTATGAGTGTGGCTACTCGTGTCGCCGAAGAAATGGACGTTCCCCTTGGTCAAGAGTGCGGTTACTTGATCCGTTTCGAAGACAAGACATCCCCTGACACAGTCGTGAAATACATGACAGATGGTATGTTGCTACGAGAATGCATGACCGATCCGATGCTAAGCAAATACAGTGTCATCTGCTTGGATGAAGCCCATGAACGTACGCTTAGCACCGACATCTTGTTTGGTCTTCTGAAACGGGTGTTGCCGAAGCGTCCAGAGCTGAAGGTCGTAGTCATGAGTGCGACGCTAGAGGCAGAAAAGTTTCAAGCGTACTTCGGCAAAGCCTCATCCAAACTCCCTCCACTCCTTACGGTTTCCGGCCGAATGTTCCCCGTGGACATCAAATACACGCAAACGGCGCAACGAGATTACGTGCAAGGCTCGGTGGATAGGGTGATGGAGATCGTTAAAACGGATGTTGACTCTTCATCTCCAGATGTCGACGGAAATAGCAAGGGTGACATCCTAATTTTCCTTACCGGTGAAGAGGAGATCGAAACTTGCTGCCGTGCACTCGAAGAGCAGCTTCCAGAGGACGATAACGTCGTGCTCCCCTTATACTCATCTCTTCCTCCTCAGCAGCAGAAACGCGTGTTTCAAAACTTTGACGGGCAGAGGAAAATCGTGGTGGCAACCAACGTTGCGGAAACATCTATTACCATTGATGGCGTAGTTCACGTGATCGACTGTGGATTGGTCAAAGTGAAGGTCTACAACCCAAGAACGCATGTGGAGTGTCTCTTGGTAAATCCGATCTCGAAAGCAGCAGCAAAACAACGGGCAGGTCGTGCGGGCCGCACAAGACCGGGAACGTGCTACCGACTGTACACGGAGAATGCGTTTAACATTATGAGCGAGTGGACGAATGAAAATGAATAAGAATTTGTCACAGGAGAATAATGGACCTTCGCTCCTCTTATTTTTCTGACTTCTCTGTGATTAGCATAGTGTCGTCCACCTCTTTTGTTCTCCCAAATTGTTCTTCTACCTCTCATCCATTTCACTCTCCATCAATGAATTTTACTTTCCATTGAGACAACTTGCTCTAATCCTTCTTCTCTCCTGGAATCGTCGTGGCCGGAAATTTTACGTACGAACTTGGGCTCTGCAGTCTTGACGTTGTTGAATCTAGGCGTTGAGGATGTGGTGCACTTTGACTGGATGGACCCCCCATCCCCAGAATGCATGATGCGTGCTTTAGACCTCCTTCTACAACTAGGTGCCGTAAACGACGAGTGCGAATTGACCGAGTGCGGCCGCAAACTTGCTGAATTCCCCTTGGATCCGCAGTTGGGAAAGTGCTTGCTTAGAGCATCGGAGTTGGGCGTGACGAAGCAGATGGCAGCGATTATTGCGTTGATTAGTGGGGCGCCTGCGCATATGCGACCACGGATGTACCAAAAACAGGCGGACCGAGCACACAAGAAATTCAACAGTGTGCACGGCGATCACCTGACGATGCTGAATATTTTCGAAGCGTACTAATCTATCATTTTTTGGCATTTTACTTTATACTGTAGTACAAGCAAACATTCCCTCCCCCGTCTGACTGTTGACTAGATGTAAGTACGACAAAGATTTTGATTTTCTATTAAAGCAGTAGGTACTCGCGTCGCTCTCTATCGCCATCCATGCAACAAGCTACAGCATCCTGTCACAATCTTCACAAAAACACCGATGATACACAGGTACGAAGCCAACAAGGCGAATTTGAAGCAGTGGGCGTACGAAAACTACCTCAAAGACCGTTCTCTCTCTAGTGCCGGTTCAGTCCAACGGCAGCTCCTCCGGCTCTGCGCCAAACTCGACGTGCCCGTCTCGGACAACGCTCCTACCGAAGAAGGCGACACTGTCCAATCTGCGATTAGAAAAGCCTTAATCGCAGGCTTCTTCCAGCAGGTGGCGCATATATCTGGGAAGCAATATACGACGGTTCGAGACCGGCAGTTGGTGGAGATCCATCCTGGCAGCGGGTTGGAGCACAAGCCGGAATGGATACTGTACCACGAACTGGTCTTGACCGACAAAAATTACTTGAGAACAGTGACGGCTTTGAGGTCCGAGTGGCTGGTGTCGGAAAAGCCAACTTTTTTTCCGGATCAAGTGGTGAATGAGGAAGCAAGAAAGGGGTTGCAAAGATATGTGAAGAAATGAGTGCCGTGACTTTCAAGATGACTATGCGGGTGTTGTTGCTATGGATGAGCAATTTTTTTTTGGTCAACAAGTGGTGCATGGATTGTCATGATCCCTTCACCTTCTGCCATGATCAATAGATTATTCGTTGAATCTTCAACAAATGCAATCTTCTTTCGTTAAGTATGTATCCTCCTGCATGAAGAAAAATCCTAATCCTTTGTTTTTCACTCTGTTGACATGGAGTTAACAAGAAGAAGCCATATGTCCTCTTCGTCCTATCCGACAAGGGCTAACAAGGAGAAGGTGCTTGGCCATGTCGTGTCTTTATCCTCCTCTGTGAGATCAGATGTTCTTTGTCAACATGAAGAACAGCGATAATAGTGTAAACAGATACGCAAGCTGAGTGAAGAGAGGTGTGCCCATGAAGTGAGATTAATCTGTTGGAATCTGTTCGGGCTGGTAACTACAATAGTGTCATCTGTGGCCATCATGAAGAGCGTGGTGGCCCTTCGGTGGAGAAAAGATTCTGTTATATTTGATACTTACATTTGAATTTGGGTAATTTGATACCCCGAAGATTACTTAGTGCAAAAGCAATAAATGCTGCAAATTAATGATTGTAGGTACATATTAGATCCCTGCTGTAGTTGGTCGTGATGGATCATCTCTGAATTTTTCACCATTTTGTCAAGGCGCTCAGGAGTTCCACTAAGATAGGAAGCAAAGATAGGAAGATAGAGCTGGAAGGATAGAGGCCCAAAGCATCAACACGATCAGGCCAACCCCCTCGTTCACTCAGCAAGCTCAACACGAAAATATTATAATGACAGATTGCATCAGATTGATTAATCACAAGATGTGGCCATTACTCTTTGTCGATTGTGAGATAATGGTGCACTATAAACGTCTTAGCATCGTCGGTCATCTACGATGCTATTAACATCGCCATGAATCAGCACCATTATATCACTCGCACACCGAGACGAGCAACAAATGCGTTTCTTCTTTGACCGTTGCAAAATGAGCACCATCCGATGGTCTACTAGCTGATTTGACCGTCGTGACTGTCACGATTATGCATCCGTTGTTGCACCGATCAGAAGTTTTGCCAAGATCGAGCTTCGAGACGAACTAGACTCTCTAGAACCTGCAGATGTGTGGTGTGAGTATCCTAGGGTTTTAGACCATCTCCTAGACCCGAACTCTAGTTACTATAGCGGGACGTTGCGGCCTCGCGTAACTCACCGTGCTCTAGTAGGACAGGCTAGGGATGCGACACGAGAGAACACAGGCTCACAGGGATCTCGAGGAGCCAACAGCTACAACACTAAATATGCATCCGTTGTTGCACCGAACCGTTGAAGAAGATGATGCCTCCTCGTGGTCGCTTTTTAGAAGTTGTCGTGATAGTACTTAATACTACTACTAGTAGTTGTTGTTCTTGTTGTACTCAGTTGTTCTTGTTGTGATCACTTTCGGTTCGCGATCACTTTCGGCTCACCCAAAGGCGATCACTACTAGCGTTGTCAGGAGGATGATCTGATACTACGAGTCGTGGCGCTGTAAGAAGAAGCTGCTTGTTGGCCATGCGTCGACGTCCTCTGTACTACTTCTAGGATGAAGGTCTCTTCAGTTTCTAACTTGAGGGAAAGAAGGAACCTCCTGAGATATGAAGTCGGAAATGGACTCATGCGCCTCTGGGCTTAATCGAAATACGCCAAAAGTCATACGTGATTGGAAGCTGAGTGCATCATCATCAATCAGGATCGGCGCATGAGGCGCGTCAGGGCGATTGGCAGGGTGAAAAATAGAGTAACGAGAGGAGCAGGAACCTGCCTTCAGAAAGAACAATGACCCTGATTCATCCTAGTAGAGGATTTCGCAACTACTACTTAAAGTTGCAGAACTAAGTACAAGGTCTCTGCCGTCCGCTGTTTTTGTCAACAGAATATGATCCAGCGCAATATTTTTAACAGCTTGTTGTATTTCTACTATCCTTCCTTTTTCTTTTTCTAGTTAGTTTGGCTCCACCCATGTCTATAATGCATGGATCAAGAACTTGTATGATGGACGAGGATGCACCCAGCCCTTTGCCTTCGGTCTTCCGAATCGTGTTCGACTGGTCACTGAGTCCGTGCACCACCTTTACCGACTTCCAGTCACGATTTGCAGTCGATGTCGATGCTAGAAGGTATGCCCGTAAAACAACCAAGGATATCGAAGCCTACATTGACCAGGAGTGGGAAGCGACGAAGCAGCAAATTAAATGCTGGAATGGAACTAAATTTCGGGTGCATGCTTGCGTAGAAGAAGGTGGGCTTGGAGGGCCCAAGGCGCCAACAAAGTCAAAGTCGCCAATTCTACAGATAGGCATTTCCGACTTCCGCTCCTTTGTGGGCACAACATTGCGTGTGCTCGATGGTTCTACGCCAAGTGTGGGATGCTGCGTCTTCGCCGCGCATCCGCCAGGAGCTGTTGAGGGAAGTTGTCGGAGGACATTGGTTGAGAGAGTAAAGGGAGTCACGGAAGAACCTTCTAGGGTCCACGTCGATATTCGAGACTATCTGAGTCAATGCATAGGGAATGTCTTGCTTATCGAAACTAGCGATGGCTATTGCGCATCGCCTAAGCGGGGAGTTGATACGCCAAATCTACCCGGTTATTACTCTTTTTCTGGTGGTTTCTACGAGCCAAAGGTGGTTGCGAAGGCATTCCGAGAACGTGCTAAAGCAAAAGACGAAGAAGTGGGAGATGCGCTGCCGCTGTTCGAGAACATGTCTACAGATGCATCAGAAAGCGACGCTAAGACAACAACCTGCGAAGAACTGAGCGAATCTGACAGAAAGTTGCTGCATACCTGCATTTACTTAAGACTAGTTCGTGACACTAAAAGTCTAAATATGATGGTTCGACCTGTGCTGTTCGCGTCTTGGCTTCGTTCACGTTCACTATCAGACCTTACCTCTAGTACGGGTGCTAGGAACAGCATCATCGATCAGGGCAAAAATTATATATTCGACATCTTCTATAAACTAAACTTCTATGCCACCTTAGCAGTTCTAATCTATGAAGAGTTGTGGTCCCTTCGTGAAATTGAGGAGGAAACGGGCATTTTGGAGCACAGCCACATAGAGGAACAGCGATGTCTCGGATTGGCAGAGCGTGCGGATGGAATGATGCTGTTCCTGTTCCACCTGAAGTTGCGTATTTCGCGTGAAGATGTGCAAAAACTGTACGAAGCGAATCCACACGAGGACGCTGCAGAAAGTACGGGGTTGTTATGGGCGCCGCTGTTCGAGTCGAAGACGAAGTCTTCAACAGCAGAAAACCCAGTTGTACACATGATCCCTTTTGTGGACAACAACATCGGCGAGCATATGCTGTATGATCCGAGTGGTGTAGAACGCTACCTGAAGACGTCACCGTTTCCGGAAAAGGAGAAGACGTTAAGGCTGTGTACTGACCAGTATTTTGGTCGATAGTCTTGTCTGGCAAGTAGAAGTGGCATCATTCTCGTGTCATTTTCTAGTTGTATTCAAACTACTTACATCGAACACCTCAAGAATAGGTACAATCATCATCATCATCAGCACGAGATGTCTTTGCTCCTCTAAAAAACCTTGCGAGCAGTTGTGTTTACGCTATGCTGCACCAGCTGTACAGATCAAGACTGAACGATGTGGAAACTTGACGCATATTCACGCGTTATTCTGTAAGAACTCAATGACACAGATGGTTGGTCGACGCTGAGAGTCATCCACCGTTGTATTTTTTTAACATGTGTTCCTGCCTGTGCCTCATGAGTCATCATGAAGTTGTAGATTACCTCATTTATTTTTGCAAGAAAAACGAGCTTCTGGAGCGTAGTGTTCAATCACGTCTTCGTAGGTCGTGTAGGTGTTCTTTCTCTTGAATTGAGACCGATCTATCTGCGATGATGTAAGCGAGGGCTTTCTTAAAGAATACTTAATATGATGATGTCAAAAAATTGGAAATTCGCGTTCCCTGTTTCCCCAAGTTTTGGTTCATATGGATAAATTTGTTAGTGACGGACCCATTGATTCACTGTTTGTTGTAGTTACAGTTTTTTCAAAGTTTTTTGTGAGAAGAACTCGATTTAATTCATGCAGGTTGCAATTGTATAAATTAACCGCGGCACAGTAGTGGTATACTGTAAGCAAACATAACGATCAAAAAATGGGCACCACAGCGTCGAAGACGTCCTCTCCGGATGCGGTGGTGAAGCTGCCGATGGTCCGGGAGTATGAGGCTGAGATACGCCGTCTCCGTAACGAGATGACAGCAAGGACCGAAAAGCGAGACCGTGAAAAACAGATGCTACTAGCAGTTAAGGCTTTTCATTTCTTGGTCCATCTTTAGAGATATCCTCGTCGTGTGTGAGAATCTTCAAAAGAAAGAGGGGGCTCACACATTTAGAAAGAACAAGGTCTCTCAAGATGGATGATGATCCATGCGAGCTCTAAAACAAGCGCTGGTGGCGCAGTTGCACTTGCAGTTCTCGTTTCTGGTGGTCTCGGTGCTCGTGTCGCCGCGCAGAGGGCAGCACGGCAGCTAAGGGAAAAGCAACAGATTTGGCATCGTCGTGTGGAAGTATTAGAGAAGGAGGTGGCGAAGGAGAAGCGATTTGCGGTACAAGGCTTAACAAAAGAACTCCTAACTGTCACAGATAATCTAGAACTTTGTCTCCGCAGCATGCGACACGAGGAACAACTAGCGAAATTGCTAGTGGCGAGCTCTATTGGTGGCAAAGATGTTGTTTGTGCATCAGAATCTGGTAGCTCATCAAGTACCAACCCGCGGAAAAAGACCATAAAGATAGAGAATTCAATAGCTCAAACTTCTGCTGGGTTAAATGCTGGAGATGCTGAAGTAGACAGCTCCGAGTTTTTCAGACGGACCTCTTCGGCTAATTTGAGCGGTAAACACCTTTCGTCTGCGGGTTCCAGTAGTGGCAGTAGCGTCAACAGTTATGGCTCATTTATTGTGACCTAGAGATATTGTTCACATGTACTCATTCATTGTGTACCATTGTTCATATGTACTCATATCCCGTAGAAGAAGTGCCCTAGAAGAGACTCTTTCATGGGGATACATTTTCGTCACAATAAATAATATGTTTCACTGACGAGATTTACATCTTTAGCTCTCCTTTCTTTCCAATCCTTTTTATCTCTAACCTTCCGCGTCCGTGCAGCATGAGACTTTGAAATCGCTGCTAGATGGCGTCGAGTTGACGGAGAAGAGCTTGCTTCACGTCCTCGGAAAATATGGCGTCACACCCATCGAAGCGACGCCTTTGGAGAGCGAGTTTGATCCCAATGTACACGAAGCTATGTACCAGAAAGGAGATGTGGAATCAAATAAGATTGCTCAAGTCGAGCGGCGTGGCTTTTATCTTCACGATCGGGTTTTGCGACCTACTAGAGTTGCGGTGGGAAGTCAGAAACCAACTTCTTCTACGATTGACGAGCAGAGGACGAGCGCTGTTGCGGAGGAGGAAGAGAAGCGAAGTGTTGACATCAAGGAAGAGAAGCCAAGCTTTGTTGAAGAGAAGAAAGAAGGATTCAACATGGCGATTGCATGAAGGATTCAACATGGCCTGGACGCGCGAAAAGTATGTTGTGATGTGTGAAAGTTTTTTTTGTTAAGATTAGATTTAGTTGTAAGTACATGAAGATGATGAACATGAACAAGAATTAGCATCCTTTCCGAATAATCAATGTATTTTAAGGAAATTTTGGTTTTGATATTGTCATGGAATAATTGGGAAGGTGAAGAAAAGCTTCCTTACTCCAAGCATTAAGGGTGGCAATCTCCGATTCGACTTTCGTCCAAGTGCTCGTGCGGTGTTCCGTGCACGCTTGTGCAAGAAAAAGACCATGAGATCAGAGACGAAATGGACAGATGAGAGACGAAAGCGAGTGCTTCAGAGAATATGTGTGTTGATCTTTTAACTGGTGATGAGGAGAAAAGACGCTGAGTTAAGTAGCTTGGACGGCAGGAGATGGTGTACGTGCAACACTGTGATCGGATCATCCAGGAAGGCGGCCAAAATGTGATTTGACGTTTTTTTATGCTATCTCAGTCATCAACACTTTTACACTAAGAGCAACAAAAAATCAACGCAATTTAATGGATCTGTTCGCAACGTGCTGTGAGCCGAGCAACGTGGCTCACGGAACCCAGACGTTGCAGTTCCAATCTTGTGCTAGGTCCGAACAGCATCCTCTGAAGCAACAACAAGTTACAAAGAACGCAGATGCCTTTTTTATCTCGGATTACGCCATCGGCGTTTGTGACGGCGTTTCAGCGGTCGAATATGAAGGAGTGGACAGCTCAAAATTGCCTCGGGATTTGGTCTACCACCTAGAAAAACTGCTTGCGAATAGGGCAAGGGATCGGAGAGAGTATTAATGACTAATACAAAGTAGTTTTAAAGAAAACCAATAGAAGACGAGGAGAGAAGTAGGTGTGCTACAATGAATTTGTTACAACGACTATCACAATTCACATTGCACCACAGGTGGCGTCTAGAGCGTCGTAATTTCCTTGAGCGGACAGTGCAGAACGGTGTTTGTGTGTCGCCTGGCCAAAAGCAGGGATGGGACAACTTCTTTGCTGGTGGCATTGTGAAGAGCGCTCTCCAGGCTCTCGCGCCCACCTTTGTACCACAAGCAGAAGAAGCACAGGAAAGCCTGCAAGCACTGCGTTTGGAACTTCTTCTGCTAGACATCGGCTCGCAGGAGGATGCACGTGAAATTCTGGAGTCAATATTAGGTGGTGGCTGCGCTGACGCTTGGAGGGAACATCATCAGGGGACTAGTTCTACGTCTACCTCGTCGACGAATGAGTGTGAACAACAGCAACATGCGCAAGCCTCCTCCTCTTCGTCTTGTAGTACAACTCCTATCTTCCATTTTACGCGTGCACATGGCAGATATGCAACGAGTGGAGTAGTGCAGATGACTGCAAGAGGCCTAAAAGTACTTGGTGCCGCTCGAAATGGGTTGTGTAAACTCTATCCGGACGACGCGGAGTTCATACGCGAAGAACGAGCTGGAGTAACCCAGTTCTTGGTACGGTTGTTGTTATGGCGAGGAAATCAGTGCTGATGTAAATTTGTTTATTTCAAGTTTATCTTTATGGTTCAGCTTTTTTCGGTTTTTGTTTTTTCTAGTTAGATAGGCTCTATCAACTTTATGGTTCATGTTTGTTGGTAACAAACTCTGCTATTTTCAACACATGTAGTTCTGTAGCAGTTGTAGCTTTTTCTTCTAATATTCGCCCTCCTCGACTGTTTCTTCGCTGAACGCGTGAGCAGGAGGAGAGCCGCCGAAGCTGCCAGTCTAGAAGCGGCTGCGAAAGCCGGATACTCCCGTGTGGCTTCACCTACAGGGCTGCTCAATTTTTGGCCTCCTGCGTTGCTCAGTCCTGCTTCCTTACTCCATAGTCCTGGTGAAGAAGGCAGTACTAGTAGTAGGAGTAGGACAGTCAACGGGAATGGTATTGGAGGTATCAGTAGTACATTTCCAGCTTTTTTCTCGTCAGGTGCTCGACTAAGTGGTGGTCCCGCGCTGTTGTCTAGTAATGTAGCAACACTGGTGCCATCTTCAGACACGCTGGACGGATCGGATCCTGCGCACGAACTGAATCGCACCGTGTTTTCGCCAAGCATGAGGACGGCAGAGGAGAGCTCATCATCACACGAATTCGCGTCTCTGAGGGATGAATGGTCATTAAGGTGGCTTAATCGTGAGGGTCAACTTCAGAACAAGTATCTATTGGTGGAGAATCATGAGTTTACTGTATCAAGAACCTCGCGCTGGAGGTACAGGTACAACTTGAACGTGTCTGCAAAAAGAGTATCAGTATCTTAATATCATATCATCTTTCTAAGAGAAGCCACAGAAGGTCTGCTCACACCAACGGGATTGACGCCAACAGGCTTGACACCGACAACGGAACTAGGTCAACCAGTGCCTCTAGTACCTACAGAATCAACATCTGTACCTCCAGAATCAACGTCTTCAACCACGGCTGAAGACGTTGATAAAACAGTTGACTTCTTTCCCGCCATCCGTGAAACAGCCTCTAGCCCAATGAAACACGTTGCTACCACTTCATCTCTCAAAGCAACCAAGCTATCTAAAAAAGGAGTCTCGGTTTCAGAAGCGGAGACTCAGTCTACCTCTTGCGAAGAATCAATCAGTTCGTCGATAAAAACAGGGACTTCTGCAGCTACGCCGTCAACATCAGGTGGCTCTGCGCCAAAACTAGGAGAGATTTTTCTATCAGTGCCGTCTTTAGGATCACCAGCTGCGAGAAGTCCAACGACACTGCTGCAGATGAGAAGCACAGTGACTGCTTCGGCAAGTACAACAATTATGCTCGTGTCACGATCAATGCTAAACAAACTTCTTGTAACAGTTGCGTTAGATATCATATATTTTGAAATTCGGAAAAATACATGGAAGGAGAAGGACCGCTTGCTCCTTGATGAGTATCGATATTAGAGACATTCCTGTCTCCCTTCGTTTTGACCTCTGATAAATTTGAGGCCACATCATTCTCAGTCAGCATTCTTAGCCCACATTCCTACTCCACATCCGTGCCTTCAACTTCTAAGTTTCCTCGTTCCTCATCTTCTCCGCCCTGGGGTCCACCTAGGAGCGGCAGCCCCTATCTCACCCGAGCTGACATAGCAGAGGGAAAACGAATACTCCTAGACGCTGCCAGAGAGTACACGGACCCTCGAAGTGCACTACAGATGGCTTTTAATTTATGATGATCTTGTTCCGATCGCTTTTACTTTTTTTTTACGTTAGATTCATCAACAAAGACGAAGACTTGATAGATATCAACAGCAAAAGCAAGCATGAGTAGTCGAGCCTCGGTATTTCGTTTGTCTAGCAGTACCATCCAAAAGGAAAGCTAAGCTTTAACTTCCTCTAATCTATAGATGTCGAGATCTCGGGTCTACTACGGCAATGCTGCTCCTTCTCGAAAGCGATGTCTTACGCCCTTGCAACCTCGGCGATTGTGGCTATCTATTGCTGAGGAAAGAGGTATTAAGGGTCAGCGGCTTTATATGTTACCGCCTATTTGATATGTTGGAATTGGGATGGCCTGGGGGATCGGAAGATGGATGGCCTGGGGGATTGGGCCGCGGAAGATGGATGGCCTGGGGGATCGGAAGATGGATGGCCTGGGGGATTGGTCATTTCAAGCACCTTCCTCGCCGCTGTGGAAGTGTGTTTTCGACTATGCGCGAAAGATTTTCGACTATCCATGAAATTCTACCCACACTGTACTCGGAACTCAGGGCGGAGCCATGACGCTGGTTTTAGTTCTGGCCAACGCCCCACTTCCAATCCCCCAGGCCATCCAGTTCCGTGATGCAGAAGGTGGATGGCCTGGGGGATTGGAAGTGGCCTAGTGGCCACGCACTCTGCGGCGTTCAAGGAATGCGCTGAGAAGGGTGAGCGCGTTGCCTATCATTTTGTTATGGACTAGCGCTATTGTTATGGACTAGCGCTATTGTTATGGACTGGCGCCAAGGCCAATAGTATCAGCAGACCACGCGGACAAAAAAGCGAATCGTTCTGCTTTCACGGAAGTCGTCGAGAAGGGCGAGTTTGGTGGGCAACGAAGCCGCGCTCACCGCCTGTTCCAGGCGCAGCGCCTCGGGGGACTGTGGTATGAGAATTCCCAAAGCAATGGGTGCACACTGGGCCTGGATCTATCTCTTAGCGCCCGCAGCGCCAACATCACCCAGCGGCAGCGGAGCGGCGGAGGCGTACCCCATTGCCCGGGAAGTTTCTGGAGGTGGCAGCGACTAAGCCAAACAAAAGGCGCGTGAAGCGTGGGCCCACCGCTTGACGCTGCACACGCTCACCGGAGTCTCCTGACACCAAGGAAGAAGCGCAGACGGAAACGCCTGGGGCGCCCGTTTTGGATGCATAAGAGTGCCCGCGTGCTTCTGTCTATGCATGGCTGGGCCTTGCTGAGATTCGGGCCGGCGACCTCGTAGGCGGGGCTGAGACAGTCAACCGCTGCGCCAAAACCAACGAACTGCGACCCGCTACGCAACGCGGCTGGTGCGCCGGACAGGTGCGGGGCTTTTTTGCTGTTGAGAGAGCGAGGGGGCGCAGGCCGTGGGTGGCTGTGTTGCTGTTTACTCTTATGGGCTCCATCTCCACGCCCTCCCTCATTGTCTTCCACCCGAGGGCGTTTAACTACGGCGCGCGCGTCACTATCTACCAGCTGGCCAGTCATGAATGGCTTTTTGTTTTTTTATCTCTTAATCCATTCTCAGGAGTCTCCTCAGAGCAGGCGATCGCCTCGCGAGTGCAGCGTGGGAGGAGATAGAGACGCTAATGCGCCAAAGAAGTACGAGGTGGTTGCGCGCTCTGTGTCGCAGCTGCATGCATTCATTATGGCTTCTTCGTTGTCAGTACTTGTCTTCTTCCTTCAAACGTTCTGTGAAAAGTTAAAATTCTTCCTCCTATGCACTGACCTGATGTATTGGTTGTTTTTCTCGACAAATCAATGAATGTTTTACTAGACTTCTCCTAACTAGTTCTTCATCAAGCATCCGCAAGTACTTAGTTGTTTGTCTTTCTTTCGTCTCCATCTAACATCCATTGTCCGTATCAGCTGACGCGCATGCCTGACGTACCATACGACAGCATAGATTTCGAGTGGTCGCAGAGTCATAGAGCCGAGTTAGCCGATCCAATACGCGTAAAAGAAGGAGATGTCCTCATCTGCGGAAGCGATGGCCTATTCGATAACGTCTTTGATTAAGGCTCTCTATTGCCAAGATCTTCATGAGGATGACTGAAGGTAGTTGTGCTATAAAATCGGACTAGAAATTGTGGCTAGAAATTGTACATATGAAGATGAGCACAAGAAGGATGATATTACATGTTCGTTACTACTTAATCATCTCAGGACCAGAACCTGCTTTCTTGAAGTCGTGTCACTCCTGCTTTTACGTGCCGTGGTCTTTCTTCTCTCTAATCTTCAAGTAAGATTTTATCCATTGTTTCCGAATGTTGTTGCTCAGCTTCTTCTGGGATCACGGGTCCGGAGGATGCGGCTGGGGGTGGAGGAATAGAACCGTTAAGCGAGAAAAAAATCTGCCAGAGGCTTTTTAATGAGGCCATCGCCTGCGCTTACCCAACAGGGCATCAGACTCCATTCTTATGGTGACCAAGATGAGAGGATCCTCAGCATCCTCATACAGCATTCATCATCATTGGCAAGAGAGCATGCTCAACAAAGCTCAGCATCCATCATCACTGATTGGGCTCTTTCTCAAGCATCAGTACGTAGAAAAAGAACGCCAACAAGCGCAAGGATATAGCTCGTCTCAGGGATGTGTCGATGCGGTGGCTCTAAGATTTTCAATGGCCTGCAGTGAGCGGTGGGACAGGGATATGGCAGGAGGAAAGCCTGACGATACCACAGTGATCGTCAGTGTCGTGCGTCGGAAAGGCAGTAGCGGAGCAGATGAGTTTACTATTTTTTTTAAGGCTTGATGATCGGTCCGACAACAGTGGCGAACTTTTCCAATTGTGGGATCCTAGAATCTAGTCAGGAATTGGCTTATTGATATTCGGAGTTCTAACTTTTGAGCTGCGGTTCGTTGGAGGAAAGGAGAAGCAAACTACGTCCCTGTGTACGAAAATCGAAGGTCTTCGACTTCGCTTCATTTGTTCATACGTGCGTTGCTGTATAATTGTGTTTCAAAAATGTAGCTCGATCTAGTTCGTGTAGAGATTCGGTATACTAGTTCGTTGGAGTAGTTGTTTACTGTTTTCCGCTGCTGTGCATCATGTCATACTACTAAAACTAGGTAGTCAATAAGAAAGGTACTGGCTACGTCTACCATCCATGATCCAGAGGATCTGTACCGCGTTTTTCCCGTAAATCTTCGGTTTAACTCTCGTTCTCGTGTTTCAAATTTGTTTGCCATTTTTTTCGAACCTGACTAACGTCACAACCCCGAAATTAGAAGCGTCGTGGCTCTCGCGTCGCAGAAGACAATCGCTATCGCAGTGTACCAATATCTAATAGAACAATCGCGCTACTAGTTGTAAGAGTTCGCACTATTCGCCAGCCTGATACTAGAATGTAATCGCAATAGAACAACCATCAATCGATAGCCTGGACAATATTCGTGTCGTCGACTCGATGACGAGTAAGCAAAGCATGTTAGTATCGTCGTCGACATTTCGATAGTTTTAGGGAAGCCTGAGTCAGCCTACAAATCGACTCGGCTTATTTTTTTTTTCGGGAAATTATTTAAATCCCTATCATGGCTCGTTGTGGTTGTTCGTTATATTAATGGTCTCTGGCATAGTCGTATCGTTAATTGTACCTTGTAACCTTTATAATCGAAGTATAGTTTCGAGACGGGATATTATCGTTGGTTTTTCCTGTATAAAAATATCGATACTTTTTATCATGCGTAATTTGCACAGTCAGTATCTATAGCTAATGTTTCCTTACGGCAACATCAATGAACATTCATGAAAAATACGCATGTTTATGATGTTGTCATTGAGCTTCGATAGTACCTATCGGTCTATGCATATAGTTCGTCGAGATTAAGAATCAGATCATTGTTGTTGTAGAGATGTCAACATCGCTCATAGATCATATACACGACTCTCTGTTGTGCATTTAAAAGCATGCATTTGCATGTTGTCATAATCACAGCCTTCACAATGAAATAGTGAAAATGAACTATGGAGGATGATTTTATTGAAGCTGAGTTGTGAGAGCTTTTCTAAGTGGTAGTAGCTTGAATAATCTGCAAGCAGCTGCTGGGGTGCAAGGTAGTGGTGGGTTATGAACTTTTTGTTGGTCATTAATCTATTTATTTTAGCCTTCTTGTTGTGATGTTCGTTGATGCTAGTCGCCGCCACGATAATCGCTGCCGATCTAAAGTAGAGGAACATCGCTTATATCGGTGATTTATAGGACGCATCTGGAAAAGAAAATCGGGCTTCGGCAGAACTGTAGAATTTTTTTCTCAGTTTCCTGTCTACGCCAACCTGCTCTCACTCTGTTTTTAGTCACTAAGGAGCTCGAGCTACATCTTCCTCGTTGTACAACTTGTACTTTTCTTCTTGCACTGAGAAGCTATTAGTACTGACAGAAAAGTTCTTTACAGGTAAGGACTTCCGAATAAGCAAAAGTTAGCGTATTTTCAAATATTGGCTTCTTAGTGCGTCAGTAGCTACCTCCAGAACAGGTAAATGAGTGAGTGAATGAATGTCTTCATGTAGAATCAGCCTACCACCTCTAGAATAGGTACAATCATCATCATCATACTTCTTGCTCGATCGCTTCCCTCATCTCTGACTCTCTCTGTCCTTTTCCTTGAATCACAACACACAAACATCATGCCTGAGCAACCGACCGATCCGTTCCGTGCTCTCTTCCTTGCGGCCGTGGAGTCCGCGCTTTCTCGGGGGCCTAACTCCGAAAGTTTGCTAGAATTGTTGCGAACCGCTACGCCTGGATTGTCTTATGAAACTTAGACTTAAGAATCCAGTTGTAGATAAACAATTTACTTAAGTACTAGTTTTGCAAATGGGGCAATTATTAAGTACATCAACTAACTTACTAATACTAGCTCAGGAGTTCTTTTCGCTTAATGTTCCTAGAAGTTTAGTTCCTCAAATGAATAAGTACTAAAAACTAGCTCATGTTGACGAGGACTCCTGGTTTAGGACATCTTGGGGATGTTCTAATCTTATGCAGCCGAATTGAGCGGGACGAATTCCAGGGAGAAAGCACTGAAGACACTACAGCTCCGTTTACACCCGGACAAGCATGACCCGGCTACGAAGTCGCGCGCGACCGACCTCTTCCAGCAGCTCCACTCTTTCGTTGCATCTTGTAATCTCAAGCGCGAGTCAGATCATGAGCAGGATGATGGATTTTTTGTGGCTCAGAAGAGGCCTAAAAAGAGCAACTCCGGAGGAGGTGTAGGCACAGCTTCTTCTAGTGCGTCTTCTAGTTCATCTGCAACGTCGAATAAAGCGCCCAATCCAGCACAGAATAGCAGCTGTAGCGATCACGTCGGAGGAGGGGATGGGAAGAAGAAAAGTGGTGCCACACCAGCGTCATCCAGTTGTACTTCTACAACTACTTCTAGAGGAAAGGAAAACAAGTCGAGTACAACATCAAAATCAAAGGAAGCAGGAGGAGCAGAAGAATTGTTCCCTGACAGCTTCAACTGTTTTGAGGCCTGGAAATTCCTGAGAGCTGATACGTTCCGACCAGAAGGATGTCCGCTCACGATATGCGCAAACGTGCGAGGACAAATAGCAAGGGGTGATGCAGTTGGAAGCCAGTTCCTCTTCACTAGCGACTGGACTGGTCCTCTACGATCGCTCAACAAAGACACGGAGAAGAACCAAGGAGAACAGACGAGCAGTAACGCCTCTTCTTCCTCGTCCTCCTCTTCCTCAATTATAGATGAAATCAAAACGCAGTTAATGCGTGACGGTCCTGTAGTCAGCCAGTCGTTCGTCCTTCGAACGAGATTCAAGACGCAGCATAGTACCGCTTTCGCGTCATTGCCAGTCGATACGGCAGTCTCCGTCGTTATCTACGGCTGGACACAAACTACCACAGGAGATGCGTGGCTGTTGTGGCCTCCAGCAAATTCTATGAAATTCCCTGTGCCACAAGTTTGTGCAACGACAACTGCGAGTAAGGTCATGGGAGCTTGGCTCAATAGCCATGGCGAACCGATTAGCAGCAATCCTCTTTCGCCAACATCGTCTGCTGCTAATGGCACGGTCCTAGTCGGATTTCACCAGTTTGGTATCGAAGACAGCGTTTGCTACGTTCCACCGAGCACTTTGTTGGATGTCCCTTGGTTTCGTAGCGTGTCACCGTATGTGGAATTGGAGAAGAAACAAGCGATTGAGATTGTTAAGGCTCGAGTAGCTTTTCATTTTTTTCCGACTTGTTTCTATGTTTATGTCTTACAACCTTGCTGCCAGTTATATACTTGGCGGATATTTTTAAGTAGGATGACACATTTATATTACATTTACAGCCTCTAAAGTCAGAGGCGAGAGGTTCGTAGTATCCGATTCTAGGCCAGACTTCCTGCAGACGATACTATCAGCCCTAGCGGACCATAAGATCCCCGGTTTTCAAGCAGCGGTCGAAGCAGGAACGCAAGTGCATTTTTTCTTATGGAACGCAAGTGCATTTTTTCCCAAGAAAAACATGAAAATCTCCCCTTCCGCCACAACCGGTAGCCCCTATACCTCATGAATAGGTACATCAATCAATCAATGAATTGTGTAAACTTCAACTTTTAACTTCAACTTTTAACTTACAGACTCCTAGTGGTCTCCATGAATATAATCGTCAGCTACTGTTAGAGGTAGAAGAAATCCATCTTCAGCAGCATCGTGAGGCTCCTTTTCCCTTTAAAAACGGGACGAGGATGCCTCTGAAAATGGGAGATTTCTTCTAGCCTTAATACTGGAAGCACTCACCTAAAAAACCTTTTTCCGTCTAATGCCCGAACCCGGCCATAAAGGCCGTAGCCGAGGAGCGATGTTATCGGAACTAACGTTCTTGCCCAACACAAAGCAATGGTTGGTCGTTATGCAGTGGGCGCCTGCCGAATGAAAAAGCGTGATATCTCTGATAAAAAAGCAGAGTCTTGGAGGTTTGGAGAAAGGTCTGCTGGAGTTCTGTTTTGTATGTCTATGAGCAGGACCAGACTCGTAACTCCCTTCAAGTGAGAATAGCCAGTAGGTCTGCTTTGGGAAGTTGCGCGATCTAAAATTAGCCCAAACACAGGAGTAGGTCTGTTCCCAAACATCGATTCCCCTTGGAAGTTACGCGAAAAGCGCAGTAGGTTTGCTTTGGGACAGACCAAGGGAATTTTCACCACATTTAGCAGGAGATCGATGTTGTACTAGCTAGGAATAACATCATAATATGGAAGTGCGTCAACAGTTTCTATTGAGTGGGAAGCTATCATTAAGATGCTCATTCAAGAACATGCAGTCGTCCATGCACATGCTAGTTACAACAACAAACGTGCTCATCTATTTTTGCTTTCATGAGGACTTTTCTTAATGAGGAGGATCTAAAATTAGCGCAAATTTGCAACTCTACGCTTAAAGTTACAACCACGTTAATCACAACGAGCATTCACGAGTATGTTTTCGTCTGTCGTGCTTATCTATGTCAGGACATGTCAGAGAAGTCTACTACGTCGTCATTGAACATTCTAAGCCATGTACTGGCTTTGGGGAGCTATAATCAATTCACATCTAACGAACTGGTCATGAATTTGCATACAACAATTAGAACTACAGTCGTCGTCCCGCGTAGCTATCCCGAACAGATATTTTGTAGGTACATCTTCCTCATCGACGCATGTGACTCTTTTACAACGACTCGCTGCCACCAACAGTCAGAAAAACAAATGTTGAGAAGGAGTCAACTCCGTCAAACTCAGATGTAAAATTTTCAATTTTATTTGAGACTCTGGGCGAGCTCGCCACTGCCTCGCGTTTCCCTGTGTTGCGGCTATATCGCGACCATACTAACACCAGCGGACTAATTGGGCCCCGCGTACGACTCTCGGGCTGCATGATGTTGGAGTACCACCAGGCTCCCTATAGTAACTAACTAACTAACTCTTCCCCATCGACGCATTTGACTCTTTTACAACTGACTCTTACAGTGACTTATGGTATATATTATATGATCGGCTATAACGGCTACAACTCACATCAGTATTCGCTCAGTATCCAGTGATCGCGTGACCGCTGACGGTAAGACCTGGAGGCGCGAACGCGAAGAGGAATCAGCAATTTCTGTGATGATCAAAAGATGAGTGAAAAACAGCATCAGGACAACAAAAATGTCCACATTCAGTCTCTGAGTCGCTCTGCAGAGGCATGCTTTTTGTCTGTCTCACATGGGAAAAAATCTCGATCCATAAAAATGACGCACCCATGTCACGTCTTCGAATCGGTTGAGGTCTTGAGCAGCGTCGATCTAGATCAAGCTTTGTTGGTATTGAATGATCAAATTTCACCCTGCGCCTCTTTTTCTCCTGTAGAGTATTGGTTTTTGCTTCCGCCAAAAAATGTCAGGCCTACTAAAAAGTGACTGACTGGACTTTTGGTCGTAATCGCTGACCGTTGATACGTTTATTCGAGGAAAATACTTTTTTACGTCTACAATTTTTACGATAAATTGATAGAACCAATTATGATCTAAACACGACCGAGTATTGTAAAACCAGAAAGCAGTATTAAGACTGTACATCGTCTACACGTTTCACGTACGTTTTTTTGTGATGAAGACATCATTCAGAAGAGAGCTCAGCTCAAATAGTAGATGCAATGTAGTTTAAGTTTAGTCCTAGTTATCACTCACATTTTTTTTGAAGAATTGAATCAACCATAGGCTAATGACCTTAGACGTCAATGCTAATTCTCTGAATTATTACTTGAATATTGTACTACTTCTACTTCCACTAGTACATACTAGTTTCAACTTATATTTTATCACCTCGTCGTTCGTACGTTTTGCTTTACTAATTATCATCCAAGCAAGGGATAAAGTAAGAACAATAACACTGACGAGGAGACTAATGAGTACTCAAAGAGTTTGGTGTTGATTATCAAGTCCATCTAAAGATTAAGGAGTTTGAGTCGGCTAGTAAAATCGTCAACGATGACTAGTCGGCATTGATTCTCTGGATATACAAGCCTCTACTACCTACAACTAGATGAATATTACTACCTACAACTAGATGAATATTACAAGGTTACATTGATCTGATTACCTGCCTCGACTACTTGTTTAGACTTCTAATACTTCTACTTACTGCTAACAAACTACTTACTCTCTACTACAACTTAGTTCTTCTAGTACCCTATAAATATAATGGTATCCTTTCCGCTGTTTTTCTGCAGCGCGCTGGCGCTCGTCCTGCACGTCGCTGGCGTGGATGCGTGTCGGTCACAATCGGAATTTTCCGTGTTCCAATCTGGGTACACCGCAACGGCACTAAATAAAGCGAGTGTCAATACGAACAATGCTCGTCCTCGTGGTACTAGTGTTAAGGCTACAGACATTGATGGGGGAACCTGAAGGGGGTCGCTATCAGGAATTCGTAGAGCGACTCCCCTTCTATGGTTCTTCAGGTTGTGCTTCGTCGGAGAGGTTGAGAAGAAGTTTCTCAGCCGAGCAGATATTAACCTCTCTCCCGACGTCGATGTCATCTCAAGAGCAGAGGAACATGAATGCTTCATTTGCTGGGCAGAGAGTGAGTGCTCTCTTGTCCTCCACCTCTTCTGGGCAAGAAAGTACAACTACTGTTCCTGGCGCTTCTGGTTCTTCTTCTGATGTCTCTAATGGTGAAATAATAGCACAGGGGCTCGCCTTTGTCCAGGTGGAACGACGAGAGCAGATTCGAGAACTAGTGCAGCAAAAAAATACGCATGGTGTGACACCTCTTCTCGAATTGATGGCTTTATCTGAGGCTCTTCTATCGGGACAAGACCAATTATTAAGGCTTTCTGCAATCCATTTCCTTCGAGTTCGACGAGTCATTTCTACCTCGTCACTGCTTCTTTCCTGGGATTGGAAAAAATGCAGGTAGGAAGGAAGATCTAATTGGTTTGCCCCCTTCTAAGATTAGAGTCAGCGAGGTTTTTGCTTGTACGTGGCGCTGACACCAACGCCGTTATTGGGCCGCCGGTTACCCAAAGGGGACAGAGTCGCTCATTGATGGTCTTGTGATGGTCAGCTTTTATCCATCTTTCTCGGCATCCTGATCCCCTTTTCCCTTGTATTTCATGGGAAAGGGGTCAAGATGAGGGGACCGAGATGGATAAAGGCTGACTCTACTAATCTTGCAAGATACTGGTCCACTATATGCCGCCTGGAGTCGCGTAGGCGTTGATTGGCATACCATGGAAGGACGGAGAATGGAGCAGAATATTTCGGCGATGGCACTGCTTTTGGCATATGGAGCCGATTTTTTCGAACTTTTGCGCAAGGTACCTCATTATGACCGGCGCGCCTCCTAATGCCATTTTGAAGAGCATCTCAGAGACGCTTTCAAGTAGAGAAAGGTGTCAGCAAGAGGGTCTTCTTCGAAATGGGTTGGGTTGGTGTACGTAGGTTCTTCTAATTTCACACAGCATCTTCGCTATCAAGAGGAGGCACACTGCACTACAATTTGGAATCAACAGGAGACATATGCAGCACGTGGCCACTCATCAATGGGCGCTTTGCTACGCGAATGGTAGAATACTTGACACGTCGGTTGTCGTTGACCTCTCGGGCGCCGCCACCTTTGTCGCGTACGCAGCAGAGAAATATCATTGCAACAGCTGGTCGTGCACGTGCACCTATTAGTTCTGGGACAACCCCATCAACTTCACAACTTGGTTTATTTACGGCTTTCTTCTGAAGTATCTTCTGAAGCATCCTGAAGCTGTCCCATATTAAGGGGAAAGAAACACCAGAATGCGTCTCAAGATGGATACGGATGAGCTCTAATTTATCTTCCACATCCTCACCTAGAAGTAACACAGGTGGAGGTGGAACACAGGTGGAGCATCGTCAAGATGATGATCATCAGGACGACGGGCACGTCCATCCTCATCGATGTAGTCGAGAAGAAGATGAACTTCTGGAAGTAGGAGTCGCGGTTTCAACATCTTCGTCATCCTCCGCGACAGCGCCGACTACAGCAGGTGTGCCAGGCGTTGAAGTTCCAAGGATTTAAGGTTCTCAACACCTGCTAGGAGATGCACTTTAATAAATGAAGGTCCACTAAGACCAAGTAGTACGCGTCGGAATTAGATCTTCTATAAAGATCAGGACACGTTTTTTTAGAGAGTTGTTACCTGCTTCAACATACAGTCTTACCTTCTAACTCAGCCCAGCGACAGCCACAATAGGCCAACTAACTTCTTCAGCAAGAGCCGTTCTGCTTAGCAGTCCACCAGAACAGATTTTCACACAGGAATTTTTACCTGGTTACATGCTACAACGAACTGCTATTCTGGCGTGTGCCAAGGAAGGCTTCAAAAGCGCTCATTGCTACATTACGTCTGACTTCCTCTGGGAATCTCCCGTTTAATCTCCCATGATATTGAAATGAAGCAGCTAGGACTTAGGGAATCCCTCTATTTAGTACTAAGGGAGAAGTACAAGCTAAGGATCTAGGATGATTGCTTTTAAGATGGATTCCAGGTGGAGGGTCTAACTACAGTAATGCGACACTGCTCCAAGATGGACGCAGTCGTCTTTCGCGGCAGAGCTTGTTGGCGAACACAACTGAAGCACATCCGAAACGTTGGACGCTTTCTCCTGTTTAAGGCTTCAAGCAATTCGCGCACAGTCCACAACACGTCACTTGTTACTTTCCTTGTGACGCCGTAACTACAGAAGCGTCTGCTTTCAACACTCAAGCTGCATGTTTCTCATTTTTACTTAGCTATGCTTACTCGGTCAGCTATACAACTAAGTCTTGTTCTCCTAACCTTCGGAAGAAAGAGCAGGCGGAGAAACACCCTGTTCAAAGACAGTTGTTACGGACCAGGACATAGAGATCGATAAGAGGGCGTCTTCGTTGTTTGGCGAAAGCAATGAAGACGTGGTCAGGCGAACACGCTCTCTGCAGGACAAGGAGGAAGAAGCCATGAGAAGAAGACTAGCTCTCAGAGACTACTGCCCTCCGCCGAGGCAGCAGATGGTCCACGGGGCGTCTTCGTTGTTTAACGAAAGCAATGAAGACGTGGTCAGGCGAGCACGCTCTCTGCAGGACAAGAAGGAAGAAGCCATGAGAAGAAGGTTAGCTCTCAGAGACTACTGCCCTTCGCCGAGGCAGCAGATGGTCCACGGGGCGTCTTCGTTGTTTAACGAAAGCAATGAAGACGTGGTCAGGCGAACACGCTCTCTGCAGGACAAGAAGGAAGAAGCCATGAGAAGAAGGTTAGCTCTCAGAGACTACTGCCCTTCGCCGAGGCAGCAGATGGTCCACGACACGACTCAGACTCCTCGTATTAAGGCTCGTGATAATTATTCCTCTTGCTCTTCACAAGCTTCTTTCTCACAGTTTTTCTTTCTCACAGTTTTCTTCAGTTAAAAGATGAATGAAAGATCGAGATGCATTGTCGCGAAATCTCTAACACTAGTGCCTCCACTTCGCTCCGCTCGGGAAACATCTTCAAATGTATCTTCCGCTCGCCGTTAAAGCCTGCTGCGGAGTTCTTCTTGTCGAAAACAGTTGGCTCCTCCAAATTAAGAGCCCGGTCGAGTAGTGCAACCGCCACATCATCGACGACTACTACAACCCCGAAAGCGCCGACCAGGATGAAACAAGTACGGTCATTACGAAGGTGTAGTTGACGTTTGTTGTCCGTTGTGACAGCTCAACATAGAGATGAGAGATATTTCAGCTACAGCAAAAGATAGTGACGGTAAAAGCTTGAGATAAATTTCAAACATTCATCATCGCGTCATCGAGGAGAAGGTATATCGCTCCCAATTAGAGTCTCTAATACTCATTCCCGCCACACCTAAAGCTGTTTCAACATGCCCAGACCTTGGAAGTACAGCGATGAAAATCGATAGCTGCGATCTGGAGGAAGACTTCTGTTTTAGTAAGATTAAGGGTAGGTTAAAGGTGCTTTTGTTACCGTTTGTTATGGCTCTCCGAAGGGGGACAGGCATAACAAGCGGAATAAAGGAACACCAAGAACCTACCTCTAATAAGAGACAAGAGTCGGGCCATTCGGAGCTTACTTCTGAATCTGGGCCAACCTCCTTTGCCGCGTCAACTCTAGTGTCCTCCGGGTCTTCGAGCTGTCCTCGCGTAGGGTCGTTGTGCTTGCCTGAGGGGGTGTCGGAGATTATCATGCGTGACCATTTTCCAACAGTTGCGGAAAGTCTGCGGTCGATACTTAGGGGCAAAATATTATTCTGTAATACATAGTAGTACTTTCTTGAAGCCGGCTCCAAAATTTTAGATATTTGGATTTTGATCATGGTCGGAGGTTCTGTCACCTACATTGTGGTGTCGGCTACATTCTAGTTTGGTGCATTCTTGTTCGTTGTCGATGATCCCCTAGTAAGGGGGGATCCATCGTCATAAGTATGAACTGAACACCTCTCTAAATTGCGGTTGCGAAGTGATGAATTTGAGGGAACAAGAGAGCGTGCGGAGTTTGACGACCAGGACATAGAAGATGAGCGCTATCGCGATGCTGATGACGAGCCTTTTTTTATGACCACACACTTCCTACTATTTATATTGGAGAAGTATACAACACCTCAGCCGTACAAAAGGGCTATAGCTTTTTTCGTACTCTCGGGAGGATCTCCGTAGGTTTTTTTTTTAGTTATATATAAGGTAAATAGAATGGGTAATAGTATTTAAGAATAAGATTTCATGTCAAGCAGGACGCGTCGAAGCATTTTCATCCTAGAAGTTAGTCCCTCCAGTCAAGATATCATTTCAAGGACTTACATTTGATTTGAAGACCTCGCGGCAGTACTACATACTTATAAATATATGTGAAGCATAGCTACGGCCACCGGTAGTACTCTAACCTCCTCTCCGGTTTTGACACGGTTGGAGAAAGGCAGGCGCAAAGACAGAGGTTCCTACAACTGCAAACTACTCTCCGCGGGTGCTCGGATAAAGCAAAAGTTCATGATTTTGCTTCCCTGGTATCAATTGGTGCTTTGATTTTTAAGGCTTTAACTCCGGAGAAATGAAGCAGTATCAATTTGAAAATATCATGGGACGATGCTTAAGCATAGGCTGGGTGCGGGTCCTTCACAGCAACATCAGGTTAAGGGTAGGGTAAAGGTGTTCCTGTTACCGTTTGCTTTGCCTCTCCTAAGGGAGAAAGGGAGAACGAAAAGGAAAAAATGAACACCAAAACTCTACCTCTAATTATTAGGTAAAAAATTTTAGGTTTTACTTCGTAGGTTTTTTTAGCCGATAGTGAAGAAACATGAAAATGTAACGACATTCATGATGAACAAGCTTATTATATGTACAACTTCATCTCTACATATGAAGGCACGGGAGGACGGCTTCGCCTCGTCTTGTCCTCAGTAGTACCTTGTAGTTGTAAATTTGACAGTACAATAAAATTGACGAAACCCCCGCACGGCAACGAAGTGGGTCTAGCAGTAGATCGCTTTTAAGAAGCTTGATAGATGTAGTAGAACCAACATTTGATAATCTTCTGCTTCTAAGTTTTAGAATCTAAGTAGAAGGTACTAGCTGTAAATCGCTTGAAAAATGAAAATGATGATCCACTGTGATTGGATGCAAGGACTGACAGCGTTTCTAGGGAGGTCGCATGTCGATCCGGCAATAATTCTTCGTCGCTCATTGCATGGATGAATTAGGAAACCTACTAGACTGTTCATCTTCCTTTTTGGATACTACCAGCTAGTGATGAAGTCCACAGACATGATGAAGATCAAGATTCCTTGTTCAGAGGTTTCTGAGGTTCCCAATACTTTTGATTCCTTCGTATAGTTTCGTAACGATGTTTCCGCAGATGCTTTCTCACTCAACTTCTCTCCCAGAGGGAGCACCACAACGACACTGGGAGGATAGTACGTACAGGCATTGTTTTCCCTCTGACAGAGAGAGAAGCACAACGACACTGGGACTATAGTACGTACAGGCATTGCTGTTTGGTATAGTCTACTTACTAGGGAATGGATTGATATTGTAGAAATAAACAAAGGGCTCGCGATACTCGCTTGGCTTGTCTCGTTGTAGTGAATAGGTCCGAGCACACAGACTGAACCACCGCAAGAAGATCTTTTACTGCTTGGCTCGTCATTATCATTGCCTCTAAAAGCGGCAGTATGATCATGATGATGATTAATAGACTCAGCACATTATTTACCTTACAGTCCTCACGCAAAAAAAAAATTGATCCCTAAACCCTAAACCCAAACCCGTCACGCGGTGCTGAAGTGAGCAGGAGGAAGGAAGTGCTCCTCTCGTAAGGAAGAATGTCGGAAGTGAGGAAGAGGAATTCATATGATCGGTGGCAGTGGTCTTTAGCGTTTGAATGTCGTTCCCATTTCTTTGAAGAGGACAGATGGCCATGATCGGTTCTCGGTGAAGATAAGTACTTGTGCAACGTCGACAAGAAAATCGGTTCGAATGGAGTGCATCGTCTACGAGAACGAGGATCGGAAGTTCGCCGGATTCATCACGTCGTTTGTCACCCATACCGTTTTCCCTGTGGACACATTTCTTAGCTAGAGTAAGAGTAAATTCTTAAAAAGAGGAGGATAGAATCGTGATGAGTCGAGTTTGTGGCTTAGTTGTGGCACAAATCAATCTTGAATGGCTCCTTCCTTTTTATATCATAACATAAGGTCGGGGCTTAGGTCCAACGACGCTTAAAGCACTAAGTAAAACAACCGGTTAGTTTCCACCCCAATACTCTAGGTCTATCCCTTCATGCAACACCTTCATGGGTATTTCCGTTAATCCCTCATTCTCCTTTCGAAGTACTACAGAGTTTTTTTTTTTCAAACGTCAATCTGAATCAGTCACACTCACGTATAGTAGTTTCTTTCTTAAACTTAAATAGCTGAGTCCACGACTGCGTCTCTGAAATAGACTGACAAACTCCGACAATGCCTTCCCTTACACGGCAAGGAGGGTTCTTCTCTCGCTCTTCCTCCGCCAAAGCAGGAAGCCCCACCAGGGCAGGCCTAGCACAGAACCACAATCAGATTCCAAAATCAGAGACCAAACATCAGAGACTAAAAGTCTGGTTAGCAGACTACGTCGAGGGCTTCCTAAAAGGCCCAACTTGGCGTGAGCCATTGCAGGAATTTATCAATGACAAGTGCTTCCTCTTTGTGGATTTGATCGATGTGGAGCGGCAGGAGGATAGGGAAGAGGAAGTGGCAGAGAATTCCACAGAGGGCATCGGTGGCCACGAGCACAAGGCGGTTCATAAGTACTTGTGTCTGCTATTTTTCTCTTTGAGCGTGTGTGTAGTTTTGCACGTTGAAGACCTATCGAGTCTGGTTGACTCCTTTTCGCTTTCTTTCCCAATTTAAGTACTGTTCAATGCCTTTATCTAAATCGTTACAACTATTTGCTGGATTTATTCTGAATTTAGAGGCTAATACTTCCTTGAACTTGAAGTTACAACTTAATATTGCAAATACACAAGAACAATTACAATCCTACACCAGTGCCTTCCGCCAACTCGTCGAGGACCTTATCTGCGCCCACTTGCTTGAAGTGGAAGCTTCAGCAGAGGATTTTGCGAACATCGCGCATCTGCTAGACCCGAAGCTACGTGAGCAACTGGGTTCGGTGGATGACTATCTGGTATTTCGTCGCATGATGCAAGCAGCAGCTGTGAATAGCGCTGGGGAACAGAAACGGTTGTTGAAGAATCGGCATGATGAGGTGGATCATATTCATTTTTCTTCTTCCTCATCATCATCTTCGTCGAGTAGCAGTTACGACAACAACCAATTTTCATCCTCGTCGTCGTTGTCGTCCTCTAGTGCAGCTACGGGATCGTGGAACAGTTGGGACCGCGTTCGCGAGGTGGACCTGCAGACCGGGAGTAAAAAGGAAATGCCTACAACATCAGAAGAAGTTCCGGGGGCACCTCCTAAGAGTAAGTCAAAAGCGAAAAGCATTGGTGAGCTGATGAATTCTGTGTCCTCGAGTGCTTCAGCTGCTAAAAAGGATAAGAGTAAAGGCGGTGCAGGGACAGGCGGATTTCAGATATCAGCGAAACAAATTCGGAATGCCTTGTTAGGGAAATAGAGGATAGAACTCAAGAGGTTTATTGTGATAGTAATATGAGCTGATTTTGTTCGACAGAGCTGTTTTTCTTTTTTGATTTACCAAATTTTTGAATGATCTATCTTGATGAATCCGATCTGTCTTGATGAATCCTTTGTTCTTTCTTAACCAAAATTCTAGTCGTGTCTGTAGGTGAACATTGGCTACTTGAGATTACTTGAGTTCTGTTGAAGAACTTTTTTTTTTCGAACGAGAAAGATTGAAATTCATTTGCGTCTCCTCCTTGCAACTTATGGCTTTCGGAATAGACAACTTTCACACAGTCAATGTATCGGAGCTGTTGGGTGAGAGTTTTTCCTGTGGCTGTGTCAGAGAGTGAACAATCTTCGGGAATCGATTTTGATGATGAGAGAGAGATCGTTTCCTGAGTCGTGTGAGGGCCAGTCACTAATATGATAGAGTTTTGGTGATCGACCGTAACTGCAACATCCCCAACCCTCCAAAGCAATCCACCGTCTATGCGGTAGCCCCGTAATCTGTCACGTCTGCTGTAAATCTAATCCTGTTTTATGGTCTACTTACAACTTGCTCGTCCAAGAAACAAGTGAAAAATTGGGTCATGATTTTGCTTATAGCTCTTCCATCAAGTACACATCCTCATCAACCAGAATCAAAAACTAGGAGGACGCAAGTGTTAGCATCACACAACAACGAACTACTTAGAAGTGGTCTCTTCTGCTCATTCCCTCAACAGACTTACACAGACATGACGGATCGGTACTACCCTAAGGGGTGCGTGCCGGAAGTCGGCAACAATGCCGAAAACAAACTGGAATCCACGTACAATGAGATGAACATGTGCAAAACGCAGCCCCGATCCAAATACCCTCCAGGATACGGTGGTCATGAACACGGTGCTGCGAAGAAGTTCGGCTACTCCATCCCAGCGCCAGATGCGCTGCCGAAAGAACGTACTGTTTCCCTTGTTGTTCTTGTTCTTGTGGAAGTGAATGAAGATTGGAGATTTATTGTGTGACACGTACTATGACACATCCACATCTTCAAAATACAGCAATCGATCCTGAAGAGCCGCTTGTGAACTTCCGATCTGGAAAATACGTTACCTATGAACCGCTGCCGAACCGACAATTGGTTATTGAGAACGCACCGCCACCAGCACCAAAGGCAGTCCTGAACTACAGAGGAGTCGAGGCACAAGCTAAGTCATTGACGCAGGAGAATGAACGCATGGCGTATTTTGTTTTTTAGAAAACGATCGATGATTTTTGTTTCCTTTCTAAAATTGTTGAGTCATTGTTTCAGGACCGAGCACTATGAATGTTGCATTTTGTGGTTCAACTGACTCTCACTTTCCAAAAAAGTCTAGTACCGCTACCGCGATCTCACTTATCACCAAAAAACAACAGCACCTTCACGCCCCAGACAAGCGCATATTTGAGCTCTATCGGTGGACAACATGGCAGCACAATCGATAAGGAAGTGCCTTACACACCCGCATTCTTCGGTATCGGTACCGGCTTCAATAGCGCCAAGAGCTCGAACACTTATGGCCAGGGTTGAAGAGATGAAAGACTCTCCTTAAAAATTTTTGCTATGAGTAAGTTGTAATTGTGATAGATGCGTTGGCAGTTGTAATTGTGATACAGAGTGTTCGTTGGCCCTGTCACCTATTTCCATTGTCATTAACTTGCTTCACCTCATACATCTCTACGACCTAGAAGATGGAACCTCAACCTGATCTTCTAATCTCCCGGCTTCAACACTATGAACGCATCCATCGAGGGCTCTTCGACTACAAAAGACGCCTTCCTGCCACCGAAGGCAAGGTTTACTCCGCAAGGTCTCAACTGCCTTGAGTACACACTGAAAAAGACTGGAGCTTGAGAATGCGGAGGATGGGTCTTTGCTGTAAGAAAGGTATAGATTTTTGCTTCTCGAAATATCAAGAAGATGTCTCCTGTACCAACGACTTGTTGTTATTTCCTCACTAGAAGTAATGGCTTCGATTATATATTTAGTATAGCACAGTGCGCCAAGGATCTCCTCGCTCTTAATAAGATCTACGGGTAAGGAGCGGTAGCGCTCCTAATATTGAGTTAGTCAGTAACTTCTATAGTACTATAGTATAACAAGGGGGCCCTCCCATAGGGGAGGGCCCCCTTGATAAATATTGTAGTCTATTCAATGGACAACTACCTGGTTCAATTATTTTTAGTAGGACCTTGTGAAAAACACAATACTCTCCTCCAGGACACGAAACGTAAGAGGGGCATTGGAGGTGTCCAGTTGTAGGTTTTTCGCAATAAAGGAGCACGAAATCTAAGGAAGAATTTTGCAGAACGAAGCTTAGCGAAAAGAGAATTTCTATAGTTTACGACGAATCAATCAAAGCGCTTCTTATACAGTTTGTTGCTTGCGTCATGTTGACATTCATGTGCTGAACAAAAATTAGTAGCTCGATCTTAAATCACAGGGAACCAATCTATCACGAATCTAAACTTGCCGATAAACTTCACAGAATTACGTTGTTAGAATCTCTCACAAGTCTGAACTAAGGAATTTCAAACTGAGAATATTGCATGTAGAAGAGGCAGGTAAGGAATTAAGAAGACAGTGTTGAACTACTAACGAGTCTAAAAGTGTAACTACGAAAACTAATGACCACAGTCGTTGAACAGGTATGCAGCAGGAGTGAGGATATATTACAATGTACTAGCAGCTATTCTTTCAGAAACAAGATTACATCGCGGGATTCGCTGCTATGTAAATCAAGAATTTATGTAGAGGACGAAAATCCTCTTGTATATCATGTTTTGGAGTGATCTGTATACTCGAATGATTTTGATTGTGTGAAAGACTCCGGGGCTGTGTTCATTTGCACAAAAATTCTAGGGACTTCGGTAGGTCTAGTCTGAAACTGCCCGTTTTTTAAGGAGATCAGCCTAATAATATTTGTCGGGGAGTTTAGTAGAGCGATTGCGATTCTTCATGAGTATGAGGTACGAGCTGCAGTGCGAAGGAGGGGCTTAAAGCTTGCCAATCGTGTAGTAGATTTTGATCTTTATGTCTCATGATAATAATTGATTCGTAGCACAATTAAATTGAGAATGATTCGTTTTCGATCGTGTTTCTTTCTCTTCTTGCTTGCCCAGCTGGCGTCTGCTGCTTTATCCCTGCAACGTGGGGATGCATCCAAGGATGACAACACAAAACAACACAAAACAACCGTCGTGTCCTCTTCATCACCGTGCAGCGATCTTGGTACGGCTTATCTTTTTGGCGCGTTTTCGTACCGAGAACCCTCAGAACCCTCAGCGGAAGATGAGTGCCCTCTAGTAGAGTTCGCGGATGCTTCGGATACCGAAGCAAAGAAACTACGAGATATTAAAGTAGAGTCCTCCGAATGTCGTCTAGTAGACTTAGACGACGAGGACGAGGACGACGAAACACCTGAAGCGGATCCTCAAGAGGTGATGAAACACTGTACCATGGATGAGCACCTTCTAACACTGATCAGAAGTTTTGCCAAGATCGAGCTTCGAGACGAACCAGACTCTCTAGAACCTGAAGATCTGTGGTGTGATTATCCTAGGGTTTTAGACCATCTCCTAGACCCGAACTCTAGCTACTATAGCGGGACGTTGCGGCCTCGTGTACCTCCCCGTGCTCTAGTAGGACAGGCGATGGATGCGACACGAGAGAACACAGGCTCACAGGGATCTCGAGGAGGTACTGGAGATGCAGTAGAGGAGCCAACAGCTACAACTACACAGGGGAATGTTGAACCAGATGCATCAAACCATGGGAGACAACTCGCTTTGCTCCAAGCAGGACGAACAAGTAATCTTCTTGCGGGTACTGGAGAGCAGGTCATAGATGAACAGCTGCACTTGATTGCTCACGGCAGAGCAGCGACACAAGATGACCGAACTGTGGGGCGTGTGGATAACATGTTCTATCGCGAAATCAGTCCGCCTGCACCAGATGGTGGAACAGCTGCTGCGGAGGGAAATGCGGACAATGGTGTCGCTCCCGTCACAGATAGAGGACTTAAGGCTTGAGGAAATTCATCTTCCCCAGCGTCTTGCTTCCGTTCTGAAGGGAACACGAGCACGACCAGGATAGATGCTCACGAAGATGGATTTTTGCAAGTTGGTTCTAATAGACCACCGGGAGTTGGAGTAGGACAACAACATCAGTCTTCTCTAACAGTAGAAGTTCCAAATGATGTAGTGGCACAACAACACGAGGCACAACATGACCCACACGGGCGCGAAGGAGCACCCAGTATAGGGGCGCCTCCAGGGGCACAACAGCAAGCACGACAGTACTCTCTGCCAGAGGTGTATCGGCTTCGCAGGCCAGATCTTTGGCATCACGTGGGTTTAGTCGCGTGTATTGTACCTACAGGAGCTAGAAATGGAGCAGCCTCAGCACAAAATTTGCGCAAATGGCACGAACCGCGGTGGCCAGCAAGAGTGTTTTGGAATCAGAAGATGTATCTAGCAGGAGATCGTGCGGTAACGAAGTTTACCATTTATGGCCTCCGATTTTTCTTTCTATTTCTGGTACGTCTGTGCGATGGTTGTGATATTCTTTCTCAGTCGTGAATTTTTTTCTCCCAGAGGAAACAGACTAATGTAACTACAGGAAGATCTCTAAACAATGACGTCCCCACCTTCTGCTCGATGCGACCCACCGATGCCAAGAGGTCCTCATTCTAGAGGCCACTCTCCTGCCTCATCAACTAGTGCTGGCTCGGGTGCTGCGTCTCCGGCTGCTCCTCCGTCGTCGGCTTTTGTTAAGGGTTCTAGATACAACCACTAGCACGAGTACAATGAGAAATGATTCGGGGTGAGGACAAACGAACCCGGCGGAGCTGAGCCATGCTTCCATTAGAAGAACGTTCACCTCAGCTGAGGCATTCTCTCGTTAGAAGAACGTTCACGTCAACCTCTCTGCTCTCAAGAGAGCAAGAGGCAGAATCTCTAATGTGTTCTAACTCATGCCAGTGGCCAAACAGCTCTTCCCGTCACAGCTCTGGAGCATCTCTTGTACAAGGCTCCGATGTCGAACCGTTTGGCAGTGTTGATGAAGTCGACGATTTCCGTTTACCTCCCGCTGCTGTTAGCGTTGCCGATTTTGAAGCTGGTGTAGGTGCCGTTGCGGGAGAAACTACAACAACAACTACTTCTGCAGGAGGTCGTGGTGTATCTTCATCTTCATCTACTATTCGAGAAGGACAATTACAGCAGGATGTGATAGTGCAGACTTTCAGTGCTCCTAGCCTCCGAACTTCTAGTACAAGGAATAGACCACCGCCAAACCGAGGGCCTCTCTTGAGTTCGCGTTCACCCTCACCAACAAGACACGATCGAAGTGGTCCTACCCGTCGTTATGGGTCTAAAAAAGCTGTTGGACCTCACGATGAATATGTACGGGCTGGCGTTCTCTACCGTCTTTACCTTTGTCGGAAACGCGAGTTTCGTACGTGGATCAGGGAACAAGACCAAGTGGCTACACATAGGTTTCTGACAGGTCGGTTTCTACAAGCATGGTTGGGTCGTTTCATTAGACGCGATGAGGGGGTAAGGAGTCTTCTCACACCGTCAACGAGTAGTGGTTCTTCTGTCCCTTCTGGAGGTAAAAATGGGGCAACATCATCTTCTGCAGCTGGTGGTAGTTCTAGCAGGATCACCAGTGGAAATCACGAAGCAGGTGCATTTAGTAGCTCCAGCTCGGCTCTCCCATCGTCTTCGCATATTGATCATCATAGTACTGTGCCTGATCTGAGCAACCATTGTTTCATTGAGCGAGCTGAAAGCAGATCGTCGCTTCTAGACTTTGACTCCGCTCATTCTAGTCCCCAAGAAGTTCTAGACGAAGACAGGCATAGATTCACCGATAATGCTATGAGGCGAAAAAGTGTGCTCATCCTGAAGAAAGTAGGCTCTTTCTAAGTAGGAAAAAGCCGCTTTCCTTGAGTATGGGTACACTTTTTCTTGTCATAGATGCGCACATTGTCGGACCTTCCTCTGCTTTCGAAGAGACATCAAGAGCAACACCTCCTCACTTCTCTTCTCGCTGGTCGATCTCCGCTGATTCCATACAAGCGCTAGGAGAGATTTTTGAGTCTTTGAAGCGAGAGCGCGACACACCATTTCAAGTGGCAATGGTGCAATTGTCTGACGGCAGTGAACTGGTGAAGCTTGTCAGTACAACACTCTCGTTCGCAGTCCAGAGAGGACCGCGAGTTAATGAGATCGCCTTTTTCACAGGCCTCTCTTTCACGGGTGAAACAGGGGATGGAAGTAGTAGTACTTGCGCGGCAGGGGGAATGGCTGGAGTTATGATGAAGGGAATTCAAGTGTAAATTGAATTTATTCTCGAACAAGAAGAAGAAAACGATCAAGCTACTACAACTATTTCAAACAGCATCAATCTATCAGTAGACGCTGCTAATCCAAATGCAAATTTCTAATCACCGTTCCACCAGTGGAGATGGCGGCGCTGTGAGCACGGGAAGGGGTTATTTCATCGTGGACCTTCTCCGAAACTTTCGACAGGCTACTTTTACCGGATCGCGACTGTGGCCACAAATACGGTTGCGTCTGTGGAGATGCTCAGCGTCGTAGCTGATTTTTTAGTGGAAAAAGATTTCAAGATATCGTGGGATGAAGAAGAGAGCTCGATTAAGTCTTTCCCGTTTTGGAGTCTCGCCTTTCCCTCAACTTCTTGCTATGACCCTCCTTGCTTACATCTGCAGTTGACCCTATCGTTCTTCAAGCAAAAATGAGAACCTGGTGCTATTTGATATGGCCACATGCATGAAGATCGCTTAATTTTGTATTTTTGGGTATGTCGATCTCCGTGTGCCGGGAACAACAGTGGGAGTGTGTGTCTTTTTTGTAAGTGTGTGTCTACGTTCCTAAATGGGAGGATCATTTTGTTACCGTGCATCGCTAATTAAGAGTATTTTGGACATTTAGGTCACTTTCTTGCCACTCACTGCGTTACCGTTATCCAGTTTTTCTTACATAGGTCGTAGTCGAACGAAGTTGAAAAATTTGAATGTCTGCAAAATACTTTCATTTTGGGATAATAGATATTTTCATGCGACATACAAGAAATGCGACTTACCCAACAACTAGAACTTTCACTAACACGGTAGTCCCACTTCCACATGCCCTGAATGGAATATAGCCTGATGAAGTTATTTGAACGCATTCTTACACGTAATACTGCATTGGATGTCACTCCTCAGACGACACTCTTAAAACCTTTTTTCAAAAGCCGACCCTGTCGAAGTTTAGTCATCTCGAAGTTTGTCGAAGTTGCAAATAACTATGAAATCTGTGGGCGGGGCGGTCTGTTAATGTTGCTGCTTGCTCAGATAGCATTACCTGTGTCCTCTAATCGAAGTGCTATGACCTGATGGAAGTGCTATGATGGAATGAGGTCCTCTTTGGCTTTCTAGAAAACAGTCAAAGTGAACGCTTTGAGTAAGTAGGCAAATTTGAGTACATCACATCTGTTACCACGAGAGAGCAAAGATCTGTCCTCTATGAGTGGCTGACGAAGAACAAAACAGGATATTCAATAATGCCGCTTCAAAAGTGAAATATCTGTTCGACGAGAGCACTGGTAATATGCATACTTCTGTTTCTGAGCACCAAGAATCTTGGAAACTCCTACATCATGAGAGAAACAGAGTGCTCTATAATCTGTGCGTTACAACGAGTTGTTTGATGTTCCACTTGAGGTGTGTTCCCTCGGTATAATCCGAGAGAAAAATGAAGGGACTTGATAATCGTAGCATGGTCGGTATACAACTGTATATTGAGACCCCCTCGAGACTCCTCCTGGTATCCCAATCCCATCCTGCGCTTCTCTCCAACTAAAATGGCAGGTCCTGCACAAAGAAAATCTTTTTAGTCACAGTACACTTTCCCGGTTTTGAACTTAAAATCTACAATCACCAATCATTTGTCGTGAAACTAGAAATCGCATACGTATACTAGAGTCATTATATCCACCCTTAAGCGTAAGCAAATCTTAGAGGTGGTGAAGGATAGTAGGATCGAACCTCATCTGTCTCTTTGTACCAATAGAAATATTCAATTTCAATACCTCGCGAACAGGTAAATGAATGAATGAATGAAAAAAACCATATTCTTCTAGAACTAGAAAACAACAAAATGGAGTCATTTGCTCGTGTGCTTTGTAGTGGTGGTTCCTCCTTGCTCGGTCGCAGATCGAAACGAAGCAAATTGACTTTCGCAACCAAGAGGAACATGGACAACATCCTCAACGTCGAGGGTTCCCACAAAGCTGAAGCAGTAGTTGCTAGTCCTGAAGATGTCACGCTCCAAGAGATGAAGGCTGAGGGTGAAGCTGCTGCTGGTGCTGAAGCTGGTGCTGAAGAGATTGCAGAAGGTGCAGAAGACGCAGCCGCCAAAGCAGCCCAAGCAGCTGTTTCTAAGAAAAAGAAGAAGGGAGGCTGTTGTGGTGGAGGGGGACCTGACCCAGATGAAAAAGCTGCGGAGGTAGTAGAAGAGCCCACAGAAGCGCCAAAGAAACCGACGTTGCGGGAGATGCAAGTGACGACGACAAGGAATAAGGGAAGGGTACTTTTGCGTTTATTTAGTAATTTCAGATGAAGAGGGTGTCATCTGTGTCGTGGATACAAGTGCATCTCTAGTAAAAAACTGCATGTTGTACGATAAATATGGATCACAATTTTTCCACCCTTTTCTACTTCTTCAGGTATTAGCCGACCGACGGAAAGCCAAGCAGGAGACTGTGATAACGGTCGCTCAGGCTGCGGAGAGGTTCAGAGGCACGTGGGTTCAGCAAGGCGTGATAAAAGCAGATGACTTGATGCAAGAAATAGGGGTTTCAGACTACATGCAACAGGCAGCAAGAGCATCAGGATATGGCGCAGGACGTGCACTAATGAAAGTCGAAACTGCTAGTGAGACAGAGATGCAAGTGCAGCTTTTTGGGATGGGGAAAAGCATAACGCAAAAGCTGAAGATTGGAGGAGGTATAAAAATATAAGTAATAGTTTTACTTCTTAAGCTTGTTGTGTAGATGCTGCTTCAGTCGTCCTCTGAATCTGATGAAGATACAAGTTCAGTGAGAGGAACATGAACAATAGAAGGAGCACATGAACAACGTTTCAATTTGGAACTATATTACAGCAGTACAGAGTAACCCGTGTGGTCTCCTGCATACCCATCCAAATCTACCACCAACACCACACAGTCGACGCTCCCACGAGTCAAACAGTGGACACTTTCGACGGCCCACTAGACTGTAAGGTCCGATGGACAGCCGAGAACGAATTGGAAATGGTCTTTTCCACGCGATGGGGCCAAGAGGTGAAGCAGGTTCGTAGTGTCAGCGTCGACAATGAGGAGATAGTGTTTGCCATAACACATAATGGCATAACCTGTAGGAGATTCTGGAGAAGAATCGCGATGCCGGAGACGGTGAAAGTGACGAGTACTACTAAAACTGTAGACGTATTTGTTTGAAGTTTACCGGCGGAGCTCGGTGTGCAGGATCCATAACCTAACCTAGCCTAACCTTTACCTAGATTTTTGATTTGATCGATCTCTCCCATGATCCCCATGCATGAATCCCTCACCTACAGCATCTTCCCTCACCTGCAATTACAAACGTTCCCCAGGTCCAACCGATGAAACGGCTGAGCCAGTGATCCCTGCTGACGTTACCGAAGCTCTAGAAAGCAGTGGACTCCCAAGCGACGATCCAGAGGAGATCGCGGAGATTATAGCCCAACAAGGAAAGAAAATATCAGCAGGAGAACAACTGCAACTATACTTATGGCCACCATAGTACTAGAAAATTCTACTAAACTCATCCATTCTACTCATCAATGATGCGAATTCGAACTTTGCGAACCACCATTATATGTCATCGACAACGTAGACGCTACACTCCCTTATAGCCGCTAGTTAATTATAGTGAAAGACAGTTCTCCTTCTTCAGTTGCCGCATACCCTAGTTAGTGGCTCAAGTTGGTCTCCTAAATATGCAAAGAACTCATGGCTGTTCCTTATTTCAGGGTAGGTTAAAGGTGCTTTTCTTACCGCTTTTTATGCCTCTCCTAAGGGAGAAAGGCAGAACAAGCGGGGTAAGCGAGCACCAAAAGCCTAGCTCTAACTTATATATAGTGAAATGCACTCTCATAGCTTCACCCATAGCTTCACCCACCTCTAATCTTTGGTCTCTACAAGCAAGCGATGTTCGGCGACGCGCCTACGGTATCCCCAGACCCCAAAAGAGAAGGCAATTTAGCAGCCTCCAGGTGGAAACAGTGGAATTTGAGTAGGGGAAAGGACGCCGCGGCAGCCAAGACGGAGTATGTAGTGCTGGCAGCAAAAACGCTTGTTAAAGCGAAGGGAGGGGGAGTATGAAGATTGTTTTGGGAAGTCGATGAATCTTTGGGAGAAAAGGGAGATGTTTTGGGAAGTCGATGAATCTTTGGGAGAAAAGGGAGAAAGATTTAAGATGCTTTCTTTGATTCAACTCAGGAAAGGTGGAATAACATCGTTCCTCATATAATAGCACAGTCACACCTGATAGTTTTAACTACAGCCGAGCTAAGACATTTGCCTTAGGTGCAAACCAGTGGTATTAGCATCACGAACATGATGAAATTGAACCGGAACATGAAGACTGCTTAATACAACGCTAATGAGTAGTTATGAAGAAGTTATGAATCTCAATCTTGTTTTGAGACGCACCTAAGTGGCTAGATTGACGCAAATGATTTTTCCGACCCTGTTTGATACCAGAGAAAAATAGCATAAAAACTTCGTGTGAAACCTTAGGGTGACTAATGCTCACGCTTCGGGAATCAACCAGAAGAATGAAGGTAAGAATACATAGGTGTTCGCAATCTTCACTTGTACTACAACGCCGTTCTTAGAAGATCTGCGAGGACGACGATCATCAAGTTGCCCTCAGCTGGTGTGCTGGAAGAAAGAGAGTCTTGAGACCAGAGCAGAGAGTTGTCACAGTAAACAGACATGTCTATGTCACGACTCTGCACGCAATAATTTCGAATCAATTTGAATCCAATGGCATTGCAAGTTGCTTGCTGGCCTCGCTGTCCAGCCACGCCTTCCTCCTCCTCGTCTTCAACGCTCTTCGCTTTGAGCAAGCGCTCCATTCTCGGTGCTGCTGCTGTGGGAGGGAATACAAATAGCTTCTATAATTCGCCTGCTGGTGCTCCTCCTGCTCTGTTCTCGTCACGGGATGCTGGAATTAGAAGGTGGTTTTCAACAGTTGCAGCGAGCAAAGACGCGGCCTCCAGTGCTAGCACTCCATCACGCCCTACCTCGGGAGTGAAGATTACTCCGCGCGTGCTTGACCGACTCTATTCCCGGTGTCCGCGCGCGGCTAGTCGAAATCCATTCAATATCAGGCTGACCGAGGATAGTCGACCCTTTTTTCCGATAACGTGCAAGAATCTTCGACGTACTTGGATAGATTCTTTGTAGAAGGTTTCTGGTAAGTGAAAGTGTAATTATGAGATCATAACATAAGTCCACGCGAGTAAGAGTATGAGATCATATTAAGTATAAGAAAAATCTCTTGATGATCTTGATCACATCGCAAAAACTATTGCCGTCCTTCCGTCCACCAGAAACGACAAAGAACAAGCCTCCGAGACACAAGCGCGGTAAGGGTAATAATTCTCGTGGTCATACCATGGAACGACATCCTAATCTCGGAACTGAGAGGGGTTACGGTCGTTCTGGAGAGCGTATGTGGGAAGGCGACCATATCACACCTTTGTGGAATTATGACTCGATGAGATTACAATTTACAACGACCGCTAGAAGCTAGCTACTTGACACACTCACGACACCAGTTAGCTTAAAAAGCAGGCTGTTGTACTGCCTAGAATGGCAGCACGTTGGTTTCCCTATGATCGATCCCTGCATTCTAAGTACTTTAAAGTGGAGATTCATCTCCTTCTCATCTAAGCCAAAAAAGTAGCCCGCTGGCCAGAGGCGATTCGACAGCGGACTCGAGCTAAGTGGGACGAGTGCAACCTGGCAAGGATTCGCTATTTCATTGAGACGGGCCGATTGGATCCCAGATTTCCGATTACTCAGCGCCATCTCCTCGACTCCAAATGTGTGCGACCTATCAAGACAGGCGTTAGGGTGTTTAATGTAAACGATTATCCTTTTCCGTACAAGATCGATTTGGAGGTAGCGGCAGCCGATCAAAGCACCATCGACCTGATTCGGGCAGTCGGTGGGACTGTAACCATCGTCTATCTAGATCGCATAGGTCTCAGAGCGCATTTGAAGCCACACAAATTCGACATACTGCCGAAAACTGCGAGATCGAAAACGAGGGTATCTATACTATATCTTTTTTCATCTTACTTCTATCTTGCTGGGCCTGCTGGACCAAATCGAATTCAGATAGTGTTGCCAACTGATTCAACCTTGTGGAAATACATGAGATGCAGTTTTTGCCTTCTCGTCTCAAAAAACACACAACAAAAAGACTACACAACCCTATGCATAACCACAACCATAGACCCACTACCTCGAAAAAATGCGTGCGCGTGGCTGCTTAGTACGATATATCAAACCTCTATGGCTAATCCGGGAAGAACAGCGCATCAAGATGGATTTACGAGAACAGCTAGCCGCAAATCACTTGCTGGAGAGTCAAGCGGACAGGGACAGCGATTCGGGTGGAGCTTCTGTGGGTGCGAGTGCAAGTGGGTGATGTCGTGGTAGCTGGTCCACACTTGTGTTTCAGATGACAGGTTGAGGGAGCAGTAGGACACGACAGGCATGATACATAATGAGCAAGAACTGTATAATTTGCCATTCTTTAAGGGCCGCGGGAAGAAGAAAATAACACGTGAAGAAAAATTTAATGAAAAGTTTGAATCTGCATGACGGGTGCCTCCGGGATCAAGGCTCCGAAGCTAAGCATAGTGTTTGTCTGAAGAACAAGCATAGGCGAACTTCAGATTCGAACTTGTGCTCCTGAGCAAGCGCTGGGTCTCAACACGCGAGGAGAGGCCGTGAGGGAAAATGAAGCCTGGATAAAAATAAGTACATTCATCATGGAAATTTGAGGAACTTACCATTTCTTGAATGATGCTTGCAATATTAAATCTTGACAAAGGACAGGATTCTTTTCCTCAAAACCTCCACAATGTTGCCGTTTCGCTCTCCACTCGTTTCTTGGGCATTTGCTTGCACCTTAACATCAAGTGATGTTGCCTTATCGCGTCTCCTGATGGCACCAGAGGAACCTTCTAGGACGCCAGACGATGTAGAAAGAGACTTCTTCGAAGGCGAATATGCGTACCAAGCAGCAAGCTACACAGGTGCTGTTCCAGAAGCTCTTCTAATATCTACTGATGATACTGAAGTGGAACCAGCTGATAGCGATTCGTTGCAGAACGCTCCAGCATCAATTGAGGAGAACGCGAACAGAGGATCTTCTATCGCTGCCGCAAGTAGTTCTGGCGCTGCTGCGAGTAGTTCGGGAGGTGGTCCTGCTGCTGCAAGCAGTCGCGCTGCAGGAGGTGGTGGTGCTTCGAGTAGTTTCTCACAGCCGGTTCCTCTCATGTTTGACGATAGCAGTGCTGGTAGCGTCGATGCTGGTTCGTCAACGTCCTCTGAGGATTCTAGGTCGCCACTACACGACTCGAAATTACGAGCTACAGTAGTAGTGCTTCTCGAAAGCTTTGATGTAAGTGTAACTCTATATTAATTTCATGATCTTTTCTTTGGCCGATCACTCTAATAACCGGTACGCCATACATCAGTTCTCGTGGAAGTGGATCAGGCGTCGTTGGAGAGCGTCCTCCCACGCCTGCGCCTAAGGGGCCAAAGAGAAGCGCTTCTTTGATCGAGACTCCACCTGATACGCAAGTTGTGCATCATGTGTTGAACTGCCGGCATCCAGATTCGTTCTCGTTGCGAAAACGTATCAACAGGTTGCGTGCTGCTCGAAAAGCGAAAGAACAGGCGAAGAAGATTATGACGAAGAGGAAATAATCCGTTGTCAGTCGGATATGTTCGATGATGTTTATATTGTAATGAATCCGTGACATGAAGATTACTACATGAATGCATTGTTCCCATGTTGATCTTACAGGTATGATAAGTATGAAATCTTCTAATCCAAAGAATGCTAGTAGTTCCTCTAGCGGAAATGACCCTGCTGATGCCAGTAGTGCATCCTCTACCAGAGCCGGAACAACGGCGTTAGGTCGCAGTGTAGAAGAGGGATTAGGTGCAGCTGATGTCAACGTGGAAAGGGATGGTCTAGAGGACATAGATCTGGAGGCTGCAGACGAGGAGCCGAAAACAGGCAGTGCAGTGCCTATGGTGACTTATGCTGCTGTTACGGCTTGTTGATCTAAAAAACATCTAGGTACAATGATTGATTTTTGATTTGGTGGACGTAGCCACTTTTCACTTCGATTTAACAGTCTTTTGCAAAAAGACTCAGGAGACACTGAGAAACAAGAATGAGACTGAGATACTATCATCGCTAATCAAAGTGATTCTGGCAACTTTCCAGGCTCGTCTACAGATCTAGCCACACCTTACCCAGCAACGCAAGATGGAGGTCCTGCCCAGTTGTCCATGGTGCGTGAGAGCTGGGCTGGTGGTGGAGAGGTCCGCGTCCTGCCGAAAAGATGCGCAACAGCACCGTCGTGGGCATGGGAACCTTGGGGATGCTTTTTGTACTATTATGGAAGATCTATAAGAAAGGCAATCCCAGCACTTTGTTCAACGCCGTGTGTCAAATTTGAATTTTCATTGTTCTACATAGATAGCCTGTCATAGTCCTCTTTTATATTCGAATCTTCGCTAAAACCCCTGCCTCCCGGGAACGCTTCCTTTGGATAGACCTGTCCGCCACGTCCCTGGGGAGACCGAGTTAGATGCGGTGTGTGACTCTCCTCTATGGATCGAGCTTATCAAGGCCTTCAACTGTGGGAGTCTACTTATCGCGTCAGTGATTTTCATCTACTTATGCTTGTTTTATTCGGACACCTTTCTGTTTCTGAGAAAATAGATTTTATTGAGTTTGTCTACACTATTTTGGTAGAAGAAGATCGTGTAGAGGAAGATCGTGCATTGCTCTAGAGGACGGCTCGTTTGTATCAAATTAAGCACTGCAAGCACAAGAGTTCGAGAATAATATTGCAACTCTTCTTGCCATAACCATGCATGATGATCGACCATACTCGAAAACGTCAAATTTGACAATTTGCCGTTGACGTTTGACAATTTGACGTTGTCATCTCTTTCACTGCTGCTAAAGAACCAAAACATACTGAAGATTGAGTTACCTCTCTTAAGGCAGTAATCATGCCTTTCAAATCGGTTTCTTCTGGCTATACTCGAGCCTGTTTCGTCCCGGCAACGTGGCCTGGCCACAAGTTCGCGGGCCTTCAACTTTGAACCTAGGTACATCTACAGTAAGAGACTTTATAGTTGCAATGCTCTTTATCCGTGGAGGTCGTTCCCACTTGGGATGGTCTATCCACCAAGGACTGACTTCAGTGGGTTGATCCCACAGGCATTCCGTGAGCGAAACTACAAGCTGAAGTTCATAAGTTGAATACCAATTGAAGTTTTGGAGAAAGCACATTCAACATTCTTGTGAAAAGAGAAGAAAAGGCATGAAGAACTGGTGAATTGAAATGATTGTTCTTGAAAGAAACGAGGACAAAATTCTGCAAGTGCCGTTGGTTGAGAAGCACGTAAAAATTTCCGCGAAGATGTTCAACCTAGAAGAACAGGACATCTTCGCGTACAGGACTTGGATCTGACGACACTCACATCCCTTGCTCGTATGAGGTTCTACTGTTCGTAGCGACAGGGAGGTTCCACCACTTTATATATCGCTTGAAGAATGACATTCGGTAAGAGTTGTCCTCAGCTTTGTGCCGACATGGTCGTTCCGACATTGATGATCTCCACTGCTTTTCTCACTTTGATTCAGTGAATCCAAATCGTCTTTGTTGTGCTTCCCAGTTGTTCACGAGCCGGTGAATCACAATTCCTAGTCGTGTCAACAATTTGACTAAAAATGATATCTTCATCAGCTTATCAGCTTCTTCTTCTTGTTCTCCTATATTAAGAGTATGTACTGATTCTACTAGAAAATACTTGACGAGCCCTATCTATTAGAAAATCTACCTGGATCAATAATTTTCTGATGATTTCCTCAGCATCGACAGAGGTGGAAGAGTGCGTTGATGTTCAATATGTATCACCTGTAGTTGTAAAGCATCTGCTAAGTTTTATGCTAGAAGTGTTTAACGTTCACCATCAAAAACATGACTGATGAAGTAAGTAAGCAACGTACAAAACGACTTGCTTGACGTTGACTCCTGAGATCAATGACTTTCATTCGATTAATTTCGATTATTTCGCACATCTAATATTGATGATTTCTTAGTCTCCGTCCATCATTGACGATCAAACAAGATGGCGGAAGAGCATGCTAAATGGAAGCGGTTTGAATACCGCACTAACAGTAACCTGGTCCTTCAGCGTGAAGGCGCTGCTCCTAGTGCAAATGAGCCTACAGGAGAACCAGAGTCTCTGCGACACTTTAACTTGCATCGGATGGGGGACTTGGCGAGACCTGTGAAGGAAGAATTAGCCAAACTCAAAGAGAAGACAACCACACAAGCAGCCAAGCGCATGCGTGGAGCTGGCGAGGGGGTGATCACCGATACACTGGGTGCGAGGGAAAGGAGGGAAAAGAAAAAACAAAAACTGGATGTAAAAAAGTTATGAAATGAGAAAATGAAGGTTGAATAATGAAAATAGCAAGAAGAATCGAATCATCATACCTAGTCTGACAGCAATTATTTAGCCTCGATTCGTAGTAGAGGATGGTAAAAATCTAGTTGTTCATTCATTCTCTGTATAATTAGTTGTAGAATTTCAACACCTTGGATTTAACCGTCTACAACTAGCTGCTTCACTTCTGCAAGAATGTGTTCACTCTTCTAATCCCCGGGCAAACTGTTCTCGACGCCGATGTAAGTGAGGTAATGCCTTACAAGCCCAGCACACAGCAGACCCGCGTTGTTTATGAGGAGCTGTTAGCTGTTCTAGGCTCTGTTCTCGGCGATCAGTCACCCGAAGTCCTCCAGGGCGGCGCAGATGAGGTCCTTGCAGCGATCAAAGCCGACAATTGCCTAGATGCGCAGAGGAAACGCAATGTAGAAGAAGTACTCGGTGTTATTACGGAACAGTTTTTTGCCGAGCTGTATCGATTGGCGAAGCAAATTACGGACTATGGCGCAGACGAAAAGGGAGATGGCGAAAAGGGCGATGCCCTGGGCGCGGATGACGCGACGGGAGTGGCTGTTGTGTTTGAGGAGGAAGAGAGTGATGGGGAAGACAAATATGTTGCAGAAATCTCAGACTCGGACGAAGATAGCGAAAACAGCGATGACAACACGAACTTGTTGCAGAATGAGGATAGAGGTAGTAGAGCTTCGTTCTTGTTCTTGTTCTTGACGACACTTCAGGGGAAAATAAATATACACGATTTATCTTCTAGAAGATGAAGTGGATTTTTTTTCTCTTTCTCCGTCGAACTGAACAATCTTCTCAGCTTTTTTTAGCCCCAACTGCCCTTTGTTCAAATCGCCACTCCTACCAGGTATCAAAGTCGCCGACGACGACGAGCAGGATGAAGAGGAAGAGGATAAAGAGGCTCTACACGTCTCCCAGATTGATGCTCACTGGCTGCAGCGTGAAATCAACAGTTTTTCCAATGATCACGCTAAGGCTGTGGAGTTAGAGAAGAAAATCTTGAAAGTTTTGGCGATTTCCGACTTGCAAATCCTGGAAAACGAGTTGGTGAAGCTTTTGGAGTTCCAAAACTTCGATTTTCTCCAGAAACTCGTCAAAAATCGAAGCAAGATTCTGTACTATTAAATGCCTCTTTTTGTTGATGAAGCAGATGATGGCTCGTTATGAGTAGTCCCGCCATGCTGTACTATGAATCACCATTCCTTCTAAAGGACTCGTTTCACCTACCTTGTTGTAACCGCTGCTCTCCTTACCTTCAGGTACATCACCCGTTTGAAGCAAGCGCAAACGGAGGAGGAACAGCAATCGATCCTCGAAGACATGCGAGGGTCCACGGAGGGCATGAGCGTTTTGGCCGAACTCGACAAGTCCAAGGCGAAGCGAGATAAGGAGCGTGATGAGGTCGCAAGACTTCGTCAGGAAGCTAGAGCCCTGATGAAGCAAAAGAAGGGAGATGGCGAGGCTGCTGGGGGTTTTCTGGAGGACCTGGGAACTGGCGGCCAGGACAAACCAGGCGCAACAACTGACGCAGCTAAGAAACTGCAACCTTCTCGTGTCATCGATCTGGAACACGTAGCGTTTGCGAAAGGTGGCCACACAATGACCAACGCAAAGTGCAACTTGACAGAAGGTGCTACGCGAATCCAAGCCAAGTCGTGGGAGGAGGTGCATATTCCTGCGCCCCCAGCACCCGAACACGGTGATATAGACCTGATTTCCATCCAAGAACTTCCGAAAATCGCACATCCTGCGTTTAAGAATGACAAGAACGAATGGATCGTTCAGAGGCTGAATCCTGTGCAGAGCAAGGTCTATCCAGTAGCGTTTAAGGAGTTTCACGAGAACATGCTGATTTGCGCTCCAACAGGTGCGGGTAAGACGAATATCGCTTTGTTGGCGATTCTGAACGTGTTGATGGCCAACGTGAGGAAGACAGAGGAAGGAGAGGCTGTAGTGGAAAGTGACAAGTTCAAGATCGTCTACATCGCGCCGATGAAAGCTCTTGTGCAGCAATTGGTCGGTTTCTTCGCACAGCGATTCGAACGATACGGCCTGTCGGTAGGCGAATTGTCAGGGGATAGCAGCTTGAGCAAAGAGCAGATCGCACGGACGCAGATTTTGGTGACTACGCCAGAAAAATGGGACATCATCACGAGAAAGTCTGGTGATGCGAGAGCAAATATGCATCTGGTCCGTCTTCTGATCATCGATGAGGTCCACCTGCTCCACGACACGCGAGGGCCGGTCTTAGAAGCTATTGTGGCACGCACCTTGCGCCAAATCGAACGAACACAGGAACCGATCCGCTTGGTGGCTCTATCTGCCACACTTCCGAATTACACAGATGTAGCGGCCTTTTTGCGAGTATCGGAACGCGGTTTGTTCAAGTTCGACAACCGATACAGACCTTGTCCCCTTGAACAAACGTTTATCGGGGTTACGGACAAGAAGGCAGTACGAAGATTGAACACCATGAACGAAGTTTGCTTCGAAAAGGTACTCTTGAGTTTTACGACGTAACGATCATATGCTTTGGTAGATGAACCCTAAAGTTCACTAGACATAACAATTTGCTTTAGCAGTATCGCCTAGTATAGAAGTACAGCATCTCGTTCGTGAAAATCCCAAGGGCAACATCTTCAAGCTTTACGTTTATTTATCAACGCCAGGTCGTCCACAATGCGGGCAAGCATCAGATGTTGATTTTTGTGCATTCTCGAAAGGAGACTGGCCGTACCGCTAAGACCTTGAGGGAGATGGCTATGGAGCGCGATGTTGTCCCGCGATTTTTGGCTGGAAACCCTGCCGCCAAAGAGATTCTGGCAGAAGAGGCTAAAGCAGCGCAGAATGCCGAACTTCGAGAACTCTTGCCCTATGGATTCGCGATCCATCATGCAGGTTTGAGCAAGGAGGATCGTCTTTTAGTCGAAGAGTTGTTCTCCGATAAGCACATTCAGGTTCTGTGCTGTACCTCGACGCTCGCCTGGGGTGTCAACTTGCCAGCGCATACCGTGATTATCAAAGGCACCCAAGTCTACAAGGCTGAGGAAGGAAAGTGGGACGAATTGGGATGCTTGGACATGCTGCAGATGATGGGTCGTGCAGGTCGACCTGGCTATGAGAAGCAAGGGCACGGCATCATCATCACGCAACACTCTGAACTGCAATACTATCTGTCCCTGATGAACATGCAACTGCCGATTGAGTCCCAGATGGTGCAAGATTTGCCAGACAAGCTCATCGGAGAACTAGTGTTGGGAACAGTGCAAAACCGACAAGATGCAGTCACTTGGTTAGGATACACATATCTCTTCGTGCGGATGCAAAAGAATCCACAATTGTACTCGGTACAGGACACAGGGAGCAATGAAGAAGCAGACCCGACGTTGCTGCAGGCGAGGTAACATGTAGTATGAAAAAGATCTCTCTTGATGGATGTAGTATAAAAAAGATTCTCTCTCGAGGTAACATGTAGTACTATTTACTCTCTTGATTTTTTGCAATGCTTAAAGCAGCTTTTCTAGTAATATAAAAAAAAATACATGTGGAAATTAAGTAGATTCTTCCAAAACACTATATATAATAAAATGAAAACTACTAAATAAAAAAATCTTTGATCCGTCTTTTTACTCCTACTACCACACTCACCTCACACCAATCTGCATCTGACACCACTTTCCGCCTGAACCCCTGAAACCTCCAGGTGTGATCTCGTACACGCTGCTTTGTCTCTGCTCAACAAGCACAACTTGATTCGCTACGACCGCCGTACTGGTCACATCCAAGTCACTGCTATGGGTCGCGTCGCTTCCCACTACTACATCAAACATCCTAGCATTGCGGTCTACAATGAGAACCTTCGACCTAATATGAACGATATCGAATTGCTGCGATTGTTTTCTCTGTCCTTCGAGTTCAAGAACATCCCGGTTCGCGACGACGAAAAGGTGGAGCTGGCGAAGCTACTGGAGAAGGTTCCGATTCCGGTCAAGGGCAGTGCAGACGAGTACACAGCTAAAGTCAATGTTTTGCTCCAAGCGTACATCTCAAAGATGAAATTGGAGGGTTTTGCGATGGCTGCAGATATGGTCTACATCGAGCAATCGGCTGGGCGTATCATGCGTGCTTTGTTTGAAATGGCACTGCGTAAAGGATGGGCGAGCTTGGCTTTGCGCTGTCTAAAATGGTGCAAGATGATCGAAAAGCGCATGTGGAGCTGTCAGACACCACTGAGGCACTTCAAGGAACATCACAAAGGCTTAGCTGAAGATATCCTGAGGCGAATGGAGAAGCGTGACTTGGCGTGGGACAAGTACTACGAGTTATCTCCCAGTGATTTGGCTACGTTGACGAAGTTGCCACCAAAATTCGGCAAAGTCCTGCATAAGGCTATCCATCAGTTCCCGAAGGTGGACTTGTTCGCCTATGTGCAGCCCAAAACGCGAAGCTGCCTCATGGTGGAACTCACTCTGACGCCGGATTTCCAGTGGGAGCCGAAGATTCACGGTAGTGGTGAAGTGTTTTGGGTGATAGTGGAGGATGTGAATGGCGAACACATATTGCACTATGAGCAGTTTTTGTTGAAGCAGAACGAGGTGGATCAAGAGCACACGTTGACGTTCACCGTGCCAATCACGGAACCGAAACCGCCACAGTATTTTTTGCGATTGGTCAGTGATCGTTGGCTCAACAGTGAAACTTTGCTGGCAGTTTCATTCCGCAACTTGATCCTACCAGAAAAGAGTCCAGCACACACTGAATTGCTAGATCTGCAGCCATTGCCGGTGTCTGCTTTGCGTTACAAGGACGCTGCAGAGTTGTTTTACAAGGACTCTCCGACTTTCAACCCGATCCAGACCCAGACTTTCTCGTGTTTGTACTCGAGCAACGACAACGCCTTGATCTGCGCACCTGCTGCGGCAGGTAAGGACGTGTGTATGGAGTTCACGATCCTGCGCATGTTGCAGAACGGCAGTGACCATCCTCGTTGTGTCTACCTCGCACCCTACGAGCGCATGATTGAGGAGCGCTTCAACACTTGGGCTCCCAAGTTCAGTCAACTGGGTGTCGCCGTGGCGAAGCTGACTGGTGAAGTAGCAGCTGACTTGAGAATCATCCAGAACAGCAACTTGGTCATTACAACTCCGGAGAAATTCGACATGGTTTCTCGACGACACAAAGCCAAGAAAGGCCAAGTCATCCAAGAGTTGGACTTGCTGTTGTGTGACGAACTACACCTTCTTGAGGATCCCGAAGCTGGTCCAATCTACGAAGCTGTTGTTTCCAGGATGCGCTTCGTGACCATGCAGACAGGCGGATCCTTGCGAATTGTAGGCTTTGCAGCCTCATTAGCGAATGCGAAAGATGTCACAGAATGGATTGGCGCTTCGTTCGCCACCATGTATAACTTTTCGCCTAGTGTGCGATCTGTACCGCTAGAGTTGATGATCCACGGTTTCGACATCCACAACCGCATGACCCGACTGCAATCCATGTCCAGACCGGTGTATCAGGCGTTGAAGAGCCACTCTCCGAACAAGCCGTGCATCGTGTTTGTGTCGGACAGGAAGCAATGTCGAGTGGCCGCTTTAGACTTGTTATTAAACGCGGCATCGGACGATACGCCTAAGCGCTTCTTGCGAGTGAAACAGGAGTCGATTGAGCCGTATCTGAAGACGGATTTTGTGCAGAAGAGAGACGCTTTGGCACGATGCTTGGCGCATGGTGTTGGGTACATCCACGAAGGTTTTTCTGCTCAAGAAATCGAATTTGTCTGCAAGTTGTACCGAGCTGGCGCATTGCAAGTTTTGGTTGCTGCCCAATCATTGGCCTACGGTATGACGGAGGTTGCGCATCTAGTAGTAGTGATGGACACGGTCCGTTATGACGGCCGTGAGGGACGCTTTGTCGACTACCCAGTCGCTGACTTGCTCCAAATGATCGGTCGCGCTTCACGACCCAACATCGACAACAGCGGCCTCTGCGTTTTGCTCTTGCCAGCAAGTAAGAAAGAGTACTACAAGAAGTTCGTCTTCGAGGCGTTGCCGGTAGAGAGTCATCTCGATCAGCGTATGGCGGACATTTTGAACGTCGAAATCGTGATGAAGAACGTCGAGAACAAGCAGGACGCGTTAGATTGGCTCACCTGGAGCTTTTACTACAGAAGACTGGCGCAAAATCCCAACTACTACGGCCTGCAAGGCGTTTCTCACACGCATTTGAGTGACCATTTGTCCGAAGTGGTGGAACAGACCGTGGACTTTCTGGAACAAGCGGGTTGCACTGCTGTCGAAGACGAGATCAACTTGTCAGCCGCAAACTTGGGCTTAGTTGCGAGTTACTATGCTCTGCGTTACACAACGATTGAGGTCTTCAGCAGGTGTGTCAGTGAAGCGACCAAACGAAAGGGCATTATCGACATTCTGGCAGATGCTTCTGAATTCGAGTACCTGCCATTGCGACAAGGAGAAGACGAAGTGCTGAAAAAGCTGGCCTTGGACTGCGGAGTGGACTTGGGAGATGGTATTACTGTTTGTACTAGAATTATTTGAAGGTTGATTCTTCGCTTGAAAAGTTTATGAACGGTAGCATGGTATCAATTCATCTCTCATGAAATAAACAATTCCATTCCAAATTCCCACTCCCAAAAACCACCACAGATGTCCTGAAGAAAGGCGCTCGACTCAAGCCGACGATGAAGAGCAAGATTCTTCTCTATGCCCACTTCCACCGAGCTCCACTGACTATCGATCTTGCCTTCGACCAGAAGTTCGTCCTCGAAAACGTCTTGCGCATCGTCCAGGGTCTCGTCGATGTCATTTCTTCCAACAGCAATCTGAAACAATCCATCATGGCGATGGAAGTCTCCCAGATGATTGTCCAGGGAACCTTGCATAATAACTCTCCTCTCCTGCAATTGCCGCATTTGACACCTGAGATGTGCGAAGAATTGAGGACGAAGGTGCGAGGAGATCCAGTCGAGGATATCTTCGCGTTCGCCGAGATGGAGGACGAAGATCGAGAAAATATCCTAGGAGGCAAGATATCGGAAGCTCAGATGGCGGAAATCGCAAAAGCGTGCAATCGCTATCCGAGTGTGGAACTCAGCTACAACGTGGACAAGCCGAATAGACTAGAAGCAGGAGGAAAATGCAAGATCGTATGCAACCTGGTGCGAGATATGGATGATGGTACTTTTACGAGCTACATTTTTATTTGTGTAGTCAGAGTCGATGTTGAAATGATCGTCTTCATCTTTATCAATCTTGCTATTGCTTTTCTCCAACCATTCTCATTTTTCGTCGACTAAATGAAATTATTATTCCTGCTCCAACCCGTCTAAGGGATTCCTCCAAGGACCCTTTACCTCCTCCTCTACAACAACAACAGACGACGTCGTGACTGATCCGGTTTATGCTCCACGATTTCCGAAGGAGAAGGACGAGTCCTGGTGGGCCCTGCTTGGTGATGTGGAGAAGAATTTCGTGGTGTGCATCAAGCGTATTTCCTTCACGAAGAAAGATTTGAAGTTCAACCTCCAATTCGAACTTGGCGAAGAGGTAGGGGCAAGAAAATACATGCTCTACTTGATGTGCGACTCCTACCAGGGCATCGATCAAGAGCACGAAGTGGAGATCAATGTGCAGGAGGGATAGGGTCACACTTCGTCATAGTTTCATAGGAATATAATTTGATTCTGAAGACCTAGCAAGTTCAACATTTTTTTGTCATCGGAGAAGTATTCATTCTTGTTTGATGACCACATAGCGATGCGGAGGTTCATCCGTGTATGTATCAAATACGAGTGAATACTAGGCCAATATTCATCTTCCAACATGATTTATCGTGGTCATACATACTAGTCAAATATAATCGACAAAGAAGCCTCTCTGCGCGCATATCATCGGACGATAAATTAGTGATGCTAAGATGCTGGCATCTACAAGAAATTCTCCCCAAAGAAGATCGAGTTTCACCCCCACAACCCAATGAAAATGAAAAAACTACATCAAAACAACTACACAACAAATGATGAAGATGTGTCACAACGTACTTGTCCACTGAAGTGGTCTCTGAGTGGATGCCTTAGAATTTTGCGCAGGACGTCACATGGAGTAGACCGCTCTTCCCAGTCGATTGATGATAAGATAGGACTCTGCTTCCTTTAAGAAAACCAAGCTGCGTTTGTGATGTTTCTTTCCACTTTTCTCATGCTGAAGTTGCTCTTCTGTCTGTTGGTGCGGTGATCATATGTTTATGCTACTTTCACTTTTCTCATGCTGAAGCTGCTCTTCTGTCTGTTGGTGCGGTGATATGCCTATAGTTGGAAAATGTCTGCGATTTATAAGCATACTTAAAACATAACATGGATCTCGTACGTCTAATGAAGCCAGGTTGAATTGCACATTAACAAGTAAGTACCGTTTTGAGTCAAGTAGAGAAGTCGTTTTGTGTGTCCACCTAGTCTTTTATTTTTGTTTTTGACGGTCATTTACATTTTTTTTATCCGTGCATCCATCGATCGATCTTTCAATTTGTTTTTCTTACGGTATCGTTAGGTGTCTTTAAGTACTTAATTAGTATAAACAACAACGGTTAAATTACGAAAAATGAAAATGTTCTCTTCTGCAAGAAATCGTCGCCTCTCCACCTTCTGCGTCAGCTGCACTGCGTTTGGACTCCTGCTTAGTCTTGCAAGTCAACCAGCTGCAGCTGCACAGGCTACCTTCACGCGAGCATTCGCACGTCCTCTTTTTTCGGTTCGTCGTGCTCGTCCCGCACGGTTTCCGAAGGGTCGTGGACTTTCAGGGACGTTTGGGACAATAGATTCGACAGGAAGTAGCAGGACTCAATATCAAGACAAAGATAGTGACCTGTGGGCTAAAATCAAAGAACGGCAACAACAGGAAAGGAAAAAAGTACACAAGAAAGGTGAAGATGATCCAGACTCGCATGACGAGGTTGATGAAGTAGCATCTGCGACGACAAAGGATGAAGTAGATCGAGGACCATCTGGATCTCCTGCAATAGTTTATAGCGATGACATAATTCGTGCGACAGAGGCGCGGACGACATCAGAGCAGTCTTCAGGCGTTGGTGGAACAACGCTGGAAGAAATCGGGTCATCCGACGTTGAAAAAGACGAGTCTCCGGCATCCTCTACTAGTACTTCAGAAAAGCCTCCAGTGAGTTTCTCTCAAAAAAGCATAGGGAACTGGTTTCTTCCATCTTCCGATACAACTAGTGCGGAAAATGCGAAGAACGATGCTGACGACGACGAACCTAGTTTCTGGGGGATTGGGTATCCACACAACGTAGATGGTAGTGGAGGATCATATGGTCATGGAGGAGGTGGACATGGCTTCCAACGCGCAGAGGATTTTTGGAGCCAGCAGGAACATGAGGAACCGATAGTACGTGTTGCTGAGAATCATGGAAGCAAAGGGGAAGATGACATGTCTTCAGATGTTGCTTCAAGCACACCTCGCTGGTGGATGGATCGTTCTGGCAGTAGAACATCATTATGGAAACGGGATCCCGAGGATGACGCCTTGTTCCGTAACACAACTCTCTTGTTCCCTGAAGATCGTGTCGACAGAAGAAGATCGTCTACGACGTATAGTGGAGGATCCAAGCAGGAGCACATGGATACTAGATCACCTTATAGAAGTTCTGCAGCATCTGCATCTAGTACACCATCCCCTTTGGCTGGAGTTGCACAGCCACCGCTTGGATCTGCGGCCTCTCCTATTGCCCCTGCGTCACTGGCGTCTTCACACACCCTGATGCCTCTCTCTTTCTTGGCTCGTAACAGTCGAAACATTTTCATATCTTCTGGCGATCAGGCGTCTTCTAGAGACCGTCGTGGCGTACATTCCAGTGTGTATAGCCTGGAGGTACCTGACGAGGAAACAAACGAAAAGAGTGGTACAAGAACTGGGGGCTCTACTTCTACTTCTACTCGTTCTACTGAGACACCACCAGTTCTTGTAGCAACCAGTCAAAAAGACATCAAGGTGGCAGTAGTAGAACACGAGGAGGATGATTTTTGGGGTCCTCCTCGACCTCTACGTTGCGGAGTGACGTTACAGTGGGACAACTCCTGTGGCAACATTGATTTGCCGTTGACAGAGTAATGAATAAGCACTGATGTTGATCTTGATGTTGATCTTGACTTCTAGTATTATACTTTCTTGTTGTTCTGAAAAACCCTTCTTGCCACCACCTTGACTTCATTCTCTTGTTTTTTTTTAGAAAATCGAACAAGGAACCTAACACCATGATTCTAGACATCTACTCGTTTTCTTAAATTACCGATTACTAATCGCATGTGCCTTATTTACAAGTCAGTGTTAGCAAAGCAATGCAAAGGTAGCGATCACAAGGTCGGTTTGTACCTGAATAGATGACGATGTAGATGATGGCTCTTCGGTTTTCTTTTGTAATTGATTGCGTTTGCGAAAATTAACGAAAGTGACACCTAAAGAAGTGACGAGGATGATAGATTGTCATCGCAAATGCTGTTGAAACAAATGACAGGATAAACGTGAAAATATGACCATCACTTGGTCAGAAGTTGGGAACGTACAAGATGATCCACATATTTGGTTCGAACATTTCTGTTCTATTCGTTGCACTTTGTCGAATTGGTTTTGATGGATTTTTTCACGCCTGGATGAACGCCATAATCCGACGACAATATAACGACCGTGAGTAGGCCTCGCTTCTCACAAATTTACTGCTGCTCACAGATTTTCTGCTTGGCCCCGTCTCGGGTATATGCCGGGCCGGCGCATCGTCCGTGAAATGTAAGACTTCCCTGCGCCCACCCCAGCTGGTGCGCTGGCCCTTTGGCCGAAGACTTTGAAATTGAAAAAATTGATGATCGGTGTAAAGAGACGCGGCTCTCTTGTCTACTTAGTGCATGAGTCGTGACTGAACAGATGCTGTTAAAGACAGACATGACAAAACACTGCACTATTAAGCTTAGGAGAAAAAGAAAAAGCAGGAGAATACCACTGAGAATCACCTCATTTGCTGACCCATCAAAGATGGTAAACGCAAGAAGTTAGAACTAGACTCAGGCTCAGCAGAAGTAAATTGATATTCATGTCAAAGCAGTACTAGCGCAAAAGAAAAAAATTGCTTTCCTTGCCAGAAGCGGATTTTTTTTTGTTTTTTATCAAGCAGGATGTTTTTTATCAGTGTTTATCTATATTTCATCAAGCAGGATGTTCTTGCTCTTGGGTACTTTGATTCTTACGTAGCAATTTTTACAGCGAAATTTGTTGTCGTGTGTGTGAAAGATTAGTTTCATCATACTTACACGAGTTCGTTGCAGCAAAACTACCTGCATGTAGGATTATTATATATGTATATAGGTATTATACTACTTGTTGTAGTTGTTCCCTCAAATGCTACCAAGAACTTTAACCTCAACATCGATGATGAACAGAATCAGAGAACAAAAGAATGCGCAGATAAGATGTCACGATCATTTCGTAGCAGAGGCAAGGAAAATGGAGCGGCAACAGAGGAGGAGTGCCGCATTCCTCCAGTAGTTTGGAGTAACCAGGGAACAGATCGTGGTGTAGGGCGAAAGCAAAACCTCATCTATGTACGCAAATTTAGATACGACGTGTCGCGAAACGCATTTTCTTGGGGATCGGATTCGCATGAGGAATCTAGCCTGTTCTTTGCGTACGCAGCTTTGCGCCAGGGCGGACCTAAGCAGGTGTTCGAGAATTACTTCGTGGTGCAGTTCAACGACACGAATTTCGTCTCCGCTACTCCGAATGCCGCTGCTACAGGTGGTGGTGGAGTGGAGTCCTCTCAGAATGGAACAGCGACAGGCCGAGCTTCGCAGAGTTGGACCTCTGTAGTTGGCGGTGCTTCTGCAGCCGGTGGAGGAGTTAAGGGTTGCCACATTGCATTCTTCACCACCATCGCCCTTGACGTGGCCTGTTTTCCAGTACTTTGGGGTCAGGGAAGATGATCTGAAGAATGCAACTCCGCAAGAACCTCTAATGAAGGAGGTGGGGGCGGCCGCGCTCAAGAAGCTTCGACGTGCAGGGCTTTTAGTTATCAGACGGACCCGAATCGCGAGCGCATTCTTCGGAGTGGCATTGCGTCACCAGACGGCTCTCGTTTCAACGTGGTAGGCTGCAGCAACTCGCAAATTCGGAGCTACAGTTTCGTCTTTCGACGCGGGTCAGTTGAGGAGAATCAAGCTTTCCTGAAGGAGTTGTTGGGGGATGTCAATGAAATCGAACGGAAGAAGGGCGTGCCGAAGCGTGTGAAATACACAGGCTTGTTGTTCTCCGGATGTCAGGCGATGCTGGACCTGCCCAAATCGACGCGTGTGCGCGAGATCGAGAACAGCGATTTCACCGACGGGTGCGGCTTGATCAGTGTTAAGTTGGCACGACTGGCAGCGAAATGTTTGGGCTTGCGCGATCTCCCAAGCGTACTGCAGATTCGGTATGCGGGCAACGTGCGAATGCTGAACGGTGTTACGGAAGGTCACGTTTGCAAGGGCATCCTGGTAGTGGATCACAGCAACTCCGATGGCTTCGAAATTTCCGTCCGCAAGTCCATGTTGAAGATTCGGGCGTACACGGACCAATTGCAGTACCGCCTCGGGATTGTGGAGACGAGCCGGCCTTTGATTGGCAAGCTGAGCCAGCAGCTTCTGATCCTTCTCAGCGGCAACGTACCGGAGAAAGATTTGCTCGACCTGCAGGAGCAGCATCTAAAATTAAGCCTTTCCCTAATGGTCCATCTTCAGAGAAGTCATCTTGGGAGGGACGTTCTCAAGGGGGAAGTGGTCTCAGGATGGACTTCAGGATGGATCATGGGGGTGGCCTCTAATAAAATGCGTGAAAGACAGTTGGCATGATCCCTTCTCTCTCGCTTGGCTGGCGCTGTTAGAGCAGTCTTCTTCTGGAAAAACAGCAGCATGGAAAAAGTATCTGAGTCTCCTGGAATGTCCACCCATTGAAGGGCGACTGCCGGGGGAATACCTGCACCTGGCACGAGGTCGCGTAGAACGGTATACAAAGTTCGTGCAAGAACCCATATTTGCATAGCATAACGTTACTAGAAGCTGGGACTCTGGGAACGAACCACTCATTGCATAAAAGTATAATTATCACTTCCATTGAGTGAAGAGATGAGGTTGAGGATCTCGAAAACTGTTGTTTGATATCATCCCATGCTTTTAGACATGGAAAAAACCCTTTTCTCTTTGCTATCTTCCTCTGGTCTGTCTTTTTTCTAGTTAGGTCGGCTCCACCACAATAACTACAGATTCTGCGTGGAGAGGCGCTTCCACATTCACCTGGCTTGTTCCCGCGTTGTGTTTGGTGCCGCTTGGCCGGAGCAGCTTGGATTTCTCAAGGAAGGCGAGTGCATTTTCCTTGCTGACAATGGTTTGCACGAAGGAACGGTGATCGTCAATCGCAGTCCCTCGTATGCTCCTGGTGATATTCGCGTTCTGAAAGCAGTAAAACCTCCACCGGGTCCAGGACTCCTTCTTGCTGCCGGTGCAGCCTCCGCTAAGAACCACCGCTCGAGGACTAGAGAGAGAGAAGCAGAACCGAAGAACGATTTTGTTGAGCATCCAGTATTACGGTTGCGCAATGTGTTGTTTTTTTCTACGCAGGGTTCTCGGCCCGAAGCTGACAAGGCTAGTGGCGGCGATCTAGATGGGGATCAGTTTTTTGTCACATGGGATCCACGACTTTTAGCATATGCAGATAAGATCGCAGACGAGCCTATTGCGGATTACTCGCCTGGCGCTTCGGGTACGTCTCTTTCTACCTCTAGTCGTGGCGCAAGCAGTTAAGGCCATAATTGGTAGTGATTGTTTATCACCCTGTTATTGTTACTACTACAAGAACGTTAAGGCCATATTGATTGGTAGTGATTGTTTATCACCCTGTTATTGTTACTACTACAACGTTAAGGCCAGATTAATTGGTAGTGATTGTTTATCACCCTGGCGGTGGAGACGAGATAACAACAACAGCGCCTCTCAGGATGGTCTAGGCGCTTACCTGGAGGTTAACAAAGTAATAATAGTAAGTGTGATGAACAAAAAACCGACTCGTACCCCCTTTAACAACCACAAGAGGGGATGGACTGGATTTCTTACGCCGCGAGATGGACGAATGACATGCTGGCAGCGGTTGACAGCGCTTTTTACTCGATCGTGCGTGAAAAGGGTCTCCGAAGTCCGGAAGCGAAGAGGCTGAATACACTTTTCAGTGATCTTGTCGACAATAATCCCGCCTCCGTCGCTGAGCTAGATCGCCTCGTCACCTCCGCCTACACGAAATCAACAAATTTGGTGCGCATGGACGGTCCTGGAGCTAAAGCCGTGGCGGAGGATGACTTGAGGCCTTGGGAGAAGGTGTTGCGGCGACATGCGATTTGCGCGTACGAGATGCGCCGAGAAAAACACCAGCCGGGCGTGGAGGACTACAAGAGGTTTTGTGAAAATCTGCGCAGATACAACTCCTCAAACAGCAACAGTTCTCTTGAAGATAAGGACGGCGAGGACATGTTGGCCACCAAAGTATGCAAGTGGTTTCGCTACCATTTCGCGTCAGGGATTTACCAAGGGGGCGGAGAAGCAGCAGTAGATGCTTTCAAGATGCGATGGGAGAGTGTGCAAAAAGCCTTTACTTTTGCCGGCTCCACGCTGCAACCGATAACATCAAGTGACACTCCTATAGCAGAGCCACGGGGCCTAGCAGGTTCAACTTCACTAACGCTGGAAAAACTACGCCAGCAAGTCGCTGCCGGTTTCCAAAAATTCGATTCGGATATCGGATTAAGGCTACAAAATGTGCATTCTGCGTGAAGAGAAGCCCCTTCTGCTAGGCACTAATCGGGGAGAAGCTTTGAAGAGCTCCCCTGATAGGCAACGAAGCTTTGAAGACCTCCCCGATTGATCCTTTATCGTAAAAATTCAGATACTCGCACACCTACATCGTCATCATTTTCTTACTCTTCAGGAAGGTTCATCCCATTTGCATTTGCATTCATTGATCTTTGGCGGAAGTAGACAGTAGCAAAATACAGAACCCGATTAGAGCCCTAGTGATCAGATCAATCGGGGAGGTCTTCAAAGCTTCGCAGATCTGATCACTAGGGCTCTAATCGGGGAGGTCTTCAAAGCTTCGTTGGAGGAATTGGATAACGAACGGCGTGCATATCGGGAGAAGATTGAAGAAGAAAAATCCAAATGGAGCCGCAACCTGGAGCAGTTCGAGATAACGCGCAGAAAATTGCGGGAGGATGTGGCTGCAGAACGAGCTGCAACAGACGAATACAAAAATCGAGCGCGTCGCGAATGGAAGCAAAGGAAAGAAAAGCTTTCCCAGCAGGAAGCGGATCTAGTGCGAAATCATGAACGGGCTTTGGCCAAGTGTGACGAAGAATTGCTGCAGTTGACACTGCGCAGGAATCAAGTATGGATGATGTTTATTCCATCCTTACGACCATCGAGGCTTTTCCATAGGCTTCTATACGCTTTGACTATGGGGAAAAGGGTAGCCGTGATGGTCTGGCAAGATGGAAAAAGCGCCATCCATACCAAAAGCAAGCTGAAGTCGATGAAAAGAAAATGGACTGGGACGGATTGCCAATCCTCGAACGGTTTCGGATCAAAAGAAGCGAAGCTTCGAAGAGGATTGCGACGAGCTTGGAGCTTGCGCAAGCAGCCGCTGCTGGAGCGGAGGAAGCATGTCAAAGTATGGTCCAACGGAAGGCTAGTCTGGCGCGAGGTCACAAAACACAAGTTGACGCGTTGAAAGCCAGCTGCGACGACTGGCTGCAGAACGCGGAAGCTCTCTTAAAGAAGCGGAAGGTTGCTCTGCAGCGCGAGGAAGAAGGCCTGGAATCCAAGATTCTCGAGGTCGATCATAAGGAGGAGCTCTTTCGTTCAGGTGAAGCTAGAAGTGTTCTCGAGACTGAGCAGAGGACGGAAGCGGCAAGCCTCGAAGAGCTTTGCACGAACTTTAAAGGGCTCACAAAGAAGAAAAACGACCTTGACGTTGCCATCCGAGCAACAAAAGGGCGGGTCGACAGCCTGCGTGAGGAGTACTCCAGCTTGCGTGAGCGAATCACAGACGGAAAGGTATTTTTCAATGAATTTGAAAAAGCGTTTAACGACATCTGTTATGAAGAAAAGGGAGCCAGTAGTGGCAAGATAGATGACTTCGATGAGCACTGTCTTTCCTGGTGGACATTTGCGAAACTGCGACGCTGTCTAGAAGAACTACCGCAAGGTGTAGACTTGAAGGACAGGGCATTGCAGTGCTTAGAAGGAGCAACCGCAGGAATGCGAGAAGTTCCTGATAACGACCTTCGTGTGTTCTTTCAGAAAGAACTGGAGGACAGTGGCACGTGCTGTCCGCGACTTGCAGATGTGGAGATCCTTCACAGGCTTGCCGCAGGAGCGAAAGATGCCTTGCGATATGTAGGGGAAATTTCTCGGAATCAAGAGGCCTGCGTCGTTAGTGCGCGAGAGGTGTTGAAGGCAGAAGAGAAACAGAATCAAACGCTCGAAGAGTCGGCCAAGACTCTCAAAAAGAAGCTCAATGCGGCAGAGAAGCAGAGGGGAAAAGCTGTAGCAGCTGCTAAGGCAGCTGCTTCGAAGACTGGGTTAACGACGGATGGCAAAAAGAAAAAAGGAAAGGGGAAAGGGAAAGGCAAGAATAAAAATGCCGAAGCTGAAGACGAGTGTCGTGGCGACTCCCCATCTAGTTGTGGAAGTGTAGCAGAGGCAGAAGAACGGGTGCGAAAATGTGCTGAAGCGAAAAACGAGATAAAGGCAGAACTAGACGCTGTGCTTCAAGCCAAGAAGAAGGGCGTAGCAAAGAAAAAAGACTTGACGAACGATCTGCACAACCTTTGCGACCTACAGAAAAAAGCCAAGCCCATCTGCCAGGAATTTGAGCAAATTTTCGAGGATAGCAAAGGTGAACTCAAAAGATCTATTTCGACAGCATCGTTCAACAAGTTTAACGAGATTTGGACCCGCTGTAGTGGAGACAGCTTAGCTGACATTGTGGGCCGGCGTTTTCAAGAGGCGGCTGCCAGGGCTCGTAAAACGAAGAAAACTACTGAAGCTGTTGCCCACTATGCTTCTGCGACCGCTAAGCGGAACAAGAAGAACGACTACACACATGTACTTGCCATATCGGACGCTGCCATTTTTCGGGGATATTACAATGTCGTAAAGGAAATTAAATCTGGGTTCGCGATGGAAATATCAGGTTGGAAAGATGAAAAGCGAATGAAAAGAGAGAAGTATGAAAACCTGAAGAAACATTTGACCGAAGTTTGGGAGCCAGAGGCCAAGCGGCTCGAAGATTAAGGCTCCTCACAATAGAATTTTAGTTCCTCTCGTCCATGATAGAAGACGAGCATTACTAACTTAGGCAATAAATCTCCATTGAAAGTTGCTCTGTCTAAGAACTGGAGCGCGTGGAAGCCGAAAAGGCCATGAAGGCGAAGGATTTGCGAGTTGCAAAGTTGGAAATCGAACTGCGCGAGTTATACTCACAGTCGGAAGTCGATCAATGTGAGCTGCGTTTAGCGGAGACGCAACCACACGAAGACAGTATCAACCTGGGGATCGCTCATTTGCGGCATCGGGCACGCGTAGCTGCCGACACTTGGGCAGCATCCTTGATTATGGTCAGCTCTTATCCATCTTACCTCTTTCTCATCGCCTTTTCTCCATAGAAATAGAATGCAGGGGAAAGGGTGCCAGGATGAGGATGGGACCATTTTTGGGATGGATTCAAGCACTCTCCAACTTGACCCGGACGTCGACAGCCGGCGAGGACGTGGTAAAGCTGAAACGCATCTGGGACAAGGATATCACTCCTGACCTGTACCGCGCGTTGGAGACCGAAAAAAGTCGGGTGTTGGGCTTTCCGCGGAACGAAAAGCGTGGGGGACGTATGCCTGTGTACGACAAGCGCTGTAAACTCCAGCAAGCTATGGCAGAGAGTGACGCGGTAATTGTGATCGCGGGCACAGGTTGCGGGAAAAGCACGCAGCTTCCGCAGTACATTGCAGACGACTTTCATTCTTTTAGTACTGGTGCAACTTCTTCTGGAGGACGAGGTCATGGTGATGTATCCGGAGGCTCCTCACCGTCTGCAACAAGAGATGGCTCCGCGAAAGCGCGACAGTTTGCACGTGTTTGCGTTACGCAACCACGACGACTCGCTGCACAATCGATCGCAAAGCGCGTGGCAGAGGAATATGGGACCACAGCGGGGGAGCTGGTCGGATTTCGTGTGGGAAGCCGTGGCGGTGGATCCGGAGCCGACTCTAAGAAAATCTGCGCAAAGACGGTGATTGAGTTCGTCACAGAGGGACTTCTTCTCTTTCAGCTTTCTCGCTCCCCGGAAAGTTTTGCGAACTTCGATTGCATTGTGATCGATGAGGCTCACGAACGGAACAAGGAGACGGATCTGTTGCTAGCATTGTGTCGCAACCACCTGCGCACACCCGGACACTCGCCTCTCAAAGTCGTCGTCATGTCCGCCTCGATCGACCCGACACGCTTTCGGGACTACTTCGACGGCTGTCCCACAGTTGATTGCCCGGGCAAGATTTTCCCCGTGGAAGAATACTATCGACCACCACCAGCTCTCCCACGACCGGAGGACGACGGCGAACCGAAAAAGAAAAGTGGCAAACCGGATATCGTGGCCCACGCGGTGGATGTCCTCTTCGATGATGTGGTCAACCACCGAGCATCCGGAGATGTGTTGATCTTTCTTTCTGGTAGCAAGCAAATCATGCAGTGCGTGGACCGAATCAATGCTCGGGCAAAGGAGACCGTACTCAGTAGCAAGGGAACATCAGTTAAGGCAGCGGATGAAACTGATAGTTCTTTCCACTCTAAGCAAACAGGAGCTCTTGTTTCTCTTTAGACTCCATACGCATAGCATGAGAAAATACAATGGACTTATTTTACAGAAAATGAATATGAAGCATTCACCTCGCAAGGAGCACTAATTCATCGGCTGAAAGATCGTCTCGCAAGGTGGAACGCCGCGTCGGTGTTGTCGCATACCCCTTATTTGCGAGCATGCCTGAGGAGGAGAAGCGACGATCGACCGATCCCGATCACCGCGCAGGCGTCTTGGAGGAGAACGGAAAGAACCCTGCTGTATGCGGAGAGGATTCCAGCAGCATGCGCAAGGTGATTTGTTGCACCAACATCGCGGAAACGTCACTCACGATCGATGGAGTTGCTTTTGTGTTGGATGGCGGCACAGCCAATAAGCAGAGCTACAATCACGAGCTGCGGAGTGCCGCACTGGGAGAGGAGCTCGTGTCGCGCGCGTCGACGATGCAGCGCAGGGGCCGAGCCGGGCGCACTCGCGCGGGCTACTGCTTCTACCTGTACTCGGAAACGACGCACAAAGAGACGATGCCACCCTACGAAACTCCGCAGATCCTCCAAACCTCGGTGGACGCATTGATCCTCTACGCACTGAATGTCCAAGGAAAGAGCATCGAGCAGATCGGACTGCTAGATTGTCCACCGGGCCACAGCGTGGCAGACGCCAAGGAGCGGCTCCTAGACCTGGAATTGATTCGGGTTGTCGACGGTTCGGAACCTTCGAAGGCTGGCCCCACGCTATTGGAGCTGACGGAAGAAGGCAAGCTGGCATGTGATCTCGGTGGAATGGTGTCACCGGAGGCCGTGCGCATGATTTTAGCTTCTCGTAATCTGAAGTGCCTGTCGGCGGCTATCAAGCTGGCAGTGCTCATGTCGCTGGACGAAGATCTCTACATGCGCCGCAAGAAAAACGAAAAGCAAGAGAAAAAGGGTGCAGCTGGTACAGTTCAAAACGCATTTTGTTTTTGCTACGGACGTTGGCCTTGGTCGACCAATGATGATACAACATGTGATGTTGGGATAGTGATTATTATTTAGACGACAGGTAGGCACAATGTTATAAGAATGATTCTCTTTATTCCTGCTGTATCAACTCTTCGCTTCAACAGATGCTGACGAGGCGGAAGGCTACGTTGAGGATGCGGATGTGGACGACGATGATCGTCCTTCGACGCACGACTTAGGCGACCACCTTCTGTGTCTGAGGTTTTTTGAAGAATTTGAGGAACATCGTAAGCAGTCAGCGGTAGGCAGCGGAAAGAAGAGCAACAATGCACTACGCAACTGGTGCAAAAAACGGGGATTGATGTTCTACACTGTTTCACGTGCTCAAGACGCGGTGGAACGTTGCTGGAAGGAACTAAAGAAACGCAAGCTCATCGGAAACAACATACAAGAAGGCAGCAAAGATCGCCCGCGGGAGGAAAGCTTGCTGCAGGCTTGCATCTCCGGCTTCTTCAGTCATTATGATTTTCTACGACAGACAGGGACAGTTGAAAAAACTGAAACAACTAAAACTTAGATACTTTCTTGTCCAACTACTCCTGAAACAACTACAACTAAGTTAGTTTTTGCTCTTCCTTGTGATTTTATTTTCATTCATGGCAGTGGCATCGTCATTGAGTCATCGTGGAAGGTGTCAAGGTGTGGAGCCTGAAAGTGCAAATTCTAAGACACAATCGTGGAAGGTGTGGAGCCTGAAAGTGCAAAGACAGCATTCAAGCGTCTGGCCCTTGCTCCGCCGCCAGTTGACGCTGATGTCAAGGACGAAGACGATGAAGATGACGAAGATGCTGGCGGAAGAGCAAACAAACAGCCGGCGGAAGATGCTTCAAATGAAGATGGGGACGAATCTTCCGATCATGAGGAGGCAGCGAGTTGTGAAAAGAGCGAGAGCAACGTATTAGAAATACCCGTCAAGAATACGAAGATTCAACTGTCAAGAGAGTCTTGCTTGCAGTCCCTTTTCGGCGACGATAGTGACGCTTCAGATGACGATGCAGTCGTAGAGGATGAGCATGATGAGGAAGAGGAAGAAGACGCTGTTGAGGAAGATACGTCTGACTCGCTCGCAAGAACTTCTGGTGGGCTGCATAGGCCCACTTCTTCAACGTCGACAACGAGCTTGAGCACTAGAAAAGTGAGTCTGACTTTTGTTCTGTATTCCCGGCTCTTGTGCATTTCGACAGAGCGGGGAATCCTCGCGCTTTTGCAGGACGCAAGTATCATCCAAGGACGCTGGATCCAAGAGCACGCCTCCCCTCGATGGCTGGCGCGAGTACAATTCGACCCTGACAAGCCTTCCATCGCTCGTGACTCGATTCCGCACGTGGGACCCAGGATCCTCTCGAAGCTTTTTGGCTTCGTTCAACAGTTCCGAGAAAACTACGATTGTGAGATTCGTGTGCAGAAAGAACGTTGCCGCATCCGGATCTATGGCCCACAGGAGGATGTCTCTGCTGTAAAAGATGAGCTGGAGGAGAGGATTTGGGGTGAAGAAGACGCTCTTCAAGAGAATGAGAAAGAGAAGAAAATTTACTTCAAAGAGCTGCAACTTGGGCTCGGGATGGGGGTCCGAAACATCACTGCTGGTTTTGGAAAAGGCAACAACAATCCGAATAAAGGTGGCACTGGTGCTGGTTGCCCCTCTTTTCCCTTCGCCGCTGCGGAGGTACTAGTGGAAATACCGGAATTTCAACCTTCTCCTGCCTTTGCGAAGTCCACCGCGGGGACCGGTGGTAGACACTATCGCATCAAGCTCGACTTGGAAAATCAATACGAGTACGAGTATTCCTTGACGATATTTCTCAACGATGGCTTGCATCCGAATTACTTCCTCCAACGGATTCAGGACGGTGTGATTCTTCGCGAAGATCTCCACAGAAGTCTCGCGTTCAACCTGGATCACGTCGCCGCGAGAGCACCCAAGCTGATTCTGAAATACGTCAACAATGGACGTCGACGAGAAGGACCCATGGATGAAGACGAGGACGATGTTGTAGTTCCTGAACCGATGGAAGGTCTTTGGACTAAAGGAAAGAAAGGAAGAGGCAAGGATAAAGACGCTAGTAGTTGTAAAACGTCTAAGGGTGCTAGTGGTGGTGGTAAAAGTAAGTCCGCAAAGCATTCTGTTGAAGGCAAAACGCCGTCTCCATCCACAGTGTTGCGACGAGCGCGAGAACTTTTGCGAGAAGGCGACATAATGGAGCCAGTCTGCGTGGACTTGTCACAGCTTCTTGAAATAGCAGCAAAAAACGACTCGAGCGTCAGATATCGCAGCGCGCTAGCACTCCCATTATCTAAGACTGAAACTACGTCTTTCTCTTTCTCTACTACCCAAGGACTGCAAACGCTTTGGTCAGAAATCATAGCTGAACATCAATCTGGACAATCGTTCTGGACAGCATTTTCTCGGCCGATCGTAGACAATTTGCGACGCGCTGCAACGTCTCTACATATTTTCGACAATGTCACCAGGAACATCATGACACAAGGTGCTGCTGCAGAGAGGGGCATCAACAAAGATGACAAGAAGGGCAGAAGAAAGGGTAAAGGCAAGAATGGCAAGGATGGCAAGAATGCGGTGAACGAGAACAGGAGTGTCTCTGGACCTGGAACTTGTGTTGACCCGTCGGCAGAGCAGGGAGCCGGTGGCTTCCAAGCAGCCACTGTTAGGTTCGTGAAGTCGCGTGGTAGATTCGAAATTTTCGGAGGGAGCTTAAGTGACGCAGAACGGGCCGCGAAGAGCCTTGCTCGCAGAATCCTGCGATTATCCAAACCGGAGGCCACGTTATTTAAGGCTGCTCAACTTTCATTGGTCATTGAGGTTGCTCACTGAGATCGCAGAAGAGTAGTCCCCTTGAAAGAACCAACAGGGGAAAACAAGGGGAGAGGCATGGGGCCCTTTTCTTTAAGAATCAGTGACCAATGAATGTCGGCCTTTAATTTATGCTACGTGCCAGAGGTGAAACGATACACAAAGTCTTTTGTCGCACGCCTTTGTGCGGTAGTGAACGAACTGCGAGCGTACTCTTCGGACGTTCGATTCGTGATACGAATTGGAAATGTCGTGAATGCACCTAGCTTCGAGGACGTGCCAGAGGACCGTGATCTAGATGAGAACTCCCGACTACGTGCTAATACTGAAGAAGACGCACATCATCAGGTACAACACCGAACTTCTTTTCTACTATCACACACTCAGCATCTTCTGGTGCTCCCCCAGCATGTCGATGTTCCTGGGGAGGATCTTTTTTTGGCACAGGCACAGCAACAGTTCCTTCAGCGGTCTTCTGCAACAGGAATCTCGGAGTTCGAGCGCCTTTCGCAGAGGTTCGTAGGTGGAGCAGAGCGACTTAGCAGTAGTACAACACTGCAAGAACGAGAAAAAATCGTTATCGCGGTGCAAACAGCACAAGCTCCGAAGATCCTTCATGAGGTTGTCAAAGCTCTTGATAGCGGTGTCTTAATGCAGATGAAGAACCGCGAAAATTCTATTCGTAGTTCAAACAAGAAGAACAGCAGCACGTCGAAGACCAAGACGAACGTGGGAAAGAGATGCGTAATGTGTCACAGGGGCACCTCGTCCACTGGTGGGCGTGACCACAACCAAACAAGTGCCGTCCAAACAGTCACTCGTCCACAGGGGTTTCAGCTCACGTTGTGCGGTTGCACTTTCTGCCGTGAATGTTTCCGTCACTCCATACTTCGCAGCACTGCCGAGACTGAGAAAGCACACTGCGAATTGTGTAGCAGTCCGATTTTGGCAAGCGATTGTCGAAATATCATTCAACCGTGGTGGAATGCGGCCTCGGATACCGAAAGAGCTCGTTTTGACCGCGAGTGGGAGCAAATCGGCAATCGGATCGTCGAACGCTGCGCGCAAGAAATGACTGCCGATGCCGGCGCTGCGTCTTCGTCTATTGCAGGCGGTTCCAGGGCAACCTCATCCTCGGGAGTTCCTGACAGGGATATGCTTACTTGCCCAGACTGTGCAACCACGAACGTCTTCAACACGAAGATGATGAGTAGCAGTAGTATTTATACACCTAGTAGAACTAGAAGTAGTTCTTCTTCTTTTTCGTCCAATTTTACTTCTAGTACTAAAGGTCAACAGAGCTGCAAAGAGAAGGGGCCTTCGAAGGGAAAGGCCAAGGGACAGGGCAAAAAGGGCCACACAAATAGTGCTGGTGGTGACCACAACGTTACGACAAATTTTGTTCGATGCAGGAACTTCCGTGGAAATTGCTCCAATTATCTCTGCGTCACCTGCGGCCAAGTTGTGCATACCCATGAGCAATACAGCATATGCCGCTCTAAGCAGTGTCTAGTCGCGTCGCAATAATAAGCTACAGCACCACCTTGGAACCTTATCAAGCACTGAGTGCGAACAGAATGAAAATAGTAACAAAAATATTATATTAATATTAAGTACTTTATAAGTTCGAGTTTTGAAAACACAGAAACCCCTCATTTGTGTTGAAAGATATTTTAGTTCATATTCCTAAGCTAAGTTTCGACGCAATGGAAAGATTGTGCATCAATTATTCATTAAAGTTTGTGCGTGGGCATGGAAATTTTGGATGGCAACATTTTGTGGTTGTGTGTGTAGTTGTATGTAGTAAAATCTTAGGTAGTGGCAGGAGCTGACCATTCCAATTTTTTGATCTCTGTAAATTCCTCGAACATGCATCTTTATTGATTCCTATAAGTCTTTTTTAGTTCGGTGAGTGGCCCCTGGAAGTGTAAAGTCTTTTTCTCTTTCTCTCCCTCCTTCTAGTACTTCGCGGATCTGCTGACTCTTATGGCTTCTTGGAATGACTTAGGTGCACATGTATCGTTTTCAAGCACTCAGTTCTTCGCCTACCAAGCTCATTTCCTAATACTGAGCTGAAGCTAGAAATATTTGATGAGGACAGATGACCCTTTTCTGGAGGAGGAGGATCAGCGTTTTTCTACAAAGTACCCATGAAAATATCATCACATCCCCTTGTTCCACTTGTACGATAAGAAAAATTTCGATCATTTATCCTCCAATAAGGTTGGAGGAAGAAAACTACATGGCAGTGCTTCCATACATAATAAGTTCATCGTTGCATCTATTCTCTCGTACTCGTGCCCAAAAATGATGCTAGCATGCAATTGGATTGACAAAACGGACTAGACTTAGCTGGTTGAGGCGGCTTACTGTGGTCGTGTCTGGACCTTGTAATTATCGACCAAAGTGAGGAGGACCTTGTACTAGTAGAGGTGAAGATGAAACAAACGGTGGAAGATGAAAATGGTACTAGCAAGACAACAACAAGAACAGGAGGTCTACGAACACGGTGGATCAATGTTTGTGGCCCATTTCTAGCGAGAGCGGTGAGTCACCTTCTTTATTTGTCCTTGTTCTTTTCGTGATCAAGGTCAAGTTCTTTTCGCACTGGCACAGATTTTCATTTTCCATCACCGAGCTTTGATTTGGTTGTACACGTGACCTTCGTATGGTAATAGTAACAAGCAAATTATTTTCTTTTCTTCTTGTCCTTTTATCGCAGTATCAAAATCGTGTTGTCATCTTATCCCAACACAAAAATCACGATCCAGTTGCTTATAATTATCCAAAGTTCTTTTCTTCCACCTCTATGTGTTGAAAAGTTTAGACTCATTTAAAATAGAAATACATGTTGGCAGAGAAGTCAGCAACAGCATACGTACTCGTAGTTGACTCTTGAGGACATCACCCCGACCATGGCGGACGATTACGACTACGAAAAGCTGCGCCCGGCTGACGTATTGTTCATGCAGGACACGATCAGCGATGAATTCCAGAAGAATGGTGGAACCCTTCAGGAGCTGGTCAAGCGGCTCCGCGAAGAGAATCCTACGGTCGTCATGAAGAGCATGATGATCGACGTTCTGCGGCGCAGCGACGGCAAGCTGTACTCTGCAGACAATCGCCGCTTGTACTGCCTCAAAAAGGCTGTTCCTGACACACCCCTCACGTGCTTCGTCTACAACAACGAGGAGGCGTTCAGCAAGATCACAGAAGTTAAGACCCTAAACCCTTCACTATCCCGTTCCCGTGTGCTGAGATGTTGCGTGCTGAGAAGTTGCTGTGGCCGCCTGATTTAAAGGGGAATATATCAAGGGGGATAATGAAGCAGGGGCAGGGCATCTCACTCAAACGGGGATAGCGAAAAACTAGCGTTAAAGAAAGAAGCTCACTCGACGCCAAATTCAACACAAGTGACGGACGGTTCATAACGGTGCGGCCAAAAGGGTACAAACGCCAGTTCCAGAAAGAACACAACAACCTGCTGTTTGAGCGCCATGTTCATTTGCAGAATATCGAGGGATACTACGAGCAGATATTCTCAGATCCTCCGACAAATCCTGCGCCGTCTTCTAAGAGGGCTTTGGCCACGGAAAAGCAGAACAACACTAAAACTAGAAAGGCATCAAGAACGTCAAACAATGAGACTTGTTCTCCATCAAGTTCATGTTCATCTAGCTCGTCGTCCGCAACTGGTGGTGGTTCGTCTGAAGCTGGGAGTCGTGCTAACAGTTCCTCTCACCGTGGAGGAATTCTATCGCGGGACAAGCTTATTGCGATCTTTTTGCGGAAGTTCGACCTCGACAAGTATAATCTGATAGCGGACAAAATCGAGTTCGAAAAGAGCGAGTACGAAGGGCGGACTCTAGTGATTCTTCGTGGGCGCACGAGAGACGACGTAGTAAAGGCTGGAGACAAGTGCGTGGAGCTCGATGAGCAGATGAGCGAAGCTTCCTCCAGATCTAGACCCCTGATCAAAATGGAGCAGACCACAAATGATAGTGGGAAGATAACGGTTCCGCTTGACGAAGTGGAGGAGCAGCGGGGAAAAATCATAAGTGAAGTTGACGTCGAGGTCGACGTCGATGCGCTTGTTGATAAGGAGAAGGAGCAGAGGGAATTGTCGGTTTCGGACTCCTTTCAGGCTAAATCTAAAGGTAAAAAGCAGTCGAGAAACTCCCAACCTCGAGAAGATCAACATGTTCGAAACCCTGGTTCTTCTAGTGCCGATAAAAATCGTCCGAATGGAAAAGGAAACGCAAAACCTTCTACTTCTTCACGAATGAAAGACAGAAAATCCGCCACTGATTCTCTGTCAACCATAGGCGTGAAGGACGAGTACGAGCATAACAATATAGGTAGGGAAAACAAGGGAAAAAACCGGAAAAAAGGAATCATGAGTCCTCATCCTGTGTGTCCTGATGAAGTTACCTGGGGGAGAAAATCAGCTTCAACAGTATCATCTTCAAAGGCAGGAGAGGAGCAGGCGGACAGCGCAGGGTCATGCGGATCCGGAAATCAGGAGAAGTGTTTCCATACTAGGAGCGAAGAGAAAACACACTTTGTTTGGCATTCGTCTCAGAGTCTCATTTCCAGTATCGACAGAAGTCCACATCAGTTTCTTCAGTTTGCCGCTTGTTCGAAAGGAGGGACATCCTATGGGAACAACTCACAAGAACAACACAAGGGCACGCGTGTGCGATTGGGAAGCAATGTAATATTGGGGAATGTTATCCACTCTACTGCATCCCGCGCGCAGAGAAGGCAACTCTGCCGTGAGCGCCTTAGTGTAGAAGCGCTCGCTAGTATCGACCTGTATCACGAGGAGACACGAGGTGTTGAAAATTCCTTACATCAAGAATCATCTTTGGAAGCTGAAGAACGGGATATCAAGCCGTCGTTTTGCCGCGCTCTTCTCCCTTTCCTAAAAGAATCTTGTTCTGGGACACGACCATTTCTTGAGAACAATGATAAGACGCGGGTGATTTACATGTCCTCGGAGCTGCTGCAGAAGCTTTTGTGCTTGCACACAGAACTACAACACTCGAAGCTGCGCACCGAGCTCCAGTTTTATGGGTATTGTGACTCGAACACGGGTTACATAATCTTATGGGAACAGGGAGAAGAACAGCCTCCAACATCTTGTGCACCAGATGAACGCAAAAACGATAGAGAACAAGACGACAACAGCAAACGACCCGCTTCAAAGAAGCAGGAGCATGAAAAGTGTGCATCTAGCACGAAGGCTCTCAAGAAGCTGCTTGCTTCGCGCAATTTTGAACAGGCGATTACGTCTGTTTCCGGAGACGACGAGACCAAGACGAAAATATCTGCAGGAGGATGTCCCATCGCCGTTTCATCGCTAAACTGCGAAGTATCTTCACTAGTTGAGATACCTGAACTTGCCAAATTTATTCCGGGGTTCCCTTCAGGTGAGCGATTCTGCACGTACTCTTCTTATGGGTCGATTATAGAAACCGCCGCAACCAAAAAGTCATCCTGCACCAAGAAGGAAGACAAGGATACTAGCAAGAGAGTTCACGTTCGCTGTCGCAAACAGAAGGGAAGCAAGTCCGACGACGTGAGGAAGATTCTCTATCCAGGGAAGCCTTACGAGATCTATTGTACTATTTCTATTCACATTTTTTTTCTACCTTGAGTTTAATCTTATTTTCTTGAGATGATAAAACTAGCGTAAGTATTCTGTAAATAGAGGCACCATAAGCAGATGAAGATGCATGAATCAATGAGAAGAAGCTCAACTCGAGTACTTGTTCTAGATCCAAATGATTTCATCGTAGGCAAAATGCTGTCGAGCGGTTGTGACGAGTTCGTTTTTGCTGGCCATGACGCGAATGGACGCGTACAAACTTTGCATTGTCTCGAAAGCATTGGGGACTTCCGCTACACTTTTCGCCTGGGTCGCGACTTGGAAAGCGCAGGAAGCTTTCTAGGGCCTTTCTTTGCGTGGTTCTTGAATCAGCTTCGCATTGTACATCCGGACACGCCTATGCATTTCTCTCAAGTAGATGTCGATGTTCATGCTACCAAGGTGGACGCAGAAGAAGTTGTCAAAGCGAGCGAAAAGGTAAAAACTGCATCGACGTCATCTTCGCAGCCAGCTTCCTGCTTAAGGCCCTTCATTGTATTGATCCATTTCCTTGATGATCGGGCTGCATCAGCAGATTCTTTCAGTATTCATTCTAAAGCGGAAACCCTGGGATCCGCCTGAGACTATGTACTACTAGTCAAAAAAGAACCCTGATAAACGTGGACCGACTACCTAGTGATCCTCCTGAAGACCTGCTTCCTTTCGGATATCTCATGAGAGTTCTAACAGTATCTTCACATAGCGGCGTTCGTTCCTGCGTTCGTGTCATTGCTGCTGTTGCCGACTGCGACGTCCTCGTTCCATGTATGCCGATTCTTTCCGAGCTTCGCCTACAATGGGACATGCAACGACTAAAAGCGAAGTCCCGTGTGAAACAAGCGGATAAATGCAAGAAGAACAACAATGTTTAGTCTCCCAGATAGTTACAACCGGTTAGTTTTCACCTCTACAATTCTAGGCTTACCCCGTGCAACCACCATCCGTATTGAGTTCTTAAGCAAAGTAATGCGTCGCCTGGAGCGCATCAAAACAAACAAACTAGATGTTATATTTTTTCACATGATAATGAGATGATGAAGCAAGACTATGTTGAATCACAACACAGGAGCACACACGTGACAAGTCATGATTTGCGTTATACTTGGATAGAAATATTAGAAGATGCCACTCCTGAAAAAAATGATCCGGTATTCCATCGGAAAGATCAATGAAGACAACGATTTTCTTGGCGTTTACCCTTTCCATGATACAGCGTTGATTTTTGGAACACACTGAATCAGCTTGTACTATATGAGATGAAGGAAGATAACTGATTCGTTATCGAAATATAGAACTTGACGTTATACGAAGAGCAGCAGTAAGTAGGAGATCCGAGATCCTTGAAAAAGTAGAAGTAGATCCGAGATCCTTGAAAAAGTAGCAGATCCGAGATCACCCAAAACAAAAAAGTGGTTGCCTGATCCAAACTAAAAGTGCGATCTCTTACTATAATATCTTGGAGGTTCTTGTACTGTGAAGATCCGAGGATCCACCTATTTGTATTTAAATAAGAAGCAGACTTGTGCTTCGGTGTCTTTTTGATTACCTGCGTTTTTTTAGGGAGCGTATGAGACGACAAATCTATCACGTTGAACAAGGCACAGGCGCTATCACTTATTTTGAAAAAGAGGCATCGACTGACATTTTACCACCAAGAACATAACCTTTTTAGAAGAAGAATAGAGAAATCAATTACAATTTGTTTTGGCTAATATTTCTCGCACCAAGTAGAAGAACATCGTAATCCCTTGTTTGAAGAAGAAAAATAATTGTTCTTTTGGCTGATATCCCTTGTTTTGAAGAAGAAAAATAATTGTTCTTTTGGCTAATGTCCCTTGTTTTGAAGAAGAAAAGTGATTGTTTTGGCTACTAATACTTTACCACCATCCCACCCTTGTTTTGTTGCAGAAGAAGTACATAGAACTGTTTTGGCTACTAATGTTTTACCGGCGCTAACAGTAACGTCCCTTGTTTTGAAGAAGAAAAATAGTTGTTCTTTCGGCTAATATCCCTTGTTTTGAAGAAGAAGAATAATTGTTCTTTTGGCTAATATCCCTTGTTTTGAAGAAGAAAAATAATTGTTCTTTTGGCTAATATCCCTTGTTTTGAAGAAGAAAAATAATTGTTTTGCCCACTAATGTTTTACAACCATCCCACCCTTGTTTTGTTGCAGAAGAAGTACATAGAACGGCTTTGGCTACTAATGTTTTACCGGCGCTAACAGTAACATCCGTTGTTTTGAAGAAGAAAAATACTTGTTCTTTCGGCTAATATCCCTTGTTTCGAAGAAGAAAAATAATTGTTCTTTTGGCTAATATCCCTTTTTTTGAAGAAGAAAAATAATTGTTCTTTTGGGTAATATCCCTTGTTTTGAAGAAGAAAAATCATTGTGCTTTTGGCTAATAATAAATATCCCTTGTTTTTAGGAAGAAAGATAATTGTGCTTTTGGCTAATATCCGCTAATATTTTAGTTTTATTCCCATCGGCTCTAAATAATTTGTAGCTACATCACCTGTTTTCAAGAAGGAACGTCAAGAGTTTTTTTTGGGCTATCGTGGCTGCTTAGAGGACCGACCTTGTTGTAGAGTAAACGAAAGGCCTAGATAGTAGGAGGAAAGGCCTTGTATGGTACAAGGAAAGCCCGCACTTCCCTGTATAGTATGGAAAGGCAAGACGGAAGAATAATACTCCTAGTATTCATCAACATTATCTGGCTAACATCATTCATTTGTTCGTGCACACGTACACTTCCTGAGTTCGAGCAAGGGACACTTTCTCATCTCTTGTTGCTAATTATATCAAAGACTACAAGGGTGGAGTACTTCTAAATCTTCTAAAAGTAAATCTTATCAATCTAAACCTAAATTCTAAATCTGTCAAGTTTTAAGTTCTCAAAGTTGGCTGTCTCAAGTTCGTAGGTAAGCAAGGACGAGTTGTAAATGTCAGAGAAGATGTTTCTCCACTCTTGCAGGTTGCCGTTCTCGGCGTTCAGCACGGTGGGCATGCTGCTCCTATCCTCCTTTCCTCCTGTGTCCTATTTCTTTCATCTTCAACATTTTGGATTTGGTGCAGCTGGAGTTGAGGCCACGCAACTGCCTGGAGCGCCTTCTCGCCAGCAATGGACCTTGCTAGGGGCTCCCAACGAGGTGAATGCGGTTTGGGAGAGCATGTCGTTGAAGATGCGGAATCGCGTGGAATGGCTGGCGGCGGAGGCGGACAAGAACACGAGGTTGGCCTTTACTAATGGGATTGTCCCGGAAGAAACGAGGGCCAAATTTCGTGCGAAGGGGCTCACGTACCAGGCCGAGTGTTTGCACTTGTTGAACACGTCGCCCGCAACAGAACGAGGGATGCGGCAGTCCCGTCCTGCGCAAGACGCTGGGGCCCCTGTATCTTTATTCGACGCTTTAAAGCTGCCAAGAGAAGACCCGGCGCAAGGCGGTAGGGCCCCTCTATCTTTATTCGACGCTTTAGAGCTGCAAAGCGAAGACCCGGCGCAAGGCCCTAGGGCCGCTTCAGGGCTGCCAAGAGCTTCCTTATTGGCTTCCAATCATGGAGCAGGTGTGCCTCAACGTGCAGAGCCGAGCACTCCAGCTCCAGCACCAGCTCCTTTTTTAGTACCAGTCATTCCAGTGAGCCCGGTTCTACCACCGTTATGTCAACCTGTGACTGCCGTGCCCGTATTCATAATGCTACGCCACCAGCCGGCTCCTGCTCCTGGAGCCGCCAGCGCTTCTCCGGATGCGCGGTATGTGGCCGCCAGTGCGGCTGGTGGAAAGGCGCCACTACTTTCCAGTGAGGTACCTGTGGGTCCGGCCGCTCCGGTCGTCGGTCCGGCCGCTCCGGTGAAGACGGCCGCTCGGCGACCGTTTGGCCAGCTCGGGAAGGAGCTGGAGGCTTTTGTGGGTGCCGGCAATAGACAGCACGCAATCACAGACGACGCAGCCATGTTCCGCCAGCAACTAGAGAGTGAGATTCTCGAATGGGATAGCAGCGGGTTTCCGCCGCTCGGGCAGAAAGTTGAGGAGACATTCGAGGGAGGAGCTGATGAAGCACCCTCTCCTGCCCATCAGCTTGGTCCTTTGCGCAAGTCCATCGAGATCGAAGACTTCGGGTCGCTCCGCGAGTACCACAACCTGCTGACAGGGAGTGGGGACTTTGCCCTGGCCGTAACGTTTCATCGGAGGGGTGCAGACGCGCACGCGGATGAAGAGTCGATTGAGCTGGAGCGCGTGGAGGAGGAGAGGCTGGTCGTGAGCCTCGCGCTGCACCTGCAACAAAAGCTCGCGCGTGGAGAATTACCAGAAGGCACAGTCCTAAACCCCATGCCGCATGCCCCCGAGGGGCCCATGCTAAGGGTCACACTCAATAAGAATAACCCAATGTCTGCTGGCACTTCGACAACGCCTGCTGTAGACGTGTCCTTCAATCGGCGCGGCTTGAAGCGTGCGATGTGGCTGCAGAAGCTTTTGTCGAACGATCGGTTCCTCGGTGAGACGACGCCCGGAGGTGACGATGTGCGGAACCGTGCCGTGGATGTTATTCGTTTTGTGGAGCACCTCCTAAAAAAAGTTCACTACGGAAACACAGACTCCGGTGGGGTCGGGACCTACATGCTCTCGCTGCTGGTTCTGCACTATCTGGAGCACTTGGGAGAGGAGGAATTGCACCAACGCAAAGAGAATTTGGCGGAACTCTTGATGGGCTTTTTCGAGTTCTACGCAAGGACGAGCGGCTCTGAGAGTGAAGTCCGCGATCCTCTTCTCGCATCGGTGAATCAGATTGCGGGTACCGCCTACGAGCACGTGATCGATTTTGGCGAAGATGTTCGTGCTGGTAGAGATCAACATGAAGGAGAGGATGAAGAACAACTACTGCGACTTCGTGAGCGGGTAGCCGAGTGCGAAGTTGACGTGGAGCGCAAACAGCACGCGCTGTGCGTGCGCGGTCCGGCAGGTTGGAACGAGCCGGATCCGAGCCGCGACCTGCACATGTGGGAAGAGGTCAAAGACCTCTTTCGTGCGGCAAACGAGATCATGAAGGTTAAGGTAAGCAACCCAATTGATTGGGTCCAACCTGGGGACGGGTGGTGAGGGGACGAGGATAATGCAGATAGTAATTGTTCCCGTCGAGAGGAGCTCCTGCAGGGACGAGCTCATGAGGATGCTTCACCCGATGAAGGTAGGCTTCTGCACGGTCTCTCGTCGCAGCTGCACCAGCTGCTGCGTCCCTGATATCGTGACTTCCTTTGAAGATGTAATGTCTTGCAGGAAAGAAATGATCAGGATTCACGGCTGTCAAGAAATAAGGCGATATGATCAGGGACATCTTTACACACATGGACACACCACAACGTCGCGATCACTGGTTGTCGAGAAAAAGAAAGGAAAATCTCTGCTGTTTTTTCTGAGAAAGCTTCATCAGTCAAAAATCGAGTCCCTTCACAAATATTAGAATGCATGAAGCTTTTATAGCCCAGAGATGACTTACAAGAAGCGAGCTCGAGGATGTGCATGTGGGCTCTGGAGAATGGACGAACTTCTTGAATTGTCAGTGTCGAATTCCTATCGAGGAATGGAAGATGTGCTCGTTTGTCGTTTGTCGATCTGTAACGCTGTCTGAGTAAGTTCGTACATAACATTTGCACTTGGTGACGAGAAGGAATTTGTCGAGGAGGAAGACTCGAGCCATTCGATTCTATGGATTTGCTCGTGTAACAACTAAGAAACCAGTAGTTGTGTACGCATCAGACAATCAATGCATTTGTAATTCTTGCCTCTACGGGTACGGCTCAAGGCCGAGACAACCCAAAAACTTAGAAAGGATGTGAAGTACTGGGAGCACTTTATTTGTATTGGCTCTGCCAACATGTGTTCTCTGCCAACTGTGATGTCCGAAACTCACATAAAGGAGTTACTATGCATCCACCATGATAGACAATGATCTTCCCCTAGTACTGTGTCCGACAACAACAAGGATCACGTCGCGGTAGTTCGGCAGTGAAAAGCGAGGACAACAACGGACTGTGACTGTTTTTGGCGAAGAAAGAGAATCAGAATAGGTCTACGTCAATTATATTATAGTTATCGACATTGCTGTTGATAAGATGTGGAGAACTTCTGAACTATTCGACTTGTTCGTGTGATATGGAACAGAAGATCTTGCAGTTTCAAGGTGAACACACCACTGGAACACAGACTGTACTGGAAGTGCAGGCTTTATACTGGTACACAGACTATACTGGAACAAAGACAGTGCATCAACTGAAAGCACAGACTTCATTATACTGGAACCTTTGCAGACCTGAGACCTCTATGTAGAAGGAGTGCTTATGCTGAAGAAAGTGATCCCGTTCTTGACTTCTCGGCGGATCGCGATTCTGTCGAGTCGCAAAGTAAGATGTTATACTTTTTCACATGATAATGAGATGATGAAGCAAGACTATGCTGAATCACAACACAGGAGCACACACGTGACAAGTGATTTGCGTTATACTTTTAGAAAGAAGGCCCTTGGGGTGAGGATGTCCTCGAGGTGAACGGAAGACGTGACACCGTCCTCTTTCTGTGTGTAGATGGAGTAAATTGAAAGCTAACGGTGGAAAGTGAAAAAGCAGCACATTAACAACGCTGGCGCTACGCTGGTTCTTGAGTAGCACATACACTAGCCTAAAACAAAAAGAAGTGGGGTGAAAAAGGACGCGCATTTGGTGCGTAAAATTGAAGAGAAGAGAACTACGCTGATGGAGAGATCAAAAAGAGCAGAAGCAGACAGAAAGAGGAGCCACGAAAATAGACGCAACAAGGGAAGGAAGAAATAGTTAAACATGCACCCATAATTATAGATGCTATACCCCGCGAGTGGGTACATCAATCAATCAGTCAATACTTGGATAGAAATCTTAGAAGATGCAACTCCTGAAAAAAGTGAGCCAGTATTCCATCGGAAAAATCAATGAAGACAACGATTTTCTTGGCGTTTTCCCCTTCCGTCGTTGGTTCTATGACTTGGACGGTCAACTATCGAGATCTAATGAGTCAGCTTGTACTATATGAGAAGGAAGATAACTGATTGATTATCGAAATAAAGAGCTTGACGTTATACGAAGAGCAGCAGTCAGTAGGAGATCCGAGATCCTTGAAAAAGTAGAAGTAGATCCGAGATCCTTGAAAAAGTAGCAGATCCGAGATCACCCAAAACAAAAAAGTGATTGCCTGGTCTAAACTAAAAGTGCGATCTCTACTAAATAATATCTTGGAGGTTCTTGTACTGCGAAGATCCGAGGATCCACCTGCTTAAATAAGAAGCAGACTTGTGCTTCGGTGTCTTTTTGATTACCCTGTGTGTACCTGCGTTTTTTTAGCAGGGAGCGTATGAGACGACAAATCTATCACGTTGAACAAGGCACAGGCGCTATCACTTATTTTGAAAAAGAGGCATCGACTGACATTTTACCACCAAGAACATAACCTTTTTAGAAGAAGAATAGAGAAATCAATTACAATTTGTTTTGGCTAATATTTCTCGCACCAAGTAGAAGAACATCATAATCCCTTGTTTTGAAGAAGAAAAATAATTGTTCTTTTGGCTGATATCCCTTGTTTTGAAGAAGCAAAATAATTGTTCTTTTGGCTAATGTCCCTTGTTTTGAAGAAGAAAAGTGATTGTTTTGGCTACTAATACTTTACCACCATCCCACCCTTGTTTTGCTGCAGAAGAAGTACTCGTACATAGAACTGTTTTGGCTACTAATGTTTTACCGGCGCTAACAGTAACGTCCCTTGTTTTGAAGAAGAAAAATAATTGTTCTTTTGGCTAATAATAAATATCCCTTGTTTTGAGGAAGAAAAATAATTGTGCTTTTGGCTAATATCCGCTAATATTTCAGTTTTACTCCCATCGGCTCTAAATAATTTGAAGCTACATCACCTGTTTTCAAGAAGGAACGTCAATTGTTTTTTGGGCTATGATCGTGGCTGCTTAGAGGACCGACCTTGTTGTAGAGTAAAGGAGAGGCCTAGATAATAGAAGGGATAAGGCCTAGATAGTAGGAGGAAAGACCTTGTATTATGGTACAAGGAAAGCCCGCACTTGTATAGTACGGAAAGGAAAGACGGAAGAATAATACTCCTAGTACCCATCAACATTATCTGGCTAACATCATTCATTTGTTCGTGCACACGTACACTTCGTGAGTTCGAGCAAGGGACACTTTCTCATCTCTTGCTGCTAATTATATCAAAGGCTACAAGGGAGTACTTCTAAATCTTCTAAAACTAAATCTTCTCGATCTAAATCTACATTATAGCCGAATATAGAGCCCGTAGATTATTTGATGTGAGGAAATAGTACACCACTCGATCCGCTACTTTCCCTGGCGGTGGGAGTCAATCTATACATAATCACAAATTCGTAAAAGTATCGACCAAGCACAAGAATTATTTTTATTTTCATCTTGAAACAACTACAATAAGGGGAGATCCAGATCCAGACACTAGATTATAGTTAATATTAGGAAAACAAGCGCGAAGGAGCACAAAAATGTTCCGCCCTTGTTCACCAGCATCTCTTCTCCTTGGGTTCACCACTACAGCTCTACCGCTCTTAGGGGCTGTAGTGGCGAGTGCGATTCCGTCGTCCACCTCGAGCAGGCCCCCATGCTTTCTGCATCAATTCCGACAGTTGATATCTGAAGATCAATCGTTCGCGGCCTTTGAACGTCCCAGGGCTTACGAGAGACTCGGGCAACCGCACACGGCGGAGAATGCAGGAGCAGAAATGTTAGACGCTGAAGAACAAGAAGCTATAGAGAGAGCTAGAGGAGAAATGTTGGAAGCCGAGCGCGAGGAGACGGAGCTGGCCACGGCCAACGCCGAGAAGATTAGACTTTATTTCAATGAAAAGCAAGTCTTTGCTGAGTCTGCCAAGAATTATACACGTCGACAACATCTCGGATTCGGCAGGGAATTAGAGAAGAAACTTAAAGAAGAAGCCAATTCGGTGGAAAACAAGATTCTTGCTTTCGAAAATCGACTGCTGGCTTTTAAGCATTGCCAATTGAAGAGCTGCGAGGACGCACTAGAAACGGCGCAAAAGGGATTCTTGCCGTTTCTGTCTAACGAGAGGTCGGACATTCTTCTACAGAAAGCAGTTGCTCCTATAGCAGCAATGGGAGCTGTCGGAGGTGCCGCTGCCGCTGCCTACGCTTGTACATGTGACCATAATAACAATATTCTAGGCGCTTATCCTACTGCAGCCGCGGCTTGCGTCGGAGCAGGATGTCTAGAGTACGTATATACTGATGACGTGGTAAATGGTTGCATTTCCCGGTTTAGCGAGAATTTAGTGAACACGTACGTTACGAAGCCTCGTGAAGGTCGCGTGCGCTTGTTGCACAGTAGGAAAAGCGCCGCATAAGAGATACGTCGATTACTGTCCGAAAAAATCAGCCGCTTACAGCAGTTGAAATATCTCTACAGAGCCCCCCTCCTTGCCCTGGACGTTTTGGAGAGGCAAAGGAGAGGACACCAACGTGGAGGACAAGTTGGAAATGAGCCCCCGGACGAACAAGATCAAGACGGTGCGGCGGTAGTTTTTCTGGACCATGAGAAAATGGGATTCTCTCCCATTGTTTGGCTGGACGAACGCAACTGGCAGGTCATTCGGAGACGCGCCTTTACCTCGGAAGCCCTGCTTCTAGGCATCTACCTTCATCCTCTCCAGAAAGAGCGTGACCTTCAAGAAAGGCGGCAAGAAGTAGTGCAACAAGAGCAAGAAGCTTTTGCTATGGGCCGAAATGAACAAAGAGTGGACGTGGAGGATGAAAGGGTAGAGCGTGAAGTTCCAGATTTTCATGTAGTTGGCACCAACTTCCTTTCAGCTGACCCTGAGCTTCTTCGTTACGCGCACAAGTTGACAATGCAATGGAAGATCCGGATTGAGCACGTGCGTAAGGAAATCTTCTACTTGAGCGCTAAGTTACATACACTGACGGAAGCTTTCAAGAACTCTGACCCACAAGAGAAGAAGGCGTACTGGGATAGGGCGGCACACGAGGACGACCAAAAGGCTGAAATGCTCCGTAGGGAAGTGCAGAAGGACGAATGGAGTGCGGAGTTCGGGTTGCGTAATTATCATCAGAATCACGAGACCCTTCTCCCGAACATCCATGGAGAAGCAAAGGGAGCAACCAGACATAATTTGGTTTTGCAATATCACACATTCCAAGAATGGAGGGAAGGAATTTGGTGAAGGCAGGGGCATGTAGCCTCTTCGGTCTGTAGAGCTGGAGTTTGTCGCTCGTGTAGAATAGGAACAGACCGCGCGTAGAAGTATAGCAGGACGTTTAGGAGCGGGTCCTTACTAGGATCGGAAGAGTGATATATTCGGGGGAGGAAGAGTTGTTTGAGCAAGATTTCTTCGTATCATTTGCATGTTGTTTTAGAGATATCTTCAACTCAATATGATGTAGAGTAGTTCTGCCATTGATCTTCGGCGGAAGTTCTGTATTTTGCTACTGTCTACTTCCGCTAAAGATCAATGAATGCAAATGCAAATGGGATGAACCTTCCTGAAGAGTAAGAAAATGATGACGATGGAGGCACGAGCTGTCTAAATCGAAATCATGACTGCAGCCGCAATAGACTCGGGAGATTCGACCTTGCATGATCAAGCAATTACAACAAGTAGGTGTGCGAGTATCTGAATTTTTACGATAAAGGAAAAGAATGCTATCTCTTCTCTTATAATAGATATTTAGATATAGGAACTGAGGAACCCGTGCGGGAAATATAGAAAAAGACGACGCTCGATGTGGAACTGAAAGAGGTGACCGATTTGCCGAATCTGAACACCCCAAAACCTTCGAAGTTGCACAATGGTACAAAAGCCAAGAAACGAAAAAGCGAACGAATCGAGTCGATGCAAGAAACTAAAAACGAAAAGTCTCAAGGTGTTCAAGTTGCAAAGTATTCAAATGCATGAAGTTCATCAGTTCAATGAATCGAGTACATGAGTGACATCATCAAAGACATGGGAGCAATGTGGGAACCTGTTGAAGCAATCTTCTCTCAAAAACCGAGCTCTCATAGAAGATTAAGCCCAGGTCCTCGAATACGCCGCTAACGTAAGTACTCGCCTATTTCAGTAGTTTCGAAAAGAGAGGGAGTGGCGGTCCCCCTTTTGTTCTTTTATATCAAAGAAGTGAAGGAGGGACGTGTATTGACTCAAAAATCATTCAAATTGTTTTACGTTTTGATAGAAGAAGATGGAGCTGTGTTTGTATTTCAAAGCTGGACCACTAAATAGGATGATGTCGACATCTATCTATGGGAGAAGATGCATGAGTGAAGAAAAACCAGAATCAGAAAGAAGATTGACATCACTCATCAGAAGATCTTTAGACCGGAGTTAAGATGGACTAAATTAAGTTAGTACTTACTCGAATCCACCTATTCAGATAAGAAGCAGACTTGTGCTTCGATGTCACTTACTTAATGATCTCATTTCCGTAGGTACTTGCTAAGTTGTGTAGCTACAACAACAATTTTTTTACGGAGCGTATGAAGCGACAAACCTATCAAGTCACAGGCCCTATCACGACTTGTTTTGAAAAAGAGACATCTACTGGCATTTTCCTACCACCAAGAATATAATCTGCTATTTAGAAGAAGAGCATAGAAATCAAAACTTATAATCGCAATTTGTTTTGGCTAATTACATTTTACCACCAAGAACATCTTGATCCCTTGTTTTGAAGAAGAAATAGAATTGTTTTTGCTACCATTTTACTAATCTTCGGTTCTAAATAATTTGAAGCTCCATGATTACTTGTTTTCAAGAAGCAACGTCAATTGTTTTTTAGGCCGCTATCATCCCCGCTTATTTAATAGATGGGCAGGCCACCTTGCATTGCTTTTCTTCATCACTACAAATAATACTAAGTTACTTTATCCATTATTTCTACTTCCTCCTTTCCGCATTTCTTTCAAGATGGGTAGAGTCCTCGGCTCCTTCTGCGTCTGGACAAAAGCAGCCTTGTTGTATTCCTGCTGGCTCCTCGTCGACTTCGCTCAGTGCGTAGTTCGTGTTGCGGGTGAACCCATCCGAGCAAAATTGATTAACTCCGGTTTTACTGACGAGCAGATCAAGAAGCTGGCGCAAATGCACAGAGACGGAAAGCAAATGCCAGACATTTGCTGGAAATGGTTCGACTCCCGCGGCCAAGTCAAACTTGCGGGAGACCTGATCGCCGTCAAGAGGCGCCGCGATAGTACACCTGACGATGGGCAGGTAGAACTAGAAGTTGTTCCTCCTGTGGACAGCAGTAATCGCGGCCTGCTCGCAACGAAAACTGCTACTGCTGCTGCTCCAGATCTTCAAGGTCCTTTGTCTGACGATGGAAGTAATAGTAGCACGGTGATGGACTTTGACTTAGTGTTACATGGAGATAGGAGACAGCAGTTCAATTCCCTCTATTGCCTCTTCGCCGGTCTCGGGTACGACTTGTCCGGGTTTTCGCCGTCGCCGGAGGATGCGCCACCCTTGATAAAAAGCCTAATCGCAAAAGAGGTGTTCTCCGAAGAGCTCTACGACCATCTGCGAGCTCTTTGGGACACCGAAATCTGGCCGATGATCACATCTGGCGTGCGCGGCTATATCGCTGCACTAGAGCGGCAGGCGCACGAGGAGTGGGACGCAACGCCTCTAGCCTCTAAAAGAACCTTGAGAATGAGAGTCAGTTTAAGGTATGAGCACAAGCAGATGTACCCGCATTGGCACATTGATCAGTTGGGCAGATCGCGTCTCCGCTACTCTTTGACGCTCTTCGGCGCGCCTACGGTAATCGATGAAAAATTGACCTATCCCGACTGCGAGGAGCAGAAGCTCTATGAAAAATATGGCGAAGGCACGGGCATCACGAGGAGAGATCCCTTTTCCAAGATGCCTGGAGATCTGGGACCCTTGTTAGAGCCACTTTTCGAACCGTTTTCTACACGACAGAGCCATTACGAACGTGGAGCATTTTTTGGCGGGGGGGTGTGGAATAAAATGCCAGAACCCCCTGTCGCTTCGGCGCCTATTTTCAATGCTGATCGGCGGCTTACGACAAGTCTGCAGCGGCAAGAGCCTGGCTCTGCTTCGGTTCTTCTAGGTTCTCCTAATACCCCTAGAACCCTGCAGCGTAAGCGACTGCTAGGGCTCCTGTTTCGGGGCGGTGAGTCACGTCCGAACGCAGCGTTACACCGTTCCCCAAGTGATCAAGAGATATCTTTCTTCCAGCCACAAGGCGCTCAGGTCGCGAGTCGATTAGTTCTAATCGTGGATCAATATCCATAAGTAAAATTGACATTCCTCCTTAGTTCTAATCGTGGATCAACAACTACATCAGAGAAATTCGTAGAACACAGAAGAGACTCCGGGAAGGCGTAGGCCTAATCCGAATCGCCTAGCATTACCATCAAACGATACCCCTCCGCTGTTCACTCTCCCTCCACTCGTCTTCACTGAAAACCGCGAGATGAAGTAAATGATATCCCTCCACTGGAAATCTATAATTTCTGGCTCTGATAGGAGAAAGATGAAGCTGCGTTTGTGTTTCAAAATAGTCCCATAAGGATGCATAAGCATCTCTCTTCTATGTCGAAGAAAAGAAGTCAGCAACTACTCCAAGATCATTGCATTCGTGCAGAAGTAACGAGGAGGAGCGAGCGCAGATGCGTTATAAGAACAGTTGTTCGCAACGATTATACAAGGTGCAGTATCTTTCAAATAAAGACTTGTGCGTCAACACTATAATGCAAATGCTGCACCAGGAGCATTGTCGGTAAGTAAAATCAATATGGGACATTTGTCCCGCCCGAGTCATAAGGACGAAAAAGGTGAATCAAGAATCAATCAGTCAGGCAATCAATGTGAAGATGCTGTTTGCACAGGCGATCAATGTGAAGAAGAAGATGCAAGCAAGCTGTAATCTGTTAAGCAGTTATCACTTTTCCTCCACGCATGTTGATAGTGATTGATTCAATATTCGCCTCAGACAGCGCCAAAAATCCTAATGTTCCTGCGTGTTGTCCAAAAATGATGACAAAAGTAATTATAACCTTATTGATCCTCCCAGAGACGAGGACGGAGCAGGCGATATTAAATAGATATGATTCCTACAGTTGGATGATTCGGTCTAGTTGCAAGATGACGATCACAATGTCGCTGCCCTTTCGCGAAGGGATTCTTTCATAATGAGTCGTGAGAGCGTCGTGGATAACACGTCAGCGTTCCAGCAAGGTCGGAACCAAGCTCCGAGGCCTCTACGCAGAAAGCAAACGGCGCTGATGACGGAGGTGGTGGAGGTCAGCGGTTCCAAAAATTGAAAAATAGTGGGCCCTGCAACTACTATGGAGTTGCATCGTCCTGGCATGGGTCAGCAAGATGATATACATATAATCACAACGACGGAGGATACAAGGAAGTACTACAACCTATGCTGTTGTTGACATGTCTCACCATACTGAGGAAAGGGCGGAGGGTGTGACCACGGTGCATGCTAGTAATGTGGATGGTCCGACACTGTCGCCTTCTGGTATGGATGGAGGTGCAGCGGAGCATGCTAGTGATGTGGACGACAGTGCAACAGAGCATGCTGCTGTAGAAGATCAGCCTATCATTCAGAGGACAAGTATGGATAACGATAAAGCTGACGACTCGCTGCATATATCAGACATCGTGGTGAATGAAGAAGATGAGATTCATGAAAACTGCAGTGCATCCTTGAACAAGATGAACAACAAGAATGATCACGTAGTTCTCCTTGCCGCCCCTACTAGTAAAAATACAAGAACAATGACGAGGCCCTCTCCCCCGTCGTCTCCTGTCAGTAACAGAAGTATAACAAAGACTTTCAGTGGTAACGCCAATTATATTAAGGGTTAACCAATTACATCTCCCACAACCATTCCTCACTCTTTTTCCAGTAGGAAAGAGGTGAGGGATGTTCTGAAGAATGTAATTCTGCAACCTTTAATTATAGTACTAGAACAACTGGAGCAAGCAGCAACTCCAACGCGGAAGAAGGGCCACCAACGGATCTAGAAACTATGAAGACTATCTACGATGCCTTCAAAGAGAGGTCAGTGATCTTCTTCAATGGAAAACTTCAGCCGGATACGGTTACGGAGAGAGCCGGGGGTCGTCTCCACAGCGGAACTGTTGGTCCTCTCCTGGAGGAGGAGAGTGCTTGTCTCCAGGAGGAGGAGAGTGCTTGTCTCCAGGAGGAGGAGAGTGCTTGTCTCCAGGAGGAGGAGGAGAGAGCTCCCCGTGGCCTCCAGAAAAAATGCCCTCCCGACGTCAAGGAGAGTCCATTTTCTACATCCAGCACTCTAAGGATCGAAAATACAAAACTTCGGGAAATGGTCCAAGTCTTGACGGATGATAAAATACTGTTGGAGGACAAGCTAATGCACTTTATGGTTAGCAGCTCCTCAACCTCATCTACTTCGTTTTCATCGCCCGGCAATTTTTGTAGTACTATGGGTCAACAGGAAACAGTAGCTGATCTTGGCCTTCATCGTGGTACTAGAAGTTCCTCTAGTACATTCGAGGAGTCGGAGTTGGACGTAGCAGCTCTTTGGAGAGACGGTCTTTTGTTCACTGAAGAGCTGCAAGCCGATCTCGAAAGTGAAAGGAGACGGGGACTAGCTTCTCGGCAAGAGTATCTTGCTTACCAAAAAAAGATGGAGGCAGGTCGCCAAGAGCTCGAAGCTTTAGCCAAAAAGCAGGAGAAGGAGACGAAGCGCCTAGGCACAGTGCTGACCCAAGAGCAGGAGCTGCGAGCTGGAGCGGAGTTTGAGAAGGAGGACATGGAGAGAGAGTTGTGGGCTTTAAAGGTCCACAACGAGCAATTCAAAAGAAACCAACTCGATTTGGAAGGGGAAAAGCTGAAAGAGACCGTCTTAAGAAAGGAAGCGAAAATTCAAGAACTACAAGCAGAGCTGACGCTTATTAAGCGCAGTGGTGAGCTGGAGGTGGAGACTCGGAAGTGTAGTGAAGTAGAAGAGGCTGAAAATAAACGCTGCCAAGAAGAAGTAGAAGAAAAGTACAAAAAACTACTGGACGATCGTGACTTCCAACTCGCAGTAGCGGAGAGGAAGTGCACTGAAATCGAAAAGCAGCGCAGAGAGGCTGAAACCAAATGTGCCGAAGCCGAAGAGAAATGTGCTAGAGCGGACTCCCGACGTTTTGAAGCTGAAGGAAGTAGTCGCTCTACTCGCAATGAAGTGGAAGGTCGGCTTGAGGAGCTAGCGCGCGAATGTGCGAAAGAGAAGGCGGAGCGAGGAACTCTGGAACAGCAGCTTCTCGCAGAGACAAAACGCCGGGAAGAGACCAAAAGAGCTCTTCAAGAGACCGAAAGAGCCCTTCACTCAGCACGAGAAAGCCGTAAGACCGCTGAGAGCGAGCGAGACTTGGCAGAAGCGGCTGCTTCCACTGCAAAAAGACAGCTTCACGAAGAACGACACAGGATAGCGGAGCAACACAAGATGGAGAAACAGAAAATAGAAGTAGTTCCCACGAAGAACGACAATAGCAGCAACAAGCTGGAAGGACACGGAAAAGGACCTCAGAGAAATACGATGCTGGATTCAGGCTTTGGTGGACCTTCGTCGTCGTCCTACTTCGTTGCGAGTACAACTGGATTTACTGGTCAAGATATTCTGGATTATGGTCAGCTTTTTTCCATCTTTCTCGGCACTTTGGTCCCCTTTGGCATTGTATTCTCATGAAATACAAGGCACAAGGGCGGGCCAAGATGCCGAGATGCAATCTAGCAGATTCTAACGGGAGGAACATTCACCCGAAAATCCAAATGCTATAACGCCCGCAGTTCTGGAGGGTGCTACAACTTGCGGCGCAGCAACTGCGACAACGGCAAGTAGTTCTTTTAATACAACTACGACCGCTTCGAGTTCGACTGCGACGAGAAATAATTCTACTTCATCTTCCTTTTTCACCAGTAACAAGAAGAAGAATTCCTCTTCCTCCAAGTCACCCAGCGACCAAACTTCTCTCTCAACATTAGGTGCTGAAGGCACTACCCCCTTCCGCAAAGCTGAGTTGCTTGAAGCTAGAGGTTCTAGGAAACGTCCCTGTTCAACGGATACGGTAGAAAAGACGGCGGACGATGATATTAAGGACTGTGCTACTTTTCTGATGAGTGACAATCTGATACTAAAAAAAACTGGTGACCATAACTTTTTAGATGATCCTGGGCAGCATGTACATGGTGAACACGACGGACACGACGATGACGCACCGCCATCACCAATTGGAATTGAGGAGAAGGCAGTCAAACGGCGTAAGATTTTGATATCACCAGAGTCTCCAGATCCTGTTGGAGAGGCCAACGCTTCTTGTGGTCTTAGTGGAGCAGAAAGAAAAATAGGTCCAAGCATCCCTCTAGAAGAGGATCAGAAGGACAAATCTTCTTCGACAAGTACTAGCACTTTTGTTGCTGCTGGTGACCTCGCTGGGACTGGGAAAAATACTTTATCTGTAGTTGTTGCTGGAGGTGGTGAAAGTACTTCAACTGTTGTTGCTGGTGCTCCTGGAGGTGGTGGTAATGCTTCAACTGTAGTTGTTGCTGGTGCTGCTGGAGGTGGTGAAAGTACTTCAACCGTTGTTGTTGCTAGTGCCGCTGGAGGTGGTGAAAGTACTTCAACTGTAGTTGTTGCTGGTGTGTGTACACGAATGTGCGGCACAACTGAGATGACTGGCGGTGCTGGAAATACGTCTACTTTTCTCGGCAGAACCGCTTCCGCGGCTAGTGCTGCAACAGGAACCAAAGGTAAGAACGCGGCAATAGGTATTCCAAAAACAATACCACGAGCTAAAAGCAGTTTGACGAGGGCTGTAACGACCTCCAGGAGTAAATCAATAGCGAGAGGGGATCACGGATCATCCACTTCTAAGAAAGTGGCACCTGAAAAAGATGCTTCTGAGCCGACTACAAACAAAGCTTCTGCTTCTTCTTCTAGTGCCAATGTTGTTGTGTACGAGCAGTCAACGACAAACCAAGGTCGTAAAGCCTCCAGTAGCAGCACCTCTTCTACAAATAAATATCATCAAGATCAACTCTCTAGCTCTATACAACAAGTTGTAGAATCACCACCGCACGAACCTCAACATCTTCATCAACAGGAGTCAAAAAAAGAGGTTGCCCAACGTCCGGCAAAGACTAGGTACTGGTACAAATTGAAATTACCACCAGGATGGGACGTTACCAGAGACTCGATATGGAAAAAGCTCAAGTTTATTCCACCTAAAGATGGTATTTTTCTTATTGTTGTTCGGTTGTCTACTTCGTGTGGAGGTATACGACTTACATAGCTTAACAATTGCCAGTACAACTGCTACCAATGATTGAACAATGTTGTTGATAAGCGGCTTAAGTACATATAATCAGCTCGGCGTGACCGCGTCCGGCGTCTCCTGCTATCGTGATCTAGCATCGCTAACTTGCAGTTTCTCATCTTCCATCACTCATCAGCTATGTATTGTGCTCCACGAGCATGCTTAGATACTCTCGCTTAACTTTTTCAGGTAGTACATCCTGCACTACCTCTGCTATCACGTCGGGTGTCGAGTTCCTACGACGTCTCTTGGAGTGGGACGCTGAAGCAGCTGAGAACTGGGTAAAGTCTACAATCGAGATTGGCAGCGGGGATTGGCAAAGGGCCAAACAAGATTATGAGAGCAAGAACAAGGAAGTGCTGTTTTTCTAGGTCCTATGGCGTTCTACCCACCTAACTACAAGTACAACATAGACAGACATCAACTACTTACTGGAATCATGAGAAGAAGAACAAGGAGGGTGAAGAGCAAGGACAGCATGTATCGATCTCATAGAATTTTTGTGAATCATCTTGTTGGTGGGAAAGATTATGATTACAAGTCTAAGATAAGTCTATTCGAATTCTGGGCGATCCTTTTTCTTTTAAGAGTTGTTGATGTTCTTGTATCTGCTGAAGCTAGAAGTGAAGATTGATCATTTACTTTTTTTTTTTCAAGACTTTTCGGTCTGCTTACCGCGCTAACAAGAGCACGAAGCGGAAGTTCTCAAGAAACGGGGGGGTAAGCTTGCGCAAGCACCCCCTGCGGCGGAGGTAGTTCCAGCACAAGTTGGCGCTTTTCGTATGCCAACTTATGTTCATCCAGCACCAAAGGACCCTCAACACTTGATAACTACATCTTCTTCACATCAACAAGCTTCTGGTGCTTTCTCTGGAGCAGCTGCTCAACAACTACATCAAAGTAGTCCTTACTTTCCATCTGCTCGTCCTCCTCCTCAATACCACGGAGCACCAGGAGGCGGACCCTCTTTCGGATATGAACCAAATCGTGGACGAGCAGCAGCCGGAGTTTGTTCTCTACTTGGCACTTCTACTCTTGGATATGGCCCACCTAGTAGTGATCGTGTTATGAGAGCAGCAGGAACTTCTCGTCTTGGACCACCTGTTACCTCCTCCAACATCTTCGCAAATAGAGGAACAGCCTCAGGCCCCTCAGGCAGAGGCACAAGTAGAGCACGCGGAGGTGATGTAGATCCGAAAACTAGAGGAGGCAGAGGCACAAGTAGAGCACGCGGAGGTGATGTAGATCCGAAAACTAGAGGGGGCAGTGTGGCGCGTGGTGGAAGAGGTAGAAGTGTGGCACGCGGATGATTCGCCATAGAAGGTCAATTCACGACCTCTTATCGTACAAGATTTGACGCTTCGATTCGCTACACGTTAGCCTTAGACCACGTATAGGCATTGATGTTTTCTCGATACACACTCATTTTACGCACACACTGGCTCCTTCATGATCAACACTGATTCGCTCTCTAGTATAGATACTTTCATAAAAAAACCCTTTACCAATTTGTATACGATCACTCCTTTCAGACACGACACGCAGGCACATCAATCTCGTCTTTATACTTGACGACAGCTTCTTCTTAAACATAAATATCGTGAAAAATGTTCTTTTACGAGCTTCACGACCTTTACATCAGTTGATTCAACATGGAGATATTAACAAATTCATATTTCTCTCGTTCGATCCTCGCATGAACTATTCCATTGATTTTTATTCCCTGTCTTGTGGTTACCAAATGGTGACCAACCTGTGCCTCTTATTGGTATCAAGAAGTCTTCTGTGTGGCCTTGAAGCAGGAGATCAACATGAAAAGCGGGCAGGGATGGATGGATGTTCTGTGTGGTTGGATGTTCGAAGATGAAATATCGAACGTGCCTAAGCGGGAGTAAGAAGGAGTAACAAGTGACTTGTTGACTTTTACGAGGTGCCTACCCTTCGCTTCTCCATGATTCTACAACAACGTCTTGATATATCTACGTGTACCAACAATAACGACCACTGAACAAGCGGTCTCTCGTCCGACGATGATTGCCCCTTTGATGATTGGCGGTGGAGTTAGGGCATCAACGAACCAGCAACTACCTTCTTTGCAATCAGCACTGAAAGTTATAGTTTTGATCGGTTTGCTGCGTCATCAAAAATGATGAATAGTAGAAACAAGAAGCTCAAATTATACTTGTAAGTAGACGAGACAGAATTAGAAGAGGGTTGGAGTGGATGATTCCTTTTTTGATTTTCATGTTTCAGAGCTGAAGAGATACTTAACATCAAACCTAACGAATCAATTCAAGATGGAAAAATTTTATAACTACTTGTATTCGGAAAAAGATGCTCCATATCGAGCAATGAAGATGGAGCAGAACGACAGGCCTTCTTCAGCATCAACATCGTTGGTAAAGGTCGAATCCACAGGAATATCTCCAACATATACAGGAATATCTCCAACATATACAGGAATATCTCCAACATCGACGGGAATATCTCCAACGTCGACGGGAGCATCTCCAACGTCGACGGGAATATCTCCAACGTCGACGGGAGCATCTCCAACGTCGACGGGAGCATCTCCAACGTCGACGGGAGCATCTTCCTCTTCTACAAAATCTCCATCACACGCATCTCCGCAAGATGAATACCCATCTTCCTCCGCGTACAACCAGGAATACTCGGCCTCCTCCTACTCTTCCTCCTACCTCCATGAACCCTCTTCTTTCTACGAACAGGAGCCTCCGCCCAATCGGGAAGTCGAAGAGGATGAGAGAGACCGTCTTTGCCTGCATGCGGAATTTATGGCGCCATATCGACAGGCAACGAGAAGCCAACTGGAAGAAGAGCAAAAGATTCGAGCGAGATTATACTTATGACAGGTAGAAGTACCAAAAAAATTGACCGTGAACATGAATGAATGAGTGAATGAATGAAGGCAGCGACGCAGACCGGCGCAGTCATGTTGTCAAAAGTACAAAGATCAAAGTTCAAGGTCCACTCGGTCGCAGGAAGGCTTTTTTGTATGTCTTTGAGTGCTCATCTTTTACTCAAAGAAACTACAAAAAAACAGTCTAATCACGGAAGAGATAGACGGGTATCGAGCCGACTTAGCAGTTTGTCGTCGGGAGTTCCATGATTGCCGTGCTGAGTTGGCAACGGCTAAGCTCGAGATTGCTTTCTGTCAAGAGAATCTAGCAGCGAAGCAGCAAGAATTGACGGATAAGGATGCACATCCAACGGAAACGCAGAAAGAACTGGCGTCAACGCAAGAAGAACTTCTTACGGAAGCGCAGAGAGGACTTGCGGAGTCCCAGGAGGAAACTGCAATGGTCAAGGAGGAGCTGAAACGGTATCAAGATTATCTTGCACTCAGTCAGCAAGAATGCCGGAAAAAATTGGAGGCGAGTCAGCAGGAGGTTTTGAAATCTCAGAGGGATCTAGCATCGAGCCAACAGCAACTTGCAGCTTGTAGACGTCAACTACTAGAACTACAACAACGATTTGTAGTAGTACTCTCAAGCTCAACGCGTGAACATCAAAAAAGCAGCAATAGCAATACTGTTCTTGTAGCAACCTCCCAGCAGACGACCAGTCTTAATGCTCAGGCTGCTCTAGCAGAAAAGGGAGAGTTGACACCTTCTTTGGTCGTGGAGCTCAAAAGGGATATGGAAGAAAAGATTAAAGAACAGGTTGACAACCGACTGGCAGCTTGCTTGAGAGATTGGCAAATGCAAGATCAGGTGCAAAGGCAAGATCAGGCTGGGAAAAGGCAAGAGCAATCGCGCGATAATGTCCACATAGGCCGTTTGCAAGAAGGAGAGGGGACGGCAAAGGAGCAAACTACCACTACGGACGAGTCTCCTAGTGGGCACAAGGTAGAACAAGCAGAGAGAAGAACAGCTGCCAATGAAATATCACAGTCCTCTACCTCATTGGACGGCAAAGAAATGTGCTTGGTCGATGAAGATTTACCTGCTACAAAGAAACGAAAATTGGACAAGGCTGACGTGAAACTACGTGTTGTTAAGCAGGAGATTAGGGATGACGAGAAAGAGAACGACGTGGCGCCGGGAGACAATGTAGAAGTTGCCGCTCCATCTTCAACAACTTGGGGGAACGAGGAATCGCATCCCACCAGTACCACTCAAACAGTAGATATGAACGAACAAAAGAACAATCAGTCTCTCCCTGCAATATCTTCAGTTGTAAAGAAAGAGCCTGAGAGCAACAACCCTGCGAATGTGGCCAGCAGGAGCAGCACTACTTGCACTACAACAAGAGATCTCAAGCTGAAAGCATTGATAGAGAAAAAGTTTGGTGTTCGAGAGTTATTCGCACAGGCGCCGCTTCTTGAGCAAGGAGCTTCCCTCGAGGAAATACTAAAAAGACTGGAGGACCAGAGAAAGGACGAGAAGAAGGCTCAAGCTTCGATTTTAAGAGAAGCTGGAGCAGGAAGTGGGTCGGAGGTGGAAGTTCGAGGTCCTACGAGCGCTAAGAACATAGAGTTTCCACCTCTTGCCGGCTGCAGTTTCCAAGTTTCTGCGTCTTCTAGTTCTCAAGCTTCTGCGTCCTGCACCACAGCGCTTCTGCTCACAAAATCAGACAGAATCTTCGCACCTACTTCAAAAAGACATCCAGAGTCTCACTGAAGGCCTTGAGGCACCTCTCACCCCGTCGCAGCCAGGGAAAAGGAAGCGTCTTCAGAAAGCCGCAGACGTTGGTAGCAAGTAAAAAGTAGATGGATGAAGGCTCACCACCGGAGCCAGAAGCGTTAATAGAGCAGTTTGTGGATTAATAGAGTAGTGATCTCAACAATCCTTACATCTTCTACATCACTGACTTGATACTAGTATCTTCATAGATCAACAAGAACATCGCTAGACTCAACTAAATACATGGAGAATACACTGCGCGATTTTTGCTCTGCATTTGGTCCCCAGTCTGTATTGATATCCCCATCAAAAATGAGGCGAAGTGCGCATTCCAATCATGATGATAAAACAATGTTATTAAATCTCAATCAGTAGCCCAATATATAATTGTTTTTTCAATTATGATTCAGCACCTCACCCCCCAGTACTGACTCGACCTCATTTCATACGCCTTTTTTATCTCTTAAAATGGTTCCGTTGCCGTTCACAGAACTACCCGTGCCCAGTGCGAGCCGCGGCTGAAGCGAAGGAGGGCAGTGAAAGCTGGATTTGTATGACGTGTGTTCATCAGTCTGTGGCGCACAAGCACGACTTGCTTCTGAAAGCTCCTGCTTCACGTGGTGACCTCTCTCTCTCGCTCGCTCTTGATCTTGGATCCTCAATCTCTTGCAGAAGTATTATGGATTTAGAAGTAGCAAGTTGCTGTAATATGAGACACTTTTGGTAGGTTTTTGTTGTTGGAAATGGAAGGAACAAGAACAACATTCTTCAAAGAACTTAAGATACAACGAGTTAGATCGTAGAAGAGGGCAAGCCGCGCGGCTCATTTTTGAAGTTCTGTGTTGCGAGAGATGTTGTCTGAGATAGATTTATTATCCACCCACAACGTGTAAGTGTAAAACAACAGCAAAAAATTGTTCGCGAGAATGATTCTTTGATCACAAAAATGGCTTCTTGTCCTTGGTGTCACGACCGTCCTTGAGGTTCTCTTCATGTTCATGCGGGCTGCCTGTAAACCGAGACGACCTTGACGCTATCGACGATTTCGGAGCTTCTTGTCTCCACTTCTTATCCGAGCACCTTGATTTTCCAACTCCTTTGTGGTGCAGAACTCCTTTGCTGTGCACTAGGAGAAGACTCGTCCGTATCACCGTTTTCTTCAACTACACCTCACTTGCAGAAAGATGCCGCCCAAAGGAGGAAACGTGACGGGAAGGGGCTCCACGAAGGAGATTAAGCGCTTTTCCTTACTCCTTGGCCTTGAAAAAGCTGAGGATGATCCGGAGTCGTTACAGAAGCTGGTGGGTGGAAGCGTATTTCCTTTATTGCTCTATTTTTTCCTAGCAGTAGGTGCAAGAAAATAATGAGAAGTGCTGAATTTGATAATTTGTTTGAATTTCACTATGCAGCAGTCGGTCCCCAAGAAGGAGAAAGATGATTATCATCTTGTCTTGTAGTTTGTTCTCCACCACCTCGTTATTAGTCTTCCCGGATTGGTTCGATATCGATTCATTTTCATCATCTAGGGAGGCGGAGGCGCAATTTCATCATCTACACTTTTTTCTCCCTCTCTTCCACCTCAACGATCGTCAGGTTTGGCTTCCTCTTCCTGACGATCCCGGTTCTACAGAGGTGTTCGAGAAGGGCACTATCATCAACGTAGATTCTGCGAAGGGCAGAGCAGATGTGCGTATAGGCGAAGCGGGGTCCGTGGCTACGACGTTGCGGGAGAACGTAGATTTGAAGCAATGCCGCAATGTCAACGAATTATCAGCAGAGCATGCCGCTGCTGGAGACATCATGAAACTGCCCTTCTCAAATGACGCTGCCGTTTTGGACTGTCTCCGCAATCGCTACCAAGGACGGGACATCTACTCATTCGTGAAGCCGATGGTAGTAATTCTGAATCCGTACCAGGATCTGAAGAACACGGGCGCGGAGTTCATTCGGAAATACCGCTTTTTGTCATCCCCAACGGCACCAGATCCGGAGGTGCCGCCACACGTTTTTTCGCTATGCCGCACAGCGTGGCAAGCACAACGCGAACAAGCGTGCAACATCAGTTTTGTGATCTCAGGCGAGTCAGGAGCAGGAAAAACAGAAACGACGAAGCACATCATGAAGTACTTTGCAACAGAGACGACTTTTGAGACGGGTAATGGCGCTGATGTCGAAGAACAAGAGGAGGAAGAACAAGAGGAGGATGAGGATGAACCTCCTGTCGAAAGACCTCCAGAGAAGGATGAAGAACAAGATAATAGTGCAACTGTAGTACCTGTCGTCTTAGAAGGAGGTTCTGCAGTACAACCAGAAGTACAACCAGGTCGTGGAGGAAGTAAAGCTGCTCCTCGAGGTAGCCGTTTGTCGTTTATTGCGCCACAAGACCTCATGAGAGACGACGTGGAAGTAGCGGAAGAGGACTGCTCGGAAGACGACTGCTCTCCGGTTACATCATCCGCTACTGCCGGAGAGGCGGCCTCTACAAAGAAGCGGCCTGTACGAAAACGAGGAAACCTAGCCGGCGACATCATCACAGCTGCGGCTGGAGGCAAACCAACAAGAGCAGCACGAGGGAAGAAAGCTGTCAATTTGCGTTTCAGGCCTTTCGATGAAGAAGCGGGAATTGATGATGAAAATGAAGAGAATGGTGCCAATAGTAAAGGTCGTGAAGTTGATGTTCCTGCACCAGATTCCGGCAAACGAGACGAGCCGCCCCCACAAGATGCTGGAAGTACGGAGGATACAAGTGCAGGTAGCACCAAGACCAAACCCTCGGCCGAAGACGAAGCCAAGATTAAGGCTCAGCTTTCAATGGTCATTGGGGTTGGTCACTGAGATCGAAGAGGCGACCCCTTGAGACAACAGGGGAAAACGAAGGGAAAGAAGGGGGTCTCTTCCGTTCAGCATCAGTCACCATTGAGTGCTGAGCTTTAACAAGAAGATGAATAAAGCGCGCGCGCAACAAACATCTTGCTCAGTGGTGCAGGATGCTATCATGAGGGCTAATCCTCTATTAGAAGCATTTGGAAACGCAAAGACGGAGAGGAATGACAACAGTTCGAGATTTGGAAGGTAGAAATCTTAATCTTTTTCTTTGTCTGAATTAGAATTTCCTCTATCATAATCATGTATCTATGGAGATTGAAGGCATCTACTATTCGTGTCTTTTAGATGAATGTACAGCTGGTTCTTACTAGAGACACGAAATAACTGCTTCTGTACCCCGATTTTCACTTGTACCGAGCCATCTTCATGCAGGTTCGTCGAACTCTACATCGGGCAAGAGCAAGGCGGCATCCGTGCTGGCTTTGTGCAGTGCTATCTCCTGGAAAAATCTCGCGTAGTCTCTGCCAGTTCTTCCGAACGCTGTTATCACATTTTCTACCAACTTCTCGCTGGCTTGAGTCCTGAGGACAAGGCTTTGTGCCAAGTTTTGGATGGCCCTGAGCAATACGATACCTTACGGAAAACGGCAATCAAAGTGGCCAACGTAGACGACAGAGCAACGTTCCAGGAAGAAGTCGTGCCAGCTTTTTATGCTATCGGGTTTGAAGAAGAGGAGTTGCCTCTTTTGTGGCGTATCATTAGTGCAGTAATGCGGTCGGGTAATGTCCGGTTCGAAGATGGAAAGGATGACGGCGAAACTCCGCCAATATGCAAAAATGAAGCGGATTTGGACGCCATTTGTGCGCTGTTGGGGATTGATCGGGTAGTACAACCTACTATAGTAATAGTATACTCTAAAAACGTTGCAGCTTCACAACTTCTTCAATCTAAGTACTGTTGTCGACAAGTTGTACGTAGTGTTCTAGTGCTAGTAGTGTCACTTAAATTACCATTCTACCACCATCTCCACACACAGTCTCTGGCTGGAAAAGCGATTTCCTTGAAGATGCGAAAGATGCCGACTGGCTCGGTAACCTACACCCCTCGCAGTGGCGAGAGCGCGCGAGACATGATGCTCTCCGTTGCGCGCAGTGTCTTCGAACAGCTGTTCATATTTCTTTATGCATTCATAGGTGGTGAGGCATGTGTAGTTTCACGACTAGATGCATGTACTTAGCTTGAACTTGATCACTAGCTGCTGCAAGTGTTTCACGACTAGATGCATGTAGCTTGAAGAACGTCTACTCCTACCTTGTCACTAAGCATCTCCTTCTCCTTCACCCAATCCCTTGTCTAAGCCCAAGTGAAAAAACTCAATGAGAAGATCAAGCCTGATGCGGCCACAGTCGAATCCCAGCAATGGGTTGGGTTATTGGACATTTTCGGTTTTGAGTATTTCGAGGAAAACTCATTGGAGCAATTCTTCATCAATTTTGCGAACGAGCGACTGCAGCAGTTTTTCCTACAAGTGGTTTTTGAATCCGAGATGGCGCTTTTGAAAGGGTTATGATCCGATTGAGTTGTAGTACAGTTCCCCTTGTTCCGAAGTAGTTCTCCACATGAAGATTACTCACAATTTCTGGGCTTGGTCGTTGTAGCTTCCCTCGTCCTGCCCCTTCTTACTTCCTACTTTCTTCCTTCGTTCTTCCTTCTTACTTCTTGCTTCCTTCTACTTACTTCTTTCTCTCTCCGCCCAATCTTTCCTTTGTTCATTTCCCGAGGGTCTCGACGTCCGCGACATGACCTACAGCGACAACCAAGACGTCTTGACGCTGATTGACAATGGGAAGCCTCCTGGAATCCTGCAGTTTCTAGAAGAGCAGTGTCTGCTCTCTAAAGGCACGGATGAGGGCTTCACTAACCGCGTTAACAAAACCTTCGGAGATCACGCGAGACTGATAAAGCCTAAATTCGAGTCCAAAGAGCGTGAATGTTTCCTCATCGTCCACGGCTCAGCAGTGGTCACGTATTCAACCAAGGGGTTCCGATCAAAGAACATGGATCGACTTGACGGCAGTTTAGTGGCACTATTGAAGAGCAGTGAGAACAAGCTGGTAGTCAAAGTATTCGACGATGTACAAGGAGGAGGAGAAGCGAGCTCGAAGATGAAGGGAAGCTTGATTGGATCGCAATTTTCTAGGTCCATGGAGGATTTGATGAACAAGTTGAAGCAAGCCCGTGGACATTTTGTTCGATGCATTAAGCCGAATAGTATGGCGGGCATGATGAAACTTCTAAGTATAGATGCGTGGAGGTGGTGGTTGTGAGATTCCGTAGCAAGGTACTCAAACTTAACAAAAGAAGTTCTAACGAGAATGAGAAAGTACGAATCAGGCTTATTGAGTTAGATCATTTTTACAGATGCGACTTAGTATACGCCCTATAGATAGTCGTTGAGAATCCCTCTAACCCCCGACTGAAGAAACCCGGTCTCTTCGAGGCGAAAATGGTCTTGCAGCAACTCCAGAGCCTGTCAATTTTAGAAGCCGTCGAGTTGCGCCGCAAAGGCTATGCCTATCGAACGACTTTTCGGGATTTCGTTTCCGAAAAAGAGTATTTTCCATTACTTTTGCTATCATCAAGCGGAGGCCCTGTGGATCCTACAACAATGACCGACGACGAATGTAAACGTGGCACAGAGGCAGTCGTTACATGGCTGAAGCAATTCTTAGACGAAAAAACAAGGGAAACTAGCTGCTTCGTGGGGAAAACTTTGGTACTCACAGATCTCTTCTCATGACTTGCGTTTCTACTTCATCTGAGACAGCGGAAATTTCTCAGTAGGACTAACTGGAGGACTTTTCTCCCTAGCTTAGAACTAGTTGCGACTGCGATAGTAATAGAAAAAGGCACTCGAAGGGCTGTTCCTGGACTCTCCTCCGCGAAACCAGTCTCCGGCGTTTCTGAGACCACGGGACTGAAAAAGTCTCATACCCGCCGCGGACTTCAGGACTCTTAGACTGCTGAGTCCTGAGGTCCGCCGCGGACCCCAGAAATCTCAAAGGCCCCTGTGCCTGTGGAGAACCCGTCTCAGGCATTTTTGGGACTCAAAAATGCCTCCATGGGACTCAAAAATGCCTCATGTCCGCCGCGGACCTCAGAAATCTCAACGCGGCCCTCTGTGAGGAACCAGTCTCAGGCGTTTTTGAGTCATGGGACTCAAAAATGCCTCATGTCCGCCGCGGACCTCAGGATTCTGAGACTGCTCAAAATCCTGAGGTCCGCGGCGGACCTCAGGGGTTTTCCCTGTCCTCGGACAGACCGAGTCGACCCTACTGGGCCTGTCTGAGGACAGGAAAAACCCCTGAGGTCCGCCGCGGGCCTCAGGATTCTGAGCAGTCTCAGAGTCCTGAGGTCCGCGGCGGACATGAGGCTTTTCTGAGTGTTGTGGACTCAAAAATGCTTGAGACTGGTTCTTCACAAGGGCCTTTGAGATTCCTGAGATCCGCCGCGGACCTCAAAACTGTGAGACTGCTTATAGCCCTGAGGTTCGCCGCCGCCGCGGGCATGGGTGTCTGCTACGCCATTTTCTGTTGGGGCTCTGGGGTGATGAGTGTTTTTTTAGGAGCTTGAGATGGAGTTATTGCGGGTGGTGGAGGCGAGCGCCAACGATCTGGCAGTTGGGGAGGGCGCTCCTTGGCCGATTCTTGTGGAATCTAATCACAGGTTGTCCCTCTGAGTTGCTGAGGGGTTAACCTGATGCCCCCTCTAGAAATAGCCCAGTCCTATGCACTGGGAAGCTTCCGCTGAATTGAGATGCATTTCCACTAGTCATGTCTCTTCTTTTGTTTATCGATTATAGAGTCAGAGGCCTTTTGCGAAGGAATAACATTGATTGTTACAACTTCGCAGCGCCTACACTCTCGATTCTCTCTCACTATTCAAAAACGCCTTCATCAGGTTTTTTTCACTCGTGCCGCGCAGCGCGAGTTGATTCAACAGAAGCGGATGGCACTTGAGAAGCTAAGGCCTGCCGCGTGGGCCATACAGTCTGCTGTGAGGGGCAGACCAGCCATTGACAAGTTTGAGGAGGCTGCTTCCAGACTGATGCACATGCAAGCGTTATTTCGACGGAGGCAGGTTTTGCGGAGGGTGCAGAAAGTAGCGAGACTGAAAAGTTTGTTTTTTATGGCTTTAGATCGATGCTATGTGTATGTTAATTGATAAACAATGAGCCTGCAACATTGATCGAAGACCTGCCCTCCTTCATTCCTCTGTTCGCTTGTTGTCTTGGGCGTGCGCATGAGCGCATACGGCGGTTACGGCATGCAGCGGTCACTCTACAGCGCCACGTAAGGGCGTGGCTCGCGAGAGTAGGTGCAGCCAAAGCTGCGATATTGAGGGGTGTCAAAATGCGACGGGCACGACTGGAACTGAAGAGGCTGCGCGCAGAAAAACTCAAAGAACGGAGAGCAAAGGCAGAACGGAACCTTGGTGGGTTGTGTAAATTGTTGTTAAGGCCGTGACTATGACTATTTGGGACATTTTTTTACATTATTCACAATCTTCACGTATATATAATAATATCAATATGCTCGTCGTGCGACATCATTCTTGTTTGTGTATTCATATCACTTCGGTGCGTCTCTAATCCCCAAGGCCCGCAAGATCGCAATTGAGATCAAGAAAAAGACTGCAGCTACCCTGATAGCTAGGAATTGGCGCGGTTATCGCGCTCGACGTGAAATAGAACATCTTCGCCGAGAACGCATGCTTGAGGCTGTCGCACAGATCCAAGGACATTTCAAGACACTCTATTGCCGTACACTCTTGATGCAGTTCCAAGCTAGTAAAGCCTTCCATCGTGCAGGCAAATGCGTACTGCAAGCACGGACACTCAACAGGAGGTTGGAATACACGACGCGACATCATCAGCGATATTTGAACCCCAGAGAAATCTCCCTAGCTGCACATCGATTTCCTATGCCGACAACTGCGCCACAGTCGCAGTTGCAGAGCGACGTTAGAGCAGTGCGAGATGGCAAACGGTACATATGTACCTCAATCACGCCACTGCCGTTTTACAAGTATCCGGAGGACGGGTTGTACCTGAATCCAAATTGTCCTGAGGAGTCGGGTTTACGTCGTGGGGAGTGGGTCACAGCGAGTCAACATAATGATAATTAAGGCTTGGTACCACATTCTATTTCTATTCATATAATACATACTCATTTATATGACTCCTTCCTTTTTATAAGGTTGAGGGTTTAGGTCCAGCGACGCTTAAAGCACTAAAGTAAAGAAACCGGTTAGTTTTCACCTCTACCCCTAGGCTTATCCCTTCAGCCAATAATCATATACATACTCATCTTCAACAACTTGAGACGGAAGGGCTGCCCATCTGCTCCATTGTAGGTCGCAAATTCATCGAGTTCGAGATTCACTCAAGATCTTCTAACATGAATGGCTCCGCACTGATTGCGGACACTGGGTACCGATGTTCGTTAATGGGCTACGCGTGTTAGAACCCTTCCCGAAGAGGAAGCTTCCACCAGGCAAAAACCCAATATTAAGGCTTGGGAGTTGACATCTCTATGCGCGTCTCTATGTCTTCTTCAAGTAGGAAAGCCACAGATATGCGAGCTAGAGATGCCAACTTTCAACCCCTAACAATAGGCGGCGCAAGGCATAAGAGGCAGATCCGAGTCACAAAAGCGACTCCATCTCCTAGGACCGAATACACCGCATCGTCGAAGCTGACTGCGTCGGGAGTGAGTGGTAGTTAATGTTGTGGATGGCAGAGGACAATGAAAAAAGTTTAATATGAACACCTCTTCTTTTTATGATGAACTCTTTTTGCAGAAGAACCCTAACATGAACTTTCTTTGCATCAAACGCAATTTTCATGCGGCTCTTCGAGCAAAAGAACGCTTTTTCAAGAAAACCACAAGAGAACCTCAGGCGGCAGAACCCCTCGCAGCGGAGTCAGTAATTCTTCAAAGTCGGGCACTGCTAGACAACGCACACGACCACCACCTGGGCACTCCGTTTATCATGTGGGCGATGCGTCAAGTTACGCGCCATCAGCATTGCGGAAGGACGAGATCGGCAGCATGCGTGAAGACCCGGTTCTGCGATACACAGACGCAGAAAGACCGAACATTTTTGATCGTTCAGAACTACTGGGCTTAAGTGTATGGCCACTTTGGCTAGGAATCTCTCAGTAGAGGCTAGTAGGGAGCGGGGATAGAAGAAGTGACGACTTTATCTGCATATTGAAAACGACATGGGCCGCTTTCGTCAGTAGAGGCACCGACCTTTTTAACGATGTCATCAAGAAGTTGCTTTCCTCGTAATTAAGTAGGTTTATAGGACGACAAAGATAGAGAAAGGCAGAAAAGAGAAGTACTTATGCCTATCATGCGTTTCAGATTACTTAACCTCCTTTATGTACTTCGTCTTCATTCCAAGAACTTCTATCCTCGATGACCAACGTCTCCGCCTTTTTTAAGCGCCTTCTACTGAGAGTTTCGCTCTGCACAGCTTCCAACTTTGGGTTTTCACTACGACGAAAAAGCCAAACTGGACTACTGGAAACATGAATTAGGTTATCAAATCCGTTCTCTCGGAGACCAGAATCAGTTCCCTACGTTACCCGTCGATGTCACTAGCGACCTGGCGATGATGGACAAGAAAACGCCACACAAATTGCAAACGGATTTTAGTTATGGCTACACTGAATACTAGACTTGAAGCCTTCATCATTCTCTTGGTAATCGCATGCACTTGTGGAGAAACAAGTGAAAGAAGATGAACACGAATTATATACATAGATTATATACAGCACATGCACTCGACGTCACCCTCTAATTCAACTACCTAGGTGGCAGCGCGCATAGTTTGGCAAGCGCAAGCACGGTGTATCGAAGCGCAACCCCTAGCCCGATGACGCCCACATCTGGGAGCAGCCATATAGCGTCGAGTTCCAGAAGAGACGTGGTGGCAACAGATGGAAGTCCTACAACTAGCAGTTTTCAAGCTGCTAAGCGAGGCGGTCCTGCATCACATGGCGGCGCAACTTCCTCAAGAGCAGCGCCAGTCGTAGTACCTGCGTCATCTTCATTCTCTAGCCGCGTAGATGGTGTCGGTGATGGTGTACCCTCTTCGACAAATAACAAAGCAGTGATATCAACAACTTCTTTCACAAGTGCTAGTGGTAAACGGCGATCTCCGTTATCAGCATCAAACCATCAAGTAGTGACGTCCTCAAGTCCCTCATCGTCATCACATCAAGTGTTTAACAGTTCAGCGTCTTCCATGATGAAGTCAACCACTTCATCGAAGAAGGACAACTTTGGTAGTTCTGCATCTGCAGCAAATGGGAACTTTTCTTCTTCAAGGAAACCGAACTTGTTAGCACCGGGTACTAGCAGTCGAAAGACACGAGTACGGTTGATCTTAAGGCTACAACTGAGCTTTTGTTATTCAGATGTCCTCACTGTATTGAGGGGACATTCTTTCATATGATTCTCAATTTAATATAGTGAAGGAGGACCTAGAAGTCAAATTTCCATATTTTCAAACCTCAAAAAAACCCTAAACTCCTGTTCCTATCCTCCTTCTATTCTAATGCCTGGCGGTCCAAAACCTGTCGAAACTAAAGCGTGGAGACCAGAAATTCCAGCAAGAGAGGGCATGCGTGGCGTGGTTGGTGGAGTTGTAGGCGGCGACATTGATTGGCAACAGGTAAATGGCGTCAAACACGATACTCGTGTTAGCAAACTTTATGACGATGACCGCACTAGCAGGGGAGGAAAGAACCGATCCTCAAAGATAGAAGTGACGAGTTCCTCAGCGTCAGCGGGTGGAGCAGGAGGGGGACGAGGGGTATTTCACCACCCAGGAGAACGGGGTGACGGAGATGATTTCGTCTTAGAAGAAAGAGGTGGAAACCAGAACCATCAGCAAACGAGGGAGAAAAATGCCACTACAAATAACGTGCGCCGAACCTTAGTTTTCTCTCCGCTTTCACCTTGTGAACCTCCTCCTCCTCACATCGTTGGATCAAACAGTGTCACCGGGTTATTGCCTATACCGCATCATCAAGGAGGAGGTAGAAGCTCGAAGTCCTCACTCCTCGCTTCAAGTCGGACCTCGCGGGACGAGGTTGACGAGGAAGACGTTGTTGAGCAAGTACGTGCAGGCGCTATGTTGAGAAACAGTAAGCGGTCGACCACATCAATCTCAATGGCTCAACAGACGGGGAAGGGTTTTAGTGCTGCAGGAAGAGAAACTGAGGTAGCTGTCGTCGCACCTTCCGTCTCTAATGCTAGGGGTTCGACTACATCAAGGCTTTCTACGTCCGACTATCTCATGATTGCACCTATGGTTGAGGCTAAAGGCACTACAGCACTAGCGAGTACAACTAGTTCTTCCAAAATTTATCAAGATGGAGTACATCAACTACAAGAGGAGGAGTCGGCTGGAGAAGAAGAGCAAGAATCTACATCTTCAGAGGACGACGCAACAGCTAATCTCCACCAACCCATTGGATCATCAAGAAACGGTCGTTTTGCACCACGTCCTCCAGCGAGAAAGGCTAGGCCCGCAGCACGAAGCATGGCCGCTATGGCTCAACACTCAGGAGGTAGTGGAACAAGTCGAAGAAGCGGCGCAACGACAAGGAAAGACCTCTTCTCCGCTCCTCTAGCATCGTCTTCTTCATCCCGTCAACATCAAATGCAGAGAAAGCTACAGGCAGATGACGATGGACACGTTCATGATCATGGAGGGAAGAGGTCTTCGCGTTTACGGCAGCCTTCTGATAGTGCAGAGCAGTTGCGTCGAGAGACTAGAAATCGAACGACGCTGGTTGCTTGTAAGCCTGCAGGAGGTCCTCGTGTGGGAGGAGCTGGGACGTTTGTTAAGGCTTCCCCGAGTCGTCCATCTTCGGAAGCATCTTGGAGACGTTTTCACCTGAAAACGGATCCAGGATGATCCTTAGGATGGATTAGGGTGAGCTCTAAGCTTGGTGTAATGGGTCCTCCACCGAGCAAACCGGTTGGTGGAGTAGCACGAACTACACGATCACCACCAAATCCTTCTTGTACTAGTCATACAACTAGTAAAGGGACCACGAGAGCGAGAGGCGCAGGTGCTTCTGCGGGGAGAGGAGCTTCATCTGGAGGTGGGACGATCAAGGGTCCTACTAGCAGCTCTTCTTCGAGAACACAAGTTGTGACAAAGTCGAGTAACCTTCAGGCAAATCCACATTCAGCAGCTGCGCCTTTTGGGTTTCAGCCGCCTGTACGAGGTGTAGTGCCGTCTCCACGTAGTGTTGGAATCAGGAAGGAACGCGCGGCTAGGAAAGGTATAATAACGTTGAGAATTTGATCCCGATCGATCTCAGTTCTGTTTGTGAATGTTCTTATAAAAATATCCGTCCAGCAACAGCATTAAAAATACTACTTTTAGACATAATAATATCATCAGCTTTGGCCTTGACCTCAAGCTCAACCCGCCTCTATTTCGCACATCGATCAGGTCCGACGCCGACAACAAATGCTGTTTCCGCTGCACCAACTGCCACACCCCGTCAACCGCCGCCCTCTTCTACTACCGCTTCGCGACTTCAACAGCCCACTGCAAGTCGCCGGATGAAAATGGTCACTTCTTCTACAGGTCTTGTGGCGGAGACAAACAGTGCAAGCACTACTAGCCTAGGCGGGATAATAAAGGCGGTTTCAAAGTCAGGCTCTACGAGTAGATTGCAGGCAAGAAAAACCAGTCATTTCCAAGACGCGAATGTCAAAAACATATCGGAGGCTAATCGAAGGAGACACTCATTCTCATCTCCTGGCCGACAAGAGGGTAGCAGTAAGTTACGGCTTGAATGTTGCATCTACTATGCAAATCTGTTTTTCGTGGAGTTTTTAGGCCTCATTATTCGTAACCTGCGGACGCTAAATTTAAAAACAGTTTTATCGCACTTGATCTTCCTCTCTTCACAAACACCATTACATCAACTTCCTATGTAGGTGTACTCCTACTAGGTAGAAGAAGTTCTTCGTTGTAATTCCTCGTCATGTTCTTGAGCTCTCCTTCCATTGTTTCTCATCATCCGACACGACTATCTTCCCTCACGATCCACCAATAGCTGCTCTAAGATGAACAAACGACTCCTTAAATAGCGTGGCCGGTGGTCGCAGACATCTGCGTGGTGGGGATTTGACTTCTGAGGAAAACTCCTCTCCTGGCACAGTCTATGGTGGCCCAGAAAGCGGCTCTGACGCTGATGATAGACGTTTATCGGCATCGGAACAGATGGCGGAAGAGAGTCAGAATTTTCTTGAACAGGATGCTCAGGGTGCTACATTTTTATGAGACGTGGTCTTGGTAGGTAACATCAAGTTACACCAATTTTTTCCTAATTATAAAGGTACAAGCAAGATGCGTTCAGCTTCAACATCGCTAAAAGTTGGACAGCACGCAAGAGGCACGACAAACAGCTTCTAATCTACAATAATGGAGTAAAAACAGTAGATGTGGTGGATGCACATCTCACGCCGAATTGCAGTCCCATACTAGCAGAGCGATCTTTTGGTGCCCCTGATACATCGAGTGTGGCAGTCATAAACAACATGGAAAAAAATCTTGAGAACAATTTAGCCGATGCTGTTGATGGTAGTACTACTGGCATTACTGGAGCAGAAGATGAAGATAGTCGTAGCAGGGAACTACAACTTAGCAACAACGAAGACCCTTCTACATTGCTCCAACAACAAGGAATGGATGATTAAGGCTACTTAGAAAAAATTCATCTTCACAGGCATCCTGAGACCGTTTCCAAGGGAAAAAGGTCCTCGGATGCGTCTCACGATGGATTTTTCTTAGTTCTAAGATGAAGAGAGCAGTCAACATCTTACAGCTAGTCGTGCAGAACAAGACGTCAGCGACCTTATGCCTGCTGCGACAGTTACTACAGAACCTCTCTTCATGCCTCGTTCGGGAAGTAGTGCGAGTTTAGCAGTTTCAGTAGGGGATGAAGTACGGGGAAGTGCCCGTATCTCCAGAGAAGCGGCCATGATCTCGTTCCGACAGGAATCTGCACGACGAAGCGTGACGATGGGCCGCGTTACTGATGACGAACTGTCGGAAGATGGGATATCATGACAAATTTGAGTAGAACAAATGTCCTCGTGCAGACAACGAACTCGACGGTTGTCCTCGTAATATTTTGCTCCCACAGGAGGATCGATGTTCACGTTGCTGATGGAAGTCAGAGTTTGCCTTTATTACCGCTGGATGCAGCCAACGGGGATGTTTTGACCACATACATATAACGGGTGATCATGACATGACTTCTGTAACTAAAAATGAGTATCAATCGGCTAAGATAAACATGCAACATAAAGATTGGGCATAGTCAAAAGTGAAGTATTGATCTTGAGGGGTTTTTTGAATACTTGATAGACACACGACGATAAGGAAACACGGTCATGAATGTCGCAAGATGAAGTAACAAAATGTGCATTCTCTACAGGTTTCATATTCAGCGCGAGGCTTCCGCTTCTTTTCTGATATTTTGCATTTTTGATGTCGGGAAATACGAGTAAAAGAGACAGAGGACAGGACGCTAAATAGAAACATCTTGGCTATTGTGTGTCTACTTAAACAAAGCAATGCTGCATGTGCATATGTTTCGTATCCGAAATAATAAATGAACAACCATGATGAGTACTTGTAGAAGGATTTTTCGCATGATAGATTATCACTCGCCTACGCTTTCTCGAACAAACGCCAACTACGCCCAAGCTACCATCAACATGAAGATTACTGAACGTCAAACATACACACCCGCGCTCGCTTGTCCTAACGTCGTTAAGTAGTGGACTTCCTTTCCTTTATTGCACCTTCTAGAACGAAACAGGAGAAAGATTATTGGCGGCTTCAGCATAGCTTTATTTTGGTCTTCTCCGGATGCCCTACCACTTTATTGGACTTTCGGCAGGTTTTTTGCGAGGCGCCCATGGAACTCTGCACAAAATTGCAACCTATGCTCGTCAAAGTATCCGAGACAAAAAAGCAACGGAAGGCATGAGTGGACGAGTGAGAAAAAGTTGCGAGAAAAAGGACTATGTATAATAGATGAGGTGTCCTCAGAAAGCTTGAAACAAAGCACTCCTTCCTAGCTGAAAACGAAAACAAGAAAAAGATACCCGAAAAATTACAGTGTCCTACAATATCCTTAACTTTGGAATTGGATCAAAATAAAAAGAAGCACGAAGACTAACATAGCTCCAAAATAAAGACCACATCCACATTGTTACAAACAAGATGTCCCCTTCCCTCGATTTCGTCCAACTGCGATCGCAGTTGGATTCGCTGCAAGAGGATGATCTCATGTTCGAATTCATTTGCGAGCAGACCTTCGAAAACTACGCAAGAAAACCTGGAGGGGCGGGGAACTTCGGAGGTAAGTAAATGATGCCCTTTCTATGGACTAAAGTATCTAGATGATGCCAATTCTATGGACTACCTGGAGGTCTTCGACTCTTTCTGTAGGAGGACAAATAATTGATTCATTTTAGGTCTAGTTAGTAGTGCAACAACACTAAACCTCCTGTAAATTATACGGTCGATCTCTCTTATTCTGACTACCAGCTTCCGCCGCACCGCAGTTTCTCACCTTGCCTCAAATTGCTCCTCTGTTAGAGAACCTCCTTAGAGCTCAAGGCGTAGAACCGAACTATCGAGAGGTCCATTGTGCGTGGCAACGTGTTTGCGACCGCGATGGTCATTGCATGCGCTTCCCCGCTTTCGTGCATTTCGTCCGGTCCACGCTGGCCACATTGAGTGCCCTATTAGCGACGGCGGCCGCCGCTGCTCAGGAGAATCAAGTTCAAGAGGATCACTTTTGTGTTTACATTAAGGGTTCCGACATTGCATTCTTCACTACCATCCTTCGCGCGTTTTCCAGTAGGACGAAAAGGGTCAAGGATGTTCTGAAGAATGTAATTCCGTAACCTCTAATTACAAGCAAGATGCTGAACAGGAGGATCGCGAACCTCAGGGAAGAGAGGGCAAGCACGGAGGCGAGCAACGACGTAGTGCACGAGAAGATGATAGAAGCAGTTCATCATGGGAAGAAAAGAAGCAGCACCACGACAGGAGTAGTCCTGGTGGAGCACATCTTCGTAGTAGTTCTTCTACTAACATGATCAAGGAGAAACTACATCAAGGAATCGCTCCACGAGACGCAGCTTTCGCAGGAAATCGAGGTTTAGAACGTCAGTCGCTTGACCTGGAGTCTCTCACTTCGGAGATCAGTCATAGAGTGTCAACCGAAATGCTAGAACGCCATAAACGTGAGACCCAGCGTTGGAAGATGGCACACTTAGCAAAGCCAAAGAGCAAATCAAGTGAAAAACTGATGGCTGGTAAAAATGAAGTAGCATCTTCTTCTTCATCATCCTCGACAGGAAATGCATCCGGTCAACACAAAAGTCATCGAAGTGGCTCGATGAGTAAGGCCGGTGGAGCTGAGACGCCTGCGCGTCGTAGTACTGGTAGCCGCACTCCAACTGGATCGAAAACGCCGCGTGACTTCGGTAGTAAAGGTTCCAAAGATTCGAACAAGCTGAGTGGTACCACACAGAATAATGTAGGTGACAACAGGATGAAGGAGCAGCCGCAAGCAAGCGCGGAAGAAAATTCCGGAGTAGTTTTTCGTAATCATGAACAAGGTCAACAGAAGATGAAAAACAATGCCGCCTCTGATGCTCCAACTTCTTCTAGCACTACTAGCGGAGCCACGTCTTCTAGTAGACCAGGCAGTGCTACGCGACGCGTGCCACCTCGCAACGGCAACCCTAGTCGTCTATTGCGGGAGTTCGATCGACCGCAAGCAGAAGAGAACATTAATAACACGCAGGAGCATGGCGAACAAAGAGGAGCCTCATCATCCACTGCACACACAAGCGGTTCTTCTTCTACGACTAAAATGTTGTCTCCTGCTCAAGTACAAGATGACGATAGCCACTTGTATATGCGAATCGAAGATGCCCTTTTGGCCGGGGCTCGACAGCCAGTTTCTCTCGAAATCCCAAAAGAAACGCAGGCAGTGCGCGATAGGATGCGGGCACTTAGAGGAGCAACGACGCAACACTGCGAAGATGAGGTGTCAAAATTATGGCAAGAATGTTCTTGTCGCAATCGTGTCAATTTTCATGTTGATCAATACTAAGTAGCATGTATTCGTATTTTTTATCCAGTGTAGTATGTAGTACCAGTAGCGTCGGTCAATACTAGGTAGCATGTATTCGTATTTTTTACTTTTAGGCAGTGTAGTAGTACCAGTTGTAGCGTCGAAAACTACCAGGTAAGCATCAATTAGCATGCATGTCGATGAAAGGGATCGATGTCTTCTAACTCTAGTTCTGCGACAAATCCGCAGTGCACTCGACACAACTGGCGAAAGCGTCTTTTGCGATCCAGACTTCGACTGCAATGACCCAAAAAACCTTGGCTTGCCGGAGCTTGCGGTACCGAGTAGTACAGCTGGCGGAGAAACTAAAATTCGTTGGCGTCGCCTGAAACTGCCAGGGAGTAAACTGCAACCAGGCTTGTCGTCCTCTAGTACTAGTACAACTACTCCAGGTAATATAGAAGATCAGAACAATACAGCTGGCGTCGCCGGTTCCATGACGTATTGGCGGGAAGCCTGCTGTGGCACGAACCAAGGAGCACAGCTACTTCGAACCAGTAGTGTACTCGGTGATTCCTGGCTCACGGGTGCAGCAGGACTCGTAAAGCAGTGTCTTCCAGAGCGCTTCCTGCGTGCTGTTCTTCAACCATCATTGTGTGACGCAAAACGAGGCATTTTCACCTTTCGGTTTTTCAAAAGTGGGCAACAAAGGTTCGTCATGGTTGATGGCTATGCTCCGTTCTTTCGCACTTCTGGGGGAAGTTGGCTTTGGCAGCCGTGGGGAGCGGATGCAGTGGCGGTAGATGGGGATAAACGTATTTCTAGGTTCGATTGATTTAAGTAGACTTGTTGAAGCACTTCTCAACAGCATTCTTTGTCCATCATCGATCCTGAACTATGACTCAGTCGTAAGTACTTTTAGATACCGAGAGACAACATGGATGCACATGATTTCGAAGAAGAAGGTATTTACCTCAAACGGTCATCATATCACCAAAAAACGCAAATATTAAATACAGACACCGAAGATTCTGCTTGGTGGATGTATCTCCTCGAGAAGGCCTACGCAAAAGTTTTCGGCTCCTATGCGCGCTTAATGTCTGGCTTCCCAGATGAAGCCATTGTGGATTTCCTTGGCTGTCCTGTTGAGAAATTCACTCTCGCGAAAAAAGCCTCAATCGACGGTTTTTGGAACGAGATCCGCTTAGCATGGAACAAGCACAAAGCTGGAGCACCCTCCTCGGGGTCTTCAGCTTCAAGTTCCTCATCATCAAGCAGAAGTCTCCCTTCAAGCAGCGCCTCATCTGGACCAGCGCTTCTTGGATGCATCAAAAGCGAGAGCACAGCTTCGCAGAGTTCATCCAGGGCTCAATCGGACCCAATGACACGGTTTGTCCATATAGAAGGGGAAAAGCTAGGGCTTGCTCCAGGACTGCTGAACACTGGTTTTCTTAGGAATCAGATGTACGCTGTTGTCGATCTTGTGCAACAGCCAGCTCTGAACCCAGACGGCACCAGTGCGCCAAGCAATGTAAAGCCACCACGTTGGGTGCGTGTGCGACCTCTGATGGATATTTCCACATCATCTAGTAGTAGTTGTACACATCCAGGACGACCAGGTCATCAAATATTCACTACGATGTCACCCTTACTCCGGGCTCGTTGTGGAGCCTCTTCTTCGTCTTGTCTTCTGAGTGCCTCTGGGACAAGTGGAGGTGGTGCTGGAAGAGGAGGAAGACAGTCCCCGTTAGAGGATGTGATGCTTCGCTTTGAAGACTGGATGTTGATTTTTACGAACGCTTTTCTCCTCCTAGCTGGATCCCCGCTTCAAATCACCTCTACCGGCGCATGGACTCAGGAGAACTGTGGTGGGACACCAATACCTATCAAGAAACCGGTCTACGGTACACCAGAGAGCTGGGCGAAAAATCCTCAGTTCCAAATTACAATGCCTTGGTCATCGAATGTTGGTGGAGATGGTTCTCATGCTTCATTCACTGGCGCTACTGTAGAACTAATGGTCCTCCTCCAACAAGAAGATCCAAGGTTCGAATCTGGCACGCGGTTTCCTTTTTCGAGTGATTTGGAGGAGATTTTCCTCTGCGTGTTGCGGAAAGATGGTATTATTATACCCCGGGCATATATAGCTACTTAAGTACTTTGTTGAGCAAATTATCTTCACAACTCCTGCGAGGTACTTGACCGAGTTAATGATTGGTGACAGTCTGATTTAAGTAATCAGTTACTTGCTTATTTCAGTTTTTCGAAAGCGTTTTTAGGAACTACATTTACATACCTTCAACTCCAGTCTTCTCAAGCTCCTCAACTACAGATTCTACGCCTTCAAAACCACACAAGGTTCCCTAAACCGCCTTCCAGTTTTCGATAAGACTGCAGTGGTGCGGGAAGGGGGGATGTCGTTGATAGTGCATCGTAGAGACGTCCTACTCAAAGTACAATTGAAACCAGGCGAAACTTACGTGCTAGTACCATCTACGTGGCGGACGGAGCAGGCGAAGAAATTTCACTTGACGCTCTTCGCTGAGGATGCGATAGCTGTAAGGGAGCTTTGATAGGGGAAGATCGATAAGGGGTGAATCTGAAGATCTATACTATGCAATCAAACTACTTCTAGCGTGAGAGTAACACGACTCACTGCTCATTTTTCTCATTTCTGCATCTGCAGCTAAGTACATTTTCTAGCTTACATTACATCAGATAGCAACGACCACGCTTGAACTTCCAACAGATTCCTTTTCAAAAGATATTCGAAATTGGAGAAAACAATGAATAAGAATAACATGAAACGTGAGAAAACAGAGCAGAGAGGTGTTCTGAAAAAATCATCGATGATGGCCTCTATTCAGGTGGAGCTTGTCACTTGATCTTGATGTGCGGTCATCGTCCTCCATCCAGCAGCGCATGCTTCTCTTACCCTCCACCTGCTTTCAATTTCATGAGTTGTAAGATAGACCCTATTTTTCCTTCGCAGTCTTCAACTTCATCTTTCTCCCACATATTCTTGGTACCGCGCCTTGGCTATTCGCTTTCACTATACGCATACTCGTCACGACAGGTGGAAATATTGAGAATAGTCATCTACTTCTACACCATACGACGTGAAAAAGAGGAAATTGGCTCAATGTCACTGCGAAAAATGACTACAACAATGATGTAGTATTCAATTTGGAACAAGTTTTGGTTTTGCTATTACTTATGGTTAGCTGAAGAAGTCGCTATCATTCATCTTCATTCTGTCTGCTCTGAATACTGCGCGAGTGAGATTAATTCTATTGCATTGTATTGTAACTGACGACTCCTAACCAACATCAAAATGTCAACCTCGTCTTCGTCTGCCCAAAAGCAAGACGAGATGTCTTCGTCTACTGCATCCGCACAGAAGAACTACGAGATGTCGACTCCAGAGGCTCGCTGTGCGACACCAAGCACAGCTGCACCAGGTACCTGTGAAAAAATGTTGGACATTAGAAGCGCTTCTGATGAAAACGAGGTTGACGGTGTGTTTGCGCCACCGAGTCGTGTAGTCGTCGATGCGGATGTGGATGAGAAGGAGGAGGAGAAGAAGAAAGAGAACATGAAGATGGAAGCCGCGTCGACAAGAAAAGACTCCGATCATTCACTCAATATTATGCCGATGGAGACTTCCTCCTCTGGAACGAAGATCAAGGAACAAACGCCGCAAGAGGAGCTGCAAGATCGCATCTGTCGTTTCTGCTTCGACGAGCAAGACGATAATGGCAATACTGAACTTATATCGCCATGTCTCTGCTCTGGAGGTCAGAAGTGGATACATCTGTCTTATGACTGACTATTGCTTCATTGGTGTCAAAACTGATGATGTAACCTGAATTATATCGTCTACAACAACTTCTAGTAGCTACCAAGGTTTGCTGCTGTTCTTGTTGTTGGTTCGTTGGAACAGCATGTTCTTTTCTCCCCTCTAGGGTTACTTGGATAATTTTTCCACCCCCTGACAGGAGGACTAGACTTGAGTCTGTAAGTACAACTTCCACTCTAATTCCCTTGTCTCCGTCGTTGGCAGCGAACTGTCTTGGTGACACAGCCAACGCATCCCGCTTTTTACGATAGAGACATTCGTCATATGCGCTGCAACGTCTGCAAAAGCGAGTTTACCTGCGCGCCGCCTTCAAGACACGATTTGATGCAATCCTTCACGGGTGGCGAAATCGCAGCACTCATACAGCAGAAAAGCATTATCGTGTATTCAATACACTATTGCTTACTCAATTATCTCTCAGCCAATTCCGCTAGAACAGGCGTTCTTGTTTTGGTGTGATGCTGTCGTCTGGTAAGTATTGGGCGAACCGTCTACAAACATCAAGCTTTCCACGTACTTATGGTCATATCTCAATCTACAATCTCCAGGTCTCACGAGTCCTTCAATGCGGAACTAGAACGCGAACTAGCTCGTTTACCACCTTTCCTAAGGCCTATGTGTGGTCATGAGCATTGGGTTCGCGCAGTCATGTTGATAACCAAGGTCGAAGAGCCAGAACGGACGATCGATATGACACTTCATACGTGTGCTGAGGTACTCCTTATCTACCTTACTACTGTTGGGTGGGGGAATTTGCTATAAATCAGTAGGTAAAAATAGTTATTGACTTTTTATTTGACAACGGTGAGGCGATCTTGTGATTCAGGCATTCAATCGTTATTTTTGCTTTCCGATGTCCTCGAAGAACCAATTTTCAGGTGCTCGCTTTCTTCCGACACCTCTACAGTGCAGACGGTACTGAGCTTTTCCCCAGGCCACCGATGGTCCCCGGAGCTTACTTGCTTCAAGACAGCGACAGTTCAGATTCTTCGTCCGATGAAGAACTTGCGAGTGCGATACTGGGAGAACCCGAGAATGACGACGATGGGGATGCAAGTGAAAGTCAGGCAAACGCTATTGATGATGAAGGTCTTCTGAGGAGTTGCGATGATGATCGCCTATCTGACATTGAAGAAGAAGGAAGCGGTGAGTCCAAAAAGAGCGACAAGAAGACTGCTCAGAATATTAAAGTGGATTCTTCAGATGAAGCCGGATCCGAACCGAAGAGACATCGTACAGATTCTACAACAGAAGCAGGACGAGATGTTGATGTTCTTGCGAAGTCCGACGTTGGACCTGCTTGGAAAGAATTCTTGGTAGATTTCGAGGATTCAGATGAAGCTGGAAGTCCTGATAGTGATAAGAAGATGGAAGGTCCCAAGGAGAACAAAGTAGAGTCTACTTCCAATAAAAAGAAGAACGATCATATGAAGGACGACAAGAAGAAGAAGAACACGACCAAGCAAGATGATGAAACTAAGAATCCGAAGACATCAACAGCAACAGCAGCCTCAGCTAAAAAACCGAAAGACAACGAGAACAAACTGAAGGACAACGAAGATATCAAAAAAACGCCTCTCGTTCTACCGCAACGAGCCACGCGAGGCAAAGCGGTCTTTGTTAAACGGCATGGTCCAAGTTTTAAACACAAATTCGCATCTGTCAACGGAGTGGCCGTGGAGCTCCTTGACCTCGAGGAAATTCATAAACTGGCAACTGCGAAGACGCTCTTTGAAGATGCTGATGAGAGTGCTTCTAAAAAGAAGTCGAAGTCGAAGATGAAAGGTGCAACTCCAGCAAAGAAGCTAGAAAAGGTAGATGTGGCAAAAGGATATGATGACCCCATGGGCGTTAAAGACGATGTTGAACAACAAAAAGATCTGGCAACTACAGGCTCGTGTAGTTCGGCAAAACAAGTTGTTACATCATCTTCCGCAACATCAACACTTGCCGCATCTTCGTCATGCTTAGCTGCCGAATCTTCGTGCCAGCTACCGGAATCTGCTACGAAAAAGCCCTCCCCGCCTTCTTCCACACCTAGAAGAACCTTGAAAGAGTTCAAGATCACACTAGAGGTCTCCGACGAAGTTACGTGTGGCGAGGACCACGTTGTCGCCGTCAATTTGTCGCGTCGGATCGAAGGTCCTCGTTCTGCCGCAAAGCTTCAGGCACAGCTAGCAAAATGTGAGATTCCAGTACGAAGGACGCAGCTTGGAGTAGAAATTGAGCATTACATAGGTGGCCCTTGCGACGAACGGGACATCATGTGTGCGATCACTCTTTAAGGCTGACCAGCAATGTGGTAGCAATGTAAACGTGACTAATGCTATACCCAGTACTATGTACATGATTTACATTAGACGGTACAGTAGAAGGAAAGACGAACGACTGTTGTCATGCAGTTAGAAAATCAAGAATTAAAATGGACAACTAGTACTAAGCACTTCTTATTCCTTTCGTGCAGCTTCCTTGTCCTCGTTTATTTTCGTAGCTCTAATTTCCAGGCGGCAGTGGGGATGGTTGGACAGCCTTTTGCGGTAAAAACTGCTTAAGCGAGGCAGTAGATATGGCCTATGCTCGATGGCGTATGTCTGGACCTGCGACAACGCCTTTGATTGGTGCTCCTGGAAGCAGTACTGCAGGTGCTTCGTCATCGTCTTCGTCATCTTCTTCCTCTGGCGCATCAACAGGTGGTGCTGGAAACGACTCATCGACAAGAACGCAGATGATGACCTCAACAACATCCTTTGACGGAGATCAAAACCACATCTTCGGAGGTCAGATAGTGAGATTAGTCAGGTTAAAAGCTTGTCCAGAGCTAAACGGCGAATTCGGAATCGCTTTACGGTTTCACGGTCCCACCGGACGATGGCTTGTCAGGTTGGCGAATGGGGAAGGGAAGCAACTGAAGCCGGTCAATCTAGAAGCGGTGGAGCCTCGAGAAATTAATACAACAGGAGGAGGTGGAAAAATAGGGAAAGACGAGAGGAAAGACGAAGAAGTAGGTACCAAGATGGATGTAGACGAAGATGGACGCGATGACGACGTTGATAAAAAAGTGGAAGAAGTGAAGGCTAAAAATGATGATAGCAAAGGAACTACGGATAGAACCGTGGGGGCTGAGCGGGAGAAGCCAAATAAAGAAGAAAATACAACCCAGGAGGGAAAGACGGACAAAGCAACTACTTCAACATCTTCAAAACAAGAGGAAAAAACTGTTACTACACCAGCCCCATCATCAACATCAACTTCCCCACCCGTTCCCAAGAAAGCTCGCGTCTTGTGCATTTGGGGTGATGCCAGGTGGTCTCGGACTCAGCTTTTAGGTGAGGTCGCACGTGGTTCGTGGGGTCTTTGTCATGCAAACGTTTCAGAATTCACTACGCGTGCGAGCAGTCGTTGGGACAATACACAAGGGAGGCTAGTTTTCGCACCATTGACAGAAATGAGCGAGGACTATATGCGGAATGCAGAAAGGGATATGGCTTTGGCTCGTGTGAGGAGGCAGATGCACTTGACTTCACACGCCGAGGATCAGTCAGATGCGGAAACTGGTGGAGGTGAGAGCCGGATTCAATTGTTTCAACTCTAAAGACACTGAAAAACTTGATTAGAAACTTCGCTCCCCAAGTCAATCTCAATGCGTGGTGACACGTTCACTATACGACCTTTAATTTCCCAAACACCCTAAAGACTCGCGCCTTGATTCCTCAGACATACCACCGTTTTGACACAAAACATACAATCATTCGAATTTACATTACAGCATGATTTCCGTATTGGTATTTCCTTCCACTCAGCCGTTCCGTTGTATTTTTGATCATCACAAGTCGAATTATATCTCTGCTCAGTTATCGTCGTGTACAATTCATGTTCTTCTACACCCCAGAAAGAGACTCAGGACGACTGATCTTTATTTTTACTGACTCGCCCACGCGCATTTCCTTCATCATCTTGGGATATTGAGCTCCGACGAAGCGGACAAGGTTGCGTTTGTTCCACTGAATTCTTTCCACCTAATCGAGTCTCATCAGCATTCTTGGATCCATGACTTGCATGTACTATCTCGGAACCTCGTCAACTATCAAGATTCTCGAACATGCCATTTCACTGCAAACATGGACTGGGTAGGATGTGAACATGATAGAAGGACTAGGGGGCGCAGGAGTTGTAAGTAGTGACCATGGCTACTTGTTCTAGAGCGCCAGTAGTGCAACTGCGTAGGAGAGTGATAGAACTAGTACGACGAGAATCAATAACAACATAATTTTTAACCATGATGAATTCTAGTTCTCTCTCTGAGGCTGTTTTGCCTGGCAAGTGGGAGTCGCCGTCCTTAGCTAGCGGTCATTGCGCAACCGAATTGCAGGATGCGAAGCTAAGGTTCGACGGTTGTCGCCTAATCGACATGGTTCTCCGTCGAGTGGGATTAGATGCTGAAGCACGACCTACAGCGCCTGCTGCATATGACGTACAAGCTCATCATCCAGCGGGTCATCTCCATGCACAACTACAACAACTACAACAAGCTCAACAACATTTCGGAACTAGTACGCACCAGCAAAGACTAAATTCGATTTATCTGCGCGAATTACCAGCTGGTGCGCATTACTACTTCCAGCTCTTCTATGCGCAGAGATGTTTTAGCCAAGAACGGCCTGACGTGGTTGCATTGGCCTGTGTCCTTCTAATCTCCAAAGTCTTTGATGAAACGAGGCGATTAGATCCAGTGTTGAACTCTTTCGTGCCGATGAGTAGTATACCGAACTTTGGAGGACTCGGAGGTGGTTCTGGAGGTAGTGGCCATAGCTGCGCAACTAGTGGTAGCACAGGATCGAGGACTACTTCATCATCTTCAAGCAGCACAAATCTACTAGCCATGAAATGCCAGCAGGATTAAGGCTCTCAATATATTTCATTTCCACGACTCATTTCTCGCAGTTTCCCTCTTGAAATTCTGAAGAAATGAAGGGAAGAAATGAAATGTTGTGAGCTCTAACAGGAGCTAGAGCAGCAGCTACTTCGAGAGGACCCCTTAGCGTCGAAAGAAATGCTGCGGTCCCAGGTGATCAAGTGCGAATCTTTGCTCATTCGAGCTCTCCAGTTCGATTTCGATCCGCCCACAAAAGTTGCGTTTGACTTTCTAGATCGCCTATGTCGCAAAATCCCTGAAGTCTACAAAGCTACGCTAGCAACGACCACCACCACTGGTGGAGGTATTAATGGTGCTGGAGGAAGTGGACATGGTCATGGACTTCAGCAACTCGGCGGAGCGAGCGTAGCGTCTTCTTCCTCATCTACTAGTTCTAGTATGATGAACGGCATAGCAGGACAGGGAGGTCAACCGCCGATTCCAGGACAGCAGCAGCACCACAATTTTCCGCCATTCGTTGGTAGTGCTGGCAGGAAACGGACTCGCGTAGATTCGAACGATGACATCGACTTTGCGGCGAACGCTCGCGTGAGAAAAATGCCTAGAGGAGGTGGACGAGGGAGCGGACCCCTTACGCCGTCGTCTGCGACTTCTATGACAGGAGCAGGTGTAAATTACAGTGCGGCACAACAACATCAACATCTAGCAGGAGGTAGTGGTCTTGGTGGACGAGGAGGAGTTGGCTTTCCTCAACGACAGGGTACATCTTCATCCACAAGAGGGGACTTGCCCCCTTCTGTCGTCCAAGAAGTGAGACAAAAAGCTCAGTCCTTGCTATATGACTGCTATCGATCCTCCATGGTCCTCAAATACAGTCCTCGCGTACTCGCCCTTACTTGCCTGAAATTCGCTCTCAAAGTGATCTCCAAACGCTTGTCTTTGCCAGTTCTAGCCAAAATCGACCTCCCAGCTCTGGATCATAGGGTGCTACATCTGTCACGGACAAGTACACTCTTGCAAAGAATAGGAGGTGGCGCAGGAAGAGCTGCAATGAACAAAGAACAAGATGAAGAGACCTACAGAAAAGTAGCTGACATGACCATAGAACTGCAACAGATGTTGAAAATAGCAGCTAGTGTGGGAGCTGCTGCGCCTCAGCCTAAAGTTGGTGGACAGACACAGATGATATCATCAAGAACGACACCATTGCCAACACCTTCACCTCCTGATTGAGAGAGCTCTCTACTCTATTTGTAGCGGCCTCTATTGAAGATAGTTTTTCTTGTTCAATCTCCCGCCCCCAAGCAACCAGCACCCCTGTTTATCGCAACATCGAGAAACTCCGCAGTAGCGGCACCATAGATACTGTAAACTGTTGCTAGGTAGTGGAAAGTCCTCCACGCACATGTGTTCAGACATGGACCTGCCTCGTCCAATCAAAGGCTCGCACCACGACTCCTGATTTCACTTCACTGCGTAAGTTAGCGTGAGAGAGATGGAAGCCGAAAACTTTCCTCAGCGCTTGCTGAAGAGATCGATGATGAAAGGTGATCTTCTTTCTACAGACATCACAGTAGATATTCACATTTATTAGCTGCTTATTGTACTACAACAAAGAAAAGTCCCATGGGTGGCGTTTTCTCCGCTCCCGAAAGGGAGCCGGAAATCGGATGCATTCTCTTCGATGAGCAGACCGGAGGTGCCAGCTATGTCGTTACTCTAAAAAAGGATGGCACTAGTACTAGTAGTACACCTAGGAGCAACAACAACATTTTTCAACTTCCGCCAGAAAAGGCTGCTTCAACCGTACTATCCCTTCAACATCATCCCTCCACTTCTCTTCTACCTTCTCGACGTACGCGCGTGATCTTCCTCTCCAGGACACATGGGAAGCACAGAACCCTGGATTTGCCTCCAGCGGATCTCCTGGTTCACTGTGGAGGATTTGCGCGTTCGACCTGGGACTTGCTGGATTTTGATCGATGGTATCATGATTCCATAAACTATGAATGTGTTTCTCGGTTTATGATTCAATAGACTATTATGAAACGAAAATCTGTTATCATTATCAAGTTTCTGAAGAAGAAAAGCATGATAATGATAACGGATTTTCTTTTCATAACTATGTGTTTCTCGTTTTGCTCCTGATTTTGATCGTGAAGAAACTACTTATAACAGGTAGTTCTGATCTCGGCTTAGCCCTTCAAAAAATAGACTTAAATTCTGATCTCGGCTTTACCTTACGCCATGGAGGTTCAGCTGGGATATTATAATGTCTTCATCTACTCTCTGTCTCTTCATCCATTCGAGTTGTTCCCTACACCAGGTTATCCTCCCTAACGCACATCCGCGAACGTCTGGTCATTGTGGACCCTTCCGTGGACCTCGCGCCAGCCCATTTGGCGAAGAAACGGCAACTTTTTCTAGCTGGAGGACGAGCAGTGACCAAAGATGGCGTGTGTCGTAGCACTGGTTTGAGCTTTATGGTCGTGACCTCTGAGGAGCGAGCTGAGAAAGTGTATGCGGAAGAGGTCGAGAACAGACAAAGAGAAATCAATTCCAGAGAAGGACATGGACAACTACGACACTATGGAGGGGATAATGATGGTCTCATCAACGCTGCTGGGACGAGACATACACAACAACATGTTCGAGAAACAGCATCAGATTTGGTCTCGTCCTCGTTCGCGCGTCCAGATGTCCTTATTACTCCCTTTGACGGCCCGATGCAAATACTTGGCGGAACTAGTAAATCCCTGTTTTCTCTCAGCTGTGAAGTAATGCAACCTAGAGTGCACGTCTTTTCTCAGCTCTGCAATGGCCCAAACAGCTGTGTAGGTCAAGCGCTTGTTTTGCTTGGTAGCTCAGTAGCGACTGCTTCATCTAGAAGAAGTGGCTCTTCTTTTTCGTCTAGAGGTCCTCCGACTACATCTACAACTGAAGTGGTTCTCGGTGCCAAAACTCCAACTAATAAGCGGAGCGGCCTGATGAATCTATCCGAATACGGAGCACTTCAAGGTGCTGGACCATCTTCATATAACCCTGCACGACCTCCAAGAACAAGCACATCATCAAACACGAGGACTGCCTCCACAGTGATATCTGCCTTGGATCCAAGTAGTGGCTTAATCCTCGCACGAAAACCAGCACAGTGCACAACGAGCATGATGTTGCAACAAGACAACGACACGCAATCACACGGATCCCACTACTCTCAAGACGAAGCTGAGTCGGAGGAACATGGAGATAGTCCATCTTCCGTAGACAGTCCCTCTTCCGTGGGAACAAGAGTTAAGGGTAGGTTAAAGGTGCTTCTGTTACCGTTTGTTATGGCTCTCCTAAGGGGGACAGCTATAACAAGCGGGATAAACGAACGCCAAAAACCTACCTCTAAGAGAGGCGACAGTGCGTGTTCACAATTCTTTTGTCAATGGGGACAAGCAAGGCTGGCACAAGTAGTTTTGAGTAAGGAGCTTTCGGCTTTGGGATTGGGCGAAGAAACGAAGCCTATCTTATTTGACGGAGGAAATATTAGAGCGAAGACTCCTTGTTCTACTTCTAGGCAGTCGAATCCTGCTGCAGCATTTTTCTCCTCCTTAGGCGGAGGTCGTGGGGGTACAACTAGTGCTAGTGGAGGAACTGGAGGAGCGACTGCCTCTACCAAGAAAAACAAATACGAAGACATCATCAGAAGTCGTGCAGAGAAGTCATCTTCAGGGACAACGAACATCCTAACCGGCAAACTAGCAGCTTTACAAGCAAATTTCAAAGAAGACCTCTCGACTGTGCAAGACGATTTGCGGGATATGAAAAATGCGTTATTTGGAACAGCAATCGATACAACTTCTTCTCTGTCGGCACAGATTACGTCAAAGATGGAGGCGACGTTGGATAAAGTGGCGATGGCACGGGTGAATGCTGAGCAGGACGATGATCAGAAAAGCAAAACTGAATGCAAACAACGAAGCAGTGCTGCTCCTACTTTCCCGGTTGATCCGCGCGTGGTAAATCAAACCGGCGCTGGCGCTCATCTCGCGGGAGGAGGAGGGGGAGGAGGACACGAAGACAGCAGCATCAATCATGAAAACCAAAGCGGTACTAGCATGAGTCGTAGTCAGTCCCAGGAGTCACAAGAAGTTCTTCGAGTTCCCTCAAGTACACTACTAGAAGAATGTGGCCTCTCAGATGTCGAAGAACAAGAGGACGACTGCGTTGAAGTAGAAAAGGTAAAGAAGGAAAACAAAGAAGATCTTGTTATGGAGAACGTCGCGGTCGTTGTCGAGCAACCTCATCTGACTACTTCCTCTATTGTACAGTCCATAGTCAAAGAGATGCTAGAGGTAGCAGCAAAGCTTGCATGTACTGAGGAGAAAAGAGCAAAACAGACTGCGGAGGCGAAGATCGAGACTGATGATACCATTTCGACCCCTGTTGCCGCTATTCCCACACCTCAGACAGTATCTCAAAGAAGAATAAAGCAAAAGAAGAACAAGAAGCTGAAGCAAATACATACAACAACTTCTGATGGAGTAGGAGATGTTGAACTCTTGTTAAGCATTCCCCGTCCACACCTAGTGCGTGAACGCGTGCGCTATTTTGAAGACCAGGCTGCGAAGGCGTCGCCAACGTCAGGAGGAAACGCAGATGCGAAACTCGAAGCAACGGAGACGACGTCGGGCAGCCCGCAAGTAGAAGAGCAGGACCAGGACGAGTTACTCCCAGAAGAGAAAGAAGATGTTGTAGACGATCAGGATGAAGGCGATGTTCAGGAAGTTCGGAGAGAGAATGACAAGAACAAGCTAGACCATGAAGAAACGGAAGAGAGCGCGTCGACAGCTCCAGCGACGTCACCGGAGTCGGAAGGACACGATCGCGAGTATTCACGCGATGATTCTGAAGCTGCACCACTAGATGAAGGCAGACAACCTCTACTACATCGCGATGAAAATGCAAGCCCTCAGGAGCTTGTCCTTGCATCGCCACCGGTTGGTTCAGAAACATCCTTGATGACTAGCGATACTGGTCTAGAGAAGCTAGGACTCCAAGCTACGCCTATGAAGATAGTTGAGGATCATAAGCCGTCATCTTTAGGATCTGCCTCACCTTATCACGACGAAGACGAGCAAAGCGTGATTGGCAAGCATCCTCGCATTTCATCACCGACTTTATCTTCAGCAGCCCCTACCGCTTTCACATCTACTTCGCCAACAAATTCTATTATACCTCCGCAAGCGGTTGTACACCGAGAAGATGAACAAAAATCATTCCATCTTCGTGACCACCAGTTCACCTCGTCCAGAGCAAGAACACCAAGGAGCAACACATCATCCTCACGAATCAAGCATGAATCCTCGATCAAAAATGCAGTGCGTTACATGGGTATGGAGGGGACGGAGACGGAGGCTCATGTAGAGGACAGCCTCCGGCGTTTGTTGAGCGAAGATTCAGATCTTTATTTGCCTGCGTTTGAGGACGACGAATCAACTATAGTAGCAGATACGGGTGTGGAAGATGGGGATGGCAGCAGCACTGCTGATGGTGGTCATATGAAGCAGCGGGAACAAATGCACCACGGCTTGTCAGGTGGAGGTGGGAGTAATCCTTCTTCTACAACTACTGCTAACTACAAAGTAGTATGCCGTAGTCGTGCGACGACACCGTCATGGAGTGACGCTCAGAATCAGCCAGGAAGAGCTCAGCCTTTCGTAGAATTGTCAAGTACTGAATTCAAGCGAGTGCCTACGTTGTTTGTACAGCAGCAAGCGCTGTTTACCGTTGTTGATTTCATTCATGAATGAAAGAGAAAGAATAGTACTAGGCTCTAGTTGGGTATTACAACTAACGTGTTGGTGTTGCAATCAATTAGACAAGAAAAGAGTTAAATAGTGCAACTTTCACAGAGATTTGTTACAGATTTGCGTATATCGGTGTATAGTGTGATTAAAAACCTTTACAGCAGGTGCAATTTACAACCTCTATCAATTTTGGAATCTACAACTAGTTCTAGGTACATTATGAAATGTCCTCGTGTACTAGAGAAAGAGAAACTCCTATCATGAAATAAGAATAACAACTTTCAAGAAAATTTTGCCATGATGTTACTGAAAAATACCTGACAAGGACATCAAGCTCCGGAACGACATGCAAAGCGATGCAGGGCAAGACTGCTAGTCGTTGTAGATATGTGAAAAATCAAAGGCACACAACAAGAATTTCGTTACAGATAGTTGATGCTTTTCCACGACCTCAACATCTGATGAACGCTGTTAAACGACGCCGGGCGTCGTCTTGAAGATTACGGACGAGACCAAGCAACCGCTTCTAAAGCCGTGCTGCCGATCCCTCTATGTGCCTTTCCTGTGTGTGTATTTCTAGGTTTGTCAGGATCTGGATCTCCATGATCATCGCGTCTTCGATCGAACCTTGTTTCTTGTGCGTCAGATCAATCACCAATGGAAGATCCTCGTCTGGCCAGTTATCAATTCCAGTTGTTTTCTTGTCGCCGCGGAATAAATACACTAGCTCTACCTTCTTTTTTCAGAACAAACAAAATGGCCTCTTCCTCTAGTTTCCCGAGTCGCGCACTCCTCACTGGAGTACCTTCGCCATGCCGGGCAACTGTAGCCGAACGCTTTCGCTCTTTACTCGCGTCATCTTCTGCCGCGACACCATCGTCCTCGTCTTCCTCACCCTTCTCTGGACGAGCAGGATGCAGGAAGTACAAAAGAGAGGAAAGTACTTCCAAAGCTTTCTCCTCCACTTCAGCTGCGGCATCTACACGAGCAAGAACGAAAGGATACGCAGACCACACAAGAGGAAAAACGAGGACGAGCAATTCCACTAACAAGAAGGGGACCGGCGAGGATACTACTCAACAAACTTCATCCATAGCATCAAAAGTCACCAGTATGCGTGTAAACACAGTCCAGGACTATTTGCGTCTAGGAACGGAGCCGGATTACAGGGGTCTGGTTCAGGAATGCTTAGTGGTGGGAAAAAAGCTACTCCTAGAGTTGCAGGCGAAGGGCTTTCATCCAAAAGAATTGCTGTTGCCACTGAAAGATCATTTATGACTTGGTTGTATGATGAGGCTCTGCCCCTCGTAGAATTCGAGATTAATTTGCTGGTCCTCGTATCCCTTCATCGCTTCATCAGCCAGCTACCGATGTAAGCCTTCTCGCTCTTTGCAAACTGCATTGTTTTCGCGAAGAAAAATATGCTCTTCTTGATAATCATTTCCCTTCATTTCCCCGCAGAAAGCCGATTCTGGACGGAAACAAGTCCTCTGCGGACAAAGGCGAACAAGAAGGCAGCAATAGTTCTAGGCCTCTACTAGGCGAAAAAGCGCATGAAAGACGAAAGCACCGTCTCCAAGCCCTTCTGGATGACTATGGCAGGAAGGAGGCCAGTAGGGGTAGTGCGTCTTCCCGTGTTCGAGCTCCAACGTTAAGGCTTCCCCTAATCCATCCCTTCTGTAGGGATCCCTCAGATATATGCGCCCCAATTATTGATACAGGGGAGATACTGACGCATATGTTTCAGGGATTTCCACAGGGATGAATAGGGGAGAGCTCTAACAGCGGAAGATGAAGAACCGAGAAAAGTCGTGGTTGACAAATTAGCGCGGAGAGCACAGGAGAATGAAGATTATGATTTTGGTTTGTGAAGGTTGCAGAAGGGGGGTACTTTGATTAATAGGATTGGGTAGGGGTACTAGGCGGATCGACGTCCTGGAACGCATTCAGATGACATTTGATGAAGTTTCTTCGGGCTCCAACAGAGCACCAAGAATCATCAGTATGCTCTGCCTCCGCGCTCCCCTTCATCAACTTCATCCATCTATTCTAATGCTCGCTTCTCCGATCCCAGTTTCCGCAAACAGAGAAATTTCTTCGTGTGGAGGATAAACCGCTAAGGCGTATCGCACAAATGCGAGATTACAAGAATGAACTTGTTGCTCGCTTACCGATTCCAGCTGGGGATTCCTTGCCTCATTTGCCGCATCCCAAATTAGTCCTAGCTTTGGAGAATATCACAGACGCTGGCGAGTTAGGCACCATTCTGCGTTCAGCGTTGGCGTTCCAGTGGCATGGGGTGTTTTTTGTGGGCACGAAAAACGCGGATCCATGGTCCCCTGAGTGCATAAGAGCAAGCCAAGGCGCGATGTGGTCTTTGCCGTACATGCGGTCGACGAATCTAGAGAAGTTTCATCACACGTATTGCAAAGAAAAGGCGCTGGAAAAGGATAAGTTGGCGTTGCTAGTTATGAAAGAAGAAGAATTTGATATGGGAGAAGAATTTTTGCACGCTGGCGGAGAGGACCATCAAGCTCAAGGGATGCAAACAGTAGGGAACGAGAGTAAAACCAAAGGAAACATCAACAATCTTCGACCATTGCGCCTTCATCGATTGAAGGTTCGTGATTTTCTTTCTCCACGTAGCAGTACTACAGGAGAACAAGACGACCCTCACGCTGCTTTCGGTAGCACTATGGCCTCAGCGATACCAGGTAAATCTTCAGCCAAAAAACTGACATCAACAGCAGAATTAGCCTCCAAGGTCCATTTTCTGGATGACAGGTCAAAGCTTGGAGCTGCCTTTGAGGGTGTAGTCTTGCATTTGCGAGGTCGGACTGCCACAGGCAAGGCACCAAATCATTTTATTCGGGTAACGCCTTCAAGCTCTTCGATTATAGATGCAAGTGCGAGTATGAGCAGCACGGATGAAGGTGGTAGCATTACTAGATGTGGTTCTGCGGTAACAAGTAGCTTCACTCCAACACTCCCACTCGCAGTACAGGCCTCGATGCTACTCTACCAGATTCGTACGAAGCTATTACCACACGCGCCGCAAACAGGACACATCGCATGAAGAAAAGCAGGGCTGAGGTTTTGTTATTGTGCGTGCAGGTACTGAGAACAAATATGATGAAGATACGAATTGGAATAGAACGATTATGATGTTCTTCTGTGCGCGAGCGCAACTGCCCATCAAATGTTATCGGGAAATGGGACTTTTTAGGAAGTCATGTTTTACTGAAATGAACCTTTGTATTTTTGTCAGCACTGCAGCTAAGCTGTCCTCCGATCTGTTAGCCTCAGAGGTGAACTGATAAATCTAAAACTCACGCCTCAAGATGAACAGGCGTTTGTTATCCACAGCCGTGTAGTAGGGTTTACTGTTCTACAACTAAGGGGACTGCCGCACCTCGAAATTCTGGCTCTGAGAAAGAGGATCAACAAATGATCCAAAAAAAGGATGTAGACAAACATTCGATGGTGTCTTTGACTAAAATTGTGACATGACTGAGGAGAGGCAAACTCGAGAGACAAAGGATGGCGCCACGTGGTCGCATTTTGTGACCACTCATTAAATCTCAGCGGGCCTTGTCGAGGGCCTGCTGGAGCACACGAAATGATGGACCGATTGGCGGCGAGGCGTCGTACATCCGCCGCTGCCATGAGCACACAACTTGTGCTGTTCATATCCGTCACGACTATTGCAGACACTGTTCTCGCCTCAAGTAGTCCTGCCAACCGCTACCGCGCAGCGCTTCTGTGGCCTGGTAGAAAAGGCACTGAAGCGTGTTACGGCACAGAGTTTCTCGATGACGATCCTGATCTGGTTGAGCAGCAATGCAAAACGGAAGCGTTCTATCATACGAAGATGTGCAAGAGCCAAGTGGGGATGAACATAGGAGCATGGCCATTGCGGTCGAAAACTGCGGTTTGGAAGATGAAGGTTGGGGAAGAAGATACCGGTAAAAATGTACTAGTTTCCGAAAGAGATGCAAGGCATCAGAAGTCCTCATTGCTACAACCATATAGTATCGATGTCTTAGTGGAGGAAGAGGAGGAGATTCGAAGGCGAGAATGGCGGGAAATGCGAAAAGCGCTCTTGCTAAAGCATGGAGCAGATACAGGAAAAAATCTCCTCGAGACAAAGCAATTTGGTGATTTGGAAGCAGACCTGAAGAGCAAGGTGGAAAGGCTTGACTCGGCCGAGGTCCAAAAGGCATTTGAATCTATCGCTGAGGATGAAGTAACTCGTCTAGCTGCAAAGGAGAGAGAGCTTTTCGCGACGCGTGGGCAGATCTACGAAAGCGGGAGCGACCAAGGCCGGCAGGCATTAGATTCGGAACTAGAGAAGCAAAGAAATGCATTACTGGATGGCGATGCTACGGGAACGGGAGGTGAAGCTGAGAAGAACCAAAGTCAGGCAGAACTACAGAAAGACAAAGATGCAGAAGACGAACGTCTTTCTGGTCGTCTACTGCCTGAACGGGCTCTCTTACGTCCTTTTCGAGGTGCCTCTACAGGCGAATTCAGCGTATCATCTCCGAAGTTGCACTATGACTTGATAAAACATTTCCGTTTTAGCCGCACAGGGAATGAAACAGTACTGGAACTTGGCTGTGCCGGTGGAGTCACGACACGAATCCTAGTAAGGTTGTTCAAGAAAGTCATCTGCGTCGAGAAGCGGCCGCATTTCACACGGAAATTTTATGAAAGGTTTAACATTATCCGTATCTACTTCTATATACGTTTTCACAGCACAAACACAATTCCAAACTGTAGATGTGGAAACCACATAGCTGTGGAGGTTACTTGTGGAACAATTTGATTTATCACTTTTACGGATTCCGATACCTCCATCCAGTACTAGAACCACACCTTATATTTCATACTCCGATTCCTGACTATCCGAATTTGGTGAAGGTGAATTTCGATCTTTACCAAGAGCACTGGGCTTACCACATGGCTGCCGTTCCTGTCCACGTTGTTTTTATCGACGCGCTGCACGACTATGGTGCTGTGCTCTTTGATATCAAGTTAAGGATGGTCAATGTATGTTGTTTCGATGATACTGTCACTGACAACTCCTGCTTCTCGTTAGCGCCCGAGAAGTAATATCCGCCGCTGCGCCTCAGAAATGTCTTATAGCTAGCACTACTATGCGAAAGCGTTCTCTTTCTAACCTCAGCCGTGCTCGCCAAAATCCATTGTTGCGTACATACAATCGCTTTCCACGACTTCAGCTTTCCTGGCGTTATGAGAGCAATCGAAGACTCAGGAGTCGTCAAATACTATGGCAAACGGTGGAAACATCTGGGATGGGGGTTTCCAAATAATTGGAGACCGAATATGAGGATTCAGAGGACGAAAGGTAGCATGAGTAAAGGTCTTGAACAAGAAGACGAGGACGAGCATTTTACAGATGCGATGTCGAAAGCATTTACAAAACAGTGTCCGGCTGTATCATCTCCTGCCGAAGTTGGAGGCACTGAGACGACCTCGGCTAGATCGACCAGTACGACAAAGAAAGTAATAAAGCGGCCGTCAGCACGTGGATTGAATCTGCCTGATAAAGAACTTTCTGTGGCGTACGCGCATCAGATAAAGCACAATAGTAGCAGTAGCAGCAGCGCCATCACTCCTCCTGGTACTGCTTCATCTTCATCCGCAAGAATTCCTTCAGGAGCAGAAGTAGAGATGCCTTGGGTCTCTATGGCTCAGAACCAACAGCAGTGGGCCTCGCTAACAGCCTACTTCCCCACGCATCCGGAGGGCCTGCTTGTCGAGCTGAAAGACAAATTTGTGGCAAAATCTGTTCTACCACCAGGACTGGCGCCCCAGATACATGATATACCTTTGGACGAGACACAAGCTTCCAAGGAAAGCGACACGAGCGTCGAAAACACAGTCCTCGATTCCAGCAGATCTTCTACGATGAACCAGATTGAAGCGGTAGAGCGTATTTTTCGGTCTAGGTATGTATGCGAGCTAGACGACGATCCGAATTGGGTGCACACCGGAGAAGGACCGAAACCGTGCACGCCTGAAGCCAGACGCTTGCAGCGTCTGTTGCGTGGAGCGGACCCAGAGCCACTTCTACTGAGACAGGAAGTGCTTTACTATGATCGAAAAACAATTCGGACGTTATTGCTGCGTCGCTTTCTAGAGAGAGTGGTAGCTGGACTTTCTAGAGGAACTGGTACTGCCGAAGAAGACGCAGAAATGAAACGTCCTACGCCAGCGCCGCTTTCCGTACTCGCTTTAGGCCCTGAGTTCGAGAAAAGGGCTGACGAGATTGACGCGCGTACGCTGGAAGGCATGGTCTCGCAGATTGAACGAAGACAATCGGAAAGTAATTTGGATTATGGCATGCAATCACAGACTTCTTCTTCAACTGCAAGTAGCTACCCGAATTTCATCTGGGACCCCTACTAGTGTGGGGCTCTCCAAACTTACTAACTCCAGCATTCTCATTTCCAAAGAACTCCAGCATTCTCATTGCCAAAAGCCTCTAATTCGAGTTGGCCCCCAACAAGATGCTCCGTAAAGTTCGCCCCTTTGTCCGGAATCAACTACGCATCGATCTCCTGAATCATGGCGTTTTTGCTATTACGGACATCGCATGGCAACTGAACAAGGCAAGGTTTTTGCACCAGCATCTCTATCCACAACTGCCAAAAGCCATGCGATCGAGTCTACCACATGTTTTTGAAGGTGGAGAGCCTTCGAGCTTGCTCAGGACGTTTGGGTATTGAGGACGTTTGGGTATTGTACAAGAAGTACAAGAAAGTGAAGTAGAGTAAGAGCAGTTTCAATGTTGTTCATGAGTTCTTGGGTTGTGAAAGACGGTAGAGTAAGAGCAGTTTCAATGTTGTTCATCAGTTGGTTTGAAGCAGAAGGTGAATCTGTTAGGTAGTTCTTGCAATGCAGAAGTTATTCTCGCTACTAGAAGGAGTACCAGTACCACAACCACCACCTCTTCTATACATAGGTTCTTACAATTCCTCCCGAACAACGAATTCAAACTCGTTGCTGGCAACGAGGGGTTGACCTGGACGCATGCTCGGCTTCTAAGAGCTCTCTTTTCCGGTGGAGCGGTCACGCCTCATTCTGTGGCGGCTGCTAGTGACTTGCTCGCGAAGGTCCAAGATACTGCGTTTTTGGACGAGACGGCATTGGATTACAATTAAGAGGACTTCTAGCTTCAAGATGAAATCTAGCTTCAGGAGAAGAGGACTTCATCTTCCAAAAATAATCTAGCTTCAGGAGAAGCATGTTGGACCCCCCGTCCCCGTCGTCGGTAAGGGGGACGAAACGGGTCCAAGATGACCTTCAAGATGGATTCCCGGAAGGTCTAATAGAAGAGTCAATTAGAGCTGGACACGTGGAGAAGAAAAGCTAACATCAAGGCTGAGGCCTCAGCAAGACAACCACCAGAAGAACATCCAGGGTTCCCGAACAATCCGCCTACAGCAAGAAACTTTGAGCCTGACGCCCCTGTGAACAATCCGAATTTGTATGCGGATAGGACAGCACCAAAACCAACTGCTTATGCAACGAGGTGGATCAAAACTGTCATCTTTTTCACTGAGAGTGAGTTTAGTAAGAAGATTGCGATAGAGACGCCGGTTTAGTAAGATTGCGATAGAGCAGTCGCCGGTCGTGGAGAAGATCATGATCCTCTAACTCCCCTCTGAAAAATCTCACCCAGACGAAGATCCACATGAACCTGCTGATGGGATGAGGCTTTTGACGAAAGCGCAAGCGGCGCGGTCTAGGTTACTTAAAGTCGTTGCTGGAACCTACAGGCTCTCCGAATTTGACGCGAACACAGTCTACTTGCTCTTCAAAGTCTCGAAGCCAGCTTATCGGACAGGAGAGGACACCTTATGGAGATGGACTCGTGACTGAGTGTCTGGTGGATCATCTACGTATCAGTATCTATCATCAAGGAGTTCACTCTGAGTCCACCTCATCGTGCTGACAGGGAAAATAATGCTTTATAGCTAAGATTGTTCAGTTCTTTGTTCATTGAAATGTACGTCCCATATAGTATTCCCCACCACGAGTCTTCTAACTTCCGTAACCGATCACGACGCGCCAGCGAACGTCTTCGTTGGAAATGGCACAGCGTGGGTTCTCCAGTTTTCGTCCTCACGTTCCAGGTTTCAGGTGATTGACATCTTCTCGATGGGGGACGAGTGGACTGTGGGACCCGAACGTGATCCCACTAATGGCCAAGGCAGCGTCAATTACCTGGGCTTTACTTATCATTACGTTCAGGGGAAGTTCATCAAAATAATATCAAGATTCAACGCTTTGCTTTTTCTAATCTCCGCAAATGTTCTTGGTGTAGTTGTTCTTGGTGTAGTTGTGAAACGATGAATTTTCTGACGAAGTCTTATAAACTATTACAAATTCTCTACAAACTTTTTCCCCTAGAGTCAGTTGTTTCTTTTTTCCCTCGCTCGGGTTGGGACTTTTTACAAATCTTGGAAATTACAAACTCTAATCTCCGCAAATGTTCCGATTAGTGACGCAGGGAAACGATGAATTTGCTGACGAAGGGCAAGTTTTGCAGCATGTTGTGCAAGGTATGATGCAAGAGCCTCCGAAGTAAAAACAGGTGCTAGGGCAGGTCAGAGGTGGTCTTCAGAGGTGGTCGTCAGGGTCTGCTGAATTTGCAGCAACTTCTGAGGTGGTCGTCAGGGTCTGATGAATACTTAGGCAGCAACCTCTTGTCGGGATCGGGAAGGGATGGAAAAAAAGGGACCACTGCCTTTGCTTCGGTCTTTAATACATTTGTTCACTTTCAGAAGTAATTTGTTACCTGTCCACTAAGGACTTGGACTATCTAAGTAACTACTTGGCAATTTTGAATCCTCGTTAGGTCACTACGACCTGTCGGGATGAAGATTAGTATCTGTATGGTCAAGGGAAATACGATGAAGAAGGAAAGAGGTTCATTTGTTTCTATCAAAAGGTCGAACTGAAGTGGTCCTCGTGGTTCTACTTCATCTAGTCTACTACACGCTCGATTCGAGAAGGAGACCTGTAGTAGTATCTGAAATATGAACTTCTCAATTCGGACCGCTTCAGGAACTTTTTCATCTCGCGGATGGTTCTCGACTTGACCGCTGGTTCTCGACAACATGATGACATGATCATATACATCGATCCGTTCCATCCCTTCAAATATATTCTGTACTTCTTTCCGAAGAGATCGTACGAAGAGATGATTTGAGTGTCCTCCATCTTGTAGCGTGGTGGCTCCATCTAGCGTGGTGTCTCCACCTGGTGTGGTGGCTCCATCTAGTGTGGTGTCTCCATCTAGTGTGGTGTCTCCATCTAGTGTGGTAGTTTGCAAAATTGAGTGTCCTCAGTTTGTCTCTGTGTTAGTTTGAGAGTCCTCAGTCTGTCAACGTGCACAAAAATTTGAGGTTTATAATGTTAACGACCTGTGTTTGTGTACTAAATTTGAGAGGTAGAGAGACGATGTCCCAACCGTTCATTCTGTGCTGATAGTCAGTCTGAGTGCCCTGGTCAATATTCTGTCCTGAGAGTCAGAGTGGCTCTTTTCATATATAGCTGTGCTTGTGCTGTTCTTGAAAGAGTTTTTGTAGTCTTACCTCGTCTCCACGCTTTTCATGATGATTATGACTTCTTTGCTTTTCATCTTAAAAAAACGTGCAGTTCTTTGCTTAGGGTTAGAAAGAAGTACTATCTGGTTTCGCGGCTCGTTTTACTTTTTTTCCCCAAGTGGAAACCCAAAATAGTAATAACTTTCTATGTATCTTCTATCGCATGCATATTTCATAAAACATTTCCTCCAACGAACTCATCAACAAAGTGGTTGAGTCGATTTATTGAAATATTAAGTAGGTGGCTTATAATAGAATACCATTTACGTAGTTAACGTAGTGAGTTGCTTTATCTACTCAGTAGTTGTCGCAGTAACGATCCTCCAACGCTCGCAAGTAGCTATTTTCGCATTACTTCATCAATTCTTTTACTAACGCTTGTTTCCTAGGTCAGCAAAAATGGCGCACGTTGAGAAGGTTAAGCACAAGCCACAGGGCTTCATGAAGGTGGAGGTGGATGGCTTTCTCGCTACTGATTCGAAGATCAAGGATCCAACTTTGGCTATGTCCGATGCCGAGAAGAAAAAGGAGATCGACAAGCTGAAGAATGAGAACGTGAACACTTTGGACAATGTCATCAACGTCTTGCAGCAAGCCGACCGAACGGCAGATAAGATCACGGGTGGTTTGGACGAGAACACAGCAATAATGAAGCGCATCTTAGACAAGCAAGATCACATTAACGAGAATTTGGCGAAAGGAGGCAAGATTTTGGGGAACATGGAAGGTACTACTACAACTACAACAGAATTCTTTTTAAGTACTTATTTTTTTGATCATGTGGAGAATTTTCGAATTGCACAAGAATACTAGTTTTTCCCTTTTTGCTCTCTATGGCATTGACAAAACTTCCAAAGATTTAGCCCACTTGTTGGAGCCGACGCAGATCTTGTGCGAGTAATGAATGAAAAGCACTTGTGCTTGTTTTTATTACTCCTGCAGTCACTTACACTTGTATATGTAGTACTAAGTGCTCAACAAAAAAGGTATCACTGGTGGCGGCGCCCATGCGGATAAGAAGTTCGAGGAAACGAAGCTGAAGCCAGTCAGCCCAGATGGTTTTCCGATCTTCCAATCTGGTATGGTGAAGAAGGCGGGCAAGCACTTCAAAGACAAATGGCAGAAGTGCCATTTGATGGTCCATGGAAACAAACTCTCAATTGCCGACGACGAAAACGCAAAGCACCACCAAGACATCAAAATCTCCAAAAGCAGCTACCTCATTCTTTTGGCGGATTCGAAGGTATTCCTCTCACCTTTATAATATGCCTCCATCATTTTCATCTCCTTTGATTATCAGTACTTGTTACGGGGAAATCTTAGGCAGATTGCCGAATAGATTCGCGTCATCATTATACTTGTTACGGCTCTCGACTACTACTTCTACTTACTTCTACTTACTTCTACTTCATCTACTTACTTCTACTTCTACTTCTACTATCGTTTTCGAAGATATTTCCTAGACCTAGAGTTATCTTCAGCTCCCTGTCCTGTAGCTATCTGCTTCCGAGGTGATCGAGTATGTCATAGGTGTATTGGCTACTAGTACCCGATTGATGAGTTGTCGTTTCAGGGTCATCTTCGTTATCCTTCCCAAACAAGCTGAATGCATTCCGACCTTCCCTACTGGTAACCACTCTATATATTTATAATCTCCAAGTAATCAATTACAATCACCTCATTCCCATCAACCGCGACTACTTTTTATCTTCAAATTATCAACTTCTCTATGTGTCACCCCCAACTACCACCCCAAAATCACCCTCAACATCCTCTCAACTTTTCAGGCCCCTCCGCAGTTGCAGAAGTTGAAGGATGCGCATCCAGGTGGGTTTGCGGTCTACGAGGACAGCAAACAGGAGATCCCTTGGCTCTTCGATACCCCAAATCCGAAGGCTCAGAGTGCTTGGGTCCGAGGATTTCAGTCTTGTATGGAATACATCAAGCTGGGAGTCCACGACGTGTGGAGCGACCCTCGTGTCCAGAAGGGCGCACAGAAGAATTTGAAGTTATGTCGAATCATCCCTACCACTTTCTATCATCTGCAGATGAGGAAGAAGAGTAGCTTCGTACTTATACTTTTTAGTCTCAGTGATCTGTCGACCACGACCAACTTCTATCAGTTGTATATTTTTCATCAAACATTGATTCTTCTGCTGTTTATAATTTCAGATTGATGTTGTAAGTAGTACTATGCTTGTTTCAACTATGCCTGTCCCTCTCCTCTCTCCCTCTAAGACCAGAAGTGAGGAAGTTTCAGAAGAAGAGGGCTGCCGATGACGCGTACGGAAAGAAGACGGACGAGCAGTTGGACGTCGTTGATGACTTGCTGGATGTGCTGCACGGAAAGGCCGAAAACATCGGGAAGAAGATCGATGAGCAAACGGGACTGATCGGAAAGATGAGCGACAACACTCACAAGGCTCGGGAGGACATGCACAACCAGAAAAACCAAATGCACAACATCGTCAAGGAAACCGAAAAGAACTGGATCTAGTCGGAGAACACTATAGTTTTACACCCTATAATCATTTTTACTGGTGATGTAGTGGAGTACAGTTGTTCTGTTGGCTAATATTGTATCCGTACGGTTGTAGCAGCAGGACGAGTCGACGTGGAGTAGTCCTAGTTCTTGCATAGCAGGGGATAATTGTCGAAGAAAAAACGGTTCATCAGGGACTACAAAAAGATCATGCTCATGGGGACTACAAGAAAAGGATCATGGTGAACAACTTGTTCTAGATGTTCGACTACGCCTAGCTCGACTACGACTCTGTACTAGTGCATATTGAAGGTTGTGGCGCGATTTATTAGTCCTCGTGCGACCGGGACGCAAGAATAGTAGATAAATTTAGCTTCTAAAAAACTACACCACTTTTTTTTGAAAATTCGGAGTTGAACTAGAGGTGGTTGTAGGAATTAAGGTGATGATGAATCACATACATATTGTGAACTACCTAGTAGAACGATTTCTATTCATTCAGCATAATATAACATTAACAATTCACAATCTTTGACTATCATAATCATATTACTCATGAGCATACCTGCGATTGGAAGGATTGATAAAATGGGACTATCTAACTATTTTACTATTATTACATGTTAACGCTATTACACTTCAACAACTAAATTCTTCAAGCGAAAGAACAAATGAACAGTTATCACTTCTCGATAAAGCGAACTATTATTTAATGCAGCTGACTTCTTACCGCGATCTTCTGATCTGCTATGTGATGCAAGGTAGATGTTGTACTACATAAAAATATTATTGTAACAACTACGCAGTACTACAAAACCGATGAATGGTCTTAAACGTGGGACGGTGGATGAAAACGCGCACAGGACGAAGGCGAAGCAGACTTGGAGGACGCTAGAAGCACAAAAAATTGGAATAGAAATACTTTTTTTTTCTCGCAGCACTTTGCATTTCTACTAGCTAAGAAAGAGTACCAGGACCTAAGTACTATTTGTCGCTACGCGACTACGCATCTAGACGGCGGCCATGAGTATCTATGCGACATGTATCTAGGAAGTTCTTGTAGATCTAAGTAACCTCGACGTTGGATTTGAAAAAGGGAACTTATTGTTATTCTTGATGCGTAGAGACTTGATGCAGTTGCGCAAGAGACAACATCTTCAACAAAATTCTATGTACACTGTACTATGACTTTGTCGACAATAGACCTTATTTGGTGTCTGTGATGTTGGATCTTCTGTGATGGATCTTCATGGACTCTAATTACAACTGTATACAAAGTTGAGGAAAGTCAAAGTCTTGTATACGACCAGGGAACCAACTATCTTCGAAAATATTGCTCGTCGATCCAGCACTGACGTGCAGCGGGATAAGCTGGGATTATAATACGGATACCCTCGCCTGCTACGTTGTTATGACCACGGAAATGTTGAAAGAAAATGGTACCATAACAGGTCTTCTATTTCATTTAGAGGTGTGAATCTATGACAGTGAGGGTGAGCATAGCCCTAAGAAACAAGTCTGGAACACTCTACTTAGTATTATAAATATATTATTATTGTCCGACTCCGAGTGAAAGCAAAGCGTCACCGGCCGATGTTGTCTGTAGGAGTGAGTAGAGAGTACGCAAGGAGTAGTGCTCCACTATGCAATGTTGTAGTCGATCTCATCTGTCCGAGGGTGGTAGACGCAAAGGATTATGAGGACTCTGTTCTCTTGAAGAGGGAAGTTTTTGTGAGGTGAGTGGTTGCTTCTGATTGTGTGGAGTCATTGTTTCATCTGTTTCTGACTCTGCCTATGATTATGCAATCGCCTCTACTGTGCTTCTGTTTTCATCATCAGTAGGTTTTCCTAAATACAAGAAGACAGTGACACTCAGATTTCTCACTTCTAATTACTTATAGAAGACTCTTCTATCCCTATCCTATCCACCTATCCTATCCTATCCTACCCTATTTTGTCTGTTCTGTGCTCCTTCCGTACTTAGGAAGCGGAGAAGTAGATTGTTAATATGTTATATTTATTGTGATCATTAACTAAGTACAACTACAATCTTTTCACGTACCGTGGTCTGCTTCTCGTTTTTTGCTAGATGTTTAGCCTTCTGGCTCTAATTAGAACGTACCACCCACTAAAAGTCCTCGTAGTACTTCTAACCCACCAATGAATTTTGTTTTCCATCACCATTCTAATTGATGCTTTTCATTCATTAAGTACAGATAATTAACTCTTTTTTACTAAATTTTCTAGATTACCTCTTTTTTACAGTTTTTCTGGTAGGCCCACACCTAACCTAACCTAGCATCACACGACAAGATAGAGTCGTTTCGACAAGATGTGTTTCAAGGTAAGACCCGATGCGGAGTATGATCACCACAACTGGTCCAAAGGCGGCAACGATCAGTACATGTACGAAAACAACCAGCAATGGAGCACCCAAGAGGACTATGGGAAAGGAAACGAACACGATTACATTGAACAAGCTGGAGTGCCTTCAAACGATAACTACGGAGGTGAAGAGTATCATGGTGCTTCCGGAGGAGAAGTTCCATACGGCGGTGACGTAGCTGGAGAAGACTTTGATGTTTCCGGAGGAGACTTTGATGGCGGTGGAGAAGGTGAAGCTGCTGAGCCTGAGACATATGAAGGTGGAGATGACGAGGAGAAAGCTCACTATGATCAGAATTACAATTATACCTCTACTGCAGCTACTGTTGATCCATATTGGAATTATCATCAATGGGTTGCTGAGGGTGAAGCAGCTTGGGCAGGCGAAGAAGTATACGGAATATATGACCAGCAATGGTATGATACTCACGAAGAAGGCTATAATCACGATCACGACGATACAGCACCATGGTGGGGCGGTAGCTATGACGCAGAGGGAGAGGCGTACTTTGCTAATTTTTTCTGTTACATTAATCTTCTAGTCAACATTCTGGCTGTGGTGGGTACCTAGTACTCACTGTTAGTTCAGGTCCTCCTCGTGCTCCGTCAATTATTTGAGATCATCAGATATGATCTTCTACTTCTTCTTCAGTAGCCAGTTTCCTCTTCATTTGAGCTACGTCTATATTTTTGGGTTAAAAATCTTCAGATCAGGATCACTAGAGCATTGCTGTAGCTTCCCTCAGATTGAGACAGTTGAAGAAACAAGATACAACCATGCATTCAAATTTCCACCTCAGGGAGGATCATGGCTACGATGAAGGCGACGAAGAAGGAGACGATTACACAGAAGAGATTGTAGAGGAGGTTCAGGGACAAAGAGCTTCTCTTCAAAGTGCTGCACGAGATGAGGATTTGGATGCGAGAAAAAACAGCTACTACGACTGGCATGCCTACGCAGGTGCAGCAAAAGTGCGACAGAGCATCGTCATGGTTGCCTGATCCACACTTTGATGAGAGACGACTGACGAACTAGATAATATGTAGCAAGCTGTACAACGAACTAGAGAAGGTGGACTCCTTCTTGAAGCGCGATGATGATGATTCTGACGTGAGGTTGGGGCCGACAAAGCAACGCCGTTCTGGAGCTTGGTTCGCTCTCCTGGGGTTCCCTTTCCGACGGTTCTTTCTCGTATCATCAACACGGTGATCAAGATGTGTATTGGCTTTTCTTCATCATAATATGGCTGTAATTGAGGTGGTTATAATAGCATTCAAATTTGCATTTTTAGATAAGAGGTGGATGTTCGACTTGAGAAGCTTCCGGTTGTCTTCGAGGATTCTCCGTGGTCTTTGGTTCTTGATAACGGAATACCAGTACACAGGATGGATTGTTGTATTTAACGATTTGTTTATGCTGTACTAGATCCAACCAGGAGGAGCGAAAGGTGGAAACATTCCCTTCAAGATCACAAAACAAGGAATTATTCTTTGCGACAGGGAGCTTTGATGTGAACAAAATGGAAGTACTATCTCCATGCCGATGGTACTACTCTAATGGAGCTGCTGGGACTGTGATGTTGTCTTCTTGTCGTGTTCTACTGGCCACCCAGAGACAGTATGTGTATCGTGTCATGCGTGTACGAATCCCTTCAAAAAGTTCTACAGCTGGTCCTGGTTAGAGACTGAAGATGTGGCAGCAATAAGTTAAATTGCTTGAGAATACATTTACATGGAGACGAGAGTGCGTCAAGTAATGTCCTGATCCATCACTTCTTTGAGTCGTGCGAAGAACCTACTAGTTCCCCGTGCTGTCATGCGTGTACGAATCGGTATATGAGCTTTGATCGGCACTCCGTTGTTTCACGGACTCGACTTGTAGTTGAAGATGTTATTTCTTTTCATCGGCTAGTACCACAATGAATTTACCTACGGACGGGTACATCGGCTTAACCTTAAGCTCTTTCATCGGCTAGTACCTGTACAAGAATGAATGAACTTGCCGACGTACATCGTTCCTAGTTTGACGACGGCAGTAAAAGCTGCCAATCGGTTCTTCTCGGTCACCTACCTGTCCTGCTCTATCCGTATATCCCGTTCCCGATCCCGACAAGCCTCCACATTTTTCCTGCCTGCTTTATCCCAGATGAAAGGAATACCATGATTCAAATTCAAATTCAATAGGGAAGTAAGTCTGAGAAACTGAAACAAGATAGAGTTCTTAGATAGAGAACCTGGACCTCTAGTCGCTTCTTCTTCTTCTTCTTCTTCTTCTTCTTCTTCTTCTTCTTCTTCTTCTTCTTAAAGTAACGGTCAAGCAGAAGCAACCCTCCCGCATAAGATGTCCCAACAAAGTGTGACCAACCTGTCCCAAGCGGCAACGACGTTGTACAAGCCTCCGAAAAAAGTGGGCGGAATCTCCCAGTTCCACAAGGGCGTTGCGGTATTTCATTTCCCAAAAATTTTGTCTGTCTAATCAATTATGACCTCTATTATACCTGTAGTTCCACTCCTCAGGGCAAGCATTCTGCAACTTTATTATCACGACCATCACAACCAGGGCAAGCATGCTACTTTGTTGACGGTGACTGACTCTCATATCGATGCTCTGCGTGATACGCAGGAGGAGAAAAAAGCGGCGATGCTAAGAGCCCAGCCTTTGGGTGCGAAGGAATTCCACTACCAGACGATGGAAAAGAAGAGGGCGGTACTAGTTGTTGTACTCCGAAAAGTATATATTTATAAGTCAAGAAAGGACGATTATACTTTGAAATTATTTGATCGCAATTGGAACGAATATCTTTCTAGATGTCGGTGTACCGAATTCGAATTGGAAAGTACAACTAACAACCTAGCTGTACTGTATAACTTGTAGACATACACATAATAGTACTACGCACAAGGTTGCACAATTGAGCACTAAATCCCACTAACAAAGGACCGTTCCAGTTACGGCTGTGACGACTTGCCTCCGAAGCCGTTGGGTTCTATTCCTGGCTACTCTGGCTGCGTTCCACGTCGCGAAGCACTGAATGTGCACGGTGGAACTCACCGAGCTGACAGTGTCATTTATGATGAAGTACGTAGTATAGAAAATTTGAAGTACGTAGTATAGAAAACGAGGATCATGCTCTGCTGGTCATATTTATTACTATTTTTGCAAACCAACAACAACATGTTCATTTAGATATACTTACCTGTAGTACGTTTTTGAATGTATAATGCTTTGCGATAAGAATAGCAATCCTCGACGGCGCCTAGCACGCTCCTGATGAGTCTGCTTGCCTAACTATGCGATAAGTCTTCTAGTCATGCTGCAGTCTTCTCTTCTAACGACCGGCCGTATCGATCTTCGCTGCAGAGCAGGAACGCAACAGGACCATGGCCTCCAACATCCTACCACCAGCCAAGGATCTGAAGACTCCTGATACACTCAGATTGCAATGATTCTCAGTTTACTAGTGGAGGGGGAGACTAGTAGTGCAATGAACATCTTCAATTATCCAGGAGGAGAAACAGAGAAGCTCGCAGAACACAGAGGAGATTCAGGGAAGTCGTAGGTCCAATCCGAATCGACTAGCATCATCATCAGAAAAAGAGAAGCAGTAGCAGACCCCTCCGCAGGATACTGAATGAACAGATGGAGTAAGTCAGGCTAAGTAACTGAGCAGATAAAGAGAGAATTTTTTGTGTAAAAATGACATTCGTGAATGATTGGGAGGATGAAGTCGTAGTTTATCGATGATTGTACAATACATAAATTGAGGTTCTTGATCTTGTTGAAGATAAGCGACGATTGAAAGGCAGAAGAAATTGTCAGTCTTGTATATATGCACAGTCCGTTATAGGAGCGTCGAGTAAGAGCAATGTAGTTGGCTCCACATAATTCGATCGAAAATTGAACAATATATACACGTAACGTAGTTCCTATCATCTAAAAGTCTAATCTGTCTAATTCTTACACGAAAATCCATGCAGTACTATTACCAATGAATAAGAAAATCAGAATCACGAAGAACGTATGCAGCGAACAACAAAGTAAAAGGATTGAAACCTTTTCAGCACGAACAAAAATGTGACAAGTATTATAGATAATTTGGGCTAAAGTGAGTAACAAGAATTTATTCTCAGGCATAATGGAGAAGATCTATCATACATCAGTTGATAAAGACTTTGATTTTAAGAACCACAGGTTCTTGTTCACGACTGCCAAATTTTAGAACATGTTGCTCCCACCCAGACGCGAGAAGGAAAAAGAGGAAGTCTAGTTGTACGGTATTGGCCAGAGGGAAGTAAACGGTAACATCAAGGTCAGGGGACTCAACGTCAATTACCTCCATGAGTGAGAGCGTGAGCCGGCACAGGATCACCATAAGGAACGCAAGATGTTGATAATTGTGAACCATATGTATCTGATAAGTTGCTACAACTACGACAAGTACTACAAGGAGGACTTTTGCTCTTAAGAACACGACAGCATTATCTCTAGCTCTACCGAAAAAAACAAGCGACAGCAAGAAAAGAAAGGTAAAACGAAAGTTTAACTTCGTGTGTCATTAGCAAGCCCTTTTTTTTAGACAACCATCCAAGAACCTTCTCTTTCATCATCAAAATATAATGATGCGGTTTCTATGCTCCATCCTCTTCTCCGCGTGCTGCTTCATCCCAACATCCGATGCATTTTCGTTTTCCCTCGCCTCGGTCCCGAAGGGGTCTGTGGAGGAGAAGAAGGTGCTGGACAAGCTAGAACAGCAATTATGGCCAGCGTTAATCTTTCTCAGCATCTCAGTTCCTCGTCTTCCCATAAAGAAGTACAAGGGAGAAGAAGGCACCGAAATGAGGGATCGTTCTCAGCATCATCTCGGTAGCCTTTCCCATAAACTACTTCCTTACAAGGGAAAAAAATATAGACTACCGAGTAGGTGATGGGACTTTTGGGATAGTAGATTCCCAAGCACGACATGAACGCTCTTTCTAAGGCGAGAGAAAAAGATTGCGGTGGCAGTGAAACGTATGACCGCACTTGAGAAAAGCAATGCGGAGAGCATGGAGAAACGAAAACAGCTTTTTTTCAGCTCGAGCAAAGCAGGGAATGGTAAGTTAACATATTTATACATACAGATGAGCATGAGTAGGAGGAACCCTCTCATCAAATGAATACGAATAGGACGAATCCATCTGACCTTTTATGGCATGATTGATTTCCTACTTTCCCAACTACGTACTTTCTTCATTCCCACCACCAGGATCCCCTACAAAAGTTGCCGCGAAGCAAGTGTCTTTGGAGAAAAGTATGCAAGAGTGGGATGAGAAGATGGCCCGTTTGAATCGCAAGTCCAGGATTGGTGCTGTCAACGTCCTGAGCAAACTCCGCAACGCAATCCATTTGGTCAAAAAAGGAGCTTTGACGGTTAAGAAATGATTGTTTGTAGAAGTTGCGGGTTTGAGGTTCGCTTTCACTTCTATTCAGTTCTGGTTCATAACCACCTTTAATTGATGTCATCTTCTTGTCGTTATTCTTCTCCAGAAACGAGAAATTCCCTTCTAACGCTTGCAAGAACAAGGAAGCGAAAGCGCAACTGCAGAAATTGATGCAGCACATGGGACAGATGGCTGCATGAGCAAAGCTTACAGTTTTGAGTTTTTCTAGGAAGGTGGAACTGGTGTTGTACAGAGGTGGAATCAATGCTGCACAGAACGTAGTCGTACTAGTACGTACTAGAGAGATGATGAATTCTCATCCTCATGTTTTTACTGTGATGGTGGATGAGCATCAACATGTTGAAGATTTAGCACGACAACTCAGAAATAACATAATATGACGTTTTGTTTTGTTTTTTCCGAAAAGAGATTTATTTTTTAGAAGATTTAGCTTTTTTTACTCTCTCACCCTCGGCTCCGTCCGACAGATGAGGTTCCTATACCTGAAGAAAAGCCGCTTACAGCTGGTGACTCAGTCGAGCACTTCCCTACTGCTCCTGCAATGGTACTAGAGCGCACACTGACGAACAGAAAGGACAGGCACTCCTGTGCGCTCTTTTTAGGTTGAAATTGTTTGAGAGGACAGAGAGAGGGAATTTCTTGAAGAAACGTTGGAAATGCGATGACCTCGAGCACAACCAAAAGCAAATCTTCAATCAAGCGAACAGCTTTTGCTTACCTATGTATCTATAGAAAACGTAAGTCTAAGTTCTGGAGTAGAGAAGTTACGCCAGATGGTCTCTTATATATAAGTATGTGATCTCATCTTTGAAGACGTGGGATCTTTTACTTGAGCCTTGGCACAGTTCTCGTTCTCTATGATCTCACGTTCCGTGATGTATTTGATCGAAACAAGAACTACGTGGATCTATCTTCATGATCAACAGCATGAGAAGTGTACAACCGCTACGATCCACCTCCTGAAACCCCGTATGAATACCCAAAAATTATAGTAGGACAAACAAAAAGAATAACATAGAAGCCCTACTTCCCGAAAAATAACAGGACGAGCTAGTAGACGTCAGAATTACTACGAAGAACATCCTGTAATCGTAGCTGACTAGTAGTATTAGACTACGACTCGTTGTAGATGAAACGGTAGCTGTTGTAGCTTCGTGTGACATGGAGAATGTGATTAATTGCAACGTCGTGAACGTCAGCAAGCACAGTTATTTACTTAGCCGAACCATATATTGCTTTTGGACGACTTTATTAAGGGTGTAATCACGCTGAGATGCGATTAAGAAGAAGATCAATAAGATGTTAAAAGAGGAGGCACTGATACAGGTTGTATGTTGTTGGAATATTTACCTTAACCTTCCTTGGTCATCTTGATAATGATCCCTCTTCGTCTTCCTCGTAGTGGTTGTATCGATTAAAGAATGAATGAAAATGAATGAAAATGAATGAATAAAGAAGTTATACATTTTTATGTGTAATCGATCTCGGACGACCATAATCATAAATACGATGATCTTCGATTCCCGATATATACGTCGAGGGCAGGTCCACTTTGCCTTACGACAAGGCAGGCTTACTGCTGACGAAGCAAATGCTTTTCTTGCAGATGAAGATTTTTTGGACTCCGCTACCTTCCAGGTTCTGGAACCGCAGGGATCATGGAATGGGAAACAGCAAGGAGATCTTCAAAAAGAGGACCATGACGATGATATCATGACTCAGAACCAGGATGAGAATATCAAGAGAATAAAAGTTTGTAGCATGATTAAAGAAAGCACATCTTCTTCTTCAAGTACTAAAGTCAAAGGCTTGTCAGATCGTAAGAAAAAACGTTTTTCCTCCTCGGAAGTTCTCGCACTGAATAAGCCATTCGATATTCGACTTGACCTGCCTAAGAGAAGGATAGGCCAAGAATACGACGCGACCAGCGCGAATTACGTAGGGGGTAACCCTGAAAGGAACTTCCCGGAAGAAGTGACACTTAGCGATTGGTTTCAACACCGATGGTGCTCTACACAAGAAGGAGTAAGTAACCACTACCACAAAAAGGACGACGCTGATCGTCCTGTAGTCCCTGTTGTAGCTCCTTTTGTCGGGCCTGAAGGTCGTGGTCCTGTCCCTGTAGTTCCTGTTGTCGGGCCTGATCGTGGTCCTGTCGTGGGTGACAAGAAACTGCGCTTCATTAACCAGCTAGACTACGCCACCTCTGGCATCATTTTGCTAGGATTGACTAAGCGCACTGCTGCCGCATGCGGAAACGAATTCCAGCAGAGAGGCTGCATTAAGGAATACGATGCGATAGTTCATGGCCACCCAAAGTGGGACGAAGCTGATATCAATTTGTCGCTGGTACTAGATGACACCTCGTTTGCGCGGAAAGTCACAATTCAAGCCAAGGACTACCTCCTTTTGGATGGAAAGGCGGCTGAGCCTCCTTTTGGATGGAAAGGCAGCAGAATACATCAGGATCCACCGCTTTCATCTACTTCTGCTGAAGACGCCCGAACTGTGGTGCGTGTAGTGAAGCGCGGTTATTTTCATTCCCAAATGACGAGTTGCGCGACAACTCGTGGTACTGCTTGCTGCTCCACGTCTAGTGTTCCTAGTCGTATTCAACAAGTAGATCATCTACTTCTAGAACGAGTTGAAAAAAGCGTCCCTGTCTGCCTTGTCCGTGTCCGCATATACTCGGGAAGACGGCATCAGATTCGCGCTCACCTATGCGCCTTAGGCCACGCCATCCTAGGAGATGGAAGTTACGGTGAGGAAGGCAGAAAATGGAAGATGAACAAAGAGGTCGAGGCTTCTACTAGAAGTACCATGGCTATGAATATGGTACACGGAGATGAAGGAAGCTCCTTGTCATCCACCAGCAAAGGTTCTACTATCACTATGGTGCAACAAGGAGTCGAAGAAGGGGCACGAGGACCAGCTGAAGAAGGACTACCTAAAGTTGTTGCAGTTGGGGGAAGCTCCTTGTTGTCCAGCAGCAAAAGCAGAGAAGATCCTGGAATAGAAGAAGTCGTAGCAGGACCACCCTTATCAACCACATTAGAGGGAGATGCTTATCCTGCACTTGCACAGCATCAAAAGGATGAACAAGAAGAACTATTGTTCTTAACAAACGGAAGAGGACCGCACAGAGCAGAGGACACACGAAACGAGGACTCTACACGGCAAAAACCAGTACTAATTATGGTCGGAGAAGATCTTATTCATCCTCCATCAAATGCAAGTCCTGACACTGACCCTGAGACCTCTACTTACATCCAAGTTTACCGCATGTTTCTGCATTCGGCTTACCTAGAGCTTCCTGCATTGAACGTTGCTTGGTCTGCACCTTCCGGATTCGAGAAGTTTGTTTTTGAATGATACAAGACAGAGCTTCTTGCTCTCAAGCTCAACATAAAAGAAAAGAGGGGTAGAAGATGACTCTGACTGAGTAGAGTTGGAGGAAGAACTTGATCTCTGATAGTCTCAGACATGATAGTTTCCAGCACTAACTCATAACATTTGTTCTGCTTCTAGTACAGTCTGTAAATTTAGAACTTCTGAAGCTACTTCTAGTCCTACTACTTGTTGTTGATGTTGTACAGCGCAAATCCACCGTGTTTGTGTTAACACTTCCATCTGTATCCATTACGTCACTCTCCCTGTCCCTCTCCTCCCTCCTGTGCCGTGATGAACCATGTACGAGAACAGCCTTGTCGTGAACACTTGTAAATCTATAGCGCAAACAAGTCTTCCACCTCCGAGTGATGCTTCTTGTGAGGAAACTCTTCAATGCATGAAGAGGACCTCGACGCCAAAATGAATCAACCGGAATTGTACAAATTTTTTGATCTTCCACGTGGAGCGAGTGATCAACATCAGAGGTGGTTTTTTCCCTTCCTCCAGAGTGAAGCCGAAGATGATAATTCTGAGAGACGAGGATGACATTCATTGGTAAGCTTGCGTGAGAATTGCAAAGCGGCATTAACATCTTTTTTGCGATCCAATGACTCACAGAAGATTTTAGGATTTTGTTGTTATCTAAAGACGACAACTGTCTGCAGTCTGCTAAGGTTATAATAAAATACATACCAACTTCTACTACCTGCTGATTACAACATCAACTTTCCCAATAGCAATCTATGAGCTGATGCGACTGTGTTGAGTGGTCCTGCACCTGCTAATCTGCTGATCGTAAGTAGCCGCTTGCTTCGACGTCACGCCATCCTCCAGTACGCGGTCGAAGTCCAGGATCTACAGATCCACATTTTTCGAGGTCGAAGACGTCATATTGGACCTTCACATCCAGTTCCAGCCAAAATGGTGAACGTGCTGAGCGGATTGCTAGAAGTGTCGCGGCGCAAGTTGTTAAGATCGGTTTTAGCACAATCTATCACCGGTATTGTCAGGGAATAAGCCTAGCCCTAGTATGCCTGCCTCATCCCTTCGAATGGAGCATGATGCTTAGAGTACAGGTTACAGTAAAGAGCACAAGGATACTCCTCGGCTCGTAATGGTAGGTCATCCTTACATTGACATGGCATTTTTATCATCATGTTAATTGATGCTACGTACAACAAAACATGAATCTCTACGAGGCTACTTTGCTTTGAACAAAAGCTGGTACTAATTAATCTACCATTTAGAAGCTATTTTTCGTCTAACCTGCCGCCTGAGCGCGTTTTCGCTCTCGACGCATCTTCTCATGGCTCAGGGAATCAGTCACGAACAGGAGAAACACGCTGTCATCAACCATTTTGGAGACAGTGAAAGTGAGGACATGGATGACGCAAAAGCTTCTCCGCACCTGGGCCCAGAGGAGGCGGCTACAGCATATGGCGCCGCTGATTGCTGAGAACGAATGAAGGGGAATGTCGACTGGTACCACCTCCAAGGGTTTTCGCCCAAGGAAGGCCAAGGCTCGACATTCCCCTGCCGACGTTCTCAATCAATGACCCCATTCATAAAAATGGCGTAGACCCTGAGGCGTACAAGCAGCTAGAGGCCCTGAGGAAGGCGGCGGATGCGGATGCGATTGCTGCACGAAAGGCTGTCAAGAAAGCTGAGAGCAGGGACACCAAAGCCGTTGAGATAGATGGTGCTGGTGCAAAGGCTTTTACGCAACTGGAACCGGGTTCAGACCACCTCCCAGCAGAAGTTAAGGCTAGAGATAATTCGTCTCTGAAGTGTGGGTGAGCACCTTGCTTCCCCCTGATGCTCTTCAGGAATTCGGCTGTGAGATGAATTAAATGAACAGGTCTAGAAGTAGTACTAAGTAGTCGAGTGGTGGCGAGAGCGAGTCCGGCAAGCACGACCAGACGCTCCATTCGAAAATAGAAGCCATTGTACGCTTGGTGGATGCAGAGCCGATCAGGACGAAGTTGGGCACGAAGATGAAGAGGGCCTGGAAGGACGGACACGAAGGCTCACCAGTGCTCTTTATTGCCAAGTTGACTGCTACAATTTCGTGTCCCTATTGTCTCTTCTTGGTCGTCACCTACGTAGTCATCCTCACCCCGTTATAGAGTTTGGAGATTTATTTGAGACCACGCTTCAGAGGTTTCGAGATAATCAGAAGAACTAGGAACGAAGGGGCGACTAAGGGTAGGGATCCAACACTAGCATTAGGTTGCAAAGCACTAATCTGTGGAAAGCCTTTTTGGGTCAGCTCGTCGACGATGGCGTATTTGAGGATCTCACGGACCTGCGAAAGCTAAAGCAGCTGGAAAATATTGCGAAACAAGTCCAAACAGCCTTGATTA